AGTGGGAGGAGGAGTAGTAGGAGGGTGGCGAGAGGAGTGGTGTTCGGTCCGAGGTGAGTGTCGGAGCGGACGGAGATAGGGCAGGAGAGGGACGGAGGAGTGGAGGTGGCATGGGGGGGTGAGAGGAGGTGTGGTGTCAGGACCGAAGGTGAATATCGGAACGGACAGCGGTAGGGTAGGACTCCGGAGGTGGTGAAGGAAGGAGGTCCGGGAGTCGGGTCGGGATCGGATATGCATGGATATGACAGGCTGAGGATCTTGAACTCTTGGATGACCTTGTCCACAGAGTCGGTGCCTTGTCGCAAGGTGGCCAGCTTCTGCCTGGCCGTGGCTTTGCGGTTCAGGTCTTGGAACATGGCATCGAGTTCCGTGTTGAACTCATCCATGGTGAGCCTGGGGGAGCCTGTTGTCAGCAGCGCAATGGTACGCTGCATCGCCCATGCTCCCGCAGTCCCTCCCTTCATGTAAGACAGGACAAAGAGGATCTGGGAGAGGGCATCAGGAAACTCCGCTGCCCAAACATGGAAGTAGATGCCACATTCAGCCTTGAAGTGGTCAAGGTCTTCAGTTGCTCCAGAGAAGGGGGTGGGGGGGGGGGGCAACTTTAGGCGGTTTGGGTCTGGGGGGGGTGCCGGTGCTGGTGCAGGCACTGGCACCGGTGTGGGTGCAGCTGGGGGTTGGTTCTGGGCTTGGCTCTCTACGATGGCCTGGAGCTCTTGGAATCAGGACAGCAGCTCATCATACTGCTCTTCAGTCACCATAGCGGGGGAGATGGGGGAGGTGGGGGAAATGAGGTTAAAGCCTTCTTCTGCTGTCAGGGACAACTCCGAAAGCGGCGAGGTCCCAGTGCAAGGGACTCGATGGGACAGATGTCAGCTATGCATAGCAGTGGTCCCATCGTTGTCAGAGACCAGATTCGAGACGAAGGGATGTCTCCGTTGTAGGAGAAATAACGGCCACACTATGGAAACCCATTATGAAAATATGCCAGATAAATCACAAAACCTCATACGACAAGTAGATATGAGAACATAGAAGGACCTGAATTTTTACGAATTACGAATTATTACGACTATACACGATAAATCGAAAGAAAGAAAAATAACAAAAATACTTCAAGCTTACCATCAACGAGACGGAATTCTCGGGGGAATTTATAGCAAATATTAAACCAAGAATTAGGACAATCGACCAAGATTTGACTATAAAAATAATCAGAGAACCTCCACGGAAACTACTTTCCCATGTCCGCACACATAGCAAGGATGGAAGTACCACGGAACAAAGATTCCTCAGGAACTAATGCAAAAGTCAAAGTCGTGTTTATAATAGGAAATGTAGATGTCACCCAAACGGAACCAATGAGAGTAATTATAGGGGAAACTACCCATAAACGACGGAGATATGACTAAAACTCCTGCAAAACGAGGACAATGTCTAAAAAGCAAGCGTGAAGATTAACTAGTAACGACCGAGACAAGCTTGATAGCCCATTAGAAAGGAAAGGATCTACTCTTAATCCTCCCAAATTTCCATAATAAAAGGATCATGCGTTAATGAGAAATCCAATAACGGGAATAGCGACATCAAAAGTCCGAGCTCAGGGACAAGACGATGATTGCGTAGGATCCATAATTAAAACATACAACGAAATTTACACGGAAATTATGAAAAATAGGAAACTATAGTTATGCAAATTCTCAGCCCAAACGGTCCAGCCGTTGTGAAGTTATACCCATGACGGGAATATAGGAATCCGCATCATGTGTAATGACACGTGAGGGTGGCGATGCGCAGGGAACCAGCCGTCGGAACCGAGATCCGCACTTCGGCAGATCGCGAAGACCAATTTCCGTCCAAATAAGGAAGAGCCCGGTCAAAACAAAGCACGAAAAGTGCAAAAACAACCTTAGATCATGAGGGAAAAATCTGAAATAAATCACAGAAGCCCATATGAAAGAAATAAACACCCGCGCATATCATAAATCCCGAACAACTAAACGAAAACGGCTCCCGCATACGAACAGCTATGGGAACGACGCACGTGATTACCGAATGTGCGCGCGAAACTTTGCTAACTCAACGAATACAGGGAAATAGGACACAACCTTAGTACCATTGGAAAGGTGGGAATAAATGGAAATTTATGATACCAAGAACGTGAGAAAACATCCAGAAATGAATGAGATACAAGGACATGAAGTTAGAAACCTGAAAACACGCGGGAAGACAGCTTCAAGAGGTCTAGAGCCCTAAATAAAATACATAAAAATATGATATCTTCGAGGACGACCTACTATAACAACGAACAATACATATGGAGGATTAGGATGTGATAATACAAAAGGGAATCAGGGAATATGAACGAAATTCACGAAAACTACTAAACTACGACGGACCATGGCGGGAATTTTAGGGAACGATGTTCTAATGAAGTAGAGAGCTATAACACATTCGTTTGAGTAATTCTTGATTACTAGCAACTTTTTCTTTCAGTTTTAAACCTGAATAATTCACTCATTTATCATTTCAGTCTCATTTTAACTAAAATGTCACTAAATAAAATTGGAATAAATCAGCTGAAGGTCTCAGCACAGTCGCACGCATAGTAATGCGAGGTTTGAATTCAGTATGACCGAGTCATAGCGAACTTAATGGGAAATATGGGGAATTTGAAATAGGGAACTGCGGCAAATGCGGCGCAGACAAATTCTAATTAACCATTAAAATAGCTTAGGCGAGGAAGGACAATAAGGATTCCAGGCGCAGTCTGACCGCAGTAGACCGCAGTTCAGCGCAGCAAAGCGCAGCGGAACTATAGCGTGAAAATTTCACTTTTTATTCAGTTTGAGAAAAATACACTGTAAATAAATCCTGTAAATAGAAGGTAGAGCGTGAAAAAGGAAGGCGACCCAAGGAGTATAAAAGGGAGACCCTTTCTGCGACCTTTCGCCCCCCTCAGAGAAGTAAGAAAATAGAGTATTATTTTTCTCAAGCATTTCTGGTTGTCACTCCAGTGCGAAAAAGTGATATACAGTTAAGATTGCCACTGTAGTAAAAGGCAGCAATTAAGGAGAGAAATATTAAGTAGATATTTCAACAGGAGAGCTGGTTAACACTCCAGATTTCAAAGTGTAAACACAAAACAGTTATTTTGCTACTGTTAAAACAAGCAATAAAATAAAGACAAAAATAAAACGAACTCAAGGGACACTCCAGACACCATCCAAATTCATTAACTGAATAGAATCTTTGAAACTTCACCAAGTAGAAGATTAAATTCAAGTTTAAATCCAAATTAAACAACGCTACACAAAATTACACCTAGACAAATTAATAAATTTCAATAAAGAAACAGCTCCGCAGGGCTCGGTTTATCTGTAAGTCAATTCCCAGGAACTTTAAAACTAACCCATAAAAATAGAATTAGCCAAAACACTCGGATTGGTACTATATTTACAATAAACAACACTAGTACACTTCCCCATCCTAACTAAAGAACCAGGGAACAGCTTGGTGGTGGTCTCGTTTGAACCTCCCAACTGACCTTCCTTCGTTCTCTCCTTCACCGTAACGGAGGGCTTCGGCCTCAGCGACTTCTGCCAAGAGCGCTGTGCCTAGTGACACGTCCGTGCCCTAACTTACTGACTGGCAATTAGAACCTAGGGGGGCAACTCTAGTTGATTTTTCTACTGGGGCGTAACCTATGTACAAGTGGGAGATATATATATGGTTACAGCGGAGCCGAACGGAGCAGGGCTAACGGGGTTTAAACATTAGCCGACTGAATATTACCGACGAGTCGGTTCACAGGGTTAGCGGAAAGGCAGGCGATAACCCAGAAACGGAAAGGAGGGATAGGCCCGAAGGTGGGCTCTGCAGGGCAGGCGAGTGTATTGCCCAGCGGAGGCGGGGGTGCGCTAGCGGACGTCGGAGCTGTCCGGAAGTCTTCGGGGCTCCGTACTTAGGGAGGCGTAGGTAATAAATTGAAATGAGGGGGTGGTGACCATCGAGGGGCGCCGAGAGGATTGCGGAATACGGGGGCTCCGAGGTCAGTGAGGGAGGAGCGGAGTTGGATCGGAGGGATCGGAGGGACCGGAAGTCGATGGCCGGGGATGGATATGACAGTCGTGGGGTGAGCGTCCCTGACCACTTAGTCTGAAGTGGGAAGTTGAGTTATCATTAAAGGGGAGAAGCTACAGTACTTACTGTCAGGGGACGCCTGGTTATCCGGCCCCCCTTTACTCTAAGCGATATCAATGAGGTAATTGTTAGCCGAGATTGCGTGAGATAATTACGTAGTTAGAACGCAGATATAACTCATTGCGCTATATTCGCTATCACGTCACCCCTTACCTGATATTCCCTCATTTCCCGCATCTTCTATCTTCCTATTTGATGTCGTGTTTCTATTAGTTACCATCTTCCCAATGTAACTGCGCTCTCATGAGTTAGCAGAACTCATGTACATAAGGCTACTATGCCAGCTGGGCTAGCCCCCCAGCTTTGATATCGACTAGTTTCCTGGGGATACTCTTGTGCTGCGAATAGACGCGCGGACTCTGACACTTACCTAAAGTGGGAAGTTGAGAAGAAGGCTGCTTCTTCTGTTCCCACCCCAGGCACTATTATATACATGCGGTTGGGGTCACATGGGAGGAGCCACGTCATCTCTGCACACAGCCACACCTCCCTGGGTATCTCCGCAGGAGATCCCGGAGGTGTGCCACTCTGTAAGCAGGAATGCACACGGTGGGTGCGGCGATTGGGGGAGTGGGTAGGTGTGTAGTGATACATAGAGAAAGGGAAGTCAGCCATGGAACGGAAATAGAAAGAAAGAAGAAAAGTGAAAAGGAGAAACTGGGAGTGATAGCAGGGGGAGTGGAGTAGGGCGGCACGGTGCAGGGTCAGGTGGGGTGTGCCCTGACACATCTGCCCCCACAGACATCCTATTTCATGACCTCTCTCCACACTCCAGGCCCACTAGCCAGTCAAGCTGCATGGCACCTACCAGTTCAACTGCTCCAAAGAGGGGCATCTCGCCTGGATGGGACAGTCACATGTCAGTTAAGGAACCAGCTAAGAAGAAGCACAGAGGTGGCAAGTTGAGCAAGGGAAAGATTGAGGAGTTGGTGTTGAAGAAGAAAGAGTTCCTACAGTATTTGGAGGAAAAGGGCGATGAATGGGGGGTTTCTTCTGCATTTCTGCTGTGCAGCATGAATCTCAGCAAGAGTCTTCAAACTTCGAAAACCACCATTGCTTGGAATAAGTTCCAGCACGACTTCGCTCAGGACTGTGAGGGGGATTATTCTGCCGTGAAGGCGTCAGCCATGTTCAACAAACTTCATGATGAGCATGGCGGTGAAGGCTCAGAGGACTGGAAGGATCACTGCAAGAAGATGGTGGCACAGTTCAACATGGAGAAGCAAGAGGCGATCAAAGACATGGCTCTTGTTGATAACAATCAAGCAGTTGCCATGAAACGGCTTGAGGGAGAACTCAGGGGCACCATTGACCTTGCTTGACATGCAGGCATTTTTTGTTTTGTGGGTATGGTGTCTGGAGAACTGTCAAATGTCGCTGCACATGGAAGGAATATCATCCTTTTCAATGACTCCATCATGCAAAACTTTCTTCATGACCATTGCAAGCTGAAGCAGCTGGAAAGTGATTTCTATTCGTATGTTCTCACCCATTGGGGTCAAGGAGATGCAGTCATGAGAGAGAAGCAAGAGCTTTGGAAGCAAAAGCGGAAAATGGAGACTTCAACTTGCGACCATGCTTGCCAAGCATTTGGTCAGACGTTCAAGGGGCGCTTGTCAGAACCATGTGAGGTCTCACTGATGATAGCCATCGGTGACCAAACGTTGGCCACTACAGATATAGGCATCCTACCCATGACTGAGCTTTAGCAAGGGTCAACCTCACTGATCTCGAGGCCGAGGCTACCCAGGCAAGTGGGCTGGGATTTCAGCTTCAATGACTCAAGGAGGAGCGTTGCACCTCGTTCTCGACGCTGCTGTGGGGACAACTCCATGCACCGCAAAAAGTCGGATTCTGCGGAATTTGGCCACCAACATACACCACATACCCTCTGACGCTCCCGATGCTCATTCTATCACTATCCAACACTCCATAAACTCATTCCTTATTTTTCCATATTTTCCCCATCATTCCCGACAACCCCAAGCAAAATTCCCATGCCCAACCACGCCACCAATTTCACCCCCTCTCCAGACCTCCATACCCACACACACAACCCAGCCGTTTTTCCACCCAATAGTGATGCTCTACCTTCCTTCCTCACCCACGGAGCATTTCCCAGAATGGCAACCCCACACTCAGATGGTTCAGCATGGAGTAGAGTCTCACGTGGTCTTGACAGCACCTGTCAATGGCCACATCTCAAGAACTACTGCACCAAATGGGACGAATAGGGGCTCGTTGGAAAGCTGGAGACGAGGAGGTTGCTGACGGGAGGATAGGCGGGCGCTGTGGCGAAGTGTTGCAGAGTTAACCTTCACAATTTCCATTTCGGACCCGTTATCACATATTCCCCATTCATTCATTTTTCTTTTATTGTTTCTTTGTTCCCAATTGGATATTCATCATTTACGGTTGCCTAACGGCCCGTTTTCATTCCCCCAGTCCATTCATTCCATTTCCAACATATATAAACTAGATAACAGCTTGTACATAACAAGTGAGTATTGAATAGACCTGTGAAGGGACAAGCAGAAGTTGCATCCAAGTGGCAAAGATGCCATCCACGACCCTAACGCCCCCTCTGAGCTAGTTGCTCACGTCTAAGACCCTCACATCATAATACTCAGCCTTGACGTCCAAGAGAGATGTAGGTGAGTGTTTGTTTGAGGTTTTAGCAGACCTGGTAGCACCCCAGGACCAAAACCCGGCCCAACGAACCACACCCACGCACACTACCACCCTCCCCCTTCTCTCTGTCTCGAGTCTAGGCGATAGACCCGTTACAACGTCCCTGACATGGGGGCACTGGGTGAGGGTAGTGGGATCAGGTGGGCCAGACTGGGTGGAGTGGGGTCAGGTGGGTGTGCCCTGACAATGATGCTGTTGGTGGAGAAGCTCCAGCCGAAAGGTATGTGTCAGGGCACACCCGCCCTCACCCGGTATCCCACTTACCTTTATTCCTCACTGTTCCTCATTTCTTGTTCTTCCTTCCTTTTGTTCTTTTGTTCTTTCTTCTATCTTTATCTACATGGACAACCTTTCTCCATATCTATGTATTATTGACCTGCCCGCAACACGTGCATGACACACCTATCCCCAGACAACCTGGACAGCCTCATGGTGAAACCCAGCACACACCCTCAGGATCCCCCATGGGGACACCTGGGTGACTGCAGCTGTATGTGGGGTGATGTGGCAAACCTCATGTGACCCAAGCCGCATGTACATAAAAGTATCTGGGGTGGGAACCGAAGAAGTAACCTTCTTCTCACTATTCCCACTTCAGGTAAGTAGCATAGTTTCCCCTTTTAATAACAACTCACTATTCCCACTTCAGTCTGAGTGGCCAGGGACCATCGTCCCACATCAGGCCTGTCAGTACACATGCCCATTCCACACCCTGCAAGAGCCTCAGTGCCAGGCGTTACACCCAGGCCCCCTCAACCCCGGACATGTCCCTGACAGTATGCAGAGTATGGGAAGAATCCTTCCCTGAAGCTGGTGGATGTCATTCCTTGGAGTGCTGAGGATGGAGCTCGCATTCCAAACAGTAAGGACTACAAGGACATTGTCTTGCTTCAAGACAATCAAGGGGCTGGGGGTCATCAGGGTTGTGTGTTGTTGACCATATGTGATGTCTCTGGTCTTCTTTCAACAAATGAAGCACCTGGTTTGGCTGATATTCAGCTGACTACGTCCATTACGGCTGTTCAAAGTCCATGCTCCCTGCCGGCAACACTGAGTGTGTCTCCCTCTCACTTTCTGCCTTCAACTGTGACAGGATCAACGTCTGGGACTCTGGATCTGATGGCCAATGTACCACCTTTTGTGCTGCCAGCAGAGCTGCTGCCGCTATCTCACTCTTCATCCAGCATGTTTGACTTGCCGCTTTTAAATATGCTGACCTTCGGGACTGGTATTCCAACCTTGACTCACCACCAAACTACAGACATGAGTTTTGATGGTCCGGGGGACTTCGCTTGGTCTTAGGGCATAGAGATGTCCCTTTGCCTCCTCATTTGTTCTGTTGTTTGGCTGCCATTTCTTCACTTGCCCTATTCCTTCATTTTCTACTCACTTTTTACGTTACCTGATTAATCTGTTCACTCTGTCCAACTCTGTCATATCCATACCAACTCCACCTCACCTCCACTCTACTCCACCACAGCTCTGGTCCACCTCCAGTCCATCCTCCCCCCACACCTCTGCCATACCCTCCAGTTCACCTCCAGTTCACCTCCACCTCCAATCTCCAGTACCTTCTCTGGTACCTCTTATCCTCACCTTAAACGTTTATTAATATTTCTACCTACCCAATATTACTACGGACCTCCTAGGACCTCCGCCACCCCTGCAAAGGTTTTCCCACTCTCCAGTAGCTGTCACTAATCCCACCCTTCACCTACCCACTCCACAATGCTCGATAAGGTGATTCTCTCATGAGCTTGCCGACCCAGCAAGTGGGTAAGTCCCTCTTGGGTTTTCCCCTTTGTCCCCATTTGTCTTGTATTATGTATATAAGTCCTGTACTGTAGTTGATGGCACCTTAGTGCAAAATCAACAAACGACTATCCCCCAGAGTTCATGCCTCTCGTTCTGAAGTTAAGGACCAAACTCTTAAGCGTTACCAAACATAGCCACAGCACTCCTCTCCAAGTCACTGAGGCCATGGTCCTCCCACCCGTTCTCTACCTCCAGCCTCCTTCCGGGGAAGGTCCAGGGACACTGTCCCTCCTCACCATGTCTTTGACAAACTCCTTTCTTCTTCAATTATGTTAGAACCGGGCGGGAACAGACGACTCCGGAGTGGAATCAGAGACTTAGCGTGGAGGGACCTTGGCCTCAGCGACTCAAGCGGAGCGCTGTGCCATTGCTGTTTGTCCATTTGGTCCTTAATTTCACAGTAGGTGAGCAGGAAGTCTCTAGGGGGCATTTCAGGTCGATTTCGGACTAAAACCAAAACGAGTATGTACAAGCGCCGATATATAAAAGAAGGGGCAAAAGCACAAGGAGAACAAAGGGTAACCGAATCGGAACGAAGATGTCCGAACGGGAACAAAGGGTAGAAGAAGCGGAGCGGTACCAAAGGTCATAAGGCAGGACCTGTGATACATCCGAAAGGAGGTAGGGAGGGTGAGGCCCAGAGGGGCAGGAGGATGAGGGGAAGTGGGGATGATGACTAACTGGCTAGAATAGGAAGAAGCAGTAGTCCAAATAGGGGTGATGGGAAAACGCGAGAAATACATTACAAGCGGCGAGAGTGCCGAAGGCAGTCCGCGAAGCTCGGGGGTTGCAGAGCTTGCGGAGGTTACGGAGGCAGGGTTGAAAGTCCGAGGGATATTGGCAATGGTGTTTACGTAGTATGAGGTCACCAATGCAATGGACTAAGACCGAGGTGGAGTCAAAGTCCGAGGTAGGGACTATGATGGAGGCTCGGAGTAAGGTACAAGCAGTGTCCGAGTGCGAAGTACGGAACAGCGGTGGAAGGTCGTAACTTGGCGGAAGGGTGGCGGAGGAGTAACAGAGGGAGGAGAGAGGGGAAAGGTAAGGGAGAAGGAGTGGCAGGAAGGAGAGTAGTCAGGTCCGAAGGTGAGTATCGGAGCAGACGGGGAAGCGTAGGAGGATGATGGGGGGGTGGAGGTGTTGTGAAGGGGGAGCGGAGTAGTAGGAGGGTGGCGTGAGGGGCGGTGTTCGGTCCGAGATGGGTATCGGAGCAGATGGAGATAGGGTCGGGGAGGTAAGGAGGAGGTGTGTTGCCAGGACCGAGGGTGAGTATCGGAACGGCAGCGGTAGGTTATGACTCCGGAGGTGAAGAGGGTGGAGGTCCGGAAGTCGGGTCGGGGTCGGGTATGCACGGATATGACAAATTACACTCATGCTACTTATTTACATGTTAATTGATTCACTGTCTTTTCAGGGCCTCACCCCTGGCTGAGCAAGGTGGCGCTGCGAGCGACCACTTATGCAAGTGCCAGACCCCCTGGTCTTCATCTGTCAATTACTCCATGGCTTTAGAGTGCACTTTGGCTGCTTGACATGACCTCGCATCAGAAGCAAATCTCACCCCTCAACAATCACTCAGACAGCCGCCAGACTGCTGGTACATGGAATTTCTTTTATCATCAAGGTTTGCACTTTATCCTTGACTCAAGTTCAGACGATGCAAATGTACTAACTGTATCATTTGATTCAATGCCACCTTGGACAACCGATATCTAGACCTATAGAGGGGGGTTCTCAGGACGTTTGAAGAGGGCCTAGAGGCCTCTTTTGTATGGGAACATCCTAGGACATCCTGAGATGTCCTGACAATTCACTCTCAATTCAAATGTTCAAGTAACAATGTCCTTAATTCACAATCCACTTCTGGAGCTGTGTGCATGCAGAATCATGAGTTGGAGTAATAATACAAAATAAAGAGGCGATTGAGAGGAATTTATCGCAAAAGACCCGATGGCAAATGGTTGAGAACTGATGGAGAAATGTGTGATTCTCGGTTCACTCAACACCGCACGGGAGTGGCATGCGTGGGAAATGACATGCAAGGTCAAAGTTCAGTGCCTCTCAGATGTCAAAGAAATACGAAAAAATATGTCAAGTTTACTTTGAGGACATGTATTGTAGTGCACAAACTTTCAGGACATTTGGACTACTATTCAGTGAGATAGGGGAAATGCACAATGTATTCCCTGCTCCTCCCATACTATCTTGCTCATTTCTCCACCATTTGGAATGAGACCAGCTGCGTTGGAAAGCTAAGGTTTAGTATAGTTGAATGGTGTAAAGTTAGAACAGTTATGGGGAGCGGTTGAGGCTTCCAACACAAGTTTGGGTTTCCAGGCCACTTTCTTATTGTTCTGTCTTTTTCAATTTCTTTTATTAGTGTTTTCCATTTCTTAAACCCAATTGGAATGTTCTTGAAGCTACCATAGCATATTATTTCTGTTTGTTTCTACAGGGAAAGGTTCATACACCACAAAATAACTATTTTTATGGATTTTACACTGTAGCCACACAGCACACAGGCCCGGTCTTGCCTCCATTTGCACATCCATTTAAGACCCACATTACTCGCTCTTTCTAATTTTTTTTCTATTTTTCTGAAACCATTTTCAGTTCCTAAGCAGGATTCTCATGCACAGCATAACTTTCAACTTCTTACTCGACGGTCTCCACAACTACACATTTACTGAAGAAATTTCACGTTGCCCCATGGGACTTACTCCGTGAGATCCAACTGAATGATACAGTTAAGGTCACAAGACAAGGACATAAAATCATGGACAAGCCTGGCATCGAAACCAGGACCTCTCAGTGTGCTACCATTACACAACTCACCCATTTGACCATGCCGGTATAGGCTGTTAAACTCTATACCGATGGGAACAGATATCCATTCTCCAACATTTACACCCAACGTTCTTATGCTCGATCGATAGAGCACGATTAGCTCTCCTACCATGCCAATTTTCGTGCTGAACGGACAAATATTAGTAGAGATTCTGATTCAACACCATGCTGAATCTCACGTGGACTTGACAGCACCTGTCAATGGTGGTACCTCAAGAACCACAGGGCCAATTTGAATAAAATTGAGCTTGTTGGAAAGCTGGAGGAGAGGAGAAGTTAGTGTGGCTCAAAAAAAGGCATGGAAAGGGACAGTTTGGTTTCACGTTGACCTTCTTTCATATCAGGCTGCTCCAGCAGTATTTCCCCCATTTCTCCCCCATTTCTTCGTCGATTTACACATATTTTGTATCATTGGAAAGCTGTTATCAAAATGAGTCGAACTAGTCTGTAGCGGAGAGATTTGGTTCAGCCGTTGTGAAGATCGTCAACTTTATTCATTGTGTTGCCATCAATCGGCATAACTTGCAAATATATTGACAAAAATGCCATCGATTTCTCTCAAACTTGGTACTATAGGAAGAATATTCTCCACGGGCACTCAGAATATTTTTCCATACTTTTAAGGCTCCTGAGAGACTCTGAATGTCGACTTTTTCCCTTTTCCCACACAATCCATGTTCGGTGAATATTCATGACAACACATGTTAGAACTTGAATGTGGTAATATATATGCTTACATGCGACATAACATGTGTGTTCTTCATTCTGATACCTAGCTATAAGGTTATGCATTTCCTTACAGAATGTTAGCCAGAGCTTGTATGTACTTGTAAGCGATGGATTTTCCAAATCGGTGGAGATTTGACAGAGATGCCAGCCTCTCAAGCTGTCATATCCGTGCATACCCGACCCCGACCCGACTTCCGGACACCACCCTCTTCACCTCCGGAGTCATAACCTACCGCTGCCTTTCTGATACTCACCTTCAGTTTTGGCAACACACCCCTCCTCTTACCTCTCCGACCCCTTCTCCGTCCGTTCCGATACTCATCTCGGACCGAACATCGCCCTACTCGCCACCCTTCCTACAACTCCGCTCCCCCCTCACAACACCTCCACCCTCCCATCATCCCCTACGCTTCTCCGTCCGTTCCGATATCCACCTTCGGACCTGACTACTCTTCCTTACCTGTCCCCTCTCTCCTTCTTCCATCACTCCTCCACCACCCTTCCGCCAAGTTACGACCGTCCACCGCTGCTCCGTACTTCACACTCGGACACCGTTCGTACCTTACTCCGAGCCTCCGTCATAGTCCATACCTCGGACTTTGACTCCACCTCGGTCTTAGTCCATTGCATTGGTGACCTCATACTACGTGAACACCATTGCCAATATTCCTCGGACTTCCAACCCCGCCTCCATAACCTCCGTAAGCTCCGCAACCCCCGAGCTTCGCGGACTGCCTTCGGCACTCTCGCCATTTGTAATGTATTTCTCGCAATTCCCCCTCATCCCTATTTGGACTACTGCTTCTTTCTATTCTAGCCAGTTAGTCATCACCCCCACTTCCCCTCATCCTCCTGCCCCTCTGGGCCTCGCCCACTCTACCTCCTTTCGGTTGTATCACAGGTCTTGCCCTATGACCTTCGGTACCGCTCCGCTCCCTCTAACCCTTTGTTCCCGTTCGGACGTCTTCGTTCCGATTCGGTCACCCTTTGTTCTCCTTGTGCTTTTGCCCCTTCCTTATATATATCGGCGCTTGTACATACTCGTCTGGTTTCAGTCCGAAATCGACCTGAAATGCCCCCAAGAGACTTCCTGCTCACCTACTGTGAAATTAAGGACCAAATGGACAAACAGCAATGGCACAGCGCTCCGCTTGAGTCGCTGAGGCCAAGGTCCCTCCACGCTAAGTCTCCGATTCCACTCCGGAGTCATCCGTTTCCGCCCATCTCTAACACAAGCTACCCATAGTAGGTGCATACTGGATATGGTTATCTACAATGGCTTGTAAAATCTCCAAAATCTTTATAAGCATTAAAAATCCCCTTGAAAGCACCATGGCAGAGTATAATGCTCGAAATCATTGAGAAACATTGGCCATTCCCCTGCCTTGGCCCTAATTCCCTTAATATTCGATTATCTTTTCCATTTTCCTGTCTACTATTTATGTAAATAGCCATATGTACAACATCACGGGGCACATAGTTATCAGGACATCCTCATATTTTCCCACAGTCCATTTTTGGCAGCAAGTCGCATCACCAGGATGTCCCAGGATGTCCACATTGAAATAGGCTGTTTAGGCCCTATTTGAAGCATAAAAAACACCCCTTGATAGGGTGGGTTAATTGGCTGACTAGCCTGTCAACGCACCAACCTATGTTTATTACAATGCAATCTGATGGCTCACGTTGTAGGCGGGATAATCACCCACGCACAGAGCCGGCTCAGATACCCGCTTCCAACATTCAGAAACCACTTCCATTCACGCGACAACTCGATATGAATTTGGTACCCAAAAATAGTCCTAATTCGTACGGTTCTGACGATATCAAGAACGTCCCAATCGGAGGAGATTTGACGGAGTTCCATGTTGGGCAAGTTAGGCACGGGCATGTGCGGGCGTGGGAATCTCAAGCGGCAACCCAGAATTCCAGCCTCACTCGTTCCCACGGCGTCTAATAAATTGGTAAAAATGCTCATTGGCTGCATAGTAGTTCTATTCAGTCACATTTCCAATTTCGGCTCATAATTCCGTAAATCCGTTGAGATATCGCTTATTTTCTTATATTTTCATATTTTGCCATCATTTCAGATATTGATTGATATTCTTTTATTGTTACTGTTACTCTTTTTATTATTTCGCCTAATAAGGTACCCAGGTGCCATATGGCACCAATATTTGCCATCTATTATTTCTAAAAATAATTATTTCTTATAATCCTGTACATACCGGATTTTGGAATAGAAGTTCTCCCCTCCCCCAAATTCTCTAAGGTGCTAGGACGTGCTAGAGAGGGTGTGAGTGTGTGGAATTCCAACAGTAGGAATAAGGGCAGCTGTCTAGCTCACAACGAGTGAGTAGTGGACGCTGAGCCCGGACCTTGCGGAAATCCCGGAGAACCCACACGGAGTTTAAGGATCGAGAGTCAAGCGAAGTTTAGAGAGAAAGTAGAGAGTTTAGGAGAGTTTGGCCCCACGAGCTTAGTCGGCATAGAGAGCCGCTAGCCCTCTTGCAACGTCATGAATTACAACATCGCGATGCCATCCACACTATCTGATCACCAAATACCCTGCTGACACAATGCAACCTCCTGTGAATATGAACTTTGATATCACTGGAGTCATTCCACAATCAATGATCAATTCTTCACAGTAACTAGATCCTTCGGTCCTCCTGCATGCCCTGCAACACCATTCTCTCTTTGCTCAAAATGTGAATTTGCGTTTGAATTCCCTGCTTCACCATCTGACTCACAACCTGAAATAGAAAAAGAATTGAGATAACCATGAAGTCTCTGCATGAACGTGCCAACACGAAGACAATCACGGGACCTACATGGTCGTACAACACAGGAGAGTACACAGCCGAAGGCTCCCTGGCCTTGTCACATATATACGTCATGATCGCAAGGCAGCGATGTACAAGCGATGTGCTGATTTTCCATGGGACTTCTTTCATACCCCCGTTATTCTTACTTCCGCTGATGATGGTTGCACAGAATGTGTTCTGTAAGCTCATAGGAACTGGTGCTACGATGCACACACTTCCTGACTACTGTAAGCTTCTCAGGTCTAGAAGCTAACCATCACCGCATAGATTGCTCTGAAAATTGTTCATCATACTGTTTATTATTCATGTAACGTTATAACACGTTGTTGCAGTAATATTCGGTTAGCTGGTCATTCACTCCTAAAGGAAAATCTTACTGGTCGTTTGGTAGGGAAGATTATTTTTCACTCTCCAAATATAACAGGGTCTAACTCTTTCATAACCGGTTGGGTTTGACCTCCTTTTCTCCTCCGCACTTACGCTCGAGACTCCTAACTCACATTACTCAGCCACTCACGCCGTACTCATACTGCCCGCAGTGCTGAAAGTCAAATGCGATTGTGGAGTGCCTTCACCCCAATTACTCTACTTCCCGTTGTCACGGCTGGTTTTCTTGTTGGCCAAATGACTTTCGACCAGACACAACCTCTTGGCCAAATGACTCCCAACCAGACACAACCTCTTGGCCAAATGACTCCCAACCAGACACGATCGTTCGTGGCCATAGTCCCTTCATTTGGTAGTTCATATGAAGGTAGGTAAACCAAAACTTTCTCCTGGTCTTAACCTATGTTTTCCCAACAGACACTTGCACCTGGGCATTGAAGTACCACGACGACCACGGCCAAAATGTGAGCTATGGGAAATTCATGGAGGTCTTTGGGCTTTGCGAGGTTGATATTGGAGTAAATACTGAGGCCAACTTTTGGATTGCCTCCAATGGCGACTTTGGACATTGTGAGACTGTTCCATACCAGGAACAGAAATGTTTGAGGGGGGATGGCAAGTTATGGACATGGACGGTTCTGAATAATTGCAATACTACAGCCATCTGCGGGGGCCAGTAGCGATCCATGTAGATACTTAACGATTTAGCGAGGCTGGAGTCCTGCCCAGTAGAAGTTATAGTGCATCTGCATCAATGCCACGTCAGCAGAAAAGGCATTCAAATGATAAAGGCAATAGAGCAGGCTAGTAGTATTATCATGAACGAGGGAAGGTGATATTTACATAACGAAGACGTATGGTTCCCAACAACTGGATCCCAACTTAAGAGTTTTGATAATTTGTTCAGACTGCAGACAGGAAATGATGCGTAGACTCGTGACGTCCAGAGAGAGCGTCAAAACTCCACGATGTCTCGGTGCCTCAAGATGGACTCAATAGTCGGGTAAGTTGTAAGATACCCCGCGTTGTGTCCCCTCTCATGCGCATAGCAAGGGTATGTGGGGTTAAAGTTTAGGGCTTGTACAGTCGTGGGACCAGCGGGACCACCGTACGAAAACAGCAGATCGAATGGGGGCGGCCGAACAAGCGTTCGTGACAAGGCTTGGCGACCACAGCGGGGCACAATGGATGGCCCTTCGACGCGACTGGTCATTATCGCTGTTGTGTAACAAAATAATATTTCACACCGTGCCCAATTGGGAAGAAAGTATTGATTGAACTCGCTCACCGTCCATGGCGATGGGTGATGCTGTGTATCGGTAGTTCCCCATTTCCATTTTCTGCCGAACACCCACGATGGGTTTCTGAGAACCAATCGTTACCCCATCGACGAGAGTTGCACCATTGCTTGGGCAAGAAATGAAGCCTTGACCGCCGCTCCAACGCCGAGGTTGGCCAGGGAATGAAGCCACTCTTGGGGGAGTGTAGTCCTCCAGCAAGCATGCTGCATGCGGGGAAGCTGAAAGATACTCTTCCACAATGGCAGAAAACGCCGGTAGAGGGGGTACTGAATATTGAAATTGCTCAAGAATAAGGATCTGGTTGCCCAATTTGTTTCTTGGATCGCTGTTCCACGCAGCAATAGCCTCTGTGACCATTCGCTCCCGAGGATCCTTTTCCTATAACCCCTGGTGTCAAAAGAGCGCTGTCGTTAGGGACAGTAGTACACACCGCTAGCCATATGGACCGGCTCTGTCCATCACTTTGCAAGCATTGGAGACGAACATCCGAGCATTCGTCACATGGATATCCGGAACCCCCAATGCGCCTCGTACATATCTGTGATCGGGTAGCGTAGATAACGTACGCACCAGTATACATAAGGCTCCTAAGAAGCGTACCTTCCTGCGAACTTGACATGTAAAGCACGTATTTTCGCTCTTCCCCACTGTCCCCCTTGAAGAACTTGTTCCAGGGATAAGATAATTCAAACTCTCTCTGGCTTGCTCTAGTTCATTCATTCCCGTTGAGACTGGGGCATGTTGATCCTCTTCGACCCATTTCAGTTCGTTCGTTGCTGAGGTGGGGAAAACATGATACTCTTTGTCCATCGGCTCATTCGTCGTTGCAGAAATGGGAGCACGTTGGTCAACTTTGATCCGATTTAGTTCGCCTGTCGTTGGAAAGGGGTACAATTGACTTTCTTGGCACCCCTTTTGGCCCATTTCCGAAACAGAAGAAAAATGACTCTTTTCGCCCCTTAGACTGCTTGTTGTTGACATGAGAGGAAGTTGACCTTCTTCGGTCTGTTTAGTTTTGGGCGCTGTTGAAATGGGTGAAGTTTGACTCTTTCTGCCCTTCGATTGATTGGTTACTGTTGAAACGGGTTCGCCCTCTTCGACCTGTTTTGATCCGTTCGTTCTTGAAGAAAGAAAAAATTGGCTTTCTGTACCCTCTGGTTCATTCATCGTTGCAGGGTGACTAAGCTGGCCTTCGATCGGTGTTGGTTCCTTCGTTAAGGAAGGTAACGCAAATTGAAGTTGCTCGAGATTAGGGATTTGTTGGCCCAATTTGTTCCTTGGATTGCTGTTCCACGCAGCAACTGCGTCCACGACCATGGAATCCGTTTCCTATAATTGCTCGTGTGAATAAACTATATTGGGGAGGACAGCAATGTACTCGCCGCTGGCCACGCGGGTCGACTTTGTCCATGGCTTTCCAGGCATTGGAGGCGGAGAATCGAGGATCGGTCTCGTGGAGATCCGCGAGATTCACTGTGCCTCATACATTTCTGTAGTTGGGCAGCATACACGACGCATGAACTGAGATACTTAGGCTCGTTAACGACGCACCTTCTTGCAAACTCGACATGTAAAGCACTCGTCATTGCTGTCCGCTCCAGGCTCCTCCACATTCGGTGTTGTCGAAAAAGGAGTTGGAGAGACCTCACTGCCCTGTCCAGGTACATTGGTCCCTACTACAACGGGATAAAGCAGGTCCTCTTCGCTCCTATTCAGGCGCTTCATTGTTGAAAGGGGAGAGCTTCGACTTCCTTTGTGACTCTTTGCTTGAATCGTTGTTGAAACCGAGGAAGCTTGGTCTTCTGGGCCGCATTCTGGCTCACCCGTTGGAGCGGGGGGAACTGGAGACTCTTTGCGCTTACAGCTGAAGAAGTTTCTGATGGATCGCCATCGACGTTTCAACTTCTCAAAACGAGGGCTGGCCATGCCTGATCGTTAGCAGTATGAATGGTCCCAGTCATGGTGGAGAATCAAGATGGCAGGGTGCATAAGGAGAAAAGGGGGTTGCGCAATATTCTCGATTGCCAGAGCAATGCCACACGTAGCCAAATGTAGTGCCAGAGTTGAATTTGGTTACTCCTATTTCATCTGTGGAACATATATGGAGCAGGTAGCACGCCTACGTTAGGAGGCAGATGAGGGGGGTTCTTGGCTTTAGTTTTCTTAAGGCGCCACACTCCAGGGGTTTCATATGGAACATTCTTCGACAGTTCTTTATCAACAACGGCAATAAATTCTCTGGAGCAATGCAGAGTGACACGCCCCAACAAACGCTTCGGTGGAGCGAAAGGAGGACCCTTTGTTGTTCGGTGGTGAGGGGCGGAGAGTCATATCCATCGAGGTTGAACCTCAGCCGTTGAGCTGAAGCGTGAGAATATTGCGTTGCATTCATCGCCGAAATTTTCAATTCAATCTGCTTGTCCCGACTTGTGGCCCCGTTCGCAGGCTAGAGCTAGTGCTGTTGGTGAATAACAGCGTTAAGGTACTAGCGTTATGAGCACGAGCGCGCATCAAGTTCCCCTTAAGACATCTACGTTCCCTACCCTCCCCAAAGCTACCAAATCATCGTCTTCATCTAAGCGCCAAAAGCGCAGCACAGGCCAAAGCGAGGACGTGGTCGGTGGGAATGGGGATGGAAGCAGGAGCGGAAGCGGTCGCCAGCCGTCTCCCTTTATGCTCGCCGATGGGTGTGAAAACCCAAGGGAAGTTGCCAGTCCTGCCGCTACCGGGCCTTCCAATGGCAACCTTGCGGTTGGTTGCGGGAGTCCCGGACTACTTTCTAATGATTATCTTCAAAAACTCGCAGCTATGGGGGATATATATTATAAACCCCGACCAGGAACCAAGGATTCTGCCCTGTCTTTACTGCTCAAAGACCACACCAGTGCAGTTACCTCGGACGCTACTGCTCCTACTGGGTCTGATACTACTTCATCTACTGGGCCTACATTTACAGTTGTAGCCGGTTCTTATGAAAAGCTTCTTTACGGCCTCAAAGGAACGTTCGCATCTGCATCGTCATCCAAACAAAAGCATGGAAATTCCCCTTCATCCTCAATATTGTCCCAATTTGGCGAAGTGTCATTTGAGCCATTGTTCATCTTCCCTGCACATATTGGATGCGTTAAGGCCGTAGCTGTAAGCCCTGAACATTGGAGGTGGCTGGTAACTGGAAGTATGGACGAGACGATTAAAGTCTGGGACCTGAAACGAAAGAAGGAGGTAGGAGGCCTCATGCAACATACGGGTGTGTGCCCCCTCCTCGTATATTGATGACTTTACTCCTTACTGATGGCTGTGTTGTCGCCGTCTTGTGTGCTCTCGGGGATCAAATGATCTGTCAGGTTCAATCACACAACTCGCGTTTCCTACCCGGTCACACGTCATGTCGTCCTCGGAAGACGGGACTATCGTTCTTTTCCGTACACGCGAATGGTCCGTCCTACGGGTTTTCAAGGGTCACACAGGCCGCGTGAATTCTTTCGCCGTTCATCCTTCTGGTAAAGTTGCGCTGAGTGTAGGAAAAGATAAGATGTTGCGAATGTGGGATATGATGAGGGGCAAGGGAAAGGGGGCAACGAAGCTTAGTAAAGAAGCAGAATGTGTGAGGTGGGATACGAATGGAACAAACTTTGCAATCGCTGCTGGCAATGGTGTCGATATTTACACTACGGTGAGTCCTTTACTTTGAAGTCCGCGTGTTAGTGTGTCATATTTTGCCCTTCGTTCTCTATGAAAGGCGATGACTGTGGTGACGACGATCAACCACCCATCACGAATCCACGAGATCCGATTTATCAAGCATCCTTCACATTCATCCACAAGGGATCTTATCTTCATCGCGGCCGAGGACAAAAAAATTTCTGTTTACGAACCACAAGAACACCCTGCCACCGAAGAGGGGATCAGCGAGGCTGGGTTTCGATCAACTTGGAATTACGTCCTCAAAGCCGAGCTCATTGGTCACAACAACAGAGTAAAGGCATTTGATACATTAGTCGTATCGATGCCTTCCACGGATTCGAAGGATGACACCCCATCCTCAACGAGAATATTGGCATCGTGCTCGTCTGATGGAAATATTCATATTTATGATCTCGCTCTTCTCCCTGCCCCATGTTTCTCCCCATCCAACCTCTCCACTCCTGGGACCAATATAAAAGAACCCAACTCCAGCAATAGCCCAATATTGAAATTGAGGCCGATCGGAGTTTATGACACAAAGGGGACACGGTTAACATGTTTGACACTTGCGGAGGGGGAAGCAAAGGAAGTTGCTGAGTTGCCGATTTCGGTTGGTAAGAAGAGGGGAAAGAAGAGGAAGTTAAGAGAAATCGAGGATGAGGATGAGGATGAGGATGAGAGTGGAGATGAGGGTGAAAGGGAGGGCGGGAGCGAAGAGAGTGAGGGCAAGAGTGAAGGTGAGGTTGAGGTTGAACGTCAGCAGGGCAGTGCTGAGCGTGTTTCAGAGGTGCAAGGTGGGCTTGATGGCGACGATGAGGAGGACGATGACGATGACGCGCAAAGAGAAAATGAAGGACAGTGGCAACAGCAGCTAGACAACGTCCCAAAGAAATTTGACAAGGTGAAGACTAGACTCAAAGCGAAGGCGAGAGTTAACGCGAAGGCGGGTTTGAAGGAGAAGGCGAGAGTAACGGCGAAACGCATTGAAAAGAAATGAGGGATTGGCAGGATTGAGGGACCGAGATGAATGGAGGTTGCGCGGGTGCCTCGAGGGAAGGGGTGGATGGAACAAGTAGTTGTCAAAATGGTCCCGTTCTCAGATCATCGAATTCGTTTTATTCTCCGTGATTGGATGGAATCCGTCTTCTTTCTTACCATTTGTCTGGGACTATATCAATTGCATCTAACACAGCAGTTTGGGGCCAATACCCGTAAACCAATGTGGTTGGGAGCCAAAAGAATTTGATTGGATTATACGCTACATAAAGTCAGCAGCCCTCATCCTTCCTGGCCGCTTTGATACATCTTGAGTATGTAGTGATGGCAGGGAGGTCAGGTTCACGGTAGTGTTCACGATTGAGGAAGCCTCCTTCTCCACCCATTCCATTTCTTCGTCGACCTCGATCGCGGCAGCGGGATGCCCAGTTACGGCGTTCTCCCTCTCTGTTCCCCGATCACCTTCATGTTCTTTGTTTCGCCCTTTCTTTTTGTCCCTCTTTCCTACAGCCGGGGCAATGCTCAAACCTTCTTCATCAAGATCAAAAGAAACGAGTGCTTTCCGTCTTTTCTTGGAGGTCGAGCCGTGTTTTATTGAATCAAATTTGCGCGATGAAATCCTACCCTCTCTCTGGGATTTTGGGACAAACTTTGGATGGAATGTGGATGCATCAACGGTGATGTTCCGGCCAGATGGATTCGATGAAGTTGATGGAGGGATCAACGATGGAGTACTGGGCCCCGATGGTCCACTCCCGGATTCTGGAGAGAACAAGGTACTTGATGTGTCAACGGGTGCATTCACATGCGCAACAATTTCCCCATCATCATCGCTCTCCTCGTCACTTGCAAAAATAGCTTTGAAGATGTCCATTGATGGGCGCTGATACGTCAGTGTATCCTTGCCCTGGTTGTCGTCTTCGCCGAGGCCAATGTTCGAGATATCTTTAGGACCGGACCGAGTTGCCGATCCGGACGGCTCGGCAGTTGAAACAGACAGAACGGTTCCTCCTAGGGATGCGGGATCCCATGAGGATGCCTTGGATGACTTTGAAACTTCCTCAGAGGAAGCAGCAGCAAGAGGGCCTTCCTCTCCACCGCCAGCGTCCAGGCGAGGAGTTTTGATACCCATGCGCTTGCACAGTAGTCGAGCGGGCGCCCATTCTTTCACTTCTCTTGTTAACTGCCCATACATGCCTAATCGCGCGGCATTCTGCTTTGGAGTCTCTTCGTTTGGCTCCTCCTTGGGCTGGGCAGCTTCTTGTTCGACTGGTGGTGCTGATGTGAGGCTGGGCCTGGACAAACCTCCTTGGAGCGTTGGTCCTGCCTCCACCACAGAAGCACTGGTGAAACGATTTGCCATTGCTCCACTCATTGGTTTGAAAATCATCGCAGCTTTTGCATAACTCTCTAACTCGGCATTGAAATCTTCGTTTGACTGGCCAGGCCGAGGGGTGGGGGGAGGTATGTAATCAGGGGAGTTGGAGGGATAGAGTTGGGATTGAATGTAGGTTGTATACCGGCTTTGTTTCGATTCATCTGTACTAAATGGTTGGAAGCCTCTCAAGGCTGCCTGGGCGATCGCTGGTTCGAGTGGGGGGGTAACAATGGCGACGGATGCAGATGATGGTGGTGCTCCATCTCCAACACCAGCGTTTCGGATACCTTGCAGTCGCTCTCTATCCTTCTGAGACAAATAATCAAAGACGGAACGTGGCTGTTGATTTGGCACCCCAATCTCCCCTAGTTGTTCCCCGCGCTAAAAATTGAGTTGGTAAGATTTCAGGCAAGGGCATCTGCGACCTGTGTTATTCACAAACCTCGGCAGCCGTTTTCCCACTGGCAGTCCACCTTAAGTCATCGGGGCGGCGCGGTACCTGGTGTTCGACCCCAGACCTAGGATCTGATTGTGGTGTCAAAGCCCATACGCTTGAGGGGTCCGGTTTCCAGTCCACTGGCACATCTGGGATTTTAAACCTGTGGGGCACTCAGTAAGGAAGAAAGATATTAGGTTTTGTGAACTACCAAGTAGTTTCAACGAGCGCCTTGTCTACTAGCACAAATCCTGGAAGGACTGCACGCCCATCATGAAAGGTACGGGTGCTATTGGTAGGGGCGGCCTGTGGCTCTACGACCTGACCCCGGTCATGATTGTGACCATCAGTTACAAGCTTGTTATCCCTCCCGTCCATGTCATAGGCGAGACGAGTCGAGGCACGCTGGCCAGGCCCCGTATCGTAGATGTCCAAATCATCCTCCTCAGCTTCATTCAGTGCCCCCAGGCCAAAGCCGGCTGTGTCTCACGCATCAGAACGAAGCACCAAAAGGAAAATTAACATGTCACACCGCTAATCCTAGGCCTCGACTGGTTCGATTCAGCGGCAGCGCCTACCATGTCGGAAAGGCTTGTTCCAGGGAGATACCCGATGCCAAATAAGTTGCCTTTGGGCTGTAAATTAGTCAGTTTCGTGTCCCTGGGTGCATATAGATGCTTTCTAGCCTCCTCGTCCTCCTCGTTGTGCTCCAGGACCGAGGAGGTGAGAAGAGTCGATGATGCCAGATCCTGCTTTCTCAGTTGTTCATATGTCACTCGCGGACCTACTCCCTGACCAACCCGCCAGCCCAGCTTCTTTAGCAGTTGCGCACCAGCGGAATCTTGTGGAGGAGGCAAGATAGAAGAAGCAATTGTACTGGCCATAGGACTAGTTGCATGTAAGACATCAATATAAACGTTAAGTAAGTGGCGGCTTACTCGTCCTCAGAGAGAGGAATGCCGGCCCTCTTCCGCATTTCAACTTCAGTTGTTCCAAATAAATCCATCTGCTCAGATGTATCAACCATCTTCTGGCTCTCCCTCAATTCTTCAAGGTCTTCTTCATCCATAAAATCCTCAGGACGAGAAACCTTATTTTGAGCTCGGGCCGTCCTTGATGACTTGAAGGTCGAAGGTGTCCATCCTAACAAAGGCGCAATTGCTGAGCTTTCATCTAATAAACGCTTAAGACAAACGCAGGCTGACCTTCTTTCGAGCCCACGGTGTTGTAGTACCCTGCAGAAAAACCGCCTTGAAATGCACCGTGAAGGCGCCGTCTACCTTTTTCATCTCGAGCCTTCAGCCAGCGCCACAATATGAGATCATTCAGGCTTTTGAGTGAACCCCACTAGCAATGTTACCTCCTGTTTCCACACTGGCACGAACTCATTTTTATCCTTTGACTTCTCAAGCGGTGGCAGAGGCGTGCCAATCTATGGAGACGCACAGACTCTGTAAATCTTTGGAACCAACGAAATCACAATATCTCACAAGACAAAATGACTCCGTTGCCTTTGGGCTGGATGCATCTACGCCGATACTGTCAAGCTTGCGCTTTAGGCGGCTCGTCATTTCAATTGAGTCTCACCAAGACCACGTGAGAATATTATTTGTCTGTCGGAAAACACGGAATTTCGTTTTAACGCGTTAAGAGCTCTCAACGCGTTTCAACGCCTTATTGATCCGTTCCAACGCTTTATTAATTCGTTCCAACACTTTGCTAGTCCGTTCCAACGCTCAATGCAAAAATCAAATTGTAAATACTCAGCCCCGCTGTAAACATCCCTGTTCACAAACGCATGGACGCACTTCCCCTTCACTGCCAACCACGGCTGCAGCAACTGTACACTCACATTTCCATACCCTGTACTTCCAAGCCACATGGGAGTCCCCCATACTCAGGCAAACACACGTTCCATGATCCATTGCCACAAATTACCTTCACTTGCTTCACATCGATGACGTCTACCTACTTGACGGTCAAGCCACTCTCACAGCGAACGACCACTTCAGCAAGTGACAAATCCCCAACAACCCCACCGTTCTCTTCCTGTGTCATTTTAACCAGTGGGGTTCCATATGGGAGGCCGGGCGCTGAGTCGTAACATGTCATTCAGGGACAGCATGGACAACGATTCCGACCACACACAGAGTGCACCCCCCATCAACTGTCAGTGTCCAGCATAGGAATCTTCCTTTATCGCTCCATGTTCCACCACCCTCAATGTCCACCGCACATTCTTATTTAAGCCACTTCGTTCACTGAGTTCTGATTTGTGTTTGCACTCATGTTCTCCTCAATACCACTGCTGAAATGAACAACAATCACGTTCAACTTCGTTCGAATTCTAACTCCACATAGCACCACCATTGAGAGCCACAATGAGTTAGACCTCAATCCCACAGCGGGTGTACACATATTGAGAATACTAAGTAACTTAGCCCATATACACTCAAAAGGCCTATGATTGATACAACTTTATGTCAACATATCAGCGCGGAGCTGAGAGTGCATGGTAGTGTAGCGGTTATGAATGTACTTACTATAATGATCACAGTGTTCCTTGGTTCAATTCCCACCTGTACCAACCATTTAATGATATTTAGTTCTGGTCCTATTCCGAAATGTGAGTCACCAAAATCGAGGATAATGTGTGGGGATGTAATGAAGTGAAGGTATGCTTCAATCCTGGCTTGCAAGGGGTTGTCTCTTTTTGTTGACCCTACCTTGTTGCCGTTGCAACGCGTTGAAACGGAGGCAAAGCGTTACAACGCCTCGAAGCGTTGGAACGATCGAGTTCAGTGTTGAGAGCGTTAGAACGGCACGTGCCGTTGAAAGGCGTTACAACGCCTTGTAACGGGTTACAACGCTTCCGCAGTGTTTTCCGACATCAGTGAGTCGTAGAGTCGTAGCGGGTATGAGCTGAGACATGTCACTTGCGCCAATTCACACCCGCAACACCTTTGTTTGAATAATGATAACAAAAGCAATCGTTAAATTGTCAAGTCTCGCGGTTTAGCTTGAGCCTTTCAACATCGCATATAACACACAGTCACTTCCTGTTTCATGAAGGAGGTGGTGGCGGAGGTGGATCGGAAGGGGCCGGAGGTGGAGGCACTGGCGAACCCTCTGGTTGAGAAGGTGCCTGCGCTCCTTGTTGGGCGTAGGCAGCGTAATAGGCAGCGTACTGTTCCTGTGCCTGCTTCTGCCATTCCTTGAAAGCATCAGAATTTGTGTCGTAACCATATGCGGCCCTGTGGGAAACTGTGAGAGGTATCCCACCAAAAAAACTCGAGGCACATCACGCACCAGTAAGCCGTCCAGTCTTGCTGAGAGCCAGGAGATGTTGAAGCCGATGGGGGGCCTGTTCCAGCCCCTCCAGGTGGTGGTGCAGTTCCGTCAGGTGGTGGCGGTGGCGGTACGTCGGAGGGTGGTGGTGGTGGTGCGTCGGCGGGAGGTGGAGGCGCATATCCCTATCTCTCGATATGTTCAGTAACCCACAGCGATGGGAAAAACGATACACACGTTGTAGGCGTTATAGGCTGCGTACTGGGCCTGGGCTTGTTGCAGCTCCATTTGCTGTTGATCCATTATTGCCTTCGCCTTTGCCCACTCGGCGCGGACCACTTCGAGGAGATCCTCCGTCAAGACCTTCGCTCTATCCACCTGCCCCTCATCCGGACCCCTGAAAGGGAGGTCAGAGAGAGCATGACACCAACTAAACAGGATACAAACGTGATGTGAATATGCATTGGCTCGTCCGCTTCCTTTTGCGTGTCGGCCTCAACAAAGCCGGAGCCAAGCCCTTTTATTTGCACCCTCGTCCCTGTTTCTTGCTGGATGTACTTCACGAAGGCGCCCTGCAGGTAAATGACCCCCAATTTAGACCCAGGCAATCCGGGATCATCCATACGCACCTGAGGACCGACAACCTTGGCCCGCACGTTAAATAGTCGAATACTTTCAAGACCGACAGCTAGCTTCGCCTCAGGCCATTTTCGCTAAAGAGATGGTGGATGAGTAGATCATTCGGATGTGGGTTGGGCTATACTTGCTCGTTGGGGTCGGTCATCCTTTTTTTCGGTTAACCCGAGTTCCATGGCTATGATCTCCTCCACCTTCTCCCTCGCAGCATTCAGCTGCTCCTCTGTATTGGCGGAAATATGTAAATACAGAGGTGGGTCCTTCTCGGTGGCCTTAGATTTGTCGGGGTACCATACTCCTTTGGTCGTCACTGAAGCGCCAGTCTCCTGGTTAATCTTGAGATGCCCCGGGCCAGACTAGTCAGCTTGGCGACAACGAGATTCAGATAAGATATACTTGTGTCTGTGTAGTGCCTTTCGTCAAAACATATCGATTGCGAACATCATTGATTTCAATGTCGTAGGTGAAGGCAGCATCATGGGGGTCTCTTGGACCAAGGATACCAGACGCAGATCCAGGGTTCGCGAATTGCGCAGCGATCTTCGCGGCAATCGCTGCCTACACCAGGACTGAGTGGGGCAAAAATAATAGTAAAGAACTAATTACTGCAGCAGCCGCGGCTTCCGCGCTCTTTGAGCCTTCTTCACCTCTCCTTGTAATGTCGTCGTCGCCAGGTTGATCCCATTTTCTGCGCCAGTCGGTCATAGCGCGACACTTGAGTTTTGGATTGAATGGTCGAGATTCGGAAGGACCCGACTGACGCGGCCTCTGCTCGTCCAAATCGCCATGCCTCAATTACCTGAAGAAACAATTGCTGCTCCTTCTGAGGACCCTAAAAAAAAAGAGTCAAAGGGGGAACAACCCCCAGAGAAAGCCCTTAAATCTAAAGGTCCTGACTCGCATGAGGAAGGGGAGGAGTTGGTGAGCACACCTCGACACGTCCATAGCACCGCGACTTATCAGCTAATTGTAGTCAGAGGAGGACCAGCAGCTCAAGAATGAGTTAGAAATGCTTGCTGAACGTCTTGGCGTAAGTAGGATTCTTGTAATGCTTACGACTCCAATTCCCAATCTTTTCCTTACGGGCACCAGGAGCCTGACACGACGCTGTACCGACCCGCATTAGAAACCCTCCGTACTCTCATTCGAACATCGACGTCTTCTATGACTTCGGTTCCTAAGCCCCTCAAATTTCTACGACCGCACTATCCAACATTGGAGTCCATATATGAAAAATGGCCACCGTCGGAGGACAAGGTAATGGTTTCGCAATGTCTTCAATCCCGATACTCACACCTCTACAGAGCCTTTTCGCGGACATATTGGGTGTTCTTGCTATGACTTACTCGGATACTCGACCTCGAGAGACACTAAAGTACCGACTGCTGTCAACTACCATGTCCAAGGAGCCTTCGCCACCTGGTCTTTGGGGTCATGAATATGTTCGTCACCTGGCTGCGGAGCTTGGGGCGGAGTATACCATCCGAATAGAGTCGAGTGAAGACACAACAGAGCTCAGAGAGTTGGCATACGTGTGCGCTATGTTCTTGCTAGAACATAATGCCGAGGCAGATGCGGTGGATCTTTTGGAGGAGTTAGAATGTGTTGGTAAGATCGAGGGACTGGTTGACAAGAACACCTTCGCTCGGGTCTGTACATACATGGTCAGGTTAGTGCCATGTCATGAACACTCTGCGTCGCCCTTGATTTTCAGGACGTTTTCAGCTGCGTGAATCTTCTTCCACCACCAGATGACGTAACATTCCTTCGGACCGCACACGCGATTTACATGAAATTTTCTAAATATCCCGAAGCATTATCTCTTGCCATTCGTCTGGGGGACCCGCAATTGATATCACAAGATTTCCATGCTCCTGCGAATCCGTGAGTTAATTGGACGCCCTGCAGTCCTGAACCTAATCGCCTTCATAGGCTGATGCAGCGACAGCTCGCTTTCATACTTGCTCGGGCCTTAGTCCCGCTAGAGTGGGTGCGATCACCGAGTTCTGGGGACCAGATGGAAACTACTGAGTTGGAAGATACCGGGCTGCCGGAAGACCTTCTCGCATGTCTAAGCAACACCTATTTATCCGACCATTTTCGTGCTTTTGGCAAGGAACTAGCCGTAGGAGACCCCAAATCCTTGGAGGACATTTATAAATCCCACTTGGAGAATACCCGTGCGCAGATCTGGCTTGCTACCCTCTAGCATTCATTTATTTTTGCATCCAGGTGGCTCAACAACTGTGGACTCGGCTCGCGCAAACTTGGCAGGAACATTTGTCAATGCCTTTGTAAATGCTGGCTTTGGCAATGACCCTCTGATGGTGAAGGCTGAGGAAGGTAGTGGATGGATCTACAAGAATAAAGACCATGGCATGTCCCCCTTAGGTGTAAATCCTGCGTAACCTCACGATCCATCCAGGGATGCAAAGTGCTGCCGCCAGTCTGGGTTGAGTTTACTCTGGGACACCGAGGTTGGCTTGAGCCATGTAGATCGGTATACATATTCGAACGAGGAGTACATCAAAGTATGTTCTCATCTACGTTTGAGTTGATAGCTCTCATTAGTGTACTTAGGCGGGAGCATTGCTGGCTATCGGTATGCTTCATTCTGGCGTGCGTTCCGAGCAGGACGCGGCACTCGCGCTGCTTAGTGATCACCTTGAGAATAAGAGTGTTCCCCTCAGAACAAGTGCCATCACCGGGTCTGTTTCACCTTTCAGACCTTCTTCATTCACCTAACGAAACGTATCACATTAGGCTCGGCCTTGCTTACGCTGGTTCACATCGTGACGACCTAATGGCTATTCTACTTCCAATTGTGTCAGACGATACAGTTTCGATGGAAGTGGCCGCTTTGGCAGCCCTTGCATTAGGTTTCATTTTTGCTGGCAGCGCAAACGGCGAGGTTGCAGGCACGATCCTGCAGACCATCATGGACAGAATGGAACCTGACGATTCAGCGCTGGGGGACAAGTGGGCTCGCTTCTTGATATTGGGGCTTGCGTTATTGTACCTCGGTGAGTCATACGAATATATTGTCCAAACGGTTTCCCGACACGTTGCAGGTCGTCAGGACATTTCAGATGCTACCATAGAGACTTTGAAGGCCATTCCCCATTTCATCTCAAAGCAAGCCGTGATCCTTGTGGAAATCTGCTCATTTGCAGGGACTAGTAACGTTCTAAAAGTGCAAAGTTTACTTCATCACTGCAGCGACCACATCGACACCGAGAAAGAAGACGACACGTTCCAAGCCTATGCGGTAATGGGTATTGCTCTCGTTGCCATGGGTGAGGACATTGGTGCGGAAATGTCACTGCGACAATTCAATCATCTTGTAAGTTGGTGATAAAATCCAAAATTTGGTTGGGTTCTAATCTCCGGCAAGATGACCTACGGGGAGCCGATTGTTCGTAAAGCCGTACCATTGGCACTTGGTCTTATCAGTGCATCAAATCCGCAATTGAGAGTACTCGACACACTCTCGAAGTACAGCCATGACAGTGATCTCGCTGTGGCTCTCAACGCCATCTTCGCAATGGGCATAGTCGGTGCGGGAACGAATAATGCACGTCTAGGGCAAATGCTCCGTCAGTTGGCTAGCTACTACCACAAGGAACCAGATTGTCTCTTCATGGTCAGGGTGGCGCAAGGGCTGGTGCATATGGGCAAGGGCACGATTGGCATTAACCCCTTCTTTCAAGACCGACAGATCATGTCGCAGACGGCTGTTGCTGGACTTCTAGCAACTCTTGTGGCCTTCACTGACGCGAAAGCTTGTGAGTGCTTATTCATGTTGCCAAGTAAGAGAAGTGTCAGATCGTCAAATTTGCAGTCATTCTTGACAAGTCACACTGGATGCTGTACTTCCTTGTCACTGCGATGTTCCCGAGGTTCCTGATTACTCTTGATGAGGACTTGCAATCTATTCCGGTGACTGCACGAGTTGGCCAGGTTAGTTTCACTCCATATATGACACTTCGTCTTGTCCCCAATTGGTGACAACACCCTCCATAGGCTGTTGATGTCGTGGGTCAAGCGGGTAAACCCAGAACAATATCAGGTTTCCAGACTCATCAAACCCAGTGCGGATGGGTACTACTGAGCGAGCGGAGCTTGGAACTGAACAATACATATCGTTCGCGCCGGTTTTAGAAGGATTTGTTATACTGACGAAGAATCCAGGTTGGGAAGAAAAAATGGAACGTTGACTTCGGTACATGTACATATATAAACCTATCATCCCTAATACTCTGCCAGATGAACTTTTGAACTTGGCAGGTTGCGGTATCTGGAACAAGCCCCGCCTCTGAACACCAGGAGCAAATGAGTCAAAAGGTAGTGGCATATGTTGTCACTGAGGCCCTAGTCAAGGTACATAACTGCCACCCAATTGACCGCGAGTTTATAGCACCTCTTCTAGGCTTCTTCGCTTCTCCCTTCAAATAAAGGAAGGTCCTTTCTCGTGCATACGCTAGCTTCCGCGCTTGGGTTCTTCGACAAGTCCCGTGGATACTCCAATATCCTCGTTTTCAGACCTTCCCCTGCATCGCGCTCAGATCTGTGCCTGTATCATGATACAGACTATGTGGGTTAGTCCAGTCGCGTAAATGCATTGTTATCGTCAGATGATCTTAATCTTCACGCTCGCCAACCAAGAGGCACTGCTTTCGTCCAGAGCTCCAAATGACGCGTCTTCGTTCGGACTGGAAGATGTGAGGACCGATTTTCCACAGGATTGACCGTGGACTAGACATGACACCAATAGGATTGCTCATTCTTCGAGGGTCTTCAACAATACTGTGTGTTGGTGGCAGGGGCGACATTGAGCGCTGTGAAGGTCCTGAAGCATGTAGACATATCCATCGTGTGGGATGGTGGCCGGTGCGCTCCTCTCTTTACTTTCAGTAACTTTGTTCGCTAATCGTACGCGTGCTGCAGACATCACGCTGGGAAGTCTCGAGCCTCGGGGTATTGCTACATAAACGATGTCAACTTAGGCATACTGAGCCTCCGGCAACTTAAGCCACGTCCGCGTGTAATGTACATCGACTTGGACCTCCACTACCCCAATGGTGTGGCCGATGCTTTCCAAACACAGACTGCTCAAACCGCTTCCGTACTTATCCTTAGTATCCATCACGCATCTGCAGGCTTCTATCCCGCATCTCCCAATGCTCTGCTTCCAGCGGCTGGCACACCGCACCTCCATACTTTGTCCATACCTTTGGCGCAAGGAGCGACCAACGCCACTTTCCATCGCATCTGGAAATCGTGTGTGCAACCTGTTAAGGAAGCTTTCTGCCCAGAGTTCATTATTGTACAGTGTGGGGTGGATGGGCTCGCAGGCGACCCATGTGGGGTGTTCAACTGGGGACTCGATTTGAATGATGAAGGCTCCCTGGGATGGTGTGTGAATGAGTGCCTCTCCTGGGAACTCAGAACTGTCCTTCTGGGAGGAGGTAGCTGTCAATAGGCTGTTGTAGTAAGGTTTTGTCACTCATGTTTCTGAATCAAGGTGGCTACAACTCCGCAAATGCTGCGCGGGCGTGGGCTTACTTGACATCCATTGCCGTAAGTACATCTCTACCTCTTAGGAAACTTCTTTTGTATCACGTCCCGAAAACAGTGCGGGAGCCCCCTCACCTTAGGAGACCCAATCCCAGACCATCCAAACTTCCCCCAGTACGGGCCATCGTTCACTATGGAGGTTGACGTCGGTTCGTTCTCCGATTGATACGACTCGAGCGATGTTCATTTATTCGATTCTGCATTCATATGGACCACAGGGAATATGGTGGACCAGAACATAGATTCTGACCTTGAAGCAATGGAGGCCCGGTTCGCAATCCTTGTGGACCGATTGAAGGGTGCTTCCTCGGAATGGGTAGAAATCAACAACTAGATCGTTTTCTTTGATCTGTCGAGTTGTGCCTGGTGGCTGATTAGGGCTGATGTCAATGTACTTCATTTCGAATTCCGATAGTGCTTTCACGTGGCCAATGTTTTGGCTTTGTCGGAAGCAACTATCGCGAATCTCCGACCTGTAGCCCTGCATGCTCATCGTGCAGCGATGAGGAAAGAATATCGGCTTCGTTCCAAGCGGCTAGCTTCCTTTCGTGAATATAGCATTACAGTCTCATCTGCGCGCTCAAAAAAGACGAAAATCGTAAATGCAGCATGGCCCCACCCTCCCACCTCCAAACTCACCCCAGAGTCATTGGCAGACGCCGGTTTTTTCTTTAACCCTGATGACGATGCACCGGATAAGACCGAATGCTTTATCTGTGGACTATCTCTTGCTAACTGGGAAGAAGATGACGAGCCTCGAACTGAACATCTGAAACGCAGCAACTCCTGCACATGGACTGAGGCGCGTTGGTCCTTACGTGGAGACCGCGTCAAACAGGAAAGTTGACTGTGTGAGTAGAGACTCGGTGCTGGTTTTTATTCCCTGACGCGAACGTTCTCTATGGTCTATCTGCCAGCTGGCGCTTCAACTCTGATGACCGAGTTCCTACACATCCTGCTCGGATCAAGGCTCGCCTAGAAACTTTTGCCTCGTGGCCTCACGATAAAAAGAAGGGCCATAATTGCACCTCAGAAGCGCTTGCACAGGCCGGATTCGTCCATGTCCCAGACGTGGGTGATGGGGAGGACATGGTAGTCTGTGACTATTGCAATCGTTCATTAAATGGATGGGGCCAGATGATATCCCGATGTTTGTGATTTTTTGGAACCGAGTGTCGGACGAACTAACGCTATGTGCAGTGAAGAACACCGACGGAACAATACAACAATGTGCCCTTTTCTCGAGGCGTATGATCGCGAGCAGATTCTGTTGGGTGGGTACAGTCTACACTCAGCTGTAAGCCAGCTTATAACTTGATTTCCCCTCAGAGCAAGGGGGGACTGGGGATAAGTATGCATTTTGTTCTCGATGTCCCGTCGTGAATGCTGAGGTATCCCATAGACACAAGTCAACGAAGCATAAAAGGACGGCGTCTAAATCTGTTAGGAAACGTGCCTCTGCTTCCGCTTCCGACTCCGAGAATGCACCAGATGCTGTATCGTACTCAAAGGCAAAGTCTCGGCGGCGTCAACCTTCTGCCCAACCAATCTCTGCTTCCTCGCCATCTGAGGTTGCTTTCGAAGGCGATCTTCAGGAAAAACCGAAGCGGAAGCCGAAGAAAACGATATCTAAAACCAAGACTAGCAAGACACGAGAGCAATTGACGACTGGATCGGAAAATGCAGTGAGCGAAGAGGAGAACCCGGTTTCACAAGCCAGAACTCGTTCCAAAAGGGGTAAAGGAAGAACTACCAAATTTCAATCCTCAAATTCACAGGATAGTTTAAATTTACTATCTTCGAATGTCGAGTCGCAAGCCGGTCAGCTCAGCTCAGATGATGAAGTTTATCGTTCACGGCGGTCTCAGCGGATACGGCAGTCACAGGCCAAGCCTTCTCTTGCTACACATTCCCGAATCGCAAGCCCGAGTCGAAATCCAATTAATATTGGATCTCATTCACTAGATGATAAGTCCCCTTCTGGAGATGACACCCCGGTCAAACGGCCACTTCGATCAACACGAAGTGCAAAGCAAGCGCGGGATTCGAATGCCAGGCGCCTCGCTCTGGGCCAGACGAAATTTTGCCATCTGAAGCAAGCCGCAGGTTAGGTCGATCCGTGAGTACCCGCGGACTGTCGTCCACAAGACAACTAGGGGTTGAAGGACCTAGCCAAGAGGGGCCGCAAACTCGGACTCGGACTCGTACGTCATCGAAGAGACGGACGTCGACATCGTCAAGAACTCGTGCACATTCCAGAACAACTTCAATGCAAAGTTTGGAAGAATACGACACAGGCATCACGACAGATGTCACCGGAACAGAATCCCTGGTGGATGACGAGGATATTACATATACAAAGGATGCGACTAGACCCAAGAGGGTTTCCAGGAAGCCTTCGTCAATACGCAAAGGGTCGACAGTTAACGCTGTTGATATGGATGCAGCCTCAGATACTTCTGTTGTCAACGAGTCCACACCCTTAGCTTCAAGAAGCAATAAGATTGTGGGTGGGCAGACTATTCCTGCACCGCAACTATCAAGGCCAACCCCTCGAACGAGATCAGTCTCTTCCTCTTCGCTCGCCCAACCCGGTGCGGGGGGGACTGTTACTGTTGAGATCGACGTTTTAGATCACATATCCAGGGTCATGGAGGCTGTCCATCCCGCAAAACCTAAACGTCCCATCGTAGCCCTGCCAAAACGAACATCTCAACAACCGAGTCCCCTATCACAACCCCAGCCCGCAACGCGTACACCCCACCAGCAAAACCCTACTCCCACTTCTCCAGCGAAGCCACCAAAAAGTCCCCCAACATCCACTGGCCACTATGATCCGTCCTTGGTCATTCCTAGGGTAAAATCCAAGTCATCAGGCTCAAGAATTGACACTGGTACAGTTGCAGAGTTCTCTTCCAAACTCGAAAGCAACGACAGTCAGGCAGGGACAGAATCCCATACCGAAACTCAAATCCAGGACTCCAGCTTGATTGGCAGGGGGGCGCACTCTCCCACACCACGGAAGGGGAATCCACACCATTCTGATGGTCACCCTCCGAACGCTGAGCCTACCGTTGAAGTACAGACCCAAGATGTCTCAGAGCCCCAATCGACAACTTTGGTGCACCCATCTTCCAGCTTCAGTTCCGACGGGTTTACGGAGGAACAGCTCGACATGACAATTCAACAGTTCATTGAAGCTGAGACCCAGAGGGTGTACCAGAACATGAAGCGGAGCGGTGAACAACTCATTGAAGAGTTGGTCGAGGAAGGCAAGCGGCAACGAGCCATCATCGTGGCGCATCTAAATGCCAGCTCCATTCCAGAATGAGTTTTGTTTTTTTTTTTTTTGTTGTTTTTCAAAACTTCAGGTTGCCACGTTATGTATTTGCTGCTTGTTCATAGTATTGCACGGACTCATACTCTTGCATCTCTGTTTTGCAATTATGTAATCGAACTCAACCGAATCCCCACGGAGGCGAGGACTGTAATGCACCATTATTGGATTGCGAAGCGACTGGGTCATAGCATCGATCATAAGTAGTGAGAAATACATCATAACCAGTTGCATAGTGGTTGAGAGCAAGGGTGATGGACAAGAGATCACTGAAGAATCAATCATTAGCACATCCACATACAACTAATAACTAGCTCCTGAAACGCACGAACGTAATGGCAGCACCCTTCGTCTTCTTCTCCCCACCCAGCTCGAAGCTACGATAGAAATATGTTTCGAGAAAGGCACTGAATCGATAGAATATAAACACGTACTGCTTGCATCGCTTCAAGGCTTTCTGTGATTTATACTTGCATTCGGTGCACTCTAACCGCAAGACAATCTTCTTGGTGGTCTTCGCCTTTTTGTGGAAGACAGGCTTCGTCTGACCACCATAACCGGATTGCTTTCGGTCATAACGGCGCTTCCCCTGGGCTTTCAACGACGGCTTCCCCGTCTTGTACTGCGTTACTTTATGGGGCCTAGAAGAAGAGAGAAGGAAAAATTGCCTAACTAGCAATGCCATAGCATCGGTACTAACGTGTGCTTTCGGCATTTCTTGCTCCTACAAACTAGAAAAGAGAATTTTGAAATATCGCTAAGCAGTAATTCCTCCACAAGGACCGCGGCAAAACTCACAGGTCCGTCGTGTTTTGGGGATGTTGACCATGGTGGCGAGCGAGGACCTACTGTACAGTTGGATTCAGATTTCGGGCAAATCCGAAATCATCACGTGGCGATGTGAGATCGAGCTTCTCATCATCGATTGGACATAAAAATCCCTGGCGGTGGTCTGGATTTAGGCCGAACCTGCACATGTTCAAGACACCTCTCTGCGAGATTGTAGAGGCCTCCTCGAAAGAGCTGTGGCAACAATGTCATCGCTTGCGAGTTGCAGGTTTGTTAAACTGAGCTTCTGTGGGCACCGACTTGAGGTCCTGACAGCATGGCGAAGTCTTTGTTCATGAGCAGAAGTTCTCCATGGAGTCCGAACTCCCCGATGAGTCAGTCGACTGCGTGCAATGCCAAATTCCCGAACTCTTGAAATGTCAAACGATGGCTATTTCTATGATGCAGATACGATAGATCACCGGAAACATTCCACTTTCTTTTGAGATTGCTCCCCTCCCAAGAGGCCATTGGGACCGTTCGGGTGTACCCCTTGAAACACCCTGATACGCCCACTGATACCGGTACGCAAAAGGAAGATGCACATGGATCGGCTGCAGCGTACCCCACTTTCGCACTTGGACGACTCTGTGTGCTTGAGCAGTATCGAAAATACAAGTTTGGCCACAAACTCGTCCAGCAGGCCCATTCGTTCATTCGAAATCGATTGTTAGCTTCGAGAGCGCATGCTCGGGACAGTAGCTCCGAATCAAATGAGATTCTCGGAGAATTTATCATTCATGCCCAAGTTCAGGTGAAAGGATTCTACTTGAAGTCAGCCCAGCAATTCCTTTCTTTCAGACGTAGCCTGACTGGTCCGTAGGAATGGATATACTCCTTTTGGAGATATCTTTGATGAAGACGGTATGGACCACCAGTTAATGAGGTACTGGATCTTGGAATAGAAAGAAATATCGGCATTTGTGTCCAGTGCTTAAATATTTCATGGCTTTTCATAAACATCTACCCTTCTTCGGAGTCCTATAACAACTAATCAGTGATCACGGTCATCCTTTCAATCCCCGTCATCGTGAGCCTACCTCCTTCGCCGACAGTGCCAAGCTGTACTGGTCTTCGAAACCCAATCTTTACCAACTCATCCTCAAAATTCTCGGGTCGCAGTTTGAGTCGTTGAGCATTCTCTCTGAGGCGCTGAAGGGATAAAGTTTTAGTGAAACATGCCAAAGGACGTCTGGGGATGTAATCACACCTTATCCATCTTCCGAGCTTTAGCGTAACTGACCCAATCTTGTGGTTCCAGCACCAATTTCGCCCGCGCCCAGCATGAAGTGAATTGAATATTTTGGTAAAGAATGATAAGAGACCCTCGTCGCCGTGATTTAGGTGAATCCATTTAGTGATTGAGAGACTAGACTTGAATAAAAAGAATATGGCGTTGGTCGGTGGGTGGCAGTCAATTTTGCGTTCTTCGAGTTCGAGTTGAACCAACATACGCTAGTACAACATCATACTTCTCATCCGTAGACTGTTGAACTTCTGCTACCCAATCCGCCATCTCAAACGTGATGTTGTGGGGAAACGTCGACGGGCGAGCCTCGGAAGGGGTTGATGGAAAAGGGATATTGCCAAACATAACTTGCATGGAAGTAGGGAAGTAATGCGCATCCTCTGGTGTCAGTAATGGAGGGAGAGCAGAGCGAGGACGTGACGCGTCGGCCGGTACAACATCCGCATCCCGATGTTTCCTCCGCCGTTTCTTGGGAGGCGACTCTATTGGAGGATTTGGGCTTCGGTCACTGCTGCCAGTGGATGAAGGTGCCTGCAAACTCCATGCTAAACGCAAATGTCTTCTCGCGGCATTGATAAGTGTTTCGTCAATGTCCACACCGAGGACTCGAGATGCGCCACGTTGTTGAGCTGGGCAGTCAAGTTTAACCGTGGACAAAAGGTGCTAGCCATTGCTCACCTATTTCGCAGCTTACCCATCCTTCGTTGCACCCGATATCAAGTACAGATTTCCCTCTAAAGAAATCGGGCGAGAGTAGAGCAATGCGATCATCACCAGCGTCGGCCGTTTAGTCTGGTAGTATCTAATTGAATGTACGCTCAATCAGGAGGTTTCGACAGTGCATACGCTGATGTATCCGTACGAATGATAGTTCCCATGAACGGGTTTTTGTTGGTCAGTGTTGGCACTCATGTCCACCTACGTTGAATGACCGTGATGACCCAATTCAAATTGTGACGTGCAACAACCGCTAGATTCTAATATCGTTGGGCCAAGTCTAGCGTAGGATAGTAAAATTATGCACATTGTATTATGCGTACAGATACATTTCAAGTTGATGCGAGCAGGGTAAAAATAGTGTTGGCCGCCAGGGATATACATGAGTCAATGGTAAAATGAAAACAAAACATCTACCAAGGGTAAATCAGTTCGAGATACATCAACTGAGAGAAAGCATAGCGCTTACAATTACTCCTGCCGCGCAACTTTCGCATTATTAGACGGAAGTCCTCGGCGGGTACTTCGAGGCTCGGGTCCACCATCGGCTATCATCCTACTCAGCCTCTCGTTCTCCCTAAAAAAAACGTGGAATCAACCCAAGGCCAAGAAGACGAAAACCGTCGGAAAAAACTCACACTTGCAGTCCACCTTGTCTAAACGACGTTAGCCTCAACACACCTTTTCTTATACTGTCCATGTGGACTTCGAGTGGTACTCCACCGACCAGCCCCTCGCCAGGACCATCTTTCTCTGAGGCCTCAGCACTTAGCGTACTGATCCCAGGCTCAACCACGCGACCCCGAAGTTCCTCAAGGTTCTCTTGCAATTTTATCAGCTCCTCGACTGTCTGAGACACTCGGTTGCGGGCCTCTTTACGATATTTTGAGAGCGAGGTAAGGAGCTCGATGTGAGAGTTTTGAGTTTGCAGACGGTCACGGTTGCCTCCCAGGATAGTCCAAAGATCGGCGAGCTGTGAAAAGGGGACATGTAGACCAGGTCTATCGACCCCAAAGGGTGGAGTACCCACCACTTTATCCTTTTCTTGCTTCGCTAATATACTCTCACGACTGGTCAGCTCGTTCATAACGTCTACGTTCTCCTCCAGACGGTTCAAGAGTGCTAGACTTGCTTCGGCTTCCATGATCAGCCGTTGCAAGTGAGAGGCTAAATGATTTGAAGCTTGGAGGAAGTTTGAGACGAGGATATCGCGATTCCGTGCTCGCTGCATCTCGGCACTGTTAAGGAACTCCGGAAGGAAGCGGTCAATGAATCCTTGGAGAGATAAGGCAGATGAGGGAAGGGAAGGTGGAGTCGTCCTGTTGATCTCTTCGAGTCTTCTGAGAACGTACCTGTGGAATCTCAGGAGCGTAAAGCAGTATTTATAAACATGGACTTACTCATCCATTGCTAGTACACTATCAACTGCACCGCCAACCTTTGCACCCAAGCGCTGAAGCCCTCTAGCAGTCTCTTTCGCGTTTCCTACAAACTCATTGAGCGATTTCCCCAATGCTTCCTTCGATGGTAAATCGCTTAATTTGACAAGGACAGCTAGATCTCGAACTGCCGCTTCCGAATTTCGAATACCATATGAGAGGGAGAGAGAAGAGTCTCCCGCTGGAACATCGGAACCCGATCCGTCCTCTGCCGTCCGTTGGGGCGCACCTGATGTAAGTGCCAGGATAGGTTCAAAGGCCCTTTGTATGGCGATGAATTTTGTGTAATCGGGATCGACTACAGGCTTCAAGATGCGGGGACATAGTGGAAGTAGAGACCCTAGAACGGGGGCATGGCAAACGGGAATGAGGAGCTGATGAATCTGACGCTCGATTGTGTTTGTGGCTTTATTGAAGATGTGGAGACCAATGTAGACTGCGAGGCCAAAGTGCTGGGAGTGACGGAGAAACGTCAGGGGAACAGACTTTGTAGGTTACAGCTAGACTCACAGGGGTTTTTTGAGGATCCAAAGCACTGAGCGCAAAGCATCTATGGAGACTGTCGCGAATAACCGCCAAAGTTCCATGAATGATTGAGACGCCCAGCTTTCCCCTTCATCCCCGGAATTGGGACTACCCCTATGACTCGCACGAGTTCTCGGCGTTCTATTATTTATCTTATTCCTCGTGGAACTTCTTGTCGCAGGACTAGCGGTCCGGCTTGATGGTGGCGTGTAACTCTCCTCAGAGTCAGATATTTCTAAGACGTAGTCTAGGTCGTCATTTCTCCTTTTGGATCTTCGTTTGTTCATTTGTTTGCTCTTGGAAGCTTACGACCAAACAATACCCGACGTGCTCAAGATTTTTGTTCGTTGAAGATCCTGGCACGTGCCCCCCAACAAAGTGTAAAAAAAAACGGAAATTGCGCGGGAGCATTCCTTACTGAGCGCAAAAAAGAAACGCCTGTGCCTGTGACTGACACAGAGCAGTACTTCCCGTTGCGTAGCGAACGCTCCCACGCGTTGCGCAAATTTCCAGATCAATATTGGTTTCCACGCGTGTGCGAACTTTTCTTGCACCAACTCTGGGAGGCCGTGTATCGGACTTAGCGGCCGTCGTAATGGACAAAAACGAGCCTTGTCTCAGTCTTGGAGGGTCGTACTAGCTATATGTTGTCAATGGTGGACAGACAGACTCCGCCGTAACTGAGTGGCCACGTTGGTCTGACTCATGACATCAATATTATGCATCATTGCTCAGTTATTAACCGTTTGACGTTTGGGTATTCCCCTCATTTTTGCTACTGACTATAAGTGCCGTATGGGTCGTCGGGAACAGACGGATATCCATTCCCCCTTGGAGTATTACCGTTGAGACACGCGACGTGCGGCCTATAAGCCAAAGTGAGTGCAAGTTATCAGATAACCGGCCATCAATTGACTGAGCCCGTGACGCAAATCCCAGGTTATCAGATATGACCCCATCTAATCTGATTTGGTAATTTTTTCTCAAACATACAATTTTCTAACTGGGGTCTTCCTCCCTCTTTTCTCATCTACATAATCCCCCTTTCCACACCTCCCCTCCCCCAGCACGCAAGGGAAAGTTAGGGCGTCGCGGACAATGCATCCCCTAGCTCTCATTTCCTACTCCCTCTTCTTTACGTGCACAGCACGCGCTGCGGTCATCGAATATTGGTGGAATATCTCGTACGTTAACGACGTCAACCCCTCGGGACTTCACAGTCGGCGTGTCATAGGTGTGAATGGGACCTGGCCCCTGCCCCCTATCAGCGTCACACAAGGCGACACACTCCTCATCCATGCATATAATGGTCTTGGTGATGTTGGGACCGCCCTCCATACACATGGCATCTATTTCAACGGAAGTGGGTATTACGATGGTGCCGTGGGTGTCACCCAGTGGTGAGCCGCTTATGCCGCTGTTCTCCCCATGTGTAACTCTGAAGAGGAACTCGTTGACAGTGCGATCCCTCCCGGAGAAACCCTTACCTATCACATCCCCACTGATCTGCAATCAGGGACATACTGGATCCACGGACACTATAGCGGGCAATATGTTGACGGCCTCAGAACGTCATTCATCATTCATCCTGCAAACGGCTCGTTGTATCCATATGACGAAGACGTTACCATCGTGCTCACTGATTGGTACCATGACGAACATTCTACTCTGCTGCAGAAGTTCATGGGCGAATACAGTGAGCCTTTTTTTGGAAGTGGAAAAGAACACACGTTGACATGCGCTGTTGATCAGATCCAAAGGGAGCCGAACCGGTTCCGAATGCACCGCTTTTGTACATTTTGCCAAATAATTCCTTCCCTGATGATTGTCCCAGCGGCTTGTGCATTAGGAACGGATCATCGGTCGGGAACAACGCCATTCTACGGCTTGAGAAGGGGAAGAAGTACAGACTAAGATTCATCAACATGTCAGGTTCGTTCTTGCCGCTTACAGTTTTGAATTCCCAGCATTTACCCCCTTCATGATCAGCTTTAGCTATGTTCTACTTCGGTCTCGACGGACACACCATTCAAGTAATCGAGCTGGACGGGGTTTGTTTATGGTTCCCACGTTGCTTCAGCGGACTTACAATGCATTCATAGGTCGAGACTGAACCCTTCGAAGTTACTATGGTCCCTATATCCGTCGCTCAACGGGTCTCCCTCCTTGTCACAGCACGAAATGACACAAACGCGACAATTGACTACGCCCTCAAGGCGAATATGAATCCAGATATGTTCGACCACGTCCCTGATGACCTTCAACTGAGTGAGTTATCGTTAAACTTCGGCTCAGGTGGTGCATGATGGCTAAAGAATGACGCCGATAGATATAACTGCTCGCATCACGTACACGCCCGCAGGAGAAACTCCGTCAAACGCACTCGCCCCGGCGACCATCTATGACGCCTATCCTGATTTTGAGGAGACGGATCTCGTCCCTGTTGAAGCCGAAGGTATGACGCCAGCCTCAGTAAGCCACCGACTGGACGTATCTTTCGACACCTACGATGACGGTGTCAATCATGCCAGTTGTGAGTTTTTCCTTGGGCTCGGCGAGATACATTCGACACTTCACTAAGGGAGTTTCCTTGCCATAAATCCATCAAATCAGTCAATAACGTGTATGTATCCCCCAACAGTAACTCTTGCTAGGCTCATAGTCGCATTCTTGTCATTCAGAACTTACGTTGCTCCGAAAATACCTTCTATCCTCACGACGCTTACTATGCCTGCCAACGATTCCTGGATAACAGCCGTCACCCGCTCAAAGATACCTAAAGACCAAGACTACATCAAGGAATTTGGGGGTACTACTTATGCTACGATATATGGCGCTCAGACGCACGCGATTCCACTTGACTGGAACGGAATGATCGAATTGGTAGTGTATAACTGGGATGTAGGATTACATCCTTTCCATGTGCGTCATCGGTTTTTCCCACGCGCGAAATTGGAACGTCCCTGATTTGACTTGGATAAACGTGGCGCAGCTTCATGGGCATAAGTTCCAGGTTGTGCAGAAGAATTATGATGCAACCCAGGGAATACCGATCAATGAGACTCAGGTCAACCCCATTCGGTGAGTTGAATATCTAGCGGCTTGCGGAATCGGCTCTTACGTCCCCGCAGTCGCGACACCGTCATGGTCCCTCCGGGAGGGTCCGCTACTCTTCGATTCAGAGCAGACAATCCCGGTGTCTGGTTCTTCCGTAAGTATTTCTAACTACCCATTCATGTTGCTTGCGCGTCCTACTATTCATTTCCTGCTCACAGACTGTCATATCGAAGTAAGCAATGGTAGCTTGTCAGGAGCTTCATCTATCACGCTGATCGTTATCAAATCATCGCGTAGTGGCACCTCGAGTCTGGTTTGGCAGTAGTCTTTATCGAGGCGCCTGCCCAGGCCCAGGGCAAGCTCCAAATGCCACAACAGCTGCTCGATCATTGCACCAAACAGAACATTCCCATTTCAGGAAACGTCGTCGGCAAAAATTCGACGACTGATTTCCGCGGACAACCGTAAGTTTCCCATCCGATTGCATGAGTACTTTTTAAGCCTTGACGATCTTCGATCTTGTACTACCACAGATACGGACCGTTCCCACAAGCGCACATCCTCGGATGGACGGCTAAGGCGAAGGGTGCGCTCGCTGGCGCAGTCCTGAGCGCTCTGGCTGGAATGTTTACAATCGTGTGGTACTCCACTGGAGCTCTCGATGAACACGAGATAGAGGAAGTTCAGAGGAAGAAGTTTGCGCAGAAGCTCGCGAGAAAGAGAAAGGATTTGTCGGTGGACTCAGGAGCCGATTCAGGAACGAGTCAAGCAGCTAGGAATCTCAAGACGCCGAGTATGAGGTGGATTAGCTATGGTACGATCTCACGCCATCTTGGCTTCCAAATTTAGAAATATCTTGTGCGCACGGCCGCTTATCATGCTTCACAAACCTCCAATTGAGCTGTCACAACTGCATCTAAACGGTTCGGCGTGGGCTTCCATTCATGTATGGGTCCATTAACGACGAGAAGTAGGATGCGAATAAATACTGAAACGCTCAAAATGATGCGGTCGGTCATAGGTGGGAGCCGCCGAAAATCCTCAAGCTCCAGACAATCGGTCTTTCAGAACAAGAAAGCATCAAAGGAAACCCAATAGCGCTGCATAGGGGTATTACACTGTTGACTCTTCTTCCTCTTCTGTAACGTCTTCCTCCGACTTCTCCGACAGAGTCGCGTGCACGGGAAGGTTAGCAAGTATGGTGTCCACCAAATCCTGGGCAATCTTTGGGTTGCCAACCTAGCAAATATCCTTCGTTAGTGCAGACTCTGTGATATTCCGGCTAGGCTGTGGCCACCTTGATAGCATGATGAACAAACCTCCCGTCTTCAAGTATGGAGAGTTTTATGAATTTGGGATCTTGCCCTATTGCGCAAGGCATCCCAGCAAATAAGCTGGCATTCAATAACAGGCGGAAGACACCCTCTGCGCGCATGACTGAACAAATGCAAATCGTCAACAAACGTAAGGTCTGGTGGCGCGAACGTACTGATTCTTGCACCGCGCCCGTCCGATTTTCTAACATTGACCTTCAAGGTTCCTGTACCTCTTTCCTTGTATGTATCTCTCGCGTCCATAGTGTACAATTTGGCTCGTGTCTGTTGTAGTGTCTCTTCATCTTCCTCCCCAGTGTGTACTAAATTCGTCGGTCAACATGGGCTCAATCCATAGATTCAATTACTCACAGTCTACTTCTTCTATAGCGGGCTTCGTCTCAGCCGGCTCCTCTGTATCAACCCCCTTTTCCGCTAATATGTCGTTGAATGAAGACTTCTCGGAGCTATGGGGCTTCTCTGATTTTCCCTCATCCTCTTTTGGCGGGCTCGCAGTAGCCCCTAACATCGACGTTGGCTTGGCATATGATCCGAATGCGGTGCCGCTCCTAGGTATGGAGCCTACGAGGCCTGGCGATGGAGACTTTGGTGAAGACGCCGCTGTAAGAAAGGGAGAGGTCTTTGATGCGAGGACGGAAAACCCTGACGAGAAGAACTTCGAAGGGGGGGAGGTGGCGCCTGTTTTGAACCGAGTTCAGGACTGGGTGAGCGGGGGGCAGGTTTAATAAAGGCCGCAAAGGGGAAACGCTAGCAAAACCAGCAAACCCCATCTGGAAATGGGGTTAGTTAGATGTTCTTTACTAATACGAAAGATGGAGCCTTACAGGTTTGGGAGAAGCTATGGAGCCGCTGCTCAGAAACGGGCTTGAGGACCCCACTGCAAACGGCGACTTCGTGGTGTAGGCCGCGAAACCTCCCTATCAATCAATTAAAACGCGAAAGGCAACCCAAGTGGACAAGTACTGCATGCCTTCGTGGGTGGGGAAGACCTGGTTTTCGTTCGTGGAGATTTCGGCGCTTCAGGCGTTCGAGGTCTCTCATCCGGTCCATCCTTCTGGCGCTTAGGATCAGGTGCTGGCACCCCGGGAACACCTGTTGTACTGGATTCCCTCGACTTCCTCTTGACTCCTTGCAGGGAATTCCGTTTGCTCTCTGAGCTTAAGAGTAGGGGGACAGAGTCTGATTCGCCATTGTCTTCGGGTGAAGAGCTGGAGGGGGATGAGCGTTTGTGAGAGGTTGGGGGTTCCTCGGTTTCGAGCTTGAGTGAGGGGACAGGTGAAGGGGTTCTGGTTGGAGGCGGAGGAGGGAACGTTTCATGGTCTTTCAGTCCAGCCATCGCGTCAATTGAAGGGAACGTGGTCGCGTCGTTTGGGGAGATAGGGAGGCGGGAAGGCGAAGGGTCTTCCCCGCTTACTTCAAGTATCTCCTCTTCGGTTTCCTCAAGTGCGTGAGAGGCATCGCCGTCTTTTGTAGTAAGGTCCTTCACCCCCTTCCGAACATCGGTAAGCCCACTTCCGTCAGGTGGCGAGGTCGATAACCGTGGCGACTCGTCATCTCCAGGAGACGAGTCCTCTTCTGCCGTACTTTCTAACATCGTTTTCTTCTTCGCCGGTGCACCTCGATCACGGTGGTCACCTGAAAATGTCGTGGAGGCAACCTGCAAAGAGAGTTCCGAGAACGCGTGAACTGCGCGGTATTTGGATGCGATTAAAACGGAAGCGCGCACCCCTGGAGTCCCTGGCTCTATGGAAGCTTCTCTTTCTCGCTTACGACTAAGTTTGGCATCTTGGAACATGAAGAACGCATAAATCGATCGACAATGCGTCAGAAACGTGCCCATTCAATAACACCCTTACCAGAGCTTTCCTCTAAATCCAAGCCTGCCTCTTCAGGTGGTGTACCGGCAGCGCTCTCTTTCGGGTCACTCGCCATGGGCTAAAACAGCGGTTCAGCAGGATTGTCGTAATAGAAGTATAAGGGTAACGCGGAGGGGCTCTCAAAGTGTGGGAGTTGCCGCGCATTTAATCCGCCACCTTGGAGAACGCAGATTATAATTGGTAAAATCAGTAACTGGATGCTAACAGATATTTTGCAGTGGTATGTGCGCAGTCATTAATGGAATGATGGATGAGAAAGCAAGAATGGTCCGTGTTCCTTGAAATCCATGCGAGAAAAAAATAAGTTAACCAAAATTCAATCCGGCGGTGTGTCGGCTTTGCGCTGGTCAAGTGCCAGTCTTAGCATGTCTTTGAGACTCTGCTCTAGCACAGGTTTGATGAGAACTCTGTCCGCTCCAGCCTGTGTAAACTCGAGCTGGTCCTCCTTCAGAGCGTTTCCAGTGATCCCAACTGTCCACTGAATATGAGCACGATTTTGAAGACGTGATTGCGGATTTGCATACCAACAAAATCTCTCCTTCCGCGCCGCCGTAACTCTTTACATAGCTCGACACCGCTCAAAATAGGCTGTTATTTGAAGAGGAGGACGTTAGCATCAATCTAATCAATTAGGGCCCAATCAAATGGGCGAGACACGTACCATTTGGTTGTCTAGGAAAACAATACCAATTTTTGGTTTCCTTCCTTGGGATGGCGAACCTTGCCGGTCTTCCATGATTAATTCGAGCGCCTTTTGACCATTTTCCGCGGTTTCAACCGTACATCCAATCCTCTAGGACAACATGAGTGCCACACAGAGTCCGAACGTTCAGGATCTTACCTCAAGCATCCTCTCCATCAACTTTCGCGTCAACATGTCGTCATCGACTACAAGGGTATGAGTCGAAAATGCAGAAATATCAAGATTAGGGGACGGCGTGATGTCAGAACTGCGGCTCTGAAGAGGATCCGACGGTAAGTGGGACGAATCTGAGGGTGGAGACGTTTCCTTCAGCACTGGCCGGCTTGGAACGCTGGGGACACGAAGGTGTGGTCGGGGTGGCAGAGAGATGTGAGAGGGAGGTTCGGCACGAGAAGCGCCCACAATTTTGGGAGTCAATCCGCCCAAGAAGGATGGAGGCGAAGAGCCGCGGGGAGTTGATGAATTATCTAATGTTCGCGAAACGGATGTTTGGAGGACATCTTGAGGCAGATGGTCTGACATCTCTGGATTCTCCTGTTGCATGGTCAAGTTGTTTAAACGAATGGCATCTCCAGAGGTCTTCGAAGCTGCACTAGACGACACTTCGGAGGCTGGTGTTTGACGGTCCAAACCCTCTGGAATGAATTCATGATTGAAGGGATTCAGGACCTGATGTAGTGGAGTGGCTGGGAATGGAGAGAATGAACGTGTAGCTGTCGCTCCCTCGAAGAATGCAGGAACGATGCCGAAAGGGAACTTCAGGCGACGTGACAGTCAGCAAAGAGTTCTAAGCAAAGTTTATATGATATTACCTCTACCCAAAAGCAACTGCCGTGGTCCCCTTTGCTGTTGACACCCAATCTCCCACCACTGAGTTGGACAATGTGACGAACAAGGGCCAATCCCAAGCCGGTTCCCTGAAAGATGTACGTCAGTTAATACATGTTGGGTAGCTCGTCACCTGTGACATACTTTGCCACCTACGCGAGATGGTTTAATATCACAATACGAGAATTAAGCAACTTGAAAGCGCACCTTGATGTCTTCCAATCTCAGTCTGTACATAAGGAGAGAATAACCGATTATCAATCATGTCTCTAGGCCGTATGCCCACGCCAGTGTCCTGCACCTCAATGCGAACGATAAGCTGCTGAGGGCCCACACTCTTTTGGCCAGGGTCCCTAGCCTGATTGAGATTATGACGTGACAATTGATTGGTAGATAAACCTTCGGTTCCGACCTCAGCAGAGGGTATGTGTGCGGCATGGTTCGACACCACAGTCGAACCAGACAATGCAGGCGTTACTGGCGGAGCATACAATAGCTTTGTTCTAATAGTGACACTATTGGTCGGACCCGGTGGCGTAAACTTAAGGCTCGTTAAATGAATGCACCCTATAATAAGGATTGCCTACAAACCTTGCAAGCGTTCGACATTAAATTCGTCACTACCTAAGGCGGGTTTATTTAAGGAGCTGAAGAAAGCGCAAAAAGATACATACTTGTATCAATCGCATCTCATCTCCCATCACATACGCATCGTCATGTGGACTGCATGCTAACTGCCAAGCAATCCATTCTTCGCTCTTACCACTTCCGCGGTAAGCCGCTGCCCTTGCCGCCAAATCAATCTCAGGGTCGAACTCTGTAACGAGCTTGAGACCCTTAGCATCAGCAGCCATTTGCAGTCCAACCATTGAAGAACGAATGGTGCGATGAAAGGTGAACGGTTTTGAAACGGACTCAAATCGACCAGCATCCATTCGATTGAAGTCCAATATATCGGACAGAAGTGCTAGTAAGAAGCAGTAAAGACCGACACCCTCCGCTCAGAAGACCAAAGGACCTATCTTTTGACATCATGAAAAGAGAAGAAGACAGAGCACCCAGCTCGACAGCTTGCTCCTCACTCGGAGGAAATGATGCTTCTAAATTCTGAAGGGCAAGCACTACAGACTTATTTGAGGTTTATAAAGCATTGATACTCAGGGGCGTACTGACTTGCAGTGTTTAGTGGGACTCTGACTTCATGAAAGATATAAGACGTCAAGCGCCTAAATCGGAATGAGTGAAGCACGATGATGAGGGTGGGCGAATAGAGGTGCACCTCTTCGAATCAGCAGCCCGTCTTTCGCTGATTTGTGCTTTCTGGGTGGCACGATACTACAGAGCGAATGGAATTAGTTCAACCCAAACACGCAATAGAGGTTTCACTACGGACCTGCAACTTAACCTGATCTCGAAGAGTATATAACCGGCGCTCGCTCTAGTTCAGGGGCTAAATGTCAGATATGAAAGAATGGCAACTAAAAAATGGGCACCTTCTCACGGATGTAATGAATATACAGAATGAACATATTGAAGACGAATACGTTGATGATATTGTGAGCATAGGTTTTGTGGTATGGAGCGCTGGAAAAGTATCACAAATCAGCGACATTGTTACAGAGTAAGCATCCGAGAGCTAGTAACTCACATTATTCCACAAATGGTGCCCACGAAGGCTAAGGATGCAATGAGAGCGGGAAGGCGTTTCATGCCGCACGCGAATAGGGCGATCGTTGGGAGGGCCGTTGAATAACTTAAAAAAAAGTTCGCCTTCACCACATCATGGTGCCCAGATTTAACAGACTCACTAAATACTACCGATCTAAAGGGTGGCAGTCAGATTGGCAATTGATGAACGAGAGAAAGAATGGCTAACAAAATCCTTGGTGCCACAGCTCCAGTAGCTGTGTGAACCGTAGAAACCGCAGAGGTTGATATATAAGGCGCCATAAAAAGACCTTAGCAGCCGAACCAATTCGTTGAGTATCCTAATTGCTAAGGGCGGAGAGGCGGAGATTCCGTACCAGCTCCAAACAGAAACCACAAGATAGCACTGATAGAACAGCGGTTTCTTTCGTGGGAAGTCAAATATGGCGAAGGTAGGGATAGGAAGCGAAAGCGTAGGCGCAAGCTGTTCCAGAAAGAGTTAAGAACAACTTGAATGACATCAATGAAGACGCTACTAACGCCAAAGAAAAAGCTCTTGTCAAAAGCACGGAGAGGTCTCGGAGCGAGTGAACATCCCAGCACCCAGCTCATCACCAACCAAAGGGACCCAAGTATAGCGAGAGTTTTGTTCGAGAACCTTCAATTTTACATTACGAGTCAGCAGTCCACAAGCGCGCAGTCATCATCTGTGGTGGAAACAATACCATGTTTCACGCTGATACTGATGCTCCGCCACAGGGTCCAGAAACGCTTGGCTATTGAAGCGGGACAGAAACGGGATAGTCCTCCATCGAATAACAGTGAGTAATACATATCGATCCCAAACATTGGTGGTGGTAGTGCTCAGATTATCCGTGTGAGGATGAGATGTTGATGCAATATCATGAGCGCCCTTTTCCGAATGCGTCCTTGTGTGCGATCCACTGGGCATGTTCGGTATAGCGTGCACCCCGAAAGGGCTATCAACAACCACAACATCCACTCCGTCTGGCTCTGCCTCAGTGCCTCCGACGTTGTTCCAGCCTCGAAATTCACTTTCATGCGCTCCGTCAAGCGCATCTCCGGTGCGCCTACTTCCATCATCAGCGGTGTCATCCGGAGTTTCGCTAGGTGCATCTAGACTTGAAGTGCCGATGCGCCGCTTGATTCTCGCCCAGTGCACTCGGAAACCATGAGTCGAGGATCCTTGGCCAAGGTCAAACGTAGTCTTCTTTCGAGCTGCCGATTGAACTACCGGAGGAGGAAGGCCCGAAGAGGATCCATGAGCCATACCGAAGGACAGAGGTTGCAGAGCAGTAGCGGAGAGCCCGGCCTTGAGAGGCCAACGGCTTTTGCTTCCGTTGATATTACCATGGGTGGAGAGAAACTGAATTGGTTCAATTATAGGTGACTATTTAGCATTTCAATTTACATCCATCAGGCACGCGTGTCAAGGGAAAGCTACCAAGTGACAACCGATGACCACAGACCACGATGAAGAAACTCTCTTGGATTCCCACTTGATTCAGCCAGCTTGGCAAGAAATAGAGATTCAGTTAATTCTGCATGGGTGAAGTCAGCACATCAACATCGGGAGGTGGGCGACCAAGCCACTCAACTGGAATGCAGCGCCCGGCCATGTTCCCAGACTTCAGTCATAGCAGCTGCTTCTGGAGGGACATTCGTGGGGGAATCCATTCCCGACGCAACCCTTTCGAAAAATCTACGTAGGCTTGATTCCGTGCTCCCATGTGGTGCAACGAAAAGTCAGGTGTGAGACCCAAAGCATCCCTCAGCTCATATGGGATGTGAAAGTCTGTATTGGTCATACAAAGCGAACCGACAACAGCTCCACGTCGCTGTGATGGAGTGAAAAAGTGAGAATGGTGAGACTTGAAATGCTCGCGCGCTTACGAAAGATCGCACTCCAGACGCATATTCCAGCATCAAGCGAGGCATGGAAAGAGCATGGGAAGGGATGTTATTGAAAAGGGGATCTTTGTATAACGAACGCTGGTAAAGCGCTTGAAAGTCATCTATAGCAACTAACACAGGAGTACTGCGTCACGAGTCAGAAAGCGCGAGGAACGAGAATCATAAGGGAACTCACTTCATTTTTTGCAGCTCCGCTAATGTAAATTCTAGAACTCGTGGAGCAGCACTAGGATCTTGAATCCCAAGTGCAATTAAAGACAATATAGATGATCCAGAAACAATCGTCTTTTTCTCATGTCTGAAGTCCTCCGAGGTGGTGACTGAGTTCAATTTCGATTCGTTAAATGCAGAAAGCCTTTTCAACGCCCATTTGGCGAGCGTCGGTTGCTGAAAAATGCGAGACTGGGCATCATATTGGTATGCGGAGGAAGAATTGACCCAGTTGCTAGCTAAATTTGGTTGTACTTTCTTGACTGCTCAAAACATCGGGTGTAGTAAATCTTACCACGAGGGACGTAAAAGACGATCCAGCCCTTAGATGCACAGTACTCAACCATTTGCAATAATGTTACGGACTTCCCACATCCCGGAATACCCGCTATAAACTTATAGTCAGGGAAGCTGGAAAACAAGTTAAACGGGATTTAGCAGACCTAGAACTATTCGTGTATCTCGACTTGGCGTTTTGCTAGCCTTGTCCATCCAGCCATACGAGCGAAGGGTCACGCCTCGAATAACAGAAAAAGGTTGTGACAGTAGCCTGGACTTGAGAGAATGAGAGAAGTTAATAATCCCGCTTCTATCTCTGCGACGCCCATTGACTCACATCTTTATATACGGCCAATGGAAGTCCGAAGACTTTTGAAATGGATTTCTCACCGGAGGAAAAAGCGATTGCTGAATTCCGAAGTAATGGACCAACTTCCAACTGAATCAATGCGACTTAAGCTCGAGAACACTTGGAACGCGATAGGAGGCACCTTCGATATGGTCGGAAGATTCGGAGGACCGTTAGTGTTCTCCAATTCTATCTGCCCCAACTTGATAGGCTTTAGCTGGATGGACTCAAGTCAACCAGTAGCGTTCGAGGAGAAACAAAAGCCTTCACATCTCCACCCTTCCTCATCGCTCTCCTCCCTCTTTCCACGAATCCAGGTTGCGACTTTTTCTTACTTGTCCAAGCAACATTTGTGCCTTAAATCAATCATGAGAATGTGATCCAGTAGTCGCGAAATCTATGAATCACACTATCTCACCGGATGAGTGTCGAGCATGTATCGTTGTAGGCGTAGCGCTATATATACCACTAGAAGTGGCAGCTACCCTGGAAGCTGGTCCAAAAGGGTGTAGCGCCCGCAGCGAATGGAACCCGCCCATCTTTTGCGTCCTTCACAAGATTCACACGGATCGGGACGTACCGGCTCCGAATCGCACCCCCAAGTTCTCGAGAGTAGACTGCTAGTCCTCTCGCTTATCCATACCGATTAAGGAACCATGCCATCCCAGCCCCGGATTTTTCAGCTTGGCCAAGCACCACTCACTTCCCATTCTTTCAATGCCACTCGCGATCGTAAGCATTTCAATCGCTGAATTTCAGTCACGTTCAATGATTAATTGCGTTCAAGATGTTGCCGCAAGCTTAAACTCTCATGAGGCCACTATATTCGCTTTTGACGGGACGGAATGGAAGCCGGAGGAGGTTCTCGCTGAGGTATTCAAAAAATCGGTTTGCATTGCGCGACGGGATCTTACCCAAAAGAATGAATTCGTAGCATGACAAGCTCATCACCTCGATCGACTGGGGTCACCTCACGAATCGCATTATTACTTGCTCCCAGGATCGCAACGCCTACGTTTGGAGTGAAGTACAGGACCCTCAGACGGGAGGATTGACCTGGAAGCCGACCCTTGTACTACTCCGCATCAACCGGGCAGCCACATACGTGCGGTGGAGTCCCAAAGAAGACAAGTTCGCTGTAGCGAGCGGCGATCGGCATGTTTCTAACTATCCACTCTTTTCTACTCCTTCTAACGAGTCTTTCACATCAGTGCGATTGCCGTTTGCTCCTTTGATGCAGAGAATGATTGGTGGGTTGCCAAGCATCTCAAGAAGCCCATCCGATCGACCGTACTCTCCATCGATTGGCACCCGAATAATGTCCTCCTGGCGGCGGGAAGTGCGGATAACAAAGCCCGCGTTCTTTCTGCATACATTAAGGACATCGACAAGCGGTAGGATTCAGATTCGCCGCTTCTTTCGAGCCCTAAATATTTATATGAGTTTCATTCAGACCCCCTCCCAGTGTCTGGGGAGAAAAACTTCCCTTCAACACCATATGCGGGGAATTTAGTAGTCCTACCGGTGGCTGGGTGCACTCTGTTGGGTTCTCACCCTCAGGAGATGCGCTTGCATTCGCTAGTACGTCTTCTATGTGCCATGTCGACAGCGCCATCTCACATACAACTCTATTCGATTGGCCATTCTGAACTCCGACCTATTATCTTTAGGCCATGATTCGTCTATTACTGTGGTTTATCCTGGAACTGGCGGCTTTTTCAATGTCCGAACACCGAGCTTGCCGTACGTGACGCTCGCCTGGACCTCAGAGCAAAATCTTGTCGCAGCTGGCCACGACTGCCAACCAGTCATTTTTCAAGGGGACGCGACGAACGGATGGTTTTTGGGTCAAAGCTTAGACGACGCCGCATCTCGCTCTGCATCTACCCTAACGCCCACTGCCACTGGGACGAGCGCTCGTTCCACTGGCGTAGGAAGACTGAACAACGAGGCATTCTCCAGGTTCAAAAATGCGGATTCAAGGGGTACCCCTGGCCTTCCTTCTGGGCTAGGCGGAAACTCGCTTGGTGGAGGTGGCGAACTGTTCACTGTCCATCAGAACACGATTACTTCCATTCGGCCTTTTACAGCCGATGCAGATGGTGCCGTTCCGAGCGTGAGCACTTCTGGGATGGATGGGAAACTTGTGATCTGGAATGTGCCTAGCAGAGTGGTACCTGCCGCGCAATTGACGACGAAATTAGGTGGCCTCCATCTTCGTTAAATCGGCTCTTGGAGAGGTCAATAGCAACCGCCACACAGCTGTAGGGTACAGACTAGGACAACCGTATGATTACATAAAACTATAAATGATTATTTTGTGTAGTGATGATTCTCATCTGGATTCGGAATGCCATATTAGCTGGCCAAATACAGTCCGTTGTTGCACATTTGCATATTCAAAGCCACACATACGCAGAATAGCAAGCCTCGAAAGCGCGCGGCGGATTCATTTGACCCAAACCCATCCCTTTTGTGGTCGATGAGAGGTGGGAGGTGAAAGACTCGAGCCACATACACATGTCGAGCTTAACACAAGCGATGAAGAGTTCACACGCATTTGAGCAAACACTCGGCTCAGGGAAATGGGTAGGAAGATCCCTCAGAGGATCAGCAACATCAACTTTCTCGCAGATACAACGACTTATGCTGCGGCGTGGGTTTCAGTAGGGAGTGGCGGTGACATCTCCTTCTCCTGTGCCTTGAGATTCAGAATCGTCGCCTTGGCCCGGAAAGGTGGTTTCCGAGTCTTCTGCATCTAAATTTTCCTTGCATGACCATACTGACGCACGATACTACCATACGACGATGTGGTATGAAAAGTTTGGTCAATAAAGGGATGATTAAACGGCAACAACAACAGCAGCAGCAGTCAAATAGGATGAATGTTGTGGCTTGCCGCGACATATTGCAAGGGGTTGTTGAAAGGGGAACATGAAACGCATACCAAAGTTAAAACGAGCCCCATCTGACGCTCTAGTGTCCGCAACTGAGCGATGAGTGCGTCCGTCGGCAAATCGTTCAATTCCTTTGTTAGTGTGGACAGCTTGAACCGCGAGGGAGGGCAACAGCATGGACAGGGGCATTTGGTCCGTTGAATCAAATGAGCCGATTTTCCGAAAAGGAATTTGTCGACCAATAACCACGAGCGGACCGGGAGGGAGTAAGGGACACGTCACGGTTAAGCGTCGTTGTTATTTGCCGCAAATCAATGAAAATGGGACACGAAGCGAGAATGCAGTGTTAGAAAGCAACGTCGAAAGTTTCAAATGATGATGGGATAACGAAAAAGGGTATATCGAGGATGTCTGATGGGGCTACCGTGCATCGCAGTGGCCCGAATTGAGCATAATTCGAGAGAGAGCAGGCACCGTATATATGATGGTCGTGGTGGCACCATTACAGTGCACGGTACCCGATGATCTAGGGAGCTTAACCCCGCTGCTGTGCAGGAACGGGCCGCCTGTCAGACACGAAATATTGGGACTAATGAAGATGGGCCCGGGGATGGAGCGGGAAATGGATCAATATCAACAGCAGATTACTAACGAAACCTCCATCTAAGACCCAGAACCATGGAAAGCATAGAGAGATATGTATATGGAACAGAGAGCTTTCCCGTACCGATTTAAGAGCATGGTTAAGCTTGGCGTACTCCCCGAGTAACTGCGCTTGTAGAGGTGAGAGATGAGGGTGTCCATCATAAGGATTTTCAAATTCGTCAAGCACAGACGCGGAACCTCCTTGAGGCATAGTTTCAGATTGCTGATGCCGATGGAATGTTGTAACGAGAGATCGTTGAGAAACGACTTCGCGGAAGGGCGGCCGCATGGTGGGAATAATGAACCTCATTTATATGATTATGAATATTTCCCTCGCGCATGAGCTTTTCCGGAGAGGAACTCGTGATGGTTGCCAACTTGAGAACGTGGTCGGCACCAGCTGATTGGATAGATTCGGGCGTCTGAAATATCAAGTCACGTATGGCAACCGTTGCATAAGTAAAATGGCGCCAAAGACAAACCTCAGATCCTCCCCCGATATATATATGCCTGAAATTATAGATTACCGAATATGAAGCCAGGCTCAGCCATGACGAGATACCGGAAAGAGCATACTTCCTCAGTGTCGGTGAGTGTCCAGGAGAACGTGGTTCCCTTAAGGGGAATCATCGGAAGCAAACTGTTTCGTCCTCCAGCCAGACCAGGAATACTTAAACTGAATTGGAGTATGTACAGCAAGGTGATAACGCGGATTTATGTAATTCAAAAAAAAAACCTGAAAATCCCGACTGAATAAAAATTCAGTTGATTAAATAAGGGGCCCGTCTCAGTTCTAATTTAAATTTTCCTTACCAAGTAATCTACATATAACGGCAAACTCCTTATCCCACCGAAACGGAATTATATAGTGGGAGTGGATGCAGCTAAATATCCAACCCGCTCAGCCAAACCACACTAGGTCCTCCATCCCTTCCGCCCTTCCAATATGAGCTACTCTACGCTCTTCAATGATGGCCTTCACCAGCTCTGGGATCGCAAATACAGAGCTGGAACTTCCCCATCCGAAAGAATCACCATCTCCGTCTTTTCTACCGCTCCTGACTTCGACCATCCCGCCAAGCCCTCTCGCAGTGTCCTTCAGAGCTTCCTGTCCTTTGATGAGCCGTCCCTAGGCTCAATCTACGAAGCATCGTCTTCGATAGATTCCCTAATTTCCTGCGGCCTCAACGCACCCAAGTCAAGCAAAGACCCTAAGCGCGAGTTCACCTCATACCCCGCGTCAGTCTCAAGGTAATGCTCCACCTCTCATCGCCAAACTCTTCTCTCTCCGTGCAATCGAGATGCTTATATCTTAATCTAGGCGATCTTTCGAAAGCGCTGTGACTCTCCCACAAACGTCACGAAAGTCACGGTCCTCAACATCATCCGTGTTCGGCGGAACTTTGAGCAGAAGACGTTCACTTCCCGAAGCAAAACCCGCCCCATGCTCTATTCCTCCGCCAACGCCGACACCCTCCAGACGTGCATCGGGTGCATCCTGGCTTCCACGGATTGCCGTGTCGCGATTCCACCCCTCCATCCCATACTGTTCGAAATCGTCTGATTCTGACCACGCAGACGGAGAAGAGTGTGACGTCCAGCACCTTTCTGATGCATCCTCCTCATCGTCTTCTTCATCTAAACGGACCAAGAGCAGTGCGAACAGTATTTCCCAAGTTTCGACCAAATCCGCATCATCAACGTCTACCATTACTGTATATTCACCATCGCTTCGAATAGCCGTGCCACTCCCACATCCTTCAACAACCTTCTCAAATCCCCTTCATTCCATTGTCCCTGTCTCAGTGTCAGATGAATCCGACCTTGAATTACCCCATGTGTCTCTCATCCCGCTGCCACCTTCACCCCGAGGCGACTCTCTGTCTATCTCGTCCATCAGTCGTTCCAGTACTGTATCAACTCGATATCGCAAGGCCAGACGGTCTGATGCGCTTGCACAACTCGAGGGTCACAAGTCGCCTATACCGCCAGTACCCCCACTTCCTTCAGTCCATTCTCGCTCCCATTCAAACCCCCAATTGCCATCGTTCGCGCCACGGCCATCTAGTGAGCGGCGGTCTAGTCTGCACAATGATGCGTCTTTTGTATCATTCACAGAGGATGAGGACTCAAGCAGCGGGCTCGAAATGTTTTTTCGCCGCAAGGAACCGCGGGCTTCAAAGATGACGGCGTCGACAAACATCGGTAACACCGTCGTAAAGGAGCAATTCTACCGCCCTACAAAACTCCTGCGTGGTTGGAGGCAGCAGCGTCGGAGAAACTTTATTGACCTCCGGTGAACGGATGGGTTCTTGCCTATCAGAACTTCACTATACTGAGTCGCAACATACGAGACCGGCAACCACATCTTGCTTAGCTCCTCGGCCCCTATCTATTCCTGGATTCCTGTCAATTGTATATCACCAAACCCATCTTCGTATTAATATTGCGTAGTCTTTAATCCATCTGCGGTCCAACTTTGTTCCACCCTTATCTTTTTGCGTGCTTGCTCGTTCTCTCTCTCACTGACGCCACGCTTTGTGAACCTACGCCTGGCCCGTACTTCGGTCGGAACGTCTTCCGTTCCTTGTAACCATTTGTTTTCCCTCGCACGCTCCTCATCTCGTATCGCTCTTTCTCATTCGCCCATTGCACCCTAGACGGGTTTTCCTTTTTCATCTTGTCTTTATTCGCCTTTTGTTCTTTGGTTCAATATCTTACGACATTTGCTTACGATCATTACCTCCACATTTCGACTTCACTTAGCGCCATATGATATGTCTTTTTTTGATTCTTTCTCACAGACAAATCCTTCATACATATCTCCTTCTGACGGTTCTCATTGCTTCCGTCATGCCAATCAATCCTGGCCTTCGTCTAACGTGTCCCATATTTGAGTTTAACTTCGCCCGCTATGCTCAAGCTGATTCTTGTGTGCAAGCATGCTCCGCAGGGGCGGACCCATTCCTTCCCAACCCTATAACTGTTCCTTCTCAACGTCCCGTACGTACCCTCTCCCTACGTACGTTATTATATTGCCACTGCGAATACACTTCAATATGGGATTTCTCTTTTGTTCATGCATACAAATCTCAGCTGTATGAACCGTGAGGGAAAATTTATTTGAACATTGTCTCCGACTCCTTTGACGTGAGAACGTTGTGCCAGTGAGTACTTGTCCAGGCCAGCTCTGATTGTTCGAATAGTTCGATCACAATCATGACCAGTTGATGAGCGAATATGGGTGATAGGAGGTGGCCAGGGTCGGCGAGGGAATAATACAGTGAATCGCAAAACGTGGCCATGTTTGACAACGTCGTCAGTTGCAACGAGCCCAGGGTACAACACCCTTCATTTGGATCCGAAATTGGTCGATCGATGTTGCCACGACAGTACTGCAGATGTGGTCAGGGTTGAGTGTAACTTCTGGGTCCATCACACAGGTTTGTTCAGCGCTGTTGTCGCAGACCCTGTTGACCAATAAAACTAGTATTGCAACAATGTTTGATATAGACCGGTGTCGCACTAGAGCGGGCGGTCCCTTTGCCTGTTGAGATGTGACTACCGGCGCATTGCTAGAGCTGTGAATGTTGTACGAGAGCGGATCATTCAAGCTGTGAAAAACGAGCTTAACCGACCAGGACTGGGCGTAACGGCCGGCCCACCACAATACGTGCAACTACATATTGTGAGACTTGCATCAAATATGTATAGTATATGTATATGTGTCAATCAGCGTTAGGGACGACGGGCCCATTCCTCCTGAAAGTGCCGTCCGTATCCATGGATCCGGAAGTCTGTGAACTTAGTCGGTGCATTTCCTCACTGCTTTTTTTTTTCCGCTTCGCCACAGCGCTATATACGATGCACATGGCCTTGCGCCAGGCGGGAATCGCAATCAAAAAAAAATTAATCCCATTACATCCATCTCACGCTGACTATTGCGAAATCCTGTGCTTCCGTCCGCACGCACACGACTAGTAATTATACCGGTGCCAACAATATCCTGTTCCGCTCACGAGCGGACACTCGGGGCCCGAGTACATGTCAATGATGCTTTGGGAACCATCAATATGCACGAACCCAATATTACCCGGGGTATCGTGGTTCTGCAATACTGCGGCATATACTGGTAGCAGTTCATACTGTCGAGCCCGCCTTGATATATAGCGAATCCACACGTCGGCAGCGCTACCACCGAGAAAGCCTGCTTCGAATCCTCCGAACTAGTTCAATGTTCGGTGGAACGTCGCATCATCAAATGATCATGTCTAGAGTCAAACGTCGGGGCCCGCATATATAGTGAATATCGCGACACTAAGGTAACCGCTCACGGAAACTGACTATTGATCGTCAACTTCGTTCGCTTGGGGGGTTAAAAACAATCCTACAAGAAGACCGGCGCCACAAGGAATTGGATATTGACGCATCACATCATACGTGTATCGCGTTTTGTTTCTTGCCCGTCAATGTGATAGGCATGTTGCACGAGTATATCCCACTCGTCCGCTTCGCTAAGCTTCTCCAGCGGATATCAGTAGGCTCCAACATTCATTTCACAGGAGACGTTGTCACCGCACGCTCCGCAAAGTATCGGTATGATCCGAGCCCCAATACCATAGTCCCTCGTGCATGACCGCATTCAAATGGTCTGCGATACACCGGCTGGCACAACACATACTGTACATACTAACACCCTCCTCTACCGGAGGATAGTATGTGGCTACGCTGCTGACTTCCTGTCGACTCATCCCGGTACCCTGTTCACCCATGATCTGCAGATTGGAATTTCTCTGCATCCCTTTTACTCTCCCTGACGCTGAATGTGCAAATAGTTACGGTCGTCGTACGCGTGCGTACAGGTGTATGGCCAAACCCCCTTTTTTTCCCTGGTGCAACACTAGACGCAGGGTTTCTACATATCTATAGATTATAGATTATGTATCTTGCGTCAAAGTTTGCAATGCGCAATTATGTGCCGGCCGTGTGCGGTACCCCTGAGCTTTTTCGGTTTCTGGCTGACAGCTGTGCCTAAACAGGAGTCATACCTTAGCTCGGTGGTGAAAAGCTCCTCGCTGACTGGACAACGTTCTCTGTTCTCGGTTACAAAGCAGCTGATCCGCCAGAGGCGCAGTTTCCCCATCAATCCTCCAAAACGGCGTATTGGTTGGGGCTCGCACATGTCCTACCTCAAGAGGGATAGGATTCGCCAATCCACTCCCTACCAAAGGTAGCGATAGGGGTCAGCTATTCAAGATACAATATACTTTGTGTGAATCGGCACGCGTATAGCTTCCGAGTGTGGGGCCCTCATTCTTGAAGCTGTAGGCCGGCTCTCGCCCAGCTATATATCATATTCCCTGCTGGTCAAGCCCTCCCACGTAAAAGGGTGCTTGTATTCGTCTCGCTTGGAAAGCCTTTCTGTTATTGGAAAGTGGCAGTTCCGCATTCAACTATTTGTAGGCAACAACGAATTTTCAATGATGTGAAGTGTTCCTTGACCGCGTATGTATAAAAATCGTACCATCCTCGTCGGCACCCTTCCCCTTTGGGCAACTCCCGCCAGTCCATCGCCTTTGTTAACCCGTAACGGTATGACCGATAATGGGTCCACTTCACGACCCACAGCATCAACAAAGAGCCAGCTGCGCAGGGGAAGCAAGCAAGCCGTGACTGTTTTTCCTTTTGACACAGGCACGTTTTGGTCGATCAACTTATGATCTACCACATCTGCACGAGGCACTCTTCCTGACACAAGCCGCTTTCGCTCTTGGACCGCGAGTAGAGTTTACATTCTTCCCCGGCCTGACGTGATGCTCATGGTAATTGCAAATCTCCTCATTCACAACTCTTTTATGTATGGGAAAACTCCTGCGTGGTGTTGGTCTAGGCAATGAGCATGGTGGTTGCAGTGCTCCAATCGCTCGGATAATGATTTCCCTGGCAAACCTTCCCGCCATCTTCTCCATCCGAGGGAAGAGAAGGCCGGTCCACGGCATTAATGACCAGGGCGCTGCATGGGGCTAATTCGCGTTGCTGAGGTTCGGATTATATTGCATCGTGGAGCCTGAGGGTGCTTCCGGTTCATGATCAAGATCGCATCAGCGCGATAGCTACATTCTTCCATCAGCGATTCTTCGCCGTAGTGCCTAACACTTCCTAGGGAAATAAGATTCGCTTTCAAAGTTGTATCTCTCTATGAATGATTCCATTGTCACTTTGGGTCCACGGAGCTCCCACCTGCAGTGAAATCTGCACGGGTGCTTCCAGTGCAGGTCGGGTAAAAACCGTTGTAGTTCAACGGCATCATATATATCGGACTTCCTTCCCGCTTCGCCGAGGTCCGAATGTGGACATGAAATTCCGGTCACTGACTGAATGTTCCTTCAAGGACATCAACGTCAATGCTTATCTCGCCTTTGTCCTTGGATTGTGAACAGGGCAGGAAAACGCTCTGTCCTTGCATGGATGGTGCCTGTGATCATCCCTTAATGCTGCGGCCTGCCGTAATTCAGGCGGTCTCGCTTGCGGGAATCGAACCATCGCTTGACGGTGTTACAACAAAGCATCTAGGGAGGTAGGGAATCTTGGCCTTCGACCCACCCTGTGCTTCCTCTGTGGTGACGGTAGCCTTGGCCACCAGAACACGATCAACAGTTCGCTACCTATGCTGCTATGAAACTCGAGGACTCTAACTTCTAACCTACATGTCGTGTATCCAGGCAAGGCCCAGATTCAACTCAGGGACAAGGATTGACCTTCAATTTCCGCTCGGATACGCATTGTTTGAGGATCCCATTCATACCATTGCAACAATTTTGCGCTCGCAGGAATTTTCTCCGAGAATAACGCGACATGTACACTCATATACGCACGATCTTACTCGGGAGCGAAGAGACAACACAATTACATACTGGCAAATCAAGCTTTGACTCTGATCATGATAACGGAGTGTCACTCCGTTTTGCTGATCATCTCCCAGAAAGTTGATAATTTGGAGGCCCCACTTGCCCCAAGAACGGTCTGTGCTATACTACAGTAACAGAGGCTGGTAACCTGCCTAGGTCTGCGCTGAACCCTACATAGATCGTATCTCATAATCGGCGGACGCGCTTCGCGAGCTCCGAAATCCGATGAACCCGAAGGTTATCCAAATACCCCCGGTCTCGCCCACGTTACGGTAACTTCAACAGACTGAGACACGCCCCACGTCAGAGCCACGGCCGCCGCTAATATTGAGGGTCCCCATCTGGCACGCCTCGTGATAGTCAACCGTAATATTGGTAAGGCGGTGCAACCAAGTTATGAGGCTGGCAGTGCAAGCGGTTCATTGTGGGGTAAGCGAAATATTTCTTATCATTTCGGCATATTTCGGCATATTTCGTGATCGTACCGTGGCCTAAGATCCCTGTACCGTTGAGGGTGCCAGTCCCCTCAAAATGTTGTATGTATATGGACATTGATCATGGTATGTACAGATAAGGGGTGAACACCCGCATGGGGTTAAGGCCGCGGGCTTTACGATCGATACGGGTTGCTCTCCAAATATGGTCTGCACTTATTTTAGTTGCAAAGGGTCATGTATTGTAAAACCCCTAGTACGAGGGACTTTTCAGCAGAGCTTATCTACGGCTGCCCTCGTTAAAATTGGGTTGCGGGTCATCATCGATCTTGATTTTCACCAGTCTTTTTTTCACTTCTGTAGCACACACACGCATTCAATTGTACAGATCCGCGAACATCGCATTGGCCATTCAACTTTCGCCGCATACAATCCCACGCTTGGTACCTTGTCGCTCTGTCACTGCAGAACCATGTTATCGTATGAAAAGTCAATCGAAGGACTAGAGGCTAATGACCTCAAGGGAGATTGGGATATAGGCTCGTTCCGAAAGTAGATACTTGGTACCAGGGATAGACGAGTTCAAGGCTCGATTGGGCACTATATGTTGACGGGGTGGGAAAGTCACCGTTCATACCGGAAGAACGTGTTCCTGGCTAGTATGCACGAAGCCATATTCGGAAACGGGTGTGGAGGAGACAAGTCAGTAGAGAGATCGCCGTTATCATTCACACCATTCCAGATGGACAACCAGGTTAGAATTTATTACTTATTGACGGAAGCCAGTATTTTGGTATTCCTACAATGATTTAGTGTAGCAAAACCGTTCCCATTATGTTTCAACCAATCACTGTCCAATATACGGCGTTCTCAGCCCGTCACGGACCGAAATTCAGTGCAGAGATCGGGGAGTTCCGTTAGCCACTGAGAGACTTTGGCTTGCTTTGGGGTCCGAGATTGGGATAGTCTCGTGTCTTGCCAGAAAGCGCCGCAACAAGCGGTTCCATTTCCCAAGGAAGCTGCTGCTACCGACGCGGCCAATGACATGCCCCTAAGCTAATAGCACATGTTAATTGGGTCTCCCACACGGACCGAACTCGAATACGTTAGCATCAGGTTCATGTGCAACGGGGGTGGCTGGCTAGATTCCAGAAGAGATAGTAGCGTCTGGAAAAGAAGCTCTAGGGTAATGTGTGATTGTAATTCAGTGTCTCTATGAACCTGAGACTGTCACAGTGCTTGGCAACGGGGGGGCCGCCACTGAGTCTGACTGAGCCTGGCGAACACATCAGAGAACAAGATGAGGCTCGGGTCCGCTCTTCATGCGTCAAGAAAACTTTCAGCTATGACTGACATGTCCATGTGGCCTTTTTCAGTGGGACAGGCAGCAATATTCGCTCCTCTTGGCAGAGTTGTAGTTGTAGGCTCTCTGGAAGTTTATACTGAAGAATGCCTCATCCCACGCTAATTAAAGCACACAACCGCAGTAGGTTATAATGCAGCCAGGGACCTGGCTACTCATTCCAAGAGGCACAGCTTCATGCCCAGTTGCTGAGATAGGAAGGTCAAGGTAGAACTCGAGGATCAGGAGAAATTAGCCCTGATATATCGAAGCTGGCGAGCCTGGTCACCACTGTGAATGGTAACCTACGGAGAAGAGTTCTGTACACTAGGCTGTTGTTGTCTCAGCAAGCCATGAAGGGGCAAAGCTCTTGCGGCAGTCGGCCCGAATACAAAACCTCCGCAACTCAGGTGTATCATGAAGCGGATGGATGTACAAGAAAAAGAAGGGCCAAGTCTAGCGCCAGCCGCCTTTTCGGCGTGGTAGTTTCACTCGTAGTACTAGTACTGTCGTCCAACCACGAGGCTTCTGAATCGGCATGTCCTTACACGTGACGTCCGTGCCTGCTGCAGCTCCAGGTTCATGCGCTTGAACTTTTAATTGCCAGATGATACTATAAGATGCCGCACGGTATGGACGGGAAGCATCATTGAAAACCGGTGCTTTTCCTTATGAGTGCAGCTGAGCCCACCACATCTAATTCCCGCCACTCCGGCCCCGAAAATGAACCAGTCCATCATCTCCATTCGCCAACGCAGATTTGTGGTAAAGCCTTCGAAATGCCGGGAAACCGGTCGATTCTGATGTGACTCTTAAGCCAGGATGCAAAGATCTGCTCAACTTCAAGCCATGTCAGCTGATTCACAGCGACTGCAAAGGGAGTTCAAAGCTAATTTCGCTACTATGGAGCCAGCTATGATAAAGCTTCGTTTGCGCCAGGTGCGGTTCTTCACTTTTTCTCCCCATTGATAACATTCACTGAGCCACAGTTATAGCTTGAGCGCAAAACAGCAATAAGATTGAAGATACTGGATCGTTTCGAAAAGTCGAATGCGACCCCCACATTCTTAGCGCTAATACAGGACGATATGGTGCGTTCTTCTCGCATTCTTCCCGTGCCTCGAATTCCTGACGGAAGTTTCAGCCCTACGTCAATTTTCGATTGCCCCTAGAGCAGCAATATTTCGAGTACACACCGTTATTTATTTCGAGAAGGAGAAAAATTTGGCCACGGCCCCAGCGATTCACAAAACGGCGTCGGCGGCTCATGTGTTGAGCTCCCAGTCTGCGCTCAATGCACCGCATCATCCAGGTCGCGGGACTCGCAAACCGCCATTCTTATGTAGCATTGTGTGATAAAAACACTAGTACTGCAATATCTCGATGATTTTATTACTAAAATTATGTTTTATCATCGATGTTCGTGAGCTTGCGTTGAATCGTTGAATGAGGATTTTCGATCGAGTGAAGCGTGGGAACTGTTCGGGCGCGCGTGCATCCGTCTTCCCGACCGACAGCCACGAGTACTCTGCCATCCGCAACGACAGCAGCATCCATGCCGCCCGATGGAGTATCGGACGCGAGGGGGAAGTCCACCATACAGTGAGCACCTTCACGCTGACTTTAGACATCCTGTAACCTTGTTGTCGTCATCAGAGCTGTTGACTTCTTCCATGTGCCGCTACAGCGGCGACTTCAGACAATGGCAGTTGCATTCTGGGGGTTTCAAATGGTTATATCTGTCTCTGTGTTCTTGTACCTCTGGTTAGTCTTCCGTCTCGTCTCGGTTGCTTACACGATGTCAATTGGTCTGCTATTTACCAGCTCGTTTCCTTCACTATGGCCGCTGACTATTATATACACTATATGGGTATTTGGATTTGATACAAGCCCGCGCAGGGGTGGGAGGGCGTCCAAATGGTTCCGAAATTTACCCTTTTGGAAACTATGGGCTGCGTACTATCCTCAGACGCTGATCCGGGTATGCCATTCATGCTTAGATCCGCTCCGCAAAGCTAACGCTATGATTGGTAGACTGAAGAACTGCCTCCTGATCGTCCTTATGTGTTTGGATATCATCCACATGGTGAGAGTTAAACCAGGGCGCATCAGTTTCGTCTGATGTTTCAGCGTTTAGGTATAATTGGAATGTAAGCTTAGATGGTCGTCGTGGACACCAGTTTTCTTTAATAGTCCTGTTTAAAGGGGCGCTTTCTGCACCTTTGGGACCAATGGTAAGCCCATATCGTTCATGCATTATCCGGGCGCTGATGGAATCCGCTTAAAAGCAACTGGATTTGAGGAGAACTTCCCGGGTATTCAGCCGCATCTGCTCACTCTGACAAACAATTTTCATATTCCGATATACCGGGATATCCTGTTACATCTTGGTGTTTGTTCTGTCAGTAAGGCGTCATGCACCAACATCCTCAAGAGAGGTTAGTACTGGTGTCGGCGCTAGCAACTTGTGTTTACATGTCCCATTGAGCAGGGGCGGGACAGAGTATCACGATTGTCATCGGAGGGGCGGCCGAGTCGCTGAGCGCGCATCCCGGAACCGCGGGTTCGTTATCTCATTAGACAAGAGCACACCGTTCTTACACTCGCTACAGACCTCACCCTTCGTAAACGTCTTGGGTTCATAAAGATAGCAATACAGAATGGGTGAGTCCTGAAATTGAACGTCGCTTGTAGGCAGTTTCTAAGAACGTCCCCTTAGAGCCGATCTTGTCCCTGTCTTTGCGTTTGGTGAAAATGATGTGAGCGCCTGAACCTTCCCAATCATCCATTCATATTGTTGACACACCCTCGGATACAGGTTTTCGAACAACGTAAACGCCTCTTGCCGGTTTTATCGCGCAACGTCTGATTAGGACTCTTCTCAGTAAAAAACGAAAAAGGATCCACGATTTATAGCATCCAAACCAAGTTCCAGAAGCTATTTGGCTTTACACTCCCTCTTTTTCACGGAAGAGGGCTATTCACTTGTGGGTTCATTTTATAGTTCCCCATTTTTGCCTCAGAGTACATCTCGATGAACGTTGTTTAGATAATGTTGGTTTACTTCCTTTCCGGCATCCCATCGTATCAGTAGGTTAGTTCATGGTTATGCACCTCAATGATCTCGTCATTCAATTTTTTGTAGTCGGACGTCCTGTCAGTGTCAAGCAGAATCCTAACCCATCAAAGCAAGAGGTAGAGGAAGTGCAAAAGCGATACATAGAGGAACTCTACTGGTATGGACGCAACTCGATTTGCACAGATGACCATTTTCATATCACCGTTCAGGATTTGGGAGACTTACAAGAATGAATATGCCAAGGATCGCACTAGGTGAGTCCTTCAGCATTTTATCCTACGCTGTGATTGTTGACTGACCGGACTAGGGAAATGGTCCTGATCGCCTGAGTTGTTTAGGACGCTCAATACAAAACTAGCATTTTACTTGAACAATTCTTGCACTTTCTTGACACTACCAGCTGCGATCATTCTTCTGTGTACAATACGTGTTAGATTTTATTGCCACTAGATTATTTGAGAAATCCTCCCAAGGCCCTTTCGGTTAATTGACCAATCGCCATAACCAGTTCGTCCGTTCCCCATTGACCTACAATGCTTAACCCAACCGGCCAACCGTCATCACGCGACATCCCCATCGGAACACTTAAAGCGGGCACTCCGGCTAGTGAAGCTGGCACAGTGAGCACATCCTGCACGTACGGATCCAGTTCACTATTCTCCTTCTGACGTTGGACCAGCGGCGCTGTGCGTATCGCGGAAGGATGCATTATCACGTCTACCCTGCGAGCGGCTGAAGGATTGTTCGGAGTAGAGGAAAGCACGTTAGGGATTCTGAACACACGATCAAAGTCCGATCGGACGAGGAGCCGAACACGTTGGGCTTGAAGAAAATAGTTATCGAACGCCCTTGGAACATCGTTATCATCGGTTAAATTGCTCGTTTTGATACGACGTACTCGGAAGTCAGTGCGTAGGTCCCCAATAAGATACGCCGTTGCACTTCTTCGCCAAAGCCTTTGGTACGAGTGGATGCGTACACATTTGCACTGGTGGTAACAGGGGACCTGGTTCCTGATCTGAAGCCTTCAAACGGCAGATGGGCTAAATTTCGAGAAGGTGAAGGGGTTTGACTCACCATATCGAATCCCATCATATCTGGCCAAGTTACTGCCAGCCTCTGAGCTTGCGAGAACATAATATGCACTCAATGCATATTTGGTGTTTGGGAGTGAAATGGGGACAATGATTGCGCCGAGGTTTCGGAGCTTAGAGATGGTCGATAGAAATAAATCCGAGATGCTTGGGTTCAGCTCGGCCGGAAAATACTCCTGCCAGAATATTCAACGTGGAATCAAAGAACCGGAAAATGGCTCATGTACTTCAGGAATACCAATGACAATATTTTTCAAGTCGTTTGGAAGGTTACTTTGAATTGCTGATCTCGCTTCGTCGCGTAGTTCATTAGGAATGCTTGTAGGGTCGTTTATATCGTACTTTTCCAGAACACCTGCATTCATCTGGTAAGGGAGGTAGGAAGGAGAGAAGGAGCTCTTACGAAATAGGGAATGCACTTGAGAAACACCTGCAGCCATGATGCCCACACAGTCCAGGCTGTCAGCAAATGAAATCACGCCCCATCTACGAGTCAGCATTAGCCTCTGTCAACCAGTGTCGGGAACAAGTTGGTACCGGCTGATAAGCCCATAAGATGGCTTGAAGCCAACAATCCCACAATACGATGCTGGAAGACGAGTAGACCCGCCAGTATCGGTTGAAAGTGCCCTGCACCCATTGAATGAGCTACGGAGCATGGCACACATGGGCCGTCACGCACGCATAGCACATATAGGCAGCAACAGCTGCCGCGCTTCCTCCGGAGCTTCCGCCCGCTGACCTCTGCTCGCGATGACGCCAGGGGATCATCGGGGAAGGGGTCTGAAACGGGTTTAGGACGGGACCATGGTAGGTGTAGGTGTTCATTGATCTTTACGGGGGGGGGGGGGGTTCAAATTTACGACCACACGAGAGTGAGGGTCGGGCTCACCCCATCCCAAACTCGTCACAATTGGTTTTTCCGATGATAGTTGCGCCTTCTTCCTTCAGTAGGCGAACGACAGTAGCATCGTAAGAGGGTTGGAAATCTTGTGAAATCCCTGCGTAAGATGACGAATGGAGAGATCAGTCATGAGGGTGGCACCTTGAAGGATGAGAGAAGAGCTGGTCGTCGGGAACTCGGAGGTGCAGATATTATCCTTCACGGCTATAGCACAGTTGGCGAGTCGGCCTGGGGCTGATTCAACACCAGTCGCTAATAGAATTATAAGTGAGGGAACGGAAAAGATTGCATGCACCCACGCGCTTGGTTGAATGCGACAAAGGCGTTCACGCCGCCTTCGCCTGAGTCTTGTTGTTTCACATTCGTAACACATTCCCGCATTGTCGGTCTACGGAAGATTGACAACAGCCTACGATGCCATATAGACGGTCCTCTTTTGAGCACTATGCGATGAGCGAGCATGAAGTGCCTTGAAGGTGGGCTGCTGGCCTCTGGGACGATAGAAGGCCAAGACCTCAGCCCGCGCCTTGGTTCTGGCGGATGCCAATGGCACGAAGAACCGTGCGAATTCGTGTCTGACTGCGTTCCCGACCTTATGTCGTCTCAAGAGCCGAGCACGTCCTCGTCCAGAGCATCATCAGCTCAACAAACCCTGGATAGTTAGTGTCGGAGTGGCCTAAAATATTGCCTGATTGATACCTCACCTTTGTTCAGTCCTTTACGACATGTCGCAATTGCTGAACACCCAACTGGATCGAGAACAGCTTGCGACGTGTGTTGCTATGATTGAAGGTGGTGTCAACCCCGAGGCACTAGCTGTAGGTGTCATACGATGATCATGGTGGCAGGGCACATTTTTACAACAGCGTTTGCAGGCAGTCATTCGAGATCTAAGAAAGGCAGCTGCACAGGACACAGCGTCCGCGACAAAAACAGTTACGATAAATACAGGATAAAGATACAACTCTCGGGATAATGATGCCATTTCATCAATACGGTCACGCATAAGCAATAACACGCTAGTTATCTGCGTCTGGGATCTATCGTTTTCTTGCTTTCCACGAATACTTCAACGTGTGTCCTGAAATCCTTGTCATTTATATAAAGCTGCCAAAGGGTGGCCTGTGCTTCAGGTGTCCACTCTGGTGAGCGTGCATTGATAGGACGATTGAGGGTTAGCCACCTCGCTACTTTGTAACGAGGTCCCTCATCCATTGAATCAAAATCCTCTCGAGTGGTGGGTAAGGCAGATCTGAGTCGTTGTTGACTAGGCTCCGCCTGTCGGGTGGTATCTTCCATTTTTTGGTATATTGGAAGTTCAATGATCCGCTGCAGCTCCCTCAAGGCTGACCATGTATCAGTTTGGCGGTGTTGTAAATGATCATGTTGCTTTTTGAACCACTGTGCCAGTGGTGGGTGTCAATTAGTGATGATATGTGCATGCACCGCATAGACTCACGTCGAGATCTTGTGGTCTTGCGCCAAGGAATTCTTCCGACAGAATTTGATCAGAATCGAGTCTTTGCGATTGCATCACTTGTAAGTCAAACAATGTATTTAACGCCTCTTGGCGTTCGGCTTTGGCAGTAGCTGCGCGCAACAGGAGTGTTTCTTTGGACGGAACTTGGGTTGGTTTCTTGTAGGCCTTTAACTCATCGACACTGGCCTGTCAGCGTTAATGACACGCCCACGCTGTACGCTCACAAAACAAAACTACCTGGGGATTGGATTGCCCATATGTGTGAAGAAAAATGCTGCAATTTCTTCGTCGTACAAAGTGTCGGGATGATGTGTGAGATCTTTTTGTTCTTGCTTGGTGACTGCCCTTGAACGCATTTCGGAGTCAATGGCGGCATCCTGCACCACATCGGGCTCTGGTACTTTGCGGTCATTTTGGACATTTGGGGGAATCAGTCCAGATTGGATAGCCATGGCACGCCGCTGTCCGCGTCCCGTCATGGCTTCGGGAGTCCTCGTATTGGTGCGAGGATGCTCCTTGTTCACGCTCATCCAGATCTATATGGTAGATTAAAGTAGCCTCTCCAGTGATAGAGCTACACGGTGCGGGGTGATGGAGTCCGGCTAGACCCGATTTCAGCGGCAGTACCCGGTACGTTCTTCACTCCTAACAATCTGTGTTCCATCGTGGAACACCAGAACTGACATAGATTTAGCAATCGCTTGGGGATAACGGCATGTTTGATGGTCCGCACAAATAACTATAATCTACAGCCAGGTATCATTTTAAGCGAATGAAAGCCAGATGTGAGCGCCCGTTGAATCTGCTACGATCAAAAACTCGCGGTGCGGTACAGCGGAAAGTCATGGAGACAACGTACTCGGGCGGTGGTGTGTTGACGAACGACCAGAAAAAAAGCCGGGTGCCGAGCGCGTTGGTGAACGTGCCGACGAAGGAGCCATGCAACTGCTGAAAGCGGTTTTGGTCCGGAAGGGAGTATGGGAAGCCTTACTAGCACGTGTGGGGTCCGCGATGGCGTCAAGGGAAGGTTATAGGAGCTGAGTACAGGCGAGTGATAAGGCAAGGATTGCGTTTGAAAAGAAGAACCTCACGGTACTATTCAACCAAACCTGGATCCTGCTCACACTATGTGGATGCCAACCGTACGAGAGGTGGCGCTCGGAAACTGCAGAAAAATAATAAAAGTTATTCTCCACACAAGTCAGAGCACAGACAGTTGCTGGCGGCGGCGAGATACATTGGCGTTTCAAAATGGACGGCAGGTGTCGCTCACACATAGCCGCAAAATGAGAAGTGCATTCAACACATTTGAGGGAAGGCACGCAACACAGAAAGATAGAATATTCTTACAGCTCCTCCCAACTCTGATCATCATCGTTGGAGGCGTCGATGGAACGCCAGCATGAGAAGGGAGAAGGGAGTTCATATTGTTAGTTAGGACGCGCGCACCAAAGAAGTGGGAGACGTACATAATCTCCTCGCCACCGGTCAACGAACCTTTGTCGAGGTCGACCAAGATAACTTTGGGGGGAGGTAGGTTGGTTGAGGGCGGGGGATCCTCTTTGAACTCAACTTTGTTGGCGGGACGCTCGACGAATTATTTCTTGGCTACACGTTCCTTTACGCTTGAATAGTCCCTGAAGTTGGAAAACCTGGATCACATTATTGCAAGGGGGTTTTGTCCACTCACATTATGGGTTAGAATCTACCACAATACCCAACCAACCACTTCAGATTCTAATTCTTGCACTCTTTTTTCATGTGCCACTCAGTGGGGTTATTTTTAATCTCCACCATCGTCGCTCGACTCATTGTTCATGCTCATGCTCAGGTGGAAAACTTTTTGGGATCCAGGGCTTTCCGAAGTGCTGCGTCCTCTGATGGTCAGAGGCTCCTGGGTTTTGCAAGGCAATCGCAATGTGCTGGGTGAACTCGGCTTCTTCGGTGTCATTATGATGGCGGAGGTGGCCGCATACGGAAACCAGCGTGCACTGGACGGCAAGAGCAGGGCCCCAACTCACTTTAATCCTGCCTCAGCGGACAAAGGCAAATGCGACAAACCGCCAATTGCATCTCGGAATGCCCACTTCCATGCCTCGAAATTATTCACAGACTAAATCTGTGCCCTGAACAGGCTCAAAAACGCTTCAGGTTTGGACCTCCACTGCGAAAGTTTAAAGCATGTTGGCCTCGAGCGGTACAGCTTTCCACAAACATTGGGCGGAGAACGCGAGCGTACGGACACTGGTCGTCGAGATAAGCCCAACCGTATTCGTTTTCTCAGATTTCAATGACATCTTCTGAGAGTGCATCGACCCATGAGTATGACCGTGACACACACTTTCCAGCCTTCTCAGAAGATGGGGCTTATCTCGACGACCAGTGTCCGTGCGCTCGCATTCTCCGCCCGATGTTTATGGAAAGCTGTGCCACTCGAGGTCAACACGCTTAAACGCGGACCAACCTTCGCAGTGGAGCCCCAAACCCGAAGCGTTTTTGAGCCAGTTCATTGGTTGGCGAATAATCTTTTCACATTTCGAGGAACGGAAGTGTCCCAAATGCAACTGGCATTTTGTCGCATTTACTTTAATGTGAGTTAAAGCGAGTTGGGCCATGATGACAGATCTAAGACAGATCGCACTCGCTCGCCATTAAAGGGGGATGCGCGCTGGTTTCCATACGCGGCCACCTCCGCCATCGTAATGATGCCGCAGAAGTCGAATGCGTTGCGATTGCAGAGGGTGCAGCACTCCGGTAAGCCAGAGGAGGGATTCATGGAACCCCAAATGATCCCCGCTTGAGCATGAGCAACGATGGTGGGATCCACAGTGAAGCGCCAGGAGATTAAATATCACCACCGAATGGCGCGTGAAAATGAGGAGCAGGAGCGGATGGGGATAGCGGAAGAAATTTGAATCAATCCGAAGTCGTTTGGGAGCGGTGGATTGTCACCCAAAATCTGAGCGCACCCAAACCTCCATTGTAATAATGCGACCCACAGTGGCAGGTTATAGAACCGAGAGGAGGCATATTATTACGAGACACAGTATAAAAACTAATTTGAAAGGGCCGGGCTAGTACAGTACATCACTGGAGAATACTTCTCTTAAATGTGTCAGTCAGTCCTTTGCCATTGGTCTAAAGGTATACCCCACCAGACCTTGATACAGCCCAGGCCGTCAATTGGTACTTCATTCTAGCCAGCAGACAAAAAAGAAAAAGGCCACGAAGCTCAGGCCCCTGGGTTGTCCGATAGGGCGAACATTTGAGGAGTAATTGAACGAAAGTGGGTGAGGGGTAAACAGTGCAATTGGAACGGGGAGCAGAGGATCCAGCGAGGAAAGTAGGATTGACATGAAATCAGAGATCAGAGGTTTGCCGCTGGCGCATAACTCAGAAAGTATCAACAATAGTAAAGTTTGAACTCAATGGCCGTGTAAAGAGGTCCGACAGCGGGAATCTCCCGGAAACGCCGACCGCATGGGCAATTGTGGAGAACGAGAGGGTCAAGATTTTCGTTCTTCGTTGCCGACGGCGTTCCTGGAATAATCGGAACACCTGCAGGTACTGCACAGCTTTGATCACAGCAGGTATCCGTCACTCCTGTCATGGCTCTCAATTCTCGTGACAGCAACTTTCCAAGCACCTCAATCGGTCGCACTCAAGGGAGGCAAATTGCCCCTCCTCAGGATCCATTAGGAGCGCACCCACTAGCCTCTTCGTTGCCTTCTGATGCGCCTAACCCATCTCAGACGGTCCCGGCTCCGCCTCCATACGTGCCATACACCCCACGACAACGACCAGCAACAACTACCGCTTCAGCGACGCTAAATGCATCGGTTTCTATCTCGTCTTCATCTCCATCCCATGGAGAAGCGACTTCAAGGCTGCAGCTTCAGGGTCTTAAAGCCACTGTCCAAACCGTTGGGATCGACAACAATAGTATTGGCTGGGCAATTTTAGAGAAACTCGTTGCTGGTGAAGTTGAAGGTCCCGAATGGGATGAAATATGGAACGTTATCGCATCTGGATCGGTGGGTTCATCAGTGCCGAAGTGTGCTGGTCAATCGCTCAATGAGTTGATGTCTGCAGGTAACCCTTATCTTGCCGCGAGAACAGGTCTCGAATGGGACCATCATGACTCCGGAGTTTGTGAGAGACCATGTCGCGTTTTGTGTTGTTCCCTTCAAAGAGTCCTCTCCTTTGGTGACTCTTGGTGGTCTCCGCGGTTTCGTCGATGGGTGGGTTTGACTCGTTGGGGATAATGATGTGCAAGCTTATCGTGATTCATTACATAGCCAAAAGATATCTATACGTACTGCACTCCCTACCCATCATAAGAGGTTTCTGGCGGTGAAAAAGCCGTCCATGCGAGCACATGCATTGCTCTCTCTCCCTCCTCTATATAATGGCTTCAACCCAGAAGGTCCTTTTCCAACGTTTTCTGTGTCGGCGTATCTATCTTCGCTTGCTTTGCCGTCACGGCCTACGCCTGTCGCTCTGCCTTCAGTGCCCACTCGCCAGAACCCCCCTGTGACGTCTCGTTTAGCGAACCCGTTTTCGACATTGTTTGGGTCAAGATCCTCAGCAGTCCCTCCAGCTTCTGTTCCACCCAGGCCCTCTTCTCCTTACCCCCCTTCGATAAAGAGCGAGGGTAGCCTGGATCATCCAAGTCCTTATTCTGCGGAGGGCCATATTGTGTCCGCTTTCGTGGTGGATCGCAAGATTATTAGGAAAGATGTGGTCAGAGCCTCTTCCAAGGCTCTCAAATCTACGATAAAGATGGAACTAGATGGACTGCCTATGTGGCTACCGGATCGCATCCTCAGGTGCAGGCCTATTCTTGTCTCCGCAGGAAATCGTGTCTTATTGCTGTTTAGTTTCACGGCACCACTTCAACCATTTCATAAGTCATATAGCCTTTTGCAGAAGCTGAACGACTCATCATCACCAATATCCACCACATCAAACGCTCCCCCGACAATTGTTGATACCGAATCAGTCGACGCCATGGCTAACTCCTTTCAAGATTTCTATGATGCAATTACGCATGACCTGGAAAGATCTGGGAGTCTTATGGAAGCTGGGCTGAAAAACCGCCTAAGCAGCAACCAGGATAATATTTCTGCGATACACTCACAGGCAGGAGTGCAAGATACTAACATAGTTGGGTCCTATCCTGAGGATGAAGCCAAGGAGATAGCGGTGAAGGATGCATTGGAGCGTATTGAAGAGTGTATGTCCAAGATGTTTTACGACCAGTGAGTATACACCGGTCACTTTTCTGTATGTGGCCCATCACTGATGGTGAATTTCGTAGGATGTTCTCGCCCCTGGAATGTGACGACACTTCCCACGATGAAGCCTTGTCAAGTCGTATAGCTGCCCTCGGCATCCTGGACCTTGGGTGGCAGCACTTGGGGGTAGAAATGGATGATGGCGAAACGAATTCGGAGAGCATTAATGAGCTTGTCGCTAAATGTGGAAAAAGTGTGTCCATTGCACTTGGTTCTCTGAAAAACACATCATTGACAAGTGTTTGGCTAGTTCTTGAGAAATTGCATGATCGTGACCATCACTCTCCCAGGGCAAAAGCGGAGGTACTGCTTGCAGTTCACAAGGAAATCGTTGGCAAGTTTTCTGCTATGGTCAATGCAGCATATTGGCCAGCTTAATTGGATGTCATAGAGGCTCTTTCGAGTTTGCCTCCTTTGCGGTTGAAACCCGAAAACGAAAAAATGCAGCCAGAGCCTGCAGATTTCACAGCCTCACATTCCACAAGAGATCCTTCCATACTATCAACGAAATTTCGGGAAGGCTCGGAAATGCACCAAGGTCTAATAAAGGAGGCAGAACTGAAGCAGCTTTCCCCTCTGGCTTCTCCTAGGGCCGTGCTAGATAAGTCTCCACTACGTGATGACTCGGCTTCCATTCCTTCTCAAGTGGGAATCAACATTACATCGGAATCACCAGAAAGGGCTCCGACGAAGACTCTCTCACCCACCAAAAAGACACCTGTCAACACGGACGTCATCCTTCCAATAATTATCTACTCGATCGTAAAGGCCAATCCTATCCAATTGGTATCTCATCTGCTGTTTATCGAGCGTTACAGATCCAGGAAAGTTGGGGGCGAGGAAAGTTACTGCCTGGTCAACTTTTTGGCAGCCGTTGAGTTCTTGGAGCATGTAGACATGCAGGCATTGGGTCTCGGAGAGGCGGATCGAGTGATGAGGTCGGCGTTCGACCTGTTTGAACGTTGAGAGCGATGACACTGACCTACCTTGGATGCCTAGCACCCACGATCTTTCCCCGATCCCCATCGCTAATACCAATGACCCGTCCTCGCCGCTTCCCATTTCTACACGATTGCGAGGACGGGTAGAACAGCAGGTTGGGGGATTGGCCAATTCGGCTACCAAAGTCATTTCTGGGGTTGGAGGCGTTGTTGATTCATCGTTTACTGCAATAAGAGGGCTCCTGGGTCCATCGGGAGATTCGCAAAGCGCTCCTGCGGATGAGAGCTCCATTGGAGCAGGGCAAGCTATCGTTTCTGCCTTAACTAGATCTAGTTTCGGTCTCTTAAGGCGGGGAGCAAGCTTCTCCGTAGCCAGCGCAGTAAAGAAGGGTGATCTGGAGGAAACTAGCGGTAGACAGCTGATAGAAGTCCCAAGGTCCGTCATTTTCACACACTGTCATTTCCTTGCCTATGTTCGTTGCTCGGCCAGATTTGGTCACCTCGAAGGTGCCAAGTATCCTCCAAGTGAGGGTGAGCACAGCTACGACAGCCCAGAAGACGGTAATAGCAGCGAAGATGACGGCGGGGGAGACCCTCGTCTGGAACATTCTTCTGTTCGCGATCGTTCGGATACTCGCAGCATCCGGAGTTTCTCGTCCATGCTGAGCAAGGATGCTCATCATGAAGACAAGAAGGAAAGAATAAGCTTGTCAGAACGACTGGCAAGTATGTCAGCGTTGTCTCGATTGACGGTATGTATATCTATACAAGTATTTACCGCGTCACCCCCTGACAAATCCGTTTCCACCAAGGGTGGCTCCGGGACACCGCCGGGCTCTCGACGCACATCACTTCTCCAAGCTCCGGCGCGGGAACCATCCGCACAAGCACAAGGTTCCCACCCTGCTCCGATCGAACGGATATCGCCACCGGACCCTCGATTCTTGGAATGTGATGAGAAGGATTTAAGAGTTGGTGAAATTCCTGCCTTGCTCGCCGATTACCGTCGCGTGGTAACCGCCTTGCGTGCTGTCGGAGGGTTCCATGAATAAAGTGTAAATGGACAATTGATGCCCTGGGTGTGCCCATGTGGTATGAATCTTGGTTTTACCTTGGAATGCATCGCTGCCGAGTTGGGAACATCGAGTATTAGAGACTACTTATTCACACAGCGCATTTAGGCGCCAGGCGTTCATCGGATCACGTGTTTTCCCGCCCTTGGACGGAGCGAAGAAGTGAAAATTTTGAACCCAAGGCTAATATGTCAGAACAGAGCAATATCGATGCTTCTAATGGCGCTGGGGCCAATGAAGTCCCATCAACATCCGCGGCCTCGATACAGAACCGAAGTGTGACCCCCTCCGTCAGACCAGCTGTTCGTCCCTTGGGTTCCTTTCGCTCCACCTCCACTGATGCTTTGGCATCAAGAGCGATCGGCAACCAAGGGAAGAAGCCTGATGTTAATGCGTCAGGGATGAATATCACTCGCTCGGGCGCCCCGAAAATGAGTTTTACCGCTAAAGTCGTCGGAAAACGGCAAATGGAGTGCGTTGAATGTTGCCAGATTCACAGTATCAAGATTGATTTCCACCCTTCTCCTTTCTCTTGTGTCTCAACGAAACCTTTAATCCTAATCTGTTTGTTGTCTGCCCCATGCAGATCTCCTGCACTAAATGCTACACAGGTCTGACCAGTGCTTCGATGCGCTTGCAACAGCTTACCCCTGTCACTGCCATAGACTGAAATGAAGCCTGCTGCATCAAGCCCCCAGGATGGGGGGCGAGGCAGAGGTTCAGACCGCGGACGGGGTCGTGGTGCAGTACCTCAGCAAACGGTCAGAGGCGTGTTTTCGCAAGGTCCTAGTTATGGTACACCGTTGCGTCATAATGCCAACACTACCCGCCAACGGGGGAAAGGTATCGACGCTGCAAATGCATCCGCTCATTATCTCAAGTCGCGGATGGGCACTTTTGGGCGAACAAAAGATGAAGCAGATGTGGACCAGTACTCTGACGATGATAATGCGGGTAAAGTCGTGGACATAAACGCTATGAATGACGACCAGGACTGGGGCATGCCCGTTGCACTCAAACGCATGAAAGAGGAAAAGGAAGGAGACAAGCTGGCAAAGAAGGGTATGAATTCCTGCCATTCTGGACACAATTCATGTAGGCAGTTAATGTGCCTTCAGTCAAGGTCGAAATGGAAGAGGCATCTATCTCTGATCTAACAAAGGCCCCTTCGTCAACAAAGAATGAGCTTGAAGTAGACTTCGCGAATGCACTGGATCTCAGCGAGAGTGAGGAGGAAGAGAGATTAGAGGATTTTATAGAAGATTTTGTCCTCCACCCTGACCCACAGAATCCTTCCGTTGATGTACGTTTCTCGCGTCTCTCTGTCACAGACTTTCATACCCATGCATTTACTTAGACTCCAGAGGACACGCCATTATACTTTTTCCAATTCCCGTCGCCTTTCCCCGCCTTCATTCCACCGCCTGTACCGAAATCTCCTAAAGATGCAGATGTCAAGGAATTTGAAAGTATGGATGTCGATGCACCTGTGGATGGGTCGAGTGCTCCACAAAATGGGGAGGAAATGAAAAGTGCCATTGATCAAGTTCCCCCAAGGAAAAAGTCTGTTTCATTCGCACCAGAGACCAAACCACCAGCACCCTCACCTGCAGCATCCACCACTGAAGAAAGCCCGCTGGATGGTGTCATTGGGGAACTGTTAATATACCGTAGTGGCATCGTCAAGATGAAGCTGGGAAATGGGATGGTGATGGATGTAAGAGTTGTATTCTACCAGACTTCTCATGGTTGACCATTCACTCAGGTTACTGCTGCAACTCAGCCTTCCTTCCTTCAACACGCGGTTTATCTTGACCCTTCAGAAAAAGGCGGAAAGGAGGTAGATAAGCAAAACACAAGCACGGAGTTCACCAGAATGACAGTGATTGGCGAAGTTGCTCGGCGGTTCATTGTTTCTCCGGACGTTGATGCTATGCTCGATGAGCTTGAACTGGAGAGCAATAAAAAAGGGGCGAACGTGTTAACGGAGCAGAAATAGGGTGACATTTTTCTATTGGGACGTTTCGCCTTGGCCTGCTCCGTTGACAGCTGAATAGGCCTGCGTGTAATTCGTCTTTGGTTGCACACCAGGTCTATTGCCCACCACTGCCCAAGGTCAGTTGGACATATCCTAATGTCTTGTGCCGTCACAGATAAATGGTATTGGTATTGGTTAAGGGGGTAGCAGCCAAACTGACTAATGGCGTGTTTCCTCCAGAGCCCTTGGTTTTGGCAGCTCGGGGTCGGTTATGAACTTAAGCTATGTAGGATAGCAATAATCAGCTACACATGAATAAGTTTTTGAGATGTAGTGCACAATTCGCCCACCACATACTAGAGTGGCGATTGTGGCTGTGAATGGGTTGGTCAATTTAACAGATGTTTGCAAACGTTTCTCTGAGTCGACCACCAATAGGTACCAGCCACTCAAATCCACTTGTAAGTGGCTCTTATGCTGGTACGCCGCTTCGGAAGGAACAGGGGTCATTTCCTGCACCTCAAGGTGCATGTCAGAGTATGCGTGAGGTCCTCATGCGACCTCTCAACCGGATCGACACTCTGTCTCAGGCTCTTCTGCGCTCTCTTGCCCCTTCACAATCTAGCGTCGCAAAACCTCCTGCTGCACCTCCTATATCTGCATTTATCGAAACAGATCAGGCGTTAGCGTCCGCGGTCAACATGGCAAAGGTGCACCAAGAAAAACAAAGGGAGATCGATGCTCTCACACAGGAAATCCTCGAGCTAGAGCGGGACCTGAGGGATAAAATACGATTCCTTGTTAATGGGAGAAATGCACTCGGCGAGATCTTACGGGAAAGTGAAGAGAGTCTCGAAGCGATTGACCAGGCTGCGAAGGGCACGTTATGAAGATTCGCTTGCTCATGATGTGCAACTTATCTTTTGCTGTGTGTTCAGGGTCGGTACCGTACGACGTGATTCTAGGTTATGCATCGAACATTGCTAATTTCACGTCTGCTCCGCCGACGATGGAGCTGCCATCTCCAAATACCCAAATGTCTGTTTCAGCAATGTCAACGTTTAGACCCCCTTTCCCGACAGAGGAAATGATGCGCAGAGGGAAAATGAACGAAGAACCGCCTCTGGGGTCTTTAGGCGAGACGACGGAGATCGGAGCAGGTCGGTAATTATCCTACGTGACTCTATGGCACCAAGTCACCCCTCCTCTTCATTTTGCAGTTGCACCTTCTATCGTTTCTACAAACGCATACCAGGAAGGTGATTTAGCTGTTCCTGGTCCTGGTCTTGCCACGCAATACTCTACCTACGCCAGTCGGCACCGTACAACACAGGATAGTGCACCCGCCGGTGACCTTTTCGATTTGGATCTCAATCCCGACTTCTGAAGATCCTTTGGCTGCACCCAGACACCGGACTGATTGACATGAAAAGAGCGGCGCAGTCCTTTAGTGTTCCCAACAATAAAGATATTCCGGCTGGGCCGGCTTGATCGAACATCTCGATGAAACGATGTTGCTGAAATACAATTGTGTAATAACGGGGTAAAAATAGGATACAGCAGAGTGGACATGATTCCGATATAACTAAAGAATAATCTATTGTGTTTATCCTCGACTGTTCAGCCAGTCCCTCACTCCAGAACGTGAGCTTAGCAAAGCCCAGTACTGAGCTAAGCCTTCGTCTAGGCCCATCTTCTCCCCCATTTCGATTGCTGCTTCAGCGGCCCTTCGAGTATCGTCTGGAGGGTCGAGCTCTGCTCCTCGAAAGAAGAGACGGTCAGCAGCTGCAGACGGTGTTGGAAGCGAGGAAGGAACCAATGTAAGGAGTGAGAGGACGGAGGACAGTTTGAGGGTCGTGCTGTTGTTGTGAGATGAGTGATAGGAAGAGTGCGAAAATGGATTAGAAGGGGATATCGATGCGAAGGGATGAGATGATGTAGTTAGTGATAAGGCGTGCATAGACAATTGTTTAAGGTATGCCTAGCTTAACGTATGAGGCAATCGTGGTGATTCTTAAGGTAGGGCAGTGCTTACCTCTATGGCGGCAGTTGCCAGAACGGCCACAGGTCGTGAAGTCGTAAGATTATGCTGGGAAGCGATTAAACTAACTCTTTCCAATAGGTTTTGCTGAGTGGGAAGAGCCCTCGTGCTCGTGCTGAGCTGAACGGGAACTCTGGTGAATGGTGGATCTTTGGGACCCGTGGTGGATGAGACCAGTAAAGATGCAACAGCACGCTTCTACTCACTCTTTCCTTCCTGGCGAAGCGCAATGCTTCGTTCTTGAGCAATTTCATCGTCTTTCCATTGTAGCAGGCCACCAGTAGAGACACCAGATGCAGACCCTGCGGCAAGCAACCTTTCCCTCTCGAACTTCCGAATCCCAAGTATCCACTTTCTTAGGCGTGGAGGAGGCTCTTGGTGAGGCAACAGACGCCGCCGTTTTCGCGCTGGCATGTTTGAAGAGGATGAAGCGGAAGGATCGTAAGAAGGATCTGCACGCGCTACAGTTATCATGGACATGAGAAGGGAATTATGCAGGATTACTGCGTGCATTAAATGGACGTGATAAGGACGAAAAAACGCGTTACGCAAGTAATACCACCACACACCTAGTTCCGGTGTATTGATCCACTTTCGGACAGCACGGTCGAATTCGGCGCGAGATATCTTTCCGGATAAGAAGTTGGAAAGCGTATTCCAGTAGTGCAGTCCATTAGCATCCAGTGCTGCCCCTAGCTGGGCCTTGACGGTGCTCGATGTATCCATACTCCGGCAAACGCGCGGACAACAGGTGACAGAAGATAATTGACACGTGGTCGACTGGCCAAGTTCCCACGCGTCGTGGTAGAGTTACACAAATAAGAATATTAATGCTGCCGTCTCTCATTCCGTTCCTACATGTAAACTCAATGTAGATTAGAGTAGGGGTAGCCGCACTGTCGCATCGTCACGCGACAAACAAGAGTTCAACAACAACAACCCTCTACACTAAGTGCGAGTACAACGAAACTAACAGTCATGGGCGGCGGGGCGACCCATCACATCATCAGGATACCGTCGCTACTGGGCCCAGATTGACAGTAATGTAAAACGAAAACGTTTTCGTCTCGCCTCCTGTTGAGCGCGATGGAGCGTCAGCCGTTGAGACTTCCACTGAAGACGATTGCTCTTCCGCCCTATACGTATATGATATCAGAAGATTGAACTGGAAGGACAATCATCAGCCAACGATTCAGTGGATTCTAGAGCAAAGTTCTCCCACCTGAAGAGGATTAGAACTCTCATTGCCAACAATAACCTCCCCTCCTATTTTCGTTATATTGGCTCTCCTTTCGAGAAAGCCCACATTGCTGCTTTCCTTGTTTGTCTCTCGTTTTGTATCGTCTCTACCTGGAGCCGGACTTGACTCTCGTCCAGCGAGCAAGTCCTCAATATCATCTTCATTCATTTCCACATCCTCCCCTTCATCGTCATATTCCCATGCCTCCGCAAAAGCCCCGATCGGGAACGGATTGGAGGGAAGTGATATGGTGAAAGGAGCTCGTTTATTGCCCTGCTTTGACGGTGGTTTCTGGACAGTAACACGAGCTTGAACAGGTTCATACAGCGGGTTCGTTAGAGACAGTTGGAAGGCGTACGATTTCCCTGGTTGAAGAGGTTGTCCTGCATTGGGGTCATCTCCCCCAGCCACTTGCTTAGCTTTGGCCGCCATGGTCCGGGACATGGCACTAGGTGCAGTGGTAGGAGGGGGATGCTTGACCATTACGTCAATTGAAGGTACATAATTAGCTGCCATTAGTTTGATCTTGAATCTTATGCTTTGCGATTTTTGTTCGGGCTTTATCAGAATGTGCCGGCATTTGGGACATCTCTTTGTTTGTTTTGAGTGTAAGGGTATGCGCAGCGGTCGAAGCGCGCTGTGAAAGGCATCAGCCTAAGTGATTCAAGTGAGGAACGTAGGTATTTACGACGATTTCAGGGATTGCGTCCAGCTGTTTATCCATCTCTGCTCGAGGGATGCCACTTCACCCAGTGTAAACTCTTCTTGAGTCAAGTTTCTGAGCCAGTCCACCTCTGCAATGTGCTCCTCCCGGCCGGAGACACAGTCAGCGCGGCTCTTGTAGAACCCTCCGTATTCGTCTTTGGAAGTATTTGAATCTACGCGCTTCTTGCGTAGCCCAGGTATTTCGCGTGCCAAAGCCGAAGAAGCGGCTGCATTTATCGCACTTAAGGCAGAGGTTCGTGAGGAACCTTGATGCAGGCTGTGCGCACCGGTCGTAGGCTGAGAATTCGCTGAATTGCGCATGACAGGCTCGAAGTGCTCTTTCAAGCGATCAAATTCAATAGCGTCGTACGAGCTGTCCTCTGTTTTCTGGAGTTGCACTTTGAGTCCGACTCAGAAAGGTACAGAGAAGGCAAGAAATTGTGTTCCCTTACGCGCTAAGCCTGTGGGTTTGTCGAAAGTTATGCCAACTTCTGTGGAGTCCCAGCGACAGTAGTTGCAATAAAGAAAAAATGGAGGTTCGCCAACAACGCTCACAGCAGGCAGTACGCGCGAGTCACTGGTGGGTTGCGGGTCCGAAGATACCACAGACAGTGTATTGCTGCATTGAGGGCACTGGAAGCAATTTCTCGCGCAACTGAATGGGGCCATCAGAACGACGACCTAAATTAAAGCGCATGGCCTCACATACCGATTCTTTTCTGCACGAACACTGGCACTAGGCACTTCGAATAAGCAGTTAGGACAGTGGTATCCGCTGACTTCCACAGTGATGCAACGATTGCATCGTATCTTGTCGCACTCTTCACAGAAATATAAATTAGGTAGAGGATGAAACGCGTAGGGATACGAGGGATGCAGCGGAAAGGGGGGAATTAGCGTTGTCCCGGAGACCCCAGATGATGTTGAGGGAAAACTTGTGCATGTGCAGTGATACAGAACACCCGGGCCGACCATGATAGTCGTTGAAGATCAGTTGGAGTCACGCTCTCGAGCCCTCGGATTACTAGACAATGTTTATCCCCTTCGCTCTGGGAAAAAGTCAAAGGGATCAGAAGTGTGTTGAACTCTGTTGAACTGTACCAAGTTGAATCTTTGCTGTGACAATGTCCGTGTCCGTCACATCACGCTTGTCGTGGCTCCATGGCCTTTCCGGTGCCTGAACATTTGCCACGGAATGCCTTCTCGGGGAAGGAGTCCTTCTCGAGCTCGGAATCAAACCACTGGGACGCGACAATATCTGACATCTCCAATCTGTCGTGGGATGCGTTGACACCAGAACGAGCGTCGCTTTGGGTCATTGAACTAACGAATCAAATAAGCGCTACTCGAGTAAGAATAGTCAGCCCCTACCAAAGGAGGATGTTGACAGGATTCGAGGGTCTTATTAGGTCCAAAATCAATGAAAATCTCCCAGACTTTGACAGACAGCTCCAAGCAGCCCTCAGTATTCAGTCACGCATCGAGGATCTAACAGTAACAACGGAAAGATTGACGTCTGCTTTGCATGATGAAACTGTAACTTCGATTGTCTCTGAATATACGCGGATCTGATTCTCTTGCTTTAAGACTGGTCTTTCACCATCTTTGCGAAGAACTTTCATCGCCCATGAGGCTGCAGCGCAAGAAGCCAAGGATGCAGAAGTACTAGCTGCCGCTACAACACACTTGCTCACATGCAGAGACGAGATGCGCCGTCTGTCTTCCCTTGTCTCTGATTCCCAATTGTTGGATGCCGTCGTAACATCTCGTGCGTTGGCTGCATTATTGTCAAATGCCCCGAAGCCACTTCCGAGTACCCATGTTTTTCGGGAGTTGCAGGTACGTGAGGATATTTTTTAGATGACTCTATTAAAGAGTAATTTGCAGAGTCGAGCTAGAGCCTTGAAGGACACGACGTTAGAACAATTGGACGACGCTTTCTCTGGAGCTGTAGCGGTCTCGACTTCGTCGTCCAATGAATCAATAACTATCCTCAGTGATATTTCCCGTGTGTGCCTTCAGTCTCTGGCTCGGTTTCTTATCTTGATGACCCGAGCTCAGTCTCTTCTACAAACAAATCCATTTCTTTCACCGACTTGTGCAAGGCAATGGATGAAGATTCAATTTTTGCAAAACTCATCTCATTGCGGAAATCAGTCATGTCCCATTTTGTTCCCCCAATCCTCAAGCGCACACATGTGGTAGTTATTGCTGAGAACACCTTGACCCTCGATTGCAAACCAGCGAGCGAGCCCATACATCACCTTTCTGCGTTAGTGGAGTTCCTCGGTCTGCGTCTATTTCAGATCCTACCCCCGAGACAGGCTGAACAAGCTGTCAAGGACCTGTCGTCGCCGTGCTTATCATCAGTTCTCGAATCTTTCCAGTCTGAAATCCCGAGCTCTGTTGGTCAACTACCTAGGTACATTGACTTCGTGCAGACCGGCGTCCTATTCGAAGAAACCCTTAATGCCTTGCGAAAAAAGTACAATACCAAAGACACATTGCGCACTTCCAGAATTCTCGTAGAATGGGCCATTTCACTTCCGTACCACTACGAAAAAAAGCGTCGACAGGTCATATTGGAAGATGCACGGAGGATCATTGTTGATGAACGGAAGCTCGCAGGTGTATCTGCGGAAAAAAGGGATTCGCGTACCTCCCAACCTCTAGATGCAACGGAGTCGGCTCCCAATGGTTCAAGGATGGCGTCCGGTGGTACTTTGGTTTCTGTATCACAGGTCCTTGAAGGGTCTACCCCACCCGAGCCAGTCGGTGACATACCGGACGAAGACGACGGTTGGGGCTTCGATGACGAAGAACTGGGACGAGCGGCCGATGGAGCCTCAGACCCGGCCAACTCTTCGCCTGGGGCCGCTGGTGAAACAGCTCCGGAGACGAGTGAAGTTGATCCTTGGGACGATGACCCTTGGGACGACCCTTCGAATACAGAACCACCATCTGTGGACCCTGAGGCTTTAAACATAGCCGCACCAACAATCCCACTCGAAAAGGCGACAAGGGGGGTAGACAAGTACGCAGGGAAAATGACAGCCCGTTTTAACTCATCCGCGTCGTCATTTGGATCGTCGGAACCTAACCCGGCCCCAAGTCTGTCACGAACTCGAAGAAATGGTACACCTTCTGTCTCGGTGCCTCCCCCGTGGTTGAGAAATATATGGTGTCTGAATGCGCTCGAAGTCTACTTACGCTTTGCGGAAGCGTTATCCAAGAAAGTTATGAATTATCGACTTTGGGGTGAGCCTGATTTTGATTCTAGCCCCAGCGTAGTCCCAAGACTGACCTATCGATAGAGTCTTTTCCCCATAGCTGGGACGGCGGGCGACAATTCGAACGTTGGGTCCGTCATAGAAAGCGCCATCGCTTCGCTCTGCGATCTGTTCCGTGCGGTATATCCGGTAACGCATGCCTCCAAAATGAGAGCATCAGCTGCACTGCGCGTTCGATTCTCGAATGATTGCTCGTATCTCTCGGAGGGGATAGAAAAGATTTTGCTAGATGAACCCGTAGGACTCCGGCGAACAGATGTTGCAACGTTGTCGGTTGTCAGCGCTGACTTAAAACGAATGGGCAGAAAGTATCTCGGGGATTGTTTGGTAGGCCGTTCCTCAATGTTCAGCAGTGAATTCGCATCCCTGACAATAGCACACAGTCCGAACAAAAAGGGGCTGTATCCAATTTACTTAACCAAGCGGAAGGGTTTGAAGAGACAGGGGATGACACGCGTTTTTCGGCTTGCGAGAGCGTTGTCAACAGTATATTGCTTCGAGTCAATGCAATCGCGCAGGATTGGAAGGTTTGTCGAGCTGATATCCTCGATATGGTATCTAACCTGAGCACGAGTTCAAATAGTTCACGTTGGCACAGTCGACTTATCTGGAAGCAATTGGGGGTGTCGTCGAGGAGATATTGGCTTCAGTATTAGATGATATTCTCGCGTTGCCCGATATCCCAGAAAAGGAGTCGCATCGGCTGAATGAACTTTGTCAAAAGCTGGAGACCCTTAAAGAGCTTTTCGTCGTTGTTCCAGGAGAGGTAGGGACTCTAAATGGGAACCCGTGTCTTTGTAACTCATGTGTTGTTGCAGGACACAGTGATTGCCGCTCATGTGCCTTCGTGGTTCAGATTTGCATATTTGGCTGAACTTCTGGTCAGCCACGTTTCTGCATTACTGAATGGTTGTGTTGACACTCCTATAGGAGGCCTCATTGGCGGATATCAATTACCTATTCGATGGTGGAGCGCTAATTGATTTTGAGATCAACGAGTTGGTGAAATTAGTTCAAGGATTGTTCGCGGACTCGCCTTTGCGATTGCGGACAATTGAGAAAATTTTGCGAGGACATCCCGGTGGCGTTCAGAGCGTTGGGGAGGGTTCTGCTTGATTGGGGAGGGTGGGGACATGTGTTCTGGCATCTTCTCGACCTTATATGGGAGAAAGCCTTTATCGCCGCTAATCGTGAGAATTACTGAATTACTGAATTGCGCCAACACGTGACCTTCCGAATGCATCAAACGAGGCTGACTACTTGCATCCATCTTCACCGCCCTATTGCCTGCAGGCAGTGCATCAACATCATTAACCACGTTCCGTTCCTCGTCCATAAGTAAGCCTGGCGTATGCGTAGGTGTAGGACAGTAGAAGCTCACTCCACTATTACGCGCCATTGCTCTTAGACCCTTACTGCGACTCCTTTACTCGGGCTGAGGGGTATTTAACTAGTGCTCTCGTCTCGGGCTTTCTCACCTGCGCACAGTACTTTTCAACGAAATAACTCGCATATTCTTCTCTGTGCAATATGGAAAGAAGTTTTTATGACGTCCTTGGCGTTAGACGCGATGCAAACGATGACGAGAGTAAGTATAAATTGCATCATTTCATCGTTACCACGACCCTCCAAGCCATGGAAACGAACTCTAACTCCCTTACTCTTACTCTACAAGTCCGCAAGGCGTATAAGAAGGCCGCTCTAAAGTCACATCCGGATCGGCATGCAGCGGCGCCTGCTGCCAATGGTGTAGATCCAGGCGAGGAGTTCAAAAAGGTTAACGAAGCCTACACTGTTCTCAGTAATCCATCCAATCGAAAACTCTATGATACGTACGGGGGTTGGCCGCCTCCTGAAGACTTCGGCGCACCTCCGCCGAACGCAACTTTCGCCCGCTCGGGCACACCACGGAGGGCCACGGATGAATTTGTCTTCGTGGCTGATCCCTTCTTTGCCATGCCCGGATTCTTCGATTTTGACATGCCAATGCCTCCCTTCCCTGCGTTCCCAGAACTTCGGGTTCCCCAACCTGTCTTTTCGGAGCCGCCACCAGTCTTCCTAGTTTCGGAGCCCCTCAGTATGTTTGACTCCGTGTTCACACAGCAGCCGGGTGGATTGGCAAAAGGAATGGAAGAACCTTTCTTCTTCCTTGATCCGCAAGGAGGGAATCCATTCCGCCGCCAACGTCACTACCGCCGTTCCGATCCGTCTGGTGTTCATGACCATGCCTCATATTCCAGTCAACCTCCATCTGGCCAGACTTCAAGGCAATCCAGTCGAAGCTCAACCCGCCATAATTCTGATGCCCCACACCCTATCTGGGTAGAGGAGAAAACCATCAAACATACAGTGAATGGGAAGGAACAAAGATACACCATGCAGAAGGATGTGGAAGGAAACGTATATGAAACAATCGAAGTGCCAGGAGAGAGCAAACGATACATTGTGAATCACGTTACGATTCTTCCCACTTCAGAAGGCGTTCGCATCCCTGGGGAACAGCCACACGACTCCCGCCGTCATGAGAAGTCTCGCGAGAAGGCGCGAACAAGGGAAAGCAGCCGTGTAAGAGATCACGATCACGATCACAAGCATCCAGATGCCTCGCGCCGTTCATCAGATGGGTTACGTCATCCGAGTTCAAAGTATCCTGCGGCGCCTCCCCCGCCACTTCCGCGTAACCCGTTTCAGCAGCCCCCGACAGCCGGCCCTGGGATTCCTACTTTCTACCCACCAGCGCAACCTTATCCACCAGCGCATCCGATTGTGCCACCTCAGGCCCCCCAGCCACCACCTCAGAGTCATCCTATGATCCCTAATCCTTATGGTAAGCTTTTTCGCTGGTTGCATACCTATCGTTAGTCAATGCCATTCTGCCTAGAGCACGCTATTCCACGGACAGATAAGAAGTGGTGGAAGCGTAGAGCCGCAGCCGCCCCATAAGTATCACAGGAGACATTTGTCCTTCTTGCTCCGTACGAGATAGTACTTCTCCGGATCTAGATATTTTGTGTTGATATTCGGTTGTTTTTCTTGTACGTTACCGCTAACTTCTTATTCATAATGCGTTTGGACTTGTGATAGATGTGGATTCGTTTGAACCCAAAGGTAAAACAAGGTTCGAGAAGCTGAGTCTAAAATGGCAGTCACGCAATTGATTTCGTCACATGGGGAGGTCGATACTAGTAGCGGGTTCTAAGGACATGTGCAACTTGTAGTCCGATCAGAGTCGAGAACAGAGTCTTATCATGTGGATGAGGCAGGCTCAGTCGTCTTCTCGCACTAGAGCCACTCTTTCCTCTTCTTCTAGCCGTAATGCTTGCTCGAGGACATCATCTTCATTTGCCTGAATTGTTGGTGGAGCCGCCCCGTACCAAAGCCGTTGTACTACTATCGCTGGAGCCACACTTCTTTCAACCCACGATACGCTGTCCGGAAATAAAGCAACTAACCGAAATCCACGGAGACTTGGAAGAGACCGCATACGAAGAACTGGATAGGCGAGTGCCACAATATGAAATATACCGTTCTAGAATTTCCAAGTGCGTCAAGAATATATTTTGGGATTTGTGAAGAAACGTACTTGTACAGGTCTCCGGCTAGCCATCCGGCGAGAGTCGTAGCTCGGAAACCATATAGAGAGCGCTGCTTATAGTTACTGTATGGATTGCTTCTGAGCTTTATTCGCCATGCGGATCCCCCTTACACTGACCTATATAATTGCGGCAGAGGAAGGGTACTTTCGAGTCCTAATGCAAAGAAACCAAGGGCATCGACAAATAGCTGGCTGCGGCCAAAGATTAGTATCAGAATTGTTAGAACAATTCTAGAATCGAATGAGTTGGAGGTGATGAAGGCTTCGACGTGTTCAAAGATACCCACATGTAAGACGCTAAAAATTCAATATATCGGGAATAGGTTGGCCACTGCCAGAATCTCATGAACCTTGTCGACATCCCCAACGATTCTGGATTCGTTGTTGGTCTGTACCGAATACAGATATAAAGAAGCGCGAGCTGCGCGAGGATCATAAGGATGGCTTGTACGAGCAAGGCTTTAACAGGATTTATCAGAATCCAAGTCCAACAAGTATCATGAGGATTGGTACGACAGACCGATCTCAAACTGGTTGCCTATCCAGAAGAAGCACCTAGCTATATTCGCAAGTAAAAGAATCCCACACACATCTCTTGAAAATCCAGTTGAATCCCTGGATGGAATGTTCGCCCTCAGAGTGTCAGAAAGCCGTACACGGAAGTACTGACTTCTTCTTGATGATTGAATAAGCTGTAAATAAAGTTAGGGATGGACTCAAAAGCAAAGGATGGAATGTGTACATTGGTCACCATAGACTAATGGTGGTCCAATCGCTAGGCAATGGGTGTCATTCGTCAAGGTACGCCAGACGTGTGCGCAGTCGTGAAAGGCTTACCCATTCCGATGGATGGAAGAATAGATATCCACGCCATTCCAACCCACTATGTTTGGGATGTAATAGTTCGTGGTGGTAGTAGTACGTGCGCGCTCAAAGGGTGTCTTAGTGGCGGGGCGTCAGGATTCTGACGCATTGACGCAGCCGCCGAGCGGCAACCTCCGAGTCTTCGCACCGATTTGCTGGAAATGGGACAGGCGATAAGTTCAGGTCACTCGCAGCCCGCCCTTCCCCCGGAACATCCTCCAGTCTCGTCGTCGACCTCCTCTCCCCCTCCAACATGTCCAATGCACCGTGGGGGCTCCGGCTCCGACGTTGTGAATCCCCTAAACAACATGCCCAATCTCCCCCAGACACCGGCCCACAATCAAAAATCGAGCCTTCCAATTGAACGGACGGAGTCCAGCATCCCTCGTGCCCCTTCTCCCGATAGCGAGTCGTCCAATTCTGAGAAATGGGAATACCCAAGCCCTCAACAATTCTACAATGCGCTGGTAAGGAAAGGTTGGGTGACACCAGAGGAACATGTGGAAATGATGGTGGAGATACATAATTTTTTGAACGAAATGGCGTGGAAAGAAGTTGTGAAATGGGAAGCTGAAAGTCAGCCGTAGGTCTATCTAAAAACCATTGATGGTTGCAACAACAATCTTTGTCACATTCTTTGTACTTCTTTTGCCTCTTCAGGGGTGCCCCCGAGCCTCGGTTAGCGCGTTTCCAAGGGAAACCGGGAGAGTTATCTCCGAAAGCACGTTTTTGGTTGGGAATGGGCAAGATATTTCCCTCGCGTTTCAATACGGTGCCACCCTTCGATAGACACGATTGGGTCGTTCGCCGACATACAGGCGAAGAAGTTCGCTACGTGATTGACTATTATGAAGCCCCTCCCGATGGCGATGGTTCACCTATCTTCAGCCTCGATGTGCGCCCAGCACTGGATTCATTTGGGAGCATCAAGACTCGTATTGTTTCTGCGACGAAAGATGCTTGGACAGCATTAAGAGAGAAAGAAAATGGAGTAGGAAGATGATATATTTAAGTGGGTCTATTTTTTCAAGTAATCTTATGCTGTCTGAATCGTTCTGTAGGTTGGTACGTTCAGCGCTTCGACATCCCAACATTGCCTTGAGGTTCTTGCGTATCGCCATAAGTGGCCCACATGCAATCCATAAATTATTCCATGTCCAGTCCTTGTATGCCAGCATCAACTTCCCAGTGACAATATGGGATACTCCTTACATTTGACGGAAGCTCAGAATCAAGCTGGTGAACCAACAGAGCTGACCTAAGAATGTCAGGGCTTCGTGGGCTACTGCAATTGTGCGCATCCATGTGTGTGCATGCGTGCGTAGATCATTCTAGATTCCGTATCTGCCGGGCGGCATATGACGGAGCGTATAATGGGTTACAATCAGTTCAAGGTTGCGCTATGTGTCTCCCAGCCTGCCAGCTCTCCGACCGCCATCTGTCCCATCTCTTCCTGCAGTAGCCGGTATCCACAAGACCGCTCCATCCCTCGAGTTTTGAGGACCGAAGTCCCGGATGAAGGGGGCTAATCGGGCAGCCCACTGGGCCTCGTTGTTGTTGAAGACTGCATCCCTGTGAGCGACGGTAACAATGGTGCGTAGGGGCCAGAGGCGCTAAATGCCTAACCGGACGCCGCGTGTCCAGGCACCCCCTGACGATACGATGGCATGTGCCGCATGAAGACCCCCCTTCGAACAGCGAATGAAGAACATTCTCATTTGGAAGACAGGCCCCAATGTCGAAACCACACATACACCTCTCGGTTCATCACAGACCTTTGTTATACCGGCGAACTCGAACTCCAGCCCAATGGCCCATGGCTCATTTTGATCTGAACCATCACATCAGAGCGAGTACTTAATCCGATGCGTTACAACACCTCACCCAGCAATTTCTTAGCTTCAACGAAAGTGAGGATATATCTTTGGCTTCCGCTACGCACATCTTCTCGAAGAAACTGATTTCATTTCGGACCGCGCTCCGACGTCACCACGCCGACGACAAAAGAACACCACACGATTTATGAACACCGGAGCGTGTGAATACATTTGTTCCTCAATCAAAGTTCCTAATTCCCGAGCCTGCCTGTTTAAGAGCCCAGGCGCACTGTACACGTTTACGCATGCAGCAGCTCGTCCCGGGATGCAACTGTCCAGCCTCCACTGCTTATTTCCAGGTGTAGTGGCCATGAAAAGCAGTGGGGTTGGTTCGGCGTCACCAACGTGTTTAGAGTCAGAAAAGCGGAGGCTCGATACCGGGAACCGAGATGGAAGGCTTCGGCAATATGCTATACAGGTTCAACATGCACACAAAGAGTCAGCCGTCGCGAGATTATTCTTTTCCCTGACGCAATGGTTACGCTGTGAGTCAACGCAGTGAGGGACATCGTATGCAAACAAGGATGAGCTGCAAGTGTGAAAAATCCACGAGGCTGATACATGCTTCGAATCTTCGACAGAAGAATGACGTTTGTTTGATCCATATATGCCTCACTGAAACCGAGCTTTCGATTCCGGGGAACCCGGCTGTCCATGATGCACGACTACAGCTGGCAGCAGTATTGTCGTGGTCGAGCATGTACATGCGCAGCCCCCTCTCAATCGTTGCGTTTGAGCAAAGCATTTCCCGATCGGTGAGATGATTTCGGTTTTATCCTCTGAGGATCACTTGCGACTCCGCGCAGGACTTGGTGGGGATTACGGGTGGCTAATAAATGCATCTCATCGATTTCTTGTCGGATCCACATCTGGAAAGCACAAATATTGCCTGCACAGCCGTCCTGGTGAACCAACTGATGGACGCCGCCTGTCGCGGCAGGGGCCCGCTACTCGATCTTCACAACTGCCTTTCCACGTTTGATTCTAGATTTATGGATGGGATGACATCGTGTCTTCACTCTTTGCGTTATCACCATTTCAGAGCACTCTTCCCCTTCTGTCTTCAGTACATTAGTCTTGCCGATCCAGATTTATTGCCGCGCATATCCTGGTTCGATTTCTTCGGATGGATTCCGTACGTGTTTCTCGTCCGTGTACGCTTCAGGGCTCTCGCCCTCTTATATCTCATCCTCTGCTGAAGACGTTTATCTTTTCTTCATCTTTTAGTCTTGACCTTTCGGTCCTTAAGCTGTATTTTCCTGGTGTTCTTTGGTTTTTCGGTCTCGCCGAGGGGGTGTTGCGACCTCCGGTTACACTCAGTGAGTGATCCCGATTACTTACTCATCTGGTTAAATTTCCTGGGTTTCGGTTGTTTTCTTTGTTCTGTAACCTCTTTGCTCTTCTCCGCGTTGTCCTTGTTTTTGCGTCACCCCCCTCCCTCCCTCCCCGATCTCCTCCTGTGTGTAAGTAACCGGGTTGTCTTCAATACTCAGAGGTTCTGGCATTCGCCAGGGCTGTTGCCACGCTGGGCGACTCGGAGCAATGGAGCAGCGTGGCGACGACCCCGACAAAAGTCGAAGTCTCAGAAATTTTAGGCGACCCGGTTTAAGTACAAAATTGAGTAGTGACTGGTAGAGAAGGGGATGGTGGTGGGTAACGCAAAAGGTACAGATGCAAGCGATAGTCGAGCAAAGAACAGAGAGAGGTTACAAACTGTTGGGAAAGAACCGAAAAATGAAAAATGGGAAAGGCTAGTACCGAAGTCGTAAATATACGGGATCCTACCCACCAAAGAGGTAACCGACGGTCACAACACCTTCACGACCGAGAAAGGACGAAAGACAGAAAATAAGACCGGAATAAAAAAGGAATACGGCTGACACCAAAGGGACAGGCCGATGTGTGGAGCAGGTGCGAGGGACTGTATGCTGTAAATGCGCAATGTTCCATCCAAGAACGCACACGCCTTCATCTCCTGTACCATAGCGTTTTATGTAAATAGTGCGGATTGGTTCGTGTAATAATGCTTGGATCGAATGCTGTGCAGATAGCAGCGATGCGAAGCACGCACTCTAGTATAGATACAACTGATTTGACTCTTGATACAATTTTACGCTCTGGCACCTCTCTTTCCTTTTGGCATCCACCATACTATCACCTACTTGGTCCGAAGTTAGAGTGATTGGGTACTAGTCCGATCGGAGCCGTCAAATAATCCTAAGCGTCAACACAGGGAGGACATCGACATCACCAGAAATGGCAATAATACTGCTAGATTCATATTGATTTCGTGTATACGCACGGCCGTGCGCTGGTAAAAATCATCAATTAAAGTTTCTAGCTTACCTCTGGCCAATCGTGAGTTAAAGCAGGTGGACAGCGGACCGCCTTATCAGGAATCTCCTCATTGCAACAAGCAGGGGAATCGAGAGGCAGCTTGGCGGCATGAATATGGGGATTTCCTGATGAAGGGTCCGACTTGAGACCGTGGGAGAGACTTGTGACCGTCAAGTCAGACTCACAGACTTTGGTCTTTCGACCAGGTCTGTACAACACTAGTTGCCAACCCCCACCTTTAGCCGCATACCTCTGCACACTCTCACATTGTATTACACTGTAATGGACGACATTGAATATCGAGGAACAGCTCCCAGCAGCATTCACACAACTCCCTCTCAACGACAAGCCGAACCACCCTCTGAAAATACCAAGAAACGTGTCCAAGCCGCAGATCCTAACGATGGACGCTGCTTGATCGAAAATCGCCATCCAGACCATGCTATCCAGTATGCGCATTGCCTGCCCCGTGCCCTATCCAATCACCACAATTTCGTCCGTCCTCAACTTCATATAATCTCTCTTTTATTTACCATTATCACCAGATGACCAGTCTTGAATGGCACTGGAACTTACAGTATCATACCTTGAACCTCAACACTCGCTACAACATTTTTCGACGTAGGTCTTTCTCCATACATACTTTCTATTCCTTATCTCTTTCACAGTCGGAGCTACTTTGCACGCCTTATTTGACAACCATTTCTGGATCCTTGTCCCAGAAGAACGTGTAGTCGACATGTACCACAGCACCCTCACCAATATCACAGTCTCCCCGACTGCTCATCGAAATAACTTCCCACTCTTTAACGTAAGTCCGTTATCCGTTCATTTCCCATACTTAACTTTACTCATAGGGCAATGAGCCATTCAAATACAAGCTATTCCCAATACCTGGTAAAATGGACAGCATGGCCGTCTGCGTCCAGCACGTTGTGCGCAGCCCCCCTCAAGTGGAAGATTTCACTATTCACCTCCATCCTTTCCAAAATATTCCTTTCCTTCTGAGTCACATACGACCCCACTTTGTCATTGCCCGAGCCGGTAGGACGCTCCGCAAGGTAGACACCCGTCTTTCCATGACCTTGTCAGCGGAGCACCCTCTGCTGGTGAAGGTAGTGACTTTATATGATGCGTGGACCAGGGGATTACCGACTGATGTGCTGGATGACGAGAGCTTTAATCCCCCTCCCCCCGAAGGTGACGAGGACAACGATGAGGATGATGCCTCAAGTGAGGACAGGACAGCACCGCATCGTGACAAAAAGCGCAAACTCCACAGAGGCTCTCCAACAAGAGGCTCAAGCCGGGCTACCCAACAGGAATTGAGTGTATGTGATACCCGCCAACAACGCGACGTGGATCTTTCCCCGGAATCCACCCACAGCTTGTCCAGCAGGGCACTCTACGAGCACACCAAGAATTCTGGCAAGCAATGTTGGTCACCCGAAGCAATCCATGATTGGGTAGAGGAATGTGGTCACGGCGACCAGGAGTATACAAGGATTACAGTAGAAGCACTATCTATCTAGTTCGTTGCCAGAATATTCTCGCTACTCCGTAGCGGGTCATCAGGTTGGAACACGAAGATGGGTATCTCATTGTCACACTCCCCCCGATTGATCTGTCAACCTGACTCCTACTCTCATGTTCGGACTCTCTTTTCTGATGCCGTCTTCACATGCAAGAGAAGGATGCCGCACCCCGCGTATCAAACAGTCTCGAATCGCTGAATGTCCCACGTCCCAATCGACAACGGCAACATATCTATTCTTTAGATAAAGATTGCCATCAATCCCCCTCCAAATGAGCCTCCCCCGCTTTACAACCAATTCAGGTGAGTTCCCCAGTGAGTTCCCCAGTGCTCAGATGGGTCCTAATACCGAGAGCGGTCTCCTTGATCACTGTGACGACCCCCGATTGGTTGGGTAATATACAACCTACCGGTGTTGCTTACCGTAGCCAAGCATCTGCGAACGGTCAATCCATGAGCAGCACTGGTAGGTTGTACATTACCCAACCAATTGGGGCTAATTGGGGTCGTCACAGTGATCAAGGAGACGGCTCTCGATATTAGGATCCACCTGAGCACTGGGGAACTCGCGGAAGTTGCTGTCTTCGGTATCGTTATAAAAGCAGAAATGTCTGAGTGCGGTAATCAAAAAAAAATGCGCCGTTTGATGCGTGGAAGGAACAAGGTGTACGCAATGCTGCTCTTTGAGGCTCAACTGTCACTGTCACTGAGTCTGAGTCCTCACCATAGCGCCTCAAAGACAATTCCAATCGGTGGGGACCGTCTGTGAATGTGCGTACCCTCCACCAGATGTCCGAGTGCACAGACATTCTTCATGCGGTTTAGAGCGACAGCTGCTCTTGCAAACTAATTTTTCAAACTGGTAGGAGCATTCAGAGGCAAGCCACGAGGATGAATATGGTTTTGTCTACCTCGACAGCAGCAACTTGCCATACTCACTCGAGGACAGAACCCCCCACCCCCACAGAAAGTTCTTCATCTGTGGACGCCCCACGATCTTCTCCCATCCACATTGGGACCCGAAAGGACATTTCGTCGGACGATTCCCCCCTGTGACTCAAAAAGAATTCCAATACCTTGTCGAAGTCAGCGCTTTCGATCATCACGGAGCGTGACAGAATTGTCGTTAGAAGGCGTGGCAGTCTTTGGAACCGCGTCGATGCATCTGCGAGTACAACCGCCAACTGTTGCGTTCGTTCCGTGAGGGTCAGTTGGGTTTGCCTCACGATTTGCAATGCAGTCCAGTGTAACGACATCATTTCTCGGTTCTCGCGCACGAAACCCAGGTTGCGGAGACTTTCAGTTACTACTCTGGACTGCATTGCAAATCGTGGGCCAAATCCAACTGCTGCGGAGCAGTGACAGTCTTGCTGTGTGCGTCGGACACAAGCATTTGGCCGATGGCTAAGAGGAGTCCCTTTCCATGAGCGAAGACACTAATATGGATTGCACACTCCTGAGTGATGATCACAAGGGGAAAGGGGAATCGCGAGAGGCATTGGCATTCAAGTGAGTACAAGTGCAATGTAATCGGTCTTAGAGGCTAGTGACCTGCCTAAATCGGTCTCCGATTCTGACCATCTAAATATATTTGGTGCGCCTGCCACAGCCCCCGTTATTGACGCGCTGCCCAAAAAAGGCGTTGGATCGCCTCGGTATCTTTGTTACATATTCGCTGCATCCGGCCACTGCGTTTATGTGTTCTTCGTCTTTGTCTGGGGATTCTAGGTGAGTCAATGGATAGCGTTTCATCTGGTGACTGTGTTTATGTGTCCTTCGGCCATTGTCTGCTGTCCTAAATGGTTCCGTGTCTTCGTTCGATGTGGTCTCTTGTGTTGGTGTGTTGTTCAAAATGGTTTGCATAAATGCACGTCGTATTCCTACTGTTCTTCCAATGTAGCTTAAGATTCAATGTCGCTGTGACAGTGGCAGAACAATGGATGTTTAGTAAACGATGTTGCCAATATTCATGATGTAAGCGCGAACGGTTGACTCGCGTGATCCCCCAAGTACGTTCAGGGCCAATCCAAGGCTAACTCTCATGCTGTCATCGAGCCAGTTTGGTCCCACTACTGAACAGTGTGTGTATAATAAACAGGGATGATTACCAGAATAATTTATGAAACTTGTATATTGAGTTCGGCTAATGAAGGGATGCACCGACGAAGGCAGTGTTCCACACTGGAGACAACGTCAGAGATGGGCAATAGTAGTTGGTCACCATCACTGGGCGACCGTGATAAATTGATGGTTATTGCGCCAACAATGGTCTCGGAGTCTTTGGGCCAGAATCGCGGATTTTCGTAGTTTCTCACACCCTCGACTTGCGAGACCTACAATTGAAATATCAGCGTGGCGCCCGTCGACTCCATGACGCAGGTTCTTACTTCACTTAAAGCTCGTCTAACGGCGTCCTCTTGTCCGCCTAGGTCGAGGCTTAGGACCCGTCCACAGTCGATCATCAGCGGTACAACACTAGCAACGATGAGCGCGGCAATGAAAAGTGACGCTATTGGGTCGAATCCTGTCCATCCATACTGTTCAATCAGAATTGTGGAAATGATGACGCCAACGGATCCCAAAGTGTCCGCCATGACGTGTAAAAATACCCCTCGCATATTATGACCGTGTCCATGACCATGATCATGGCCATGGCCATGGGAATGTTTTGCATGAGAATGATGAACATGGGAGCGTTCGCTATGCGTTTGGGGTTGCGTAGTTTGCACGTGGTCATGTCCATGTTCGTGGTGACTCTCATGATCGCACTTCTCGCCATGGTGTTCATGCTCATCATGAGCATGAAGAGAACGAGTTGCGTTCAGGTGCACATGATTATGGTGTGTTTCGTCAGGACTCTAAGCACCAGCATTGTCAACAAACGTCGAACACACGAGACGGCTGGCTTACGTGATCATGGGCTTCGGCTTGATCATGGTCATGGTCATGGTCGTGATCGTGGTCGTGATGCTCGTGATGCTCGTGGTGGTCGTGGTGTTCGTGGTGTTCGGTAGTTTCCCCATGTTTGATCTGAAGCGAGCATTCAGGAAACAGCCATGGTTGGAACCTAGTACTTACGTGGTCATGACCATCATGACTGTGCCCATGTCCGTGATGATGGTGATGGTGATGCCCACCCATAGCAAACATCCCAAAGAGATTGACGCCTAGACCCATCGTGCTCACTAATAGCAATTGCTTCGTTTCCATCTCCGGGGGATTGGCGCTGCTCAATAGCAACGAACGTTAGCATGCTGAGAGGGAAGAAAGAGGATGGGCAGCCGCACATTCTCTGGATCGCTTCGAAGACGATGAATATGGATATTAGAATTAGAAACATGCCATTCGCAAAACCAGATAGTGTTTCAATACGCCCATAGCTGAATGAACGATGAGCAAGAAGTAATTTGGAGGAAGGAGGAACGAACCCATAAGTAAAACGCTCGTTCGGTGGCCATCGTGCCATGATGGAGGCTACTAGACCCACTCCAATAGCCATGCAGTCAAAGAACATGTGTATTGCTATTTAGTTACAATAAGAACTACATAAAAATAGTTGAGCGTGTGTACTACTTACCGTCTGAAATTAAGCCAAGGCTGTTTGTCCATACACCATACATGATCTGCACGCCCATGAAAGCAAGATTCAGAGCGAGGAAGTAAGATATCTTCCGAGATTCGGGATTTGACATGATGGTGTCGAAGAAAGCCTTGAGCTGCTTGGTAGTGACGATCGGCGCGCTGCCTGACGCAGTCTGAGTCGATATCGATAATACTGGTAAGTTGAGTACATCCCTTCAAAATGGACGAAGAGATGCGAAAAACATACCAGAGCACAGAAGACCCAGAACTATTAGATTGGCAAAGCCCAGTGCTTTTCCGAATAATGTGATCCCAGTGAAGAAGGCCACAAATTGTTCCGCTGGGAAGGAGATCAAAACAAGCGCAGGATGTTGTTCCTCACCGCGGATATGATGCGGCACGAAGGTGCTGCAAGCAAGAGAGGCAGCTAGGATAGGAAGAACTAACATGGGGGCATGTGGAGCAGGAGGGGGGTCTGATGCTGACTGGAGCGTTGGAAAAATAATGATTAGCAAACGCTATTTGCAAGCTAGACCAAGGAAACACGAACTATGAAAGAAGAGAGAAGACCAAGTTGGAATGCAAACCCCCCTGCGCCAGTCAAAATAATGGAAGAGGAAACATGATGTGAAACTGACGATTGTAATAAGAGCTGGTCGAAGTATATTCGATGAACGGTTTTGGCGACTGCATGGATAAGAATGCAGATATATCCTAGTGAGACAGATCGCAGGGTGGGAGCAGGTCCAGTGAGGGCGGGGGAATAGATAGATGATAAGATGGACAAAGAGGCCGCCAGTATGACATATAAAGTTTTTCGTAGCTAAAACAATGGTCAGCCTTAATATCATGCGATGCGATGTGTCATTTGAGTATGACGCACGGAAATAGCAGTAGTGAGAGCGGGAAGCCAGTAGGAAGAGGTGAAAGTGAAGCCTAGCACCCTGTGGAAATTTAGCAAACAAAGTCGAACAGGCGCACCCAAAACACGCACTGCGGCAATGACACGCGAGCAAGGGCTGAATAGAGTGACCAATATTGGAGCATAAGTGCTAATGAAGGAATGACAACAAGATTCCACTGCAGTGACTCCAGATGAGCGATAATAAAGTCGCCAGTCTCTTGCACAAAACTCACATCCAAACGTGCTATTTTTCTTCGATAAGGTAGCCAAACGAAAGTAGAGAGCAGGCCAACAACTCCGATGACTCTAGTTAGGGCCCACAGGGAGCCAACCTTCCTCTCAAGTAGCCATTCCTTACATAAGTATAGGGAGACGCCCCGTAAAGTCGCATTTAGCAGTGAGGGCGCAAGCTTTGCCAGAGTGACGCTGAAACACGAAGTGTAGCAGGCTGAACTGCATCAGCAGTGAGCATCCACTTACCTCTCATCACGCTCAAGGACCTTCATAGGCCGCCTGGAGCGCGTCCGCGGGTCCAGCGTCTTCCGGATAGAGCTTCTCATGAGGCTCTGCTAGATTTAGCTTTCTGCGATGAAGCTAACTGAATTCACACCGGACTCAGGTCACGAGGATGGAAAGAGCGCACCACAGTGTAAACTCTTCTCCATCGCGTGAAACAAGGAGTGGATTTTTTCTACACTCATCTACTGTCATAACGTTCGCTCACTTGTCTGTAGCAGCTCTGTTAAGATTCCATTTGCATTTGGCGTTGCTTCGAAACACTGCCCATGCAGGGGCCAATCTGCCTTCAACCTTTAAAGGGGTGTGGAAGTCGTGTATGTTCCACACCCTTATGCCCGTCAATGGCGCGTCCCTCTAAAGAGACCCAGTCCAATTCCCTCCACGGCGTTTGAAATCAGAACCCATTCTCCCACTATGAGTTCGCCTATCATGATCTCAGCCTCCCTTACCCTACCATGTTTAATCATCCAACTCCGTACGACTCCGCCAAGGCAGCCAGTAGAAAGTGGTGGGGTCACCCAAGAGCCATTTCGGAAGACTGCGATATTCCGTAATGAACCCTCCGTAATCTTCCCTTCCTCGTTGTACAATATCACCTCTACTGCTGCACTTGGAGAATTGATTCTCGCTCTTTCTCTAGCTTCATTGTAATGATCACGTATCGTGGTTTTGTATGAGGTGAAGTTGGAACTGGGAGTGGGGACGGGGTCAAGATATATATCCAGGATTGGTGCATATTGGGTAGGCCAAGTAGTGAATTCGCGGGGTGCTCGACTGGAAATATTTAATAGGTCGAAAGGTCTTCGACCAATCGGACTCACTTCCAGTCGGTGGTCTCCGTCCTTGTTGACTAAATATCGGATCTGTGAAATTGGATGTGGGCCATCTGATGCTCACTGGACTTTGAGGGTGGACATTCTTACCTTGTATGATGCAGGCCTCCCATCTTTAGTCTTCGCTGGAAAATTACTCGTGACTGCTTCCTCGCAAGCTGTTCGGAATCGACTGAGCGCTCCGTCGCCGCTAAGGGACTCGGCTGCTTTGTCCCAGCCAAATGCATCGGCTGCGCGTCTTAGGCGGTCGAGATGGTATGAGATAAGAAATAGTGGGGTGTCAAAATCAACATCAAGATCTGAGTCAGCTTGTTTGCTTGGACGCCATTCCATTTCGGTGTCATATCGAATCGAAGATAAGAGATAAAACTCGTCCGATTGGCTTCTGACCTCGATAGCGTCCATAATGTCTCCTGGTTTGATATTGGCGTGGATGAAATATGGAGATCGAGAGGTGCGTAGGAGGCGGGCAATAAAGGGATCGTCGGAGGCGGTATTTGGTCGTTGTTTATGTCGAGGTTGTTTATGCATGCGCAACTGCGGATGGTTCGTTCAGCTCTCGCTCCTTACTTGAAAACATGATTTGAGCATGTAGAATCCTGCTTGAACTGTGAGCCTCTGCGAAATGTTCTGGCTATCTCAGCTTTTTGACATCGGTTGCCGTTCCACCTTGAATATTCGCTCGAGTTATTGATTTCAAACTGGTCAATCTCGTTTGACGCTTCTGACTCAATATGTGTCTATTGGCCGTAAACGAGCGTCGGTTTATTGTGTGGTGCCAAGTCCCTGCTTGAGGCTTCTTGTCGGTACGGCCCGATGCGGACAGTTTTCATTCTGGCCCCGCAGACTTCCTGTGCTCCCTTGCCTCCCGAACGGGTAGGTATTGGACCTGTGAGTCCTCGAGTTAGATGATCCATCTACTCTATTTCGTTGTTACGGTCTGCACTCCGCGCTTCAAGCAGACCCCTTCCTCCTAGTCCAACTCAGCACCCTCCACACCAGGACTCGCGTGGTCCGCTCGGGATATGAGTGGCCGTGTAGGCGCACCACGCCTTTTAGGAATCCGTTTGCACGTCGTTAAGTGTACATAACTACCCAAAGGCAGTTGAGTTGAGCCTCCCGGGAAGATCGCGGTTTCATACCGTATTTTATTGCGCACAGGATGATCGCCTTTTCCAACAAGACCTGCAATCTATGAGGAACGATAACTTAAAAAACCGAGCAAAGTGAGCGGTGGGTGTTGGACAGATGATACGTTATGGTTCTTACTCCCTTCGTTGCATTACTATTCCCCTGTGCTATCTGAAGCAACAGATGCTTACAAGGAGATGATAGGGAAGGTTACTCTCGCTCCCCGAAGCTGCCTGAACCCGATCTTCGACGATCAGTTGATATCGTCCAAACTTATGACAAGTCATCAATCTATCCTCTGTTGTCTCCCCCGGAATGTGTACCGGTAGGTTTTTTAATAACCCCCACCTTGGTCGCACGCAATGTCTAGTGAAGGATACGTTGGGCCTGATAAAGTTGGATGGGTCAAATGCCTGTAGAGCGGGTCACGAGGAGTCGAGGAGAAAGTTGATGTGTAGACTGCAGCAGAGAATTCTACTGCTTGTTATGGAAGCGATCAAGATGATGTATTGCCCACATTGTGCTTCGTTCCATAATTGTCCTTCTCGATGATAATCCTCCAATGTATCTGTACCTTGTCACACAACATGCTGTGGTATTCGTTGGGTTCGTGAGTTGAGTAAACTTGGATCGGGCGAGATTGCCCAGAAATGGAAGGAGATTTCCTTTACTAATATTCCAATTGGGTCTCGACTCGCACAAACCGTTTATTCCGTCCCCGCTCAACGCCCATCCATCGTCTTGCCTCAGGCTCTCTTCCTACTAGCCGGATCGAGCGCTCTCAGCGCTGTGAAAGCGATGGCTGTCGCTGAAGCTGCAACTACTAACAGCAATACCAAGTTTCCCCACACTCGTGCCCTCCTCTCCGCCCTTGCTCGCGAGTACGGGACCGCTGTCCGAGCGCCTGTCAGACCTGCATCGGAAAATTCTGATTCAGAAGCCGACAGTGGTGGCGAAGTTGATGTTTTCAACAGTGATCACCTTGTTGCTCAAGTGATTCAGCTGCTGGACCAAGACGAAGAAGAGAAAGTTGAAGACTTATTGAAGGAGAGCTTTCGCATTTCTGATGAAACTGTTCGTTCACACTCTTCGCTACATACTGCAAGCTGACATTTGCCTTAACTACGGTAGGTGTTGGAGCAGAACGTCTTGGAATTGATGCATAAGCGTCGCGATGACCTGGCAAATGTAAGTCCATCTCACTCGCTGGCCCTGTACCTTGTTGGACCTACTTAAACTGTCCTGTCCGCCGCTAGGTCCCTTTCCTTTTTTTGACGCCGATTAAGCGCCCGTCACGACCAACATCGCGAGCATCCGTCCACTCGACCCGATCGTCACGCCCGGGTACCCCGAGCCAATCGCCACTAGCCATGTCATTCAGGCGCCCTTCAACACCGCTGGCATCTCACACCACACTATCGGGCTCGCCATCTTCATCCCCTACACCCGCTCCATCTCTTCCAACTCCTACCTCCTCGCCGCTGGCCTCGCCTCGGTTCTTGAATGCTAAGGCCACTGAATTCAGACCTTCTATCGTACGCTCCTCCTCTGCAAGTTCGCTACTACGGAGTCAATCCCCCGATTTGTGGGCGCACAATTATCAGCCTTCTCCGACCCCGTCCGCGTCGCTCGGAAGAGGTTCCTCAAATTTGGCCATAGCCGCCCCGCTTATTCCGATGCAATCTGCTCCTCCTGGAGAGCTGGATAGTGAGGATGGCGGTCGTACACCACCTATTCAAATTCCTCAGGACTCATCCCGTGCGGCGTTCGATGTCCTGGACGATGACGACGACCCCTTCTCGCCATTTGTAGTGAAGCCACCACCTCACAACCCTCACCCTCTGGCCCTGAGTAAATCGCCTTCCGATACTGAGACACAGTGGTCGGCGTCGAGTGTGTCGAATTCATCAGCCTCAAACTCATTTGGAGTCCCTCCCAATCCTGACGACTATTATGGGTATAATTCTCATCTCCAACGATATGCTCAGCCCGGTTACTTCGTGTATGGCGACCCTAACGGGTCTTTCGGGGCAGCGGAAGGTGGCTATCATGGAGAATACATTGCCGAAGGCGACCTTACACCATTCGAAATCCTCTCAAACATTTTTGGTGATAGCGTGCCGTCCAGTACGCTCGAAACTGCACTAGCAAGCAGCGGATACGACTTTGAAGGTGCTATGGCGTGGCTCGTTGATCAGGCCCTTCCTCCGCCTCTGCCGGGGACAACACCACAGGGTGGACAGCCAACTCTGCGTTCAATCGGTGGAGGCGTCATGCTTGCTTCTCGCGAAGGGCCATATGGGCGAAGTGATACCAATGGAAAGAATACGACTGGACGGTTCGCCCCGCCGCCGAAATCTTCAGGTGCAAGCCGCGTGTGCAGGTACTTCCTTGCAGGGGATTGTAGAAGGTCTGATTGCCGCTTCAGGTGAGTCCCAAATTATTGTTGCCAATGAATTTTTGCTGATTGTGGCATCGGAAGCCACGACCTTGATCGAGCGCTTTGCCGATTCTGGCTAAAGGGACAGTGCGCTAAGGGAGAGCAGTGTGAGTTCTTGCACACGCTCCCCCAACATATTGACGTGCAAGGCATTACCAATGCAATGAATCGAACTGGTATCGTCGATGACCGAGATCATGAAGAGACCCGTACTGAATTTCCTACTCTGGGTGAGATGCACAATCGGAGGGCCGGGCCTGGATTCAATCGTCCCTTCGATTCCAGCCGGGTGCGTTTTGCGGCTGCGGTCAAGAAACCCCTTCCCCCTCGTTTACCGTACAACGAATCAGAAACGGATTCGACTTTGCAAGGCGCCTCAGGGCCTGTTGTCCCACGCGCATCGCCACGCATCCGCTTACGACCCCCAGCACTTGTTCCGACTCTTCCCACAGGAGACATTTTGAACAAACTCTATATGGCTTATCGGGCACGAGCTATCGAACTTGGTGCGGCGCGAAATGCTTGTCTATCCCGTGCTGCAGAAGCCTGGAGACGAGGTGATGGCGCTGGTGCTAAACGCCACAGCCGAGAAGCACAAGAGCTCAACGGAAAGATGGGTCTCGAGGCAGGCAGGGCTGCTGCTCGTCTTGTCCGTGAGCGAGCAACGATGACTGTGGAGGCTGTAAGGAATCGTGATGTTTCGTGGAGTGATGATCCCAGCGATCGGACAGCCCGTGGTAAAATGTGCGGAGGAGGGCTTGGCGTCTGTCTGGGCGTTGCATCTTCAAATGTCGTCCCTGATAGTAGACTCACTCCCGAGGAGAGAACAGAGGCTTTCTTGGATCTTCATGGGCTGCATTCTAACGAAGCTGTCGAAGTTATTGAGGATTTCCTGGTAGCAGTAAGCTTTCTTAATTTTGAATCATCAAAGATCAACCCTCTTAATACGCTTTTCCAGCTTGAATCCGAGCACTTCTACGGTCTTGCCTACCTCTTTGTGGGAGAAGAGAAACATACTGGAACTCAAGATCCCAGTCGTGGTACTTCTCGTGCTCGCCTAGCTGCTGGTGTTCGTGATTGGCTCTTCAAATGGGGCTACGCTTGGTCTGAGCGTGACGGCGTCATCTGCGTTGATCCTCTCGTTCATTCGCAATAGAAAGGTTGGCCTCCATCAAAACAAAATTGAACAAATGGGATTGCGAAGTTCAATGTCTCCAACTGCGAAACTGTATCCATACTTATCTGCACTCCTCTGGCAGCGCTTCTGGAAAGGGACTTCAACGATCATACTGGTTGCACATCCTACGGCCCCTCATGATTTCCCGGATTTTGGCATCTCTCCTCATGACTCGCTTTTCGCGTTATACCCAACATCAGCCCTGTCCCTTCGCGCTCTAACGTTACTATGGAAAGTTGACCAAAAAAAGAAAGAAAGAAAGAAAGAGAAAAAGAAAAAAGAACAATTCATGCCTCGTTCCCCTCATGTGCCCACTATCTTCACCCAAATAACTTTAGTTTTGATAATACTCGTAGTGTTCTGACGGAACACAGTCAATCATTTCGGAAGATCTCGCTCTGGGGATATATTCATATTGCTACCGAGGCCTCAAACTAATCTCATCCCCTGTGTTGTACTAATGTCGTATCTTCGACTTTCCCCCTCATTTCCTTTTCCGTTTTTATGTTGTTGCGCGTGATGGCCGACTGGACTGGTCAGACGATATTCCGATTCAGGCATTTTTGTCCCTAGATATGTACAGCGTGCTTTGTCGCTCTTTTGTAAACTTTGGAAGTGAAGTTGATCAACATGCACTGACGATCATTTCTGCTTCCCTAAACGTGGAAACCACCTTAAGGATCAACCATGGATCATGGAATATGGCAATTCCCCACTTAGTTTCAAACAGTGTGTCTGCGGAGCTCGGATCGCCGTCCAGCGACTTCGAGACTCTGCGATTTGAGGTTGGTCAGCAGGTACCTATCAGCTACCTAGGGACACCTTCAGTACCGCACATAGCAGGAAGCGGACAGACGCGTTAGGTGCTTTGGGGGTTTCTGGGGCACTCTAGACTAGAGCATGCTCTAGTGGGTCCCCCGGGTTCATCCCCCAGAGACCCATCAGAAAATGGACAAGCATTGTAATTGAGTTCCAGATGATTTTCAGAGGCCGTGTAACCAGGGAGGCACCAGCAAGGGCGGGAGGCAGCTTATCCAGACTCCGGCAGAGTTAAGCGTGCCAAACTAGCGGAACCACCCCCCATACATAATCTCTCGAAGCCCGGGAGTGGATATCGGGGCTTGCCTCCGCATTATTGTTGGTGTGTTGAGGGGAAAGAGGGTGCATTTATTTTGTGCCGTCAACGACTAAACTGCGAGAATCCCCAATGAACATGAGCGCTTGCGCTATGTTGGGATCACATTGTCTGGTACCGCCTTCTGGGAGGTATGGGGACCTCGGGGATCGGGCTGTGCGAATGGATTTCCGCATGAGTCGATAGTGATCGGTGAGTTCCATGAAAGTTAAGAAGTAACTCACCGATTGATTAATTGGACGGCATCGGCGAGAGTCAGGTATCGGCCTCGTTTACGCCTGGTGAATCGAGTGAGTGAAAGACACCACTAGGATGAGTGGCCAGGGACGCACAATTGAGGGAATGCTACCTAGAAGACATTCGGTCAGCTGGGCATTTAAGGTGAACTTGGGTCTGTCACACCTTGTTTTCACTATCATTCGGTGGTGAGTTGGCGGGTTGAGGCTTTAATGACACCAGGCGAGGGCGAGAGAGCCGATGAAACCGTTGAATAACCTGGCTCCTAACAGCGGTCCGCTGAGCACTGCAGCTTGGTCACGCAGGCAGTCTTTGAGCAGCCAATTAATATGACGCACCGGTACCGTGGTTCCTCCTTTTCTTTTGCCGTGCGTTTAAGACCTCCTCCAGGTTCATAGCTGTCCTTAGACTGTTCTCCCTAGAAATCAATACCGATGCGCTGTCATTGAGCCGTAAAGGACGCACATCATTGTCATCGTGCCCCTTTGTGTTCATACAGATACTCGTACAAAGACCCATTATGTGCAGCCCGCAACCAGTGAAGGCTTCAAGGGATCTAGGGTTGGTCGACCGCTTGATAATATGGGAGTGCTATTCGAACACGAGGACAGAACGTGCCATGCGAGTATTCTAATATGGGAACAGCGTTTAAGTAAGCACGAGGAAGCGTTTCGTCCAAACGAGTTTCTACACTGGCATGCACCATGGCATACGCCGCTTCCACGAACAATCGAAACATCTAATATGAAAGGGCGCCATTCGCAAGTGACATCGTCGGTCGATGAAGACGACCACCTTTTGTAGCCCCAAGTATGCATGTGTTCAAGTGAGAAGCCATTTCATGGCTTCGGTAGACATCAGGATCCTTCTGAAACCGATTGCCATCCTGGCATGAAACAGGGGCGAGCCGACATTATTTAAGATATCCATAAGTGAACACCACATCAAATTTGGAGATAAGCTTAGCTTACGGATATCAGCTTTCTCCTTACTCCTCCCAAATACGAGCCTAACTCCGCCTTTTCCACATTCAAGTGGGCTTATCCCTTATCCACGCACCATTCTCCGATGGCAGTGCAAATTTTGAATGGCGCCGTTGCACAGCGGGCCTCGCACGCTGATAGTTTTTACTGCCGTAGGATCTGCGAATCACAGTTCGGTACACAAGGGTGACTGCCAGACCTCAACATGTTGCCGCAATACAGATAACCGCCACCAACCCGGCGAATGCAGTTCGTCATGCGTCTCCATCTGGGCAAATTCAGAGCTAAGGCGTCCAAATCTGAAGGAAAAGATCCAGAAGCTCATCACTCGCCATGTTTATTCATGTGCCATCCAGTCCTGGGCGGTCATTGGCGCTTAGATGGACTTCATCTCAGCACTCATTATCCAACTGCTTCCGTTGTAACAGACTCATGGACCTGATGCTTGAGGCGATCAAAGAAACGCCTTCGGCTGTAACATAGATCGCACTCATCGTTTTATGTATCATATGATTATGTTGATCTCGGTCGATGTCACCGTCTGAGTCATCGTCGTCGTCACAGATAGTTTGTGACCACAATTATTACAGCATCAATAAAGGTGGAAAGTTGGTGATGAGTGACGCGAGTCTGAGTCGAGGGAAAGATTCGAGTTCAGAGTGCAATCACTCAAAGAAGTTATGCGGATAGCTTGTCGCGTCACGTTTCCCTAGACGAACGGATTCCTAGCGTATTCTCTATCCGACAAAGGAGCTCGGCGAGCTGGCGTCGACGCTCAAAAATAAATGCACTTGATCGTGGGGTGCGGGCACTGGGACCGAAACCCTGGAAGTGGATTCTGCCTTCCGACCTTGTTTGCGACAATCTCCTCAGACTGTTTGCACGTTGCTTGGTTCCATCCACGTTTACGATGTGGGCGGTTCCCGAGTGCCTTTCGCCCATTCGAAAGGCGTGAACTCCATTGTATTCGCCTCAGATGGGACCCACCTCGTGTCATCATCAGTAGACACAATTATTGATATCTAGGATAGCTCAAACATTTGCACTCGAAAGTCACGCCGATGTCGTGGTTCCCATTGACCACCGTCCTGTCACAGGACGGTTTTCAGAAGACAAAGGGAATTGTCACTGATGTCTTCACGCATACAATGTGGGGTCCTCAAGATCGGCTAGGGCTGAGTTTCGAAGGTCATTGAACTCATTAGTCCGGTCGCTGGTCCAAAAAGCTCGATTTGCGGGCGTGCAAATACAAGAGACCTACGGAGGAAAGGTATTCGCCGGATGGAATATGCTCGCATCTCATCTCATCTTTCATTTTGACACGGAAGTGTGATCTTAACATAAAAAGACTACGTGGTCCACGTCCTGAACGTATATGTCAACGCACTTCCCTCCGGAAGGCACAGCAACAGCGGTAGGCAGGACTCCAGCCTCTATGACTCCTAGATCCTGGTGCCAACAGCCGGTCTCTGTATCGCCCTTCTCGGTCTCTATGCTTTCATGGACATTATTTATAACCAAGATTTATCTAGTTGAGCATAAGGGCTGATGAGCTTTTTCTGTTGATGTTCTCCCCCAAGCGAGACACCAGTTCACCTTCAAATAAAGTTTCTGGCAAGTTCCATGTGGCACTTGGGCACAAACCAAGGAAACTAACTACCGGCATCCGGCAGGGTTACATGGTTAAGTGCACGCAGCGGTAGACATCGGCCTACCCAGTGGACGGACATGTTCCTGGGAAGGAACAATTATATCAATTTACACGAGCTTAACGCTTCCTTTTCCTTTGCGATGCCACTTGCCTTCGGCTTGTTCTCAGCAGGATCTAATGATAATTCGCCGCAATCCCGGAAACTCGACTGGCAGCACTCGCGAGGCTGGCCCCACCGTGAAATCTAATTTCGTAGATGATCATAAACGCACATGCATAGGCAGGACTCCATCCTTGCAAGCGCGTGCACGTGCGCGCGCACGGTTTCATGATGAGGTTGCAAACATCCAGTGCGCCTCGCACGTTCACGTCCTGCTCTCCACCATGCGTGCAGATGGTGTTAGGATTTAGTTGTGCGATTTAATCGCGCAGTTTCGTTTCGTAGGTCTCACTGTTGAAATTATTAATGCAGGCAAAGTCCCATTCCAATGGAGGCTGGGATCCGACTGGGGTTCATAATCAATGGCGCCCAAACAGTTTTTGGTCTGTTTTGTAGACTCGTGGACCTGGTACTCGAGGCAGTACCCTATCTACGCCTGCGGGACGGTCGAAAAACCTTCGACTGCAAGTCTGGTTGTGCACAGTATCGTAAAGAGTGGTAATACACTCGCACATTTCCAACTGTTGGATTAGCATTAATGCCTTGCGATTCTCACTATAGAAACAAGTCAGCGAGAAAGTTACAGAAATGTTAAAAAAAAAAAAGAACCGCATGAGTACAATCCCCATGGACATAAGCGCGAGGGCCTTCAGCCTCATCCGGGGAAGATGAGTGCTTATATGTGATGTCGTGACGGCATACATCAAAGTGTCAGACTCTTTGGTGATACTGATGTCAGCACCGAAACAGCATTGCAATTCACCTCCCCACTCCCCAGTGGCTTTGCGGTTCATGGAATTGTTCGATCCGAACTTGAGATACAGAGACAACGGTAGATAACTCCATTTTCATTCTGCTCGCGGCGTCTGTGGACGACGATGAGATCATCCGGTCAACGGATTCTAGAAATGTTTTGTTTCATACGTGGATGTGCTGATTCAGTTACCTGCCACGCTTCTCTAATGGTGTCAATCTACTCAAGCCTGAGCCATTAGTACTTCTAAACAATATACAAGGAGACCGAGTTGCGCTGAAGTCGTCAGGAATGTTCAATCTAGCTCACTCAGTTTTCTGGTGCACCAATGTATGTCTTAAGGGTGGCTCGTCCATTGCGGGTGGAAAGTTTCATCACGATGACCTAAGTACTGTTACCTGGACAAGCTCTTGATGCTACGCCAGATGGAGCTTCCGCGCAGAGGTTCGGAGCAGACCCATCGTGCTTCGAGTCAGTGATCAATCGAAGCTCCGCGCTATGCACTTTATTGGGGTTTCGAGACTATTTCAGAAGTTGCACAATCGCGGGGGAGCTTCAGTGACCGGTCCGGGAAGTGATTCCTTCTCTGTGTACCCATTCTCGACAAGTGGGATTAATTAAACATAAAATCTGGCCCGTGTAATTATTGATAGCGCCAAGTCAAAACAAATGAATGTGTGTATGTGCGTATGCTTTTCGCCGTAAACGGCTGCGAAGCGATTAAACCATTGTCCTGGACCGCCCTCTGGGAGCGTTGGACTACGCGAATGGATGTCCGCATGAATCATCGGCTCAGGTTTATGCCTGAAATTGACTCACCGAAAGGAGGGTTTTAATACCGGCCGCGTTCGTGCCTGATGAATCGAATGAGAGATGCCATCGAGGACATGTCTAGGAGGCACACTGTTGTCTGGAAATGGACTACGGAAGTGCGACTACAAAATATTGGGTCAGCTTGAAATTTGAGATATGCCTGGGATGCGTACCTCTGTGTTGGAAGCTGAAGCACCGACAGATTAACGCCTAGAAAAGAGTGATCTAACCCGCCGAAATATCCGCTTCACCTTCATGGAACACTTAGTTGATTGAAGTCACGAAAGGCCCGAGCAGCAGGCGATGCACATACCATAGGTACCTTTCGCTCGTGCGGATAGCCTCCACCTGGTTCATACCGATCTATGAGCGGCATTCCCTCCTAACCAATACCCCCAGACATCAGTCCCTGCGCGCCATCACTGAGCCACGAATGACAAACCTCGATGTCCCCGTATGTCTTGACAGAGAAGTACATTATGCACGGCCTACAACCAGTGAGGGCTAATATAATGAGGATTTTCAAAAGGCGAGCCACGCAGATAATATATGAACGACCACGAGGAGAAAAGCATGCTTGCTTCCCCACAGGAGCAGGATTTCACTTTAGGACGAATCATCAGTGATTCACCAATGTGCCGATCGAAACCGTCCGTGTTCCTGCCACATTCTGCCTAATAAAGTCGCCCACCCTCTTATCCCCAACCTGTGCGCTTAACATTAGCGGTCACACGCTCCTAGATCCAACAACTGATGCAATATCCTTCTCCGTGGTTTTTATGGGCGATAAGACGCACACATATCCATACTACACTACACTACACCACCAAATCAAAGACTGAACATAACAGATTTTAACTATTTACTCACATTGCTGGGGTCCTCCCCACAGCGGAGACAAACCGACCACCAGTTCATCCTCATATAAAGAAGTCAGATTCCTGATAAGTTCACCGGTGACAGCACTAAATCCGGCTAGGCAGCCGATGTGGGTCGCACGGTGCTTATAGTCGATGTAGACGTCCTCTGCCTCAAAGTCACATTCAGTGGACGGGCATATTCCTCCCCGGGAATAGTCACAGCGAAACGAGAGCTTGACTCTTCTGCCCTATACCAAGTCACCCAGTGCTTTTGGCTCATCTGCAAGTATAATCTTTTGACGATCAATTCACCGCAGCTTGCAAAACCCAGGAACCCTAGGAAGCAGAGCCCGCGGTACTCATGAGGCTGGCATGAAAGCTAGCTAAGAAGTTGGCAGAAAGATCGCAAACGCGCGCGCAAACCGAAGCGGCGCAAGCGCGCATGTGCACGTGTGCGCGCACGGTTTCATGATAAAAAATTGCAAAACTTCTGGGGCAATACGCCTTGCACGTTCATGTCTCTGCTGTTGTTCAGCGCTCCACTTGGTGCGCACACTGAGCTCGGATGGTATTGGAGTTTTGGCTAGCTGTCAAGTTGGTTTCGCACGTGCCACCTACGGTCCGGACTGCCAAACACCGGACTGCCAACCGGCCTAGAATAGAAGCTGAGATCCGACTCTCCACGTCTTGCCGTCTTGTCCCGCGCGATGTGCCCGCGCCCCCATCTGGTGATCGCGTAAATCAAAGTGTCAGACGCGGTGACATGGCGCTGAAGTCAGTACCGAAACAGCCTTAATATTGCAATTGATCTAGTCCTAGCCACCAATACATGTGTATTTGGGGTTTGTGCTGGGAGCAAGTGTCCCCAATCTTTCAGCTCACGAGAGCCTAATTAGCTGTATTGAAGCCTGGGCTCGTTTTCAGCTGTGAGCTGCGATGCAGTTAGAAGCACTACATAGTACCGTGAAACGTCTTGTCCTTGCTCGTTTACCGGCGACGCCACGCAAGTGAGAGAGAGAAAATTGAGCGAGTTACGGGTTTCAGTGTTAATGAGACGACGCTGCACTAGTCTCCGTAAGCGATTATTACGCATCGCCCAAGGCTAGGCTACGCTGCAATTGGCATTGCCAACCTGTATAGATACTGCCATTATCCATGAGGCAAGTTCAAGTTGAGGGCTCCTCCCCATTCGTTCGGTCGAGCCTGAGACTCTTCATCTTCTCCCACGCTAATCAGCAGTCCCACACACTTATCCTTATCTTCGCTTCGCCTCACGGTGACTGACGCCGCGGCTGGGGACAAGGGCCATCTCAAGGCAATAAGACAATTTGAATGAATTCGCAAGTCCTACGCATATATATATATTAACCCGTGACCTAGGCAAGGGGCGACAACATTAAGTAATAAGCAGAATGAAGAACAGACAGGCGATTCGCAGGCAGGACATGAAAGAGTCATAATCGCAAAGGGTGGAGAATGCGATAATGAGGGGGTGCATTCCAGCCCTCTTTAGTGCGCAACTTAGAGTTCTCCTTGGCGGCTGTTCAAGAGTCGGTCCATGCCTCTGCTGATGTGATCCGCTCTGCGCATCCACATCGAACTATCCAGCCTGCAAACCGAGTCAAGCGTCGGCCTGCGCTTGCTCGAATTGATAAAAGGCAGCGGTGGAGAAATGGGCTATTCCTTCCTGCGGGTTGTCCCATGGGAATGCCCGACGGAAAAGGTTGGCGGATGGTCCTTCACGGGTGGGCATAAGAAGTGTCGGAACGCAGGAATGTTTCGAGGTCGGCTTGGTAGCAAGGGGGAACGAATGTATCTTTGTTTCGTCGTCAACGACTAAACTGCGAAAATTCCCAATGAAAACATGTGCGCTTGCGCCATGTCGGGATCACAGTGTCTTGTACCGCCCTCTGGGACCCGATCCCGGACTGTGAATATCCACACGGTGGATCAGTGGCTCGGTTCTCTGAAACGAACAACCCGAATTAACCCACCGATGGACCAAAAAGGTAGCGAGACTCTGGTATCGGCCTCGTTCATGCCTAACGAATCAAATGAGTGAAGGATGTCTCCGAAATGTGTGTCTGTGGGCGTACGCGGATTGTTCGGTAATGGGCTGGGGGAATGGCACCTAGAAAACATTCGTTCAGCTGAGGGATTTAAGGTTCGCCTGGGCGCGTACCCTACCACTAGGAGATCGGTCGGCCGGTTGAGGCTCTGGTTTTGGGTGACGACGGGAGAGCACGCGCCGAAGATGCCGTTGAATAATCCGGCTCCTCGAAAATCAGTGTCATACGGACCAGCCCATTGATATGACGCACCAGGGTCCGTTATTTCCTTTTGGCTCTTGCTCAAAACGGCCTCCACCTGGAACAAAAATGTCGATGGGCTGTGAAAGAGGCATATCATTGTCGTCAAGCCCCCTTATACTCATACAAAGGCCCATTGTGCGTAGCCTACAACCAGTGAAGGCTTGAGGGTAATTTGGGTTAGTGGGCCCCCGTCTAATATGGGAATTCCATTGGACACGGGGAGAAAACGTGGGCCACATAGGTTTCATTCAAATTAATGGTGTGCGCAATCCTATATTTATTAAATTAAAAATTTGAAAATATAATAAAATAAACATCTTAAATCTTCGCTCGTAGACTGGGCACTCAGCTTGGAACGGTTTGTTCTCGGCAAGGATCTGTTGTGCAGTTGTTTGTGTGAGTGAATTTTGAGTCCAGTTACGGCCTTGATATGTTCACCTAACAAAACCTCACGAGAGCCGAGCGGCGCCGGCAATAATGCAGAACATTCCAAATATGCATGTACATACCAGCACGCCGTGTGGGCGTGTGGTGGTGGATCTGTTTTGTTACCCCGCGGCCTCGTTGCCACGTGGTAGAGCGGCTATGCCGTTTGGGTACACCGGGGGATCGTCAATACGAGGTGGGTTACTGGTGTGTAGTGTTTTGTGCGCGGTTTCCTAGTGACATTGCAAAATTTGGATTTTACACCCTGAACGCCACCGTCATTGTCGCGGCACGTTGCCATGTGCACGCTGACCGCTGGGGCACGTTAGTTTCTCATTGCGCGATCTGACATTTGGGTCAAATGTGTGTACATGCGCACGGTTTCCCAGTGACATTGCAAACTAGAAGGCCGCTCCTAAAGAAGCAATTCCCGCTACTCCGTAGCGGGTCCTACGTTTTTTTTCTCCCAAACTCAATTAATTGTCCTATGCACAGGGTCCATTCTCTGCCCCATACAGTTCTATTCCGCTCGCTGCATGGCTTGTTGACGTAGCAACCCGACGTGGCGCAGTGGCAAGGATGAGCCACCAGGCACCTTATTGCCGACGTGGCGCACCGAGGCACACACATTGTGACTACCCGCTCTGGTGGCGGAGTGGACTCTTAGCCTCATGTTGCGCGCCACTTTGTACTCTTTTATCCTGGCTGGCCACCCAAATATGTATATAATGTCCGCGACTTGGCTAGAGCACGATATCTAACTATCGGTTTGATATCGCGCTCAGACACCCGCTGCCGGCTGATAACATGGCTGCAGTGTAAATTACGTGGTCCTGAAATCAGAGTGTGCGGTGGGTTTACAGAGCAAGAGCGAATCTCGGGCTGCAATGGCAACGTTAACATGCAAGAGGAGCGGGATCTGCCGCTGCAGGCGGGGAAAGTCGAATTGCGGGGTGTAAACTTGCAAAGTCACTTTCACAACCGAACGCTTCCATCGGCACATCACTATGTGCACAACTGACCGCTGTTGGGGCGGCGTTAGCGCGATCTGACCACACGACTTGGGTGAGTAGACTTCAGGGTGCCGAGTGACACTATCGTGGGAGGTAGCCCGAGTTTTCGACATATTAGTGAGGTTCCACATTGAAATGGACTGGCACCACCAGTTTGTTCTGCTGTTCGCACACCGTAAACTACCTGCCTTTCCTTTCTTTCACGTGTAATCTCCACCCAACAGTTGAACGCGGGGCTGAACAAACTCCCAGAATGTTTCGTTCCCAACCGCTGATGTACACTTAGGGAATAGGCTATGCACAGTTAGACAGGCATGGGATGTTTGCCCTGGTAGCCTCATGGATGTAGATACGGCACCCACCGCTTGAACTAGGTTGATGGGTCTGGAAAACCGTAACTGTCCTGAGCAGGAGTACTCCGAGACTGCAGGGCGAAACACCACGGAAACGACTATCCGTCCAGTACCTTGGTATCGTGTCGGGAATGATGTGGACGCTAAACAGAATCATCACGGTGAGTGTAAGACGTCCAACAAGTTTCAGACCTTGGATCGGATTGGGGAAATGGTGGTCCCTTAGTTTGTGTGGACGGAATGAGGGGTTTATCAGCAGCCGGTCCCGTTAAACCGTCGAGAGGCTATGAGCTATGATGATGCCGGTTGTGTTTAGGGTGGAAGATGCATGCGCATGGCAGAGCTCTGTGTCGGGAAATGCGACTATCTGGACGTTGCATTGATTGCACCTTTACCTTTGTTGGTGCTGACGGTATAGGGTTCACTAGTAAGTGTCAGAGGGCTTGTCCACTCACAAGGGATCGCCGGCAATTTCCAGGGCAAAGCGTCCTGAACGATCATCATCGTCCTCTGGTTGTCTTTTACAAGATAATATCATAGCAATATCACTTTCAGTGGTGATTCCTGCTGCGCTCTCGCGTAGGCAGGATCCCAGCCTTTACTAAAGTAGACTGCTGGCGCCACAATCGATGCGTGAATTTGTGACGGCATGCATCCATATTGTTGGAGGACAGCCTTGAACATGTATTTACAGATGTTTGTGCCGACAATTTTATTTAGTGGTCTACTGTCATCTTGTCCGACCCCGGCCCTGGAACTGCCATAACTCTATACATATATCGGGCATTTGATCGATCACATACCCATGGCCACGTCACGGAAATTGGCTTAAGGAACCTGAACACTGGGACCAGGGCCTTGGCGGCGGGCTCTGATTCCCGACCGTGTCTGCGACAGCAATTTTTCCAGACTGTTCACAAGTTGCATGGCTTCATCTGTGTTGGAATGCCAACGGTTTTGGGAATCCAAATACCCCTGTGGCCTCTCAACCTATGTGAATGCTATAGTGTTCGCTCCTTATCATAGTGGGACTCGCCTTGTGTCACAGAGCCTGGCTACATTCATATCCGAACAGCTCAAATAATCGTGCTTCACGCTAATGTTGTGGTCCTCATGGTAGCATAGCCGGACGGAGCCACGTTCACAACTGTATGATACGACAAGACCATTCGAGTCTGAGATACTGCAATACACTAGCTGCAGTCACGTATTCTACCTCGTCGGTCCTACCATGCAAATCCTACGTGACCTAATCTTAAACGTTTGCAGCACAGACCAACGCACCTCTCTTTGGAATGCACTGCAGCGGAGCAGCATCCCGCTTGGCGGATGGCGGAAGGAAGGTGTCAGGCTGGGCCATTCCATGCGGTAGGCTGATAGGACGAAGGGTACTCATGGTCGTACTCTGGTTTCCTACACTAGCAAGGTATTAGCGATCACTTATTCCCCGAAAAGCACCTGGAGTGGTGGGTTCACGGAACCGTTCGATCAGAATTTCACGAGGGGCAGAGATAACAGTAGATAAGGGGAGCAAGACTGGCCAAGCTCACGTCGTTTGTGAACGAGGACGAGATCATCCAGTGGATAGATTCTAGAAGCCGCTTCTGTTACGTGGACATGCGGGTTCAGTTACGTGCACTTTTCTGACGGTGCCAATCGTACTTTGGTGACGGGAGGTCTGGGTCATCACTTACAAAGAGAGCGAGTTGTGCCGAAGTGCCAGCTGGCCGAGTTTCCTGGCATGCCAAGCGGCTTGTCCATTGCGGGTGGAAAGTTTCAGACGGGGACCCTTCACGATTGGCCTGAGTACTGTTATGTGGATCAAGTTCGTGGCGGGCGGAGTTCTTGATGCCACATCTAGAGGGAGCTTCAGAAGTTATTCAATCGGGGGGGGGGGGGGTTCCAGTGACTGGTCGGGAGAGGTGATTGATGTGAATTTTCTTCTGTGCACACACACCGGACACCTGGGACTGAATGTGGGATCCTGCCCGTTATAATCATTAATAGTGTTAAGTTAGAACAAATGAATGTGTGCGCATGCGTGTACTGTGCTGTGAACGGCTTAAGATCCATGTGGCGATCATGCCACCGTCTCATCTCCGCCCTCTGGGAGGTATAGGAGGGTTGGACTGTGTAAAATGGACATTTGTTGTGAATCATCGGCTCAGGTTCATGCCTGAAATGGGCTCACCGAAAAAAAAGTTTGAGTCCGGCTACGTTCGAGCCTGGTGAGTTTAATGAGTGAAAAAAAATGCTACCAAAAGACATGCTTGAGAGAGGCGCACGGTCGCATAGAAATGGGCTAAGGAAGTTGCAACCACGAAAATTATCCTGTTAGCTTGGAATTTGAAATGTGCTTGAATGCGTACCTCTGCTACAGGTTGAGGCCTGGAACTCGAAAAGAATGACGCGACCCGCCCAACAACCCACCCCACCTTCACAGCACGTTCAGTTTTGTTGGAACCAACCAAAGGCTCCAGCAGCAGGTTATGCACATACCATGGATACTCTTGGCCGGCGCGAACCTCCACCTGGTACGAACGGATCTATTTCCTAACCCAAAAAAAATTATTCCCCGCGCTCATCGTTGAGTCAAGAAGGACAGACTTCGACATTCCCGCAATCCCCGAAAGGCACAGACATTATGCGCGACCTACAACCAGTGAGGGCTTGCAGGGAATTTCGATTGGCGAGCCATACGGATAAAATATGTGAACGCTATTGGCGGCCACGAGGATACAGCGTGCCAGTTTCCCCACAGGGATATGAATTTATTTATTTATTTTGAAACGAATCACCAGTGATGTGGCGATCGAAATCTTTTTCCTACACGGCAGCACGGACCACCTGATAAGGTTGTATCCCCAAGTACGCATTTGACACGAGTGCTTCCCTCTAAGTTGCACCCGCTTCCAGATCCACAACCGATCTGTGCCACATCCTTCCCCATGGTTTTCGTGGACAATAAGACGCACCCTCAAGTAGAGGCAAATCGACCACCCGTTCGCCCTCAGAGTCCTGACAAGTTTACCAGAGTTACTTGTGCCCCCCGAAGTCACATTCAGTGGAAGGGCATGTTTTCCCCTGGCACTGGAACAACCGTATCGAACAAGAGCTTGAATCCGCCTCAACGTCACCACTGTGCCATAACATTTGTCGTCTGCAGCACAATCTCTTTGATAACTGACCGCGGCTTGCGAACCCCCCAGAAGCAGGACCTGCGGTATTCACGAGGCTTTCCCCACCGTGAAAGCTAAGGAAGTTGGCAGAAGGTTGCGTAAACTAAAGCAGCAAGCGCGCGCGCATACACGAGTGCGCGCATGGTTTCATGATGAAATTTTGCAAAAAAAAAAAATCTTTCAATATGCCTCGCACGTTGCCGTTTGCAGCGTTTCAGAGCATGCGCACGCTGAGCTTAGATGGTGTTGGGGGTTTTTTGGCCGTGCGATCTGATCACACAAACTCGGTTCCGCAGGTCAGTCATCCGGGCCGCTGAGATCGCCAGACACCATCAATGCGGAACAGGTGATCAGCCTCAAGCCCTCCTAGAATAGAAGCCGGGACCCGAGAGAGAGAGGGGTTATTATCAATGGCGCCCAGACTGTTCTTGTTGTTTTTTTTTCTTTTGGTCTGATCATCAGACGTGTGGGTTTTGATACTAAAGGCGGAGATGGAAATATCTGCGCCCGCGGAACGATCGAGAGGAAGAAAAGAAGTTCCGGAGAAAAATTCTCATCGGTTATAAGCGTGATGGCCCCAAAGTTCAAGCTTGATCCAAAAGAAAGATGAGCGCTTGTCCTGAGAAAGAGACGCCGTGTGCTAATCCATTGAGAACAGGTCACAATCGCTCGTTGAAACTTCAACTTGGAACGTGTGGTTTGTTCCAGCGTTGCTCATTTCCACTGTCTAACTCCAGATTATGTAGGTATGAGTGACCATGTTGATTTAAATAATGTTAAATGTCTTGAATGTTCATTATTTGAGGCGTCATCATCAGTAGAGGCACCATCCCATCTATCTGTTCTTGGTGTGGAGCACGTATTGTGACGAGTGGCGTTCATCAAAATCGATGAAGGAGAACAGATTTGGCAAGAATGCCTGACAACAGCAGATAATCTTGTGAGCCATCGGAGACACGCCAACATGATTCGGTTCGTTGCCAGCGGTATGAAGCATGTGTGAGGCGAGCTTGACTCCCCCACTCCAACCACAATATTTTAAACTTGCAACTGAAGTCCAAACCAGTTTAAGCACCACTGGGATTGATATAGGCTATTACGCCTTGTCTGTGTCCACATCTCACCCTGTTGTCCCGCGCAACGTGCCCGCGTGTACAGACCCTAGGCCCGACGCGAAACTAGAAGGCGGAGCTATGGGACTTGCGAGACATGATTGACTGATCTTGTGACCGCTGGCCACCCGGATGATCAAAACCCGGTGTATCGCGTAAATTAAAAGTGTCAGACCCGTTGGCGCTGATGTCACTATTGCAATTGATCTCCTAACCGCCGGTTATACCGGAAAGCCATTGCAGTAAGCCAGTCCCATTGCTTGTTTTTTTTTTTGATTCTGGTGGAAACTTCCAGTAGCTTTCGCGACACGTGTGTATTTGGGGTTTGTAGCAAGGTGTTCCCGATCAACTGTATTGAAAGCTAACGTAATCAGGCTCGTTTTTCACGTGTGAGCCGCGATGGCTCGGAGTTCCATTGCGTCATGGTTGTTACTCGGAGCATACCGGACGCACCCCTCTTGAACCGGAGACCCTACGCAAAGCGCAAAACCAGCGGAGAATTGAGCGAGTTACGGGGTTCAGTCTTAGTCAGACGACGCTGTGCTACGTCTTGGCGTTCGTAAGCGATTATTGCGCATCCGAGAGCTCGCTCCAAAACTAGGTTACGTAGGGTTCATTGACTTATATATATATATATACTGTCATCCTCCCGTCGACTTCACCCTTCTCTTTCTATCCTCAGTCCTATCTTCCCCTCACCAAGATAAATCCTTTCCTCCTATGACCGCTGACGCTGACGCCGAGATTGTCGTTCGACAAGTCACCGAAGGAGTCCACACTATCTCGAGGCAAGTCCCCACGCATATATATCTTTTCCCCTCGCTGAACTTCTTACGGTTGACACCAATATAATCTTTAATCTCAATACAGACCCTTCTGGCGCTGGGGTTGGTTCCCCTTTGGGGGTCGTTCGACAATCGTCACCCTCCAGAACGGTTCCCTCTGGATTCTGGCTTCCACACCCCTCACTCCACTCACCAAACAAACTCTGGACTCTTTGGGGGGAAGAGTAGCATACCTCGTAGCTCCAGATGCCGAACATTCACTGTTTCTTTCTCAATGGGCAAAATCATATCCTGACGCCAAAGTCATTGGCGTTCCACCTCTTGTTCCTAAGCGTCGCGGGGAGGTGACGTTCCATGGCGTTTATGGACTAGAGGAACATAGCAAGCCACCGTTTGGATACGAAGATGAGATCGACGCATGCTATTTCAGTGGGTTCGCCAACAAGGACGTGGCGTTTTTGCACAAGAAGAGCAAGACGTTGATCCAGGCCGATTTGTTGTTCAACTTTCCTCCAAAGGAACAGTTTGAAAGGCTTGCACCTGGGTCTGAAGGATGGTTGCGCTTCTTGGGCATCAAAGGAGGGAAGGTCCCTTGCCTGAGCGAGTGGTTTAGTCCATGGGAGAATGGCCATAAGTGGTTCTTGTGGGCCGCTAGTCAGGACAAGGCGTGAGTTGTCCTACTTTTTCTTTCCAGCCTCGTATCTCTGAGCTGATGTTTCCAGTGCAATGGCTCGAGACGCCAAGACAGTCGCTGGATGGGACTTTAACCGGATCGTTCCCTGTCATGGTGTATGTCTTCACTTATACCTATCTCCCCTTTGGAACAGGCTCCCCTCCATCTCTTTCACTTACTTTTCTCTGACACATTCTTTTCTCCCAATCAATAGGACGTCATTGAAGAAAAAGGAAAGGAAGCTTTCCTCGAAGCTTACAAATGGCACCTCGAACAGGCCGAAAAGCAAAAGTCCGACTAGTGATTCACACGATTCAGTCTCAGGCTCCACAACTGCCACAGCCGGGAAAGGAAGTAAAAGCTACATCTTGCCAAATTCCCCGCCTTCATTCTCATGTTCGATTGTATTTTTGTTCAATGGCGTGAACGCAGCCGCCTCCTGACGAAGTTCCAAGCACCTGAGATCCCTCTCCCATCCCCCCCAATCCGAATGTTGCAATTTCCGTTTTGCTGTCTCCACCCTTTTTCCCCGAATTCAATGACCACTGATTTACTCATGTATTCCTCATGTCAATTATTCCTGTAGCCTTGTATGTTAACGCTTGAGCCTAATCCGTAACTTTTTGTGGTGCGGATACACGTCGCGATTCGTACTGCTAACTGCTATCACCATTGCGCGTGACATGGAATAATGCATGACGCAAACTAAAAAGGGGCTGAGAAACTTAGGCCAGCCCCCTCAGCGACTTTGAGGAGTTAGCAGCTGGGGAGAGTACCCCGGCTTCCACGCCCAGCTTCATCCACAGGCCGCTCCCAGTTGGGGTCCGGATCCTGACACTAGCGCTCTGATGACCCATCTTCTCCCATCAACATCACTGATGCATTTATTGACCTGGTATGTGCATCCTACTCCTACTTCACTCTGACTTGATCTCTTGTTTCTGATTACAGGATAATTTTAGTTTGTGTGTTGTCTTAGAACATGGAGGCACAAGCTCAAAATGATTGCCCTTGCCAGATCATGGACTGCCTACAACCTCGCGCACAACATACCGATACGTAAAAGGCGGGCATTCCCTTACTGGGGGTCTGCCGGTCACCTGTTGTACCTCTTGAGGCGTTGTCAGTACGAGATCTTCAAGGGCGAACTCTCCCCCCCGTCTATTCTCTCGTTGTTTCGATCGCCAGTTTCTCCAGCCTTTCCTCGTCCGAGTGTAACACCTGACGGCACGCTTCCAGACTCTGCCCCAGGCCAAGCTTTGCACTAGGCCGGATCTGAAAACTGACGCGCTTCTTTAATTTTGATTTTTTTCTTTTTCGAATTATACATATAATCCATCGCCAACAAAGCTTGTGGTATATAGGAGTCTCAGTTGATGTGTACATTTAGCCTTGGCCATGTATGCCCGGCTTTGAGTGGTTTATGGAAGAGCAAGCGCAATTTGCGTCGCCGCATAGTTCGCGTAGATCTATTATATAATGCGGCACGTTGAACGCCGAAATGCGTTGAGTAACGGGGTACATGTTATTATACGTTAGCACAGCGGCTGAAGGGTAACGATACAAGATATATGTATAGTCCAAGTACAGTAAAGCAAAACAGGATTTGGTGAGACAAGACAGCAAATTACAACCAACACAGCGAGAAGATCGATCTTTTTCTTTTAATCTTTCCCTTGCATGTGCCATTTGAATGCTTCGTTCCAGGCTTCCTTGGCATCGTTCTCGATGACGTCCTAATAAATACACATCCAAGGGAGATCATCAGCATAAATACGCATTGCGAAAGAAAAAAGAGTAGGGAGAGAGAGAGAGAAAGCTTACACCATGACAAGGAATGATCCTTTCAAAATCCCATCCTGAGACTGCTATGGAATCCACCGCCATAGCATCAAAGCCATCTTTCTTCACCCCTTTCCATAAAAGTTTCTTTGCTTGTTTGGTGTAGGGTGTGAAGGTGGCACCGAAGAAAGGTCCTGAGCCTCCTACAATGGAGTACTTGATAGAGAGGACATAACAGTGTTAGGCGATGTGACGGTGGTAAGTTGAGTTGACAACGGTAATTTACCTGTTCGGTGCATGGCTGGTTAAATATAAGGTCCGCTTCGAGAAGGGTTTTACTTGGTTTATGCAGGAATGCGATATCTTCCTTTATGAATCCAGAGAAGTAACTGCAGACGAACGAATGAGGTGGTGTAAGGTGGTACTATTCGCCTCGGGGACATACCGAGCTTCAATCTGGAAGGTGGGGCGGCACGCCAGGTCGGTATGTAGGTTAATTTCTTTTTCTCTTAGGGAAGTAGTATGCTTGCCTCATCTTCAAATCCATAGTGCGTCTCTTCTGGGTCTTTCCCGTACACGCCGTCGAACTTGAGTTCCGGCTTCTTAGCGGCCACAACCGCGGGACCTATCAACTTTGCTGCTGGATAAACTCTCTTCCACTCCCCTGTCAATGTAATCGAGAAAAAGATCCCGAAAGTAAGGGGGGGGTTGCCCAGGGGATTGATTGGCTATCAGATCACCCTATTTAGGTTGGCGGGAAAATAGGCTTTACCGAGAAAGAGGTGATGATCTTTTTTGATCGAATTTTGATTGAAGCTGTCAGCACGACTAATCGATTTGTGTCCAAAACTTGCGGCACTGACCTGAATCGGGTGAGATTAGGTACCTTGGCACCACGAGGAGTTATGTATGAGCAAGTATGTATATCATGACATTCCCATTCAATTCAGGGTACTTGCTTTGGAACTCCCAGCTCGTCCACCTTCGTTTTCGTCTCAAGGGTCAAAGGAGTGCTCGCAAGGATCCACAGATCATCCTTTCCGTCCGTTTGGGTGGAAAGTTTGATGACGGTTGATCGGCCACCGATGGGTAAGATCCCGTAACGGGTGAAAGGTTTCGAGAAGGTCCAAACGCCTGGTGTCACCTGAATACATCAATATTGACCATTTAGATCGGCAGCAATAAGTATGGGAACAGGGAAATCACGTACCTCACGGACCACAGTGTCGTTCTCAAAGTGTTTCATGGCTATGTTATTGGTGAAGCGTTGGTATGCTGGACAAGCTGTAGATAATGTTTGATAAGGGTTAAAGTTATTGGGGTGTCCTCGTGCACGACTGTACAACGGGGTTTGCCAGTGAATCAGTACACATCAAGGCCTCAACGGATCAAAGTAGAGAGGGAAGATTGTGTCACCTTTTCTCAAAACAGTTGGAAAGGTTTCAAGTCTTTGGTGGGTGTTCACTGGGGAGACGTTGATGAGTCCAGCTATTTGTACGGTGGGGCTCAATGCACGCAAGCTACACCTACTGCGGTTCTTCCAGTCCCTTCGGAACGGACCAGCGTAATCAAAGGCCACCCACGTAATGCAGGGGGGTTGCTTTCGGCTGGGGCTGTCAAAAGTGGGATGCGTAATAATGCGACGGGCCGCTCATGACCGGATCAGTCGCGGACCAACCCCCGCTTTGTACAGCCACTCCGTGCAGTCGCACCTACCAGCATCCGTTCACCTGAAATGCTCCTACCGTGTAGAAGCTGGTTCCTGCTGATGATGTTGCAGCCGGATATATATGGAGAATGGGAACTGAAATTCGGACCTCAGTGGGAAGGTTGAAAGCTCCTTGGCTTCGGGGTTTTAAGCTTCTTACTTTATTTTCAAGCCACAGACTGATTGCCCCCAACACCGAGTTTCCGTGTGATCATGCGATCGAAGCAGCAGCGAACTGTCTATGACGACCAAGCCTCCAATCAATTTGGGGCATCTGAACTTCGCTCGGACCATCTTACAAGCCCGAACTCTTTATTGACTCTTCACGTATGGCTGCTGTATAATTGTGGGTTCTCAGGACGAAACTCTTCCAGGCGTGGGAATGGGAAGTCACTTTCAGGCTAGTAGGCAATGCAGTTCGTCTTCTCCGTAGCGGCAACTAGATCCATCAGGCACATCCCTTGCGATCGGTCCCTGGCCTTCCTCCCCTTTTGTTACTGTTTGCTGATACCCCTGACAAGAAACTCTAAGCACAGTTGCAATGGTGTCTGTACCATCATTTGCTTGTTTCTCGCTAGTGCGAGGCAACCATTGTGCTCATCTGATGAATGGTTTACTCAATCATTTTGACACGTTTGAGTTTGACAGCGGTTGGTCTTGCGCCGCCCATTCAGTTGGTGTTTCCCACGGCCCTGACACTTGGACTTTCGATTGTAGTAGTTCAGCAATCCAGGTCCCTCCTTGGAGGGCGCTTTCCCATTCGTAAGGCTGTGCCTCCGGTGCAGCAGTGATGCCTTTTCTCGGGAGGGGGAAGGGGCGCTGTTCGGGCATGCATTTTCCATGCTTCAATCTGGTTACTGTTGATTATTGCCTCATATATGCTCCTATTCGTCGCTCATCTTCATTTGCGGGCCGGAGTTTTCGAGTATGATGGGATCACTTGAATCGCCGCATACGGCTTTGCCCTCATGCAATCCTTATCGGCAGTCGCAGTGCTCGTCTAATTGCTAGTCCGTTTGTGGGCATTACGTGATTTCCCTGTCGCATGATGTTGAAGTCTAGGAGGCCGGCAGGCGTATTCCCTGTTTAAAGGAAATGTGTAAGTCTACTAGGGTAATTTGGTTTGTATCCGCTGGTACCCATTGATTTATCACTATCTTGGATGTTGTTCGTAACAAGCAGCCATGCCAGCTCCATCATTCAGTGAAATTGGGCGTTGTCGCAATGACTTTCGTCCTTCTCTCATGCTCATATCATTCTTCCACGAATGGTCTGGCCCTTATTGAATCTCGTCCTCAGATAATTGGCGTGTGGTCAACATTCTCCCACAGACCTGATGCTTTATGGGAACAAGGGTGTGAAAGTGGCCCCTGTTTCGTGCTTCGCAAACTCTGCCCTGGCCCTAGGAAGGTTGGGAAACGTGTTCGTCATGAATTTGGCTGAATCTTCGCTCGGCCTCGAGCGACCGAACCAATGAAAACCGACCCAGTTGGAAGCAATCTACGTTGTCCGTGCGTATTTGGGTCTGTGGCATTTTTGAGTTGTGCATAAATTCCTGCTGAACCTGCTAATGCACGGTCCGGTGCTAAGATTCGTTTTGCTGTGTATGTAGATTGCAACCCGAAGATTCACATAGTTTTCGTGGTTTAGTGATTGTTCGTTATTCAGTTACATAACGGTTCAGTAATTAGCTGTCTGAGATTCCTGACTAGGAAGGAATCAGGCTTTTTGTCAGCAACGTGCACGCTGTCGTGGGTCCAATGCATGGTGTCGTTCAATAGTTCCCGGGAATTGATGAAGGTCACTCCCTGGCAGCGTTGACCGAATGGCTATCGTTGTCCCGGCCCAGAATCACGTTGTTTCCGCCGTGGATTATTGGTATCGATCGCGGCTGTCAAAGCCGATATCACCGAACTCATCCCATCCAAATCCCCGCACTTTCCGGGGCTGGCCATCGTGTAATTCCCACCTCCGTACCCCGTGCATTACGATCATCTGGACGGTGACCAAAAGACGGTAACTAATTCTAACATTGGCTATATACATTATCTGTGGCCAGAACCGCCCATCCTACATATTGTAATGGATACCGTATCCCTTTTCTTCACTTTCTTCTCAGGGTTTGCGAGGTGGGATTCCAGAAAATCGGCAGATGTCTGACTTCTATTGGGCAATCGCATCATTACACTGGAGATTCCATTTCGTAGAATCTGAGTGGGGAAGATCGGGCATGCTGCCTCTTGTCCCAGTCCGATCGGTGGAAATATGCCTTGGGAGAAGTCAAATATGTGCATGAGGGCTCGGACCGAACAACGTTTGGCGAGTGATGCCTATGTCACAAGTTAGGCCGGCGGCAGTTGCGGTGGGAATGTGATCTTAGGATAAAGGGGAGGATATTCGAATAGAGCCAGTGAGGCAGTGTAACAATCATCCAGTAGAATGTGGATCCATTGCTACGCAGCTTCACTATTTACAGTCAATAAAGTGGCATGATGAGAGGCATGATGAGAATGATGTTGCCGAAAGCATATGCACTGATCCGATGTCCATCACATGCTTGGACATGCTGCTCAATCTACACAGAGCATCGAGGGCGATGAAAGCAATTAAGGCGAGATAGCAATAGATAATACGTTGGCGCTTATGCATCAAGGGGATATGGGCCAAGCTAGGCTTGGTGGCTAAGGCAGTTTGATAGAAAGGGTTAACATCAACCATAATTGAGCTCTTCATGCGGTTTTGATTGTGGAGGGCGAGTATTGTTGCGTATCCAATCTGGTCGACCTGGCAGTGAGCGGTCGTTTCCTGAACGGATGAATGCGGGTCGACTTGGTAGGCTGTTTGTAGCGTAGGGCGGGGGAGGCAAACCATTTGGTAGGACAGGTTGCGGCATCATGTACAAAGGAGGAGGCCTGCCGGGTACGAGGTGAATAGGGGGTAATGAAGCTGGTAGTGGCGGTGGTGGCGGTGGAGGAATGAAGTTTTGGGAGGGTGGACGATTAGGAGGACCTCGCCAAGGTTGCGGTAGCGGGGGTTGCGGCGGTGGAGGCACATTGTTCGCTTGACCGCCACCTGGTCGACTACCACCAACTGCCTGAGGACCAGTGCCATTTGGGAAGAAAGATTGTGGTTGCCCGAAAAAGCGAGCACCCTGCACAGGAGCAGGTAGCGCAGAGTGCTGGGGGGCATTTGGCTGCGCATGACGGCGACGGTTGAATTCATGAGAAGGTTCATACTTAGCGAGGCTGTGAATATCGTAGAGTCAGCATCACATTAAATTCACAGACATGTGCGCATACGATTTGGGATCGGCAGGCAGAGGCTCTGTCCAGAAATAATCATGATCAAGAGCTTCGAAAGCTGTGATTCGCTGCACAGGATCGAGGGTCAGAAGCCGGTCAAGGAAGGCAATCGTGTCTGCTGAGGCCCTTCATTTGTATGTGAGATGATGCGGTAGCCAATGAACAAGAATGCTCATACTCAGGAGGAAGAATATCTTTGATGCGCCGTGGAAAGTATCCCCAGTGAGGAGGGAAAGGAGCCTTTGGGTCGTACGCACTCCACCCAGGAAAGTTTTCCTCAGTCGGAGAACCACACAAATCAAAGATTTTCGTGAGCTGATCCAGGTCGCTAGTACCGGGCATGATGGGTCTTCTTTGAAACATTTCTGCAAAAATGCATCTAAGAGCAGGTGAGTAACAAATTAGTGAGTAGCATGGCCACACATCTTACCCAACACCCCACATGTCCACCCACCCCTCATACTTCCTTTGACCGAGCAGAAGTTCCGGGGATCGGTACCAGCGAGTGACAACAGAGTTAGTGTACTTCTGCAAACCCTCTTTTGTCTTCCCCGAATGGCGAGATATGTGAGACACAGGACGAGCAAGACCGAAGTCTGCAATCTGAAGGCAACCTTCATTATTAATAAGTAAGTTTGCCGATTTCAGGTCTCGGTGCAAAATCTTGTTCTGCGACATAGATGATGTCAGTAATCCCTCTGAAACTAACAAGAGCTTCTAAGCACCCGATGGAGATATCCAACACCCTCACACAGATGCTTCATGTAGAGTTTAATCTGACTGACACTCAAAGTGACATTACTATTTTCTAGCAGGCCAGCCAAATCATGGTCCATATATGGAAACACCATGTAAATGGACGTTTCCCCTCCAGATCGTTGTGGACCTAAAATCTCAAATGAGATATTGAAAGCCCATAACGCCGAGTCAAACTTACGTTGAACGATAATGCATACAATCGAGACGATATTCCGGTGTTTCAACCTTTTGAGAATCCGGATTTCCCGAAGTGCGGTGATTGGGACACCTTCGGTCTCATTCTTCATCAAAATGCGCTTTAAGGCAACCAGCTGTCCTGTCCCTTTTCGCCGTGCTTTATGAACCTCGCTGTGGGAGGTCCTCAGCCAATTTCACGAGTCAAAGCCGTACTTGAACTTGCCCAAAAGTCCCCTCTCCTAGTTTGTTCAGAAGTTCAAAATCGGAGAGTTTATCCACGCCTACAAAGATACGCTGATATGCGGCAAATTCCTCTTCTTCGGACCGAAGGGTCGTTGTCCCGGTCGCCTTCAACATCCGCACACCCTGTGATTGTCCCGATTTAGCCGATGGCTGGGGCGTCAGAGGAGCCGATGGCTGAGCCCTTAGTTCCGAAGGAGGCTCTGGCTCAGATGGAATTGGGGGTGGGGGTTCCACTGGGGGTTGAGGCTCAAGGTTTGACTCCATTTTGATTGCTGGCTTCTCATGCGACATGGGCGAGAGGTTCATTTGGGGAATCTGAGACTCAGACACGATAGTGTTCTGAGAGGCAGGGGTTGGATGGGCAGTATCCTTGCGAGATGGCTCCCAGCTATTTTGACCAGGATCAACGGCAGAGTCATGATTAATAACAGGACGCGAATTTTTGCCATTACTGACGGCGGCATTTGGATGTGTCAGAGTTTCGATATCGGGTCTACTTGGAAGTGATGCCAACGGTATCCGCGGACTGAGTCTGGAATTCGGGTAAAGTTCACGTTCGCGTGCATACGCGTCAGAAGGCATATTGACGCCCCCATACCCTTCATACGAATCAGCCGCATAATAGCGGGGAGTCCTGTCAGAATAGAAATCGTCGCGACGTCTACGATATGGTGGAGGCGAGGGGGACGGACGGCGCGGCAGGCGGTGCACATTGTGAGAACTGGCGAGAGATGGTGACTTTGATGGTGAACGACTAGAAGATCCTCGACGGTATCCATTAGAATACGAATCTTCGGGCACATAACGATCATATGAGGGGCGCGGGGCCCTCCCAAAGTCGTCGCGTTCAAAATCTGGACGGTAGTGGTCATACGACGAACGGTCGCGCCAGGAGTTGTCTTCCCTGCCGTACCCCCCACGGATGAGAGGATACCTTGCACGGTCGTGCTGCACATAATGGTCATAGTCGTCCCGCCGCCACCGCTCAACTCTTGATGGTGACGCATGAATGTCCCTGTGAGGTGAACGCTCATGCTGAACTGGATGATTTATAGGAACACCCCTAGACGCCGATGCCCCAGATGCCGCTTTCGTTTTTGACTTGAAGGGTAACGGCACCTTGCTGAAACCATCCTCACTACCTTCAGAATCGCTTGGACTTTTTGGGTACCCATTCACAGTTTTGCTTGGGCCAGGGCTATCTGTCACTTCCCCTTCTTCTGGCTCGTTATCCGGGGTAAGCTGTCGACGCTTAAGATCACGCAGAGGCTCGTCCGTGCCTTTGCGTTTTGACATCGTCGGGGACTCACTCAAGCCTTATGCCGCATGCATCGAAAAAGGAGTCACGTGGCTCGACACGTCTTGACAACGACGGTCTGAAATTCGCCCTTTCGCGTCCCGATGCTTTTAGATATCAACGTGAGCATATAAGGCCTACGTATAGCCCAATGCACTGAATCCAAAGCTTTTTTTATCAGCGGAAACTATTTACTCGCTCGGACAGAGTAAAATCTGTCGATTTCCATCCTACTGAGCCTTGGGTCCTTGCTGGGCTTTACAATGGGACTGCACACATTTACAATATCGATAGTGGGGCTTCGATCCGATCTTTTGAGGTTGCAGAAGTCCCTGTCCGATGTGTCCAATTTATTGCCCGCAAGCAGTGGTTTGTTGCAGGCTCAGATGATTTCCAACTTCGTGTGTTCAATTATAACACCCACGAGAAAGTGGCTGCTTTCGAGGCCCATCCCGATTACATCCGTTGCTTGACCGTTCATCCCACCCTCCCGATAGTTTTGACTGGAAGTGATGACCTGATGATTAGGGCTTGGGATTGGGAGAAAAGTTGGAAATGCACTCAGGCGCGTAACCCCAATAGGAGCATGCACCCAATTCTCAATCCCTGGTCTCTTTGTAGGTATATGAAGGCCACTCCCATTACATCATGAATCTTGCTGTAAACCCCAAGGATGCAAATACATTTGCATCTGCTTGCCTTGATCGAACTGTCAAAGTGTGGTCATTTGGTTCATCCATCCCAACTTCACACTCGATGCACACGAGAAAGGTGTTAATTATGTTCAGTACTACCACGGCAGTGACAAGCCGTACTTGTTAACCACTGGTGACGACCGGTAGGTCCCGCGTCATTGGCCAGTCCTTGGCTGAAACATTTCACAGGCTCATCAAAATATGGGATTATCACTCAAAGTCTTGCGTACAAACCCTCGAATCTCACACCTCTAACGTATCTTTTGCCATCTTTCATCCCTCACTGCCCGTTATCGTCTCAGGTTCTGAAGATGGCACTGTCAAAATATGGCACGCCAACACTTACCGACTTGAGAGCACCCTTAATTACAATCTTGAGAGAGCATGGTGTGTGGCATCTCGCAAGGGACTAAATGATGTTGCTGTTGGATATGACGACGGTCTCGTGGTCATCCAAGTGTGTTTGACAAATGAACGCCTGAATCAGAATTTGACTTTGGTTTAGCTTGGGCGCGAAGAACCATCGTTCAGCATGGACCATTCTGGGAAGGTCGTCTATGTGCGCAATACAGAAGTCCTCTCTGTAAATCTCCAACCGACCCAAGGTACGTGACTGTCTTATTCCGAGAATCTATCACAACCTTTCTTTACCAGAGGACGCGACACCTGAGGGGCAGCGCCTCAACCTAGCACCAAAGGAACTCGGCTCGACGGAAATATACGCTTCCTCACTGCAACATTCGCCGAATGGTCGCTTCGTCACTGTCTGTGGCGACGGCGAGTACATCATCTATACCGCACTTGCCTGGCGCAACAAAGCTTTCGGAACCGGGACATCTTTTGCTTGGGCGGGAGATTCGAACACGTACGCGGTGGCTGAAAGCAAGACCAAGATTAAGCTGTTCAAAAACTTCAAAGAGAAGTCTGGTGGTGGATGGGCAGGTCTTAAAGGTCTCTCGGGATGGACTATCGAGGGCGGCGTTTTCGGAGGAACGCTTCTTGCCGCCATTGGTGTAGGGTTTGTTATCTTTTGGGATTGGGAAACGGGAGAGGTCGTCCGAAGAATAGAAGTCGATGCTAAAAATGTGAGTCGACCCACTCTACATGGACAGCACTTGCCATGACCCAAACATGTATCATTCAGGTGATATGGTCGGGGACGGGATTCTTAGTGGCTATCACTGCAGAAGACTCTTTCTATGTGCTCCGATTCGACCGTGACGCCTACAACCAGAGACTTGAGGAAGGTGCCGAAATCACCGATGAAGGTGTCGAAGAAGCGTTCAACGTGGTTGCCGAAATCACAGAAAGGCGAATCTTCTCCCCATCCGGTGTGATCTTAGCTGATGTGACACATTTTGCGATCTCATTAGTGTGAAGACTGCCAAATGGGTGGGCGATTGTTTCGTGTATACCAATGGAGCCAACCGATTGAACTATCTCATCGGAACCCAACCGCAAACGGTGAATCACTTCGACATGTGGGTTATGACTGTGTTGTCTGATATCTGTAGCCCATCACTTATGCGAACGGCCACACAGTCCGATGTACCTTGTGGGGTACATTCCAGCTCACAACCGGGTCTACGTGGCCGACAAAAACCTCAACATTTATGGCTATTCTTTATCATTAGCATATGTGGAATATCAGACGGCAATCTTACGGGGCGATTTAGATGGTGCTGTTGATATTTTGCCCAGCGTACCCTCTGATCAACGGAACAAGCTCGCGCGATTCTTGGAATCACAGGGTAACGTCTCCGCGGAGATTACATTTCTGAAACTTAGGGTCTAACCAATTTTTTATAGATCTCAGAGAGCTGGCTCTTCAGCTCACCACAGATGCCGACCACAAATTTGAACTGGCAATATCGCTTGATGATCTAGACGCAGCGCTAGATATTGCACGGCAGGCGCCTGTGCCCGAATGCGAAACTAAATGGCGAGCGGTGGGAGATAGGGCTCTAGCTGTGTGGAAATTCGACTTAGCCAGGGAATGCTTCGAAAAAGGCGGTGACACAGGCTCCTTGTTACTCCTGCATTTGGCAACAGGCGACCGCGCGGGTTTACGTACGCTCGCTTCATCGGCATGTGAGTTTTTCACTACGCCCACAGATCCTGGTGAGGAAATATGACTCTGATCTTGATGTCACACTCTGTTTGCGGTAGTGAATAAGGGGCAAAATAATATAGCACTAGCGGCCCTATTGCAACTTGGGGATCCTAAAGCTTGCGTTGACTTACTGGTCGAGACCAACCGAGTTGCGGAAGCTGCCTTGTTCTCTCGAACTTATGCTCCAAGGTATGTGAACTGTGGACATGTCTGACTTGCGCGTGGCTTTTGAACCACCTTTTTTTTTTCCAATAAAACCTATTCTCCATCATTCTGGTTCAAATCCAAATCCCCCGCATGCGCCGCCTATCAGCCAGGTTCCCAGGGTAGTGGATATTTGGAAGAACGACCTTGCCGCAAATCAACGGGGCCGGATCGCCGATTTAGTGGCCAGTCCATCTGATCATCCGGAGTTGTTTGAGGAGGGTTGGGCGGAGGCACTTGACAGGGAAGCGGACCTCTCTGGAAATATTCAACCGGCAAGTGACGGTATCCCCGTGTCTGCCAAGGTGAACGGGGCCGCCGGTGAAGTAACAGCTTAGTGGTCAATCCAGCTACACATGCTACAGCAGATCACCCGATGAACTTCCCCATCACGATCAACCGACTTCTCGCGTCCCCTTTGTTAAGTATGATGAATAATTATGCGATTTCAGGTGATAAACGAAGCGTGGTGACACGATGGTGCGAGGGCAACACGCGTCTGATCTGCATATGTACTTATTATCCTCACGTGAGTGAGAGTGGCAAGCGCTCGCTCCGCGGGCTAAGTGTTCAACTTTACGCCGATATTGGGAAAGCGTCAAATTAGCATGTTTGCTATACTTGGAGTCATGGCGGTGCACGCACACCGACGAGAGTCCGTCAACTGGAGGAAAATTGATTCATAGTACGCGCTGTAGCTTTTTCAAGGTTGAATGTGAGCCGTGAGCCGAACGTTGAGGTGTGAGGTGCGAATTATATTACTCTATGTATCAAATACACTATAATCATTTTTTCAGGTTATGAGCACGGGCAAACAGCTTTTCTACTGTATACTTATGGCGTTCCAAGTAAAGAGAGCAAGACGAAAGTGGACCATAGAATTGGAATTTGTTTAGCGGAAGGAGTTGCTGTATTGAGCCCTATATTTGGTGATACTCGGCCACTGGTCACCGAGTTGCAACCAAGGTGATGGCTTTGCCGGTCTAGCGCGCCCACGGGAAGGGTCAGTCGAAGCTCGCCGATGGCGGATGAGGGGTGGCCCAAAGAGATGAGACACGGAATATTCTGTTGATATACTGCATGTCATCGCAGGTGGCGTGAAGCGGATTCAATGCCCGAACAAAGTTGGGCATCAGTGACAATTTACGGATAAAGGAACAAAGTTCCGTTTGCGTGAAGAATCGGTTCTGCATCGCCGCGAACTGTGGGTTTGCTGGGTTGGGAAGTGGGGTGGGCTTTCGCCGTCCGGGATTATTGAAGGGATAAAGGGAAGCGATGTCCCATGCATTTCATCTTCGGAATCCGGCTTGCGCGCGTGTCAACCATCCTATGGCCGTTGTCCCATCAATTAATGGGGGCGATTTCGTCCATCCAAGGCCGCTCTTGAGATCGGGAAATAAGATATTAAAAATAAAGAAAATCCCGCAAATTTTCTCGTGTTTATAGTGGTTTTTTTCGGGGAGCGTAATTGAGATATTTTGTAGGGCCCCCCGCTCCTTGTACTTACCATGGCGCATATAACTCCCTCCGTGTTAAAAATTTCCTCTCATTCCCCCTCTTTCCCTTCTTGTCTCCTGGTGAGCCACCCTCCGCTTCGCTCCCGAAACCATGGTTCACAACTTGGCACACCCTCCGTACGATTGTGCTTGCACCAACTGCAGACATTCTGACCTTCACCACGTCCGCATCACCTTTCTTCCCAGTCACGCCTTCTTCTGACTCTCTATTCGTTTTGACGCCTTCCCAGGACACCGAACACCTCATGGAATACCAAACTGTTGAAGATCTCCAGGCACGAGTCGACGAGCTCGAGGCGCTTCTTCGTCAAGCTGAGCGCCATGGTTCCACTGCGCCTCCTGAACCCGATCTCGGGCAGCACGCTTTCGTGGAAGGAGAAACCTCTCAGTTCTTGGATCTTCCTCTCGAGGTTTCGTCTTATGAGCACGACGAAGATGGCACACTGCCATCTGAGCTTCAGGATCATCTGTAAGTCCGGGCACATTTAATTCCGCAACAAGTCAACATTTAAGCGCCGATCGATCCAGAGTCGAAGCATTCTTCGAGTATCTTTACCAATTCAACTTCTTTATGGACGCTAAGGATTTCCGACGACGTTTGGAGCTCCCAACCAGCGACCCTCATAGCCCCCACCCCTCCCTAATGACCGCCATCTTCCTCGCTGGTACACATTTCTCGACGAGAGACGTTGCCAGCTGGCAACCAATTCTCGTAAGGCGCACCCACCGGCTCATCTCTCAGTCAACAACTCTCGGAGATCGTCCGTTGGATTTGTGCATGGCCGCCGTGTTGTTTGCAAGATTTTGCTTTCACACGACGCGTTTCGATTTGGGGCTATGCTATACGTCTTGTAAGCACAGACGTTCCTGTTGCCTTTGGAGTTGACTTGTGGGACTCACGCAACAGTTTTGTCTCACCCAATGCCACCTACCTCCTTTTCAAGCCGCCGTGAGCTTTGCTGTTGGATGCGGCTTCCACCAGATGGCCTTCCGTTCTGCGGCTGCGCACGAGTACCCTCAGCGCGCCACCATCCCATCTCCTCAAGATGAGGCGGAGATGATCCAGCGCATCCGAATGTGGCATTCGATATTCATGGTAAGTAAATTCACCATCAGACAACAGCCAGCGCCGTTGCACAGGCGGATTGCTTTTTGAAATCTGCGTGTTTCATACTAACTCTGTTTCCCTAGTTGGACCGCGGTTCGTCGTGGACGAGTGGGGTACCGCCCTACTTAGCCGAGGAGGTCCGTGTATCCTTTTTTCATCACAATTCGAGAATGCTTATTTGAATTGATCCTCATAACGTGTCTCCGGTCCGCTCCGCAGGATATCGTTACCCCCTGGCCTGTCTCTTCTGGTACTTCTCAACGGGACCTCCATGCCCTTCTCAATTCGTCGTCCCCAATTCTTCAAAATCTTTATGGTCCCACGGGCTTTGACGCAGCCACTGTAAGACCCGGTGACAGTTCGTTGTCAATTCGGGCGAGGAGCATCGCCATCTTCGATAAGGCACTGTTCTTGGATCGATCGTACGCCTCGAATGGTGTGTGTCTGTGTTAATTTAATCCCATTTATGATCATCATTGCCAATGGGTCACTCTGTCGCACAGCCGATCAATCCTTTGGTAGTTCATTTAATGACCTCATTGCTGCGTTGACAACGTTCCGCGATACGTTGCCTTCTCTGTATTCGCCACCCTGTGACTTTCCAATTGATCTCTCCGGGGATGAATATCAGGACGACAACGGGCATGTAGATACGAGTTCGTGGTGCAGGATCTACACCCTTCTGATGGCCCATTCCTGCGTGTTGGGTTCTCTTGCACTCTTACATGGGATTCACGACAATGAGGAGGAACACGCGCGCCGGTCGTATGAAGCATCTTCTCAATTGGCTCACCTTGTGAGGGAACTGAAGGATTTTAATCCCAGAAGAATGCCAATACTCATCATAGTGAGTATACGCTCGCAGCCCTCTATCCAATGGTCGAACCACTCACTATTGAAAACAACCCTTGTTTAGTCTGGGTGGGCGGCAGCCGCAACAAGACTTCTCAAGCATGTGCAGACCTCGTCAAGTTCTACCCTGCCCAGGGTGAACGAGCCGGAAGCCCGATGTGACTTTGATACGATTTATCAAGCACTTCTCCAAATTAGGACTATCTATCCTATCACGGGTATGTTGCCATTCCCTCTCTTGCCTATGGAGTTTCCACATGGTTCCTCGCTCCTGCCCCGAGTCGCTCGGGCATCCACAACCGCGCTTATTTACCCCCGGTTAACGCGAAGCACGACTCTGGGTCGTTAGGATTTCATTTCCGCTTGTTCATGTTCTATCGTCTTGATGACACCTTTGTTTTACTCTTTTGGTGTGACCCACTGACCTTGTGTTCGCTTACTGACGACCAGACCACTTCCTTTGTTTCCCATCTCGACTAGGTGTCTTTACAGATGCGTTACGTGAACGACTCGACTCCACGGCATAATGATCATGAAGTTATACCTCCCTCTTGTCAACCTTATTAGTCAAGACGATGCGGCTTCGTGATTGCGGTTGTCCGTTTTGTTTCCCCCTGTAGCTCAATCCTGGTGTTGCCTCCATCTCCAGCCACTCCATCTTCCCTTTCCGTTTCCAATCTTGCTTATCTCGCCCCCATAACCCCATTTCTCTTACGATTTCAATCTACTCTCACATTCCTGACCCTCGCTCCCATGCCTATCCCAGCTTCCGTCATGACGATTTGGCTTTTTCATTATCTTACAATTTGAGCATATCCGAGTTCGGTTAGTTGATTTTGTGGCTCGCATACCGCCCATTTCATCCCTTCTGGATACTTCCTCCTTCACATTTGTTCCTCATCATTTCTTAATTTATTCATCTTTTCTTGGTTTGAGTTATCATTGCCTTTCCTTGCTTTCGCAGCTGCATACGCCCTAGTTTAATACTCGGCCGTTTGGAGGCAAGGTGCTATTTGTTCGCCAAGCAAGACGTGTAACATACATCCTCCGCCTACGTACCAATGAAGCCTTCGCCCAAGCGTTTGGTCTTTGATCAACGATCAGCAGCTGGAATGATTTCTAGACAGTCAGCCCAGTGGGACTTCACCACCGAAGGAACGAATATAATCCAGCAGGGCCCTTAAACTGAAAAAAGAATTAATATTGTTTGCGATAGATCCGTGCGTGAGGGCCCCCTTGTACGTTTGCCCAGGAGGCAATTCGGTGTGAAAGCAATCCTTATTCGGATGAGGAAAGGGGCTCGTTCTTGGCACTTGTCCCCTTGTACGGAAGATCCAGATTTTGGAAGAATGGATGAAGACGTATATCTCCGCTGCAGGTGCGGGGCTTCGGCGTTTCCTACCCCGACGTTGGGCCTTATTATCACTCATCCTTCCAGATCTTGGAACGTTGCGGAACATCCTTAATGGGAAACAAAAGCGAGTTGAATTCTTCTGGAAGAAGAAAAAAGGATCAAATCGTTCTGTGCACGAATGATCATACTTGGAAGCATGAAGCCCAAAATTGGTGAGGGAGCCAATGCGTGAGGATTTTGATCGAGTTGTCTATTGAGGAAGGGAAAGAAGAGTTGATGTTTAGAATCTAAATCCCTGTCGTTGTGGTCCTGAGATGCATATGCTTCGTGTGAGGATGGAATCCCGGATGTTGGAAAATGCGGGCAGAAGGGGGAAGAAACAAGTACGAGCGGTGGCGGGCGGCCGGACTCGATTCCCTTTGGGGAAGGGGGCTTACGGTATAGAAGACATTGTGGAATTCTATGATTGGAGGGAAAATAACGGATGTCTGAGGACCGACAAGACCAGAAGAACAAGGACAGAAAGGAAATCCGGGCGCGGGCAAGCTGATCCCGGGTCACGAGTTTGGCCCCCAAATTCTAGGTACGAGTTCCTGCACTGGGACAAGCACGCTTGGCCCCACGCGCAAATATCGAGTAACTACATAAAGAGCGGAGGTTGCAATTTGACATCTGTTCTTTCCCTGAATTGGAACCCTGTTATACTGTGCATACACAAAGACGTAAACGGGGAGCAATCGGGCGGTGGTTCGAGAGAAAATGAACAAGGGCACAGCAGAGCCGCGGCAAAGGACGAATTGAGAATGCATTGCACGGGAGCCTGGCAACCGAGGCCGCGAACAAGAAAGCGAACAACGACTACTTTGACGTTAAAGCTTCACTCGCTACATACAGTAAAGGCGCTGCTTGCCAATACAACCGATGCCAGCCCGTGGCGATTAACGGCTGTCCCAATTGGCCGAGTGGCTTGGTTTTCTGACGTCTATCAGTGCAGGAACCGGATCCTGTCAAGTCGGGTCAAACACCTGTGTGTTAGCGAGAACACAGCCTCGGCGCCGGGACTTCCGAGATTGATTGGCGTCGGCAGATACGAAGGTATTGTGCAAAAACTAGTGAGGGCACAGCCAACACAAACGGAAACACGTAAACTGAGGGGAGAAATCATGGGGACGTAATCGGGGACGGGAAGGTAGCCCTTGACGGATGATGAGCAGGAGGAAAGTGCGGGTACACACAGAGTAGAAATTGGCCACCAAAGTACCGAGGCGCCTTGGCATGTACCAGAAACCACATGGCAAAGAAAATTTGCGGGATCCTAGGTGTCCGAAAGGAAAGGCATGACCAATTTCGCCAATGGCAAGACCTACAAATAGGGCACAGCACAGGGGAGAAAATGGGTCTAAATGCAGCGGTTCAAGCGGAACGTTAGGCCGGCATCATTGACATGTACGGAAGGTCATTATGCGGTAAGGTCGCCTGTGGCGGGCGCGAGAGGCTATGTTCATTGGCCGAGCTCGCGAGATGTTTGTAACATGCTGACACACGCGGCTGATCGGCATGCAGTGCCCCTCACACGAGTGTGGTAACTGTGACGTGACGTTGCGTGTTCCTTGTGACCCCGTCCTCGTACTACCACAACAATCATATCTGTTCGAATGATGCGCCCTCGTGTCTAGCGGAGGGGCATAGTACTATAGTACAGTATGATATATTGTGTAGATCTGATTCTATCAGGTTACACGTGTGCAACACGGGTTTGTTCCCTGGGGGGGGGGCGGAGGCTCCAACCATTGGCAGCATGGATCCTTCTTTATCGCCCAGAAAGTTCGCAGCATCGTGGTGCGTTGGTTTCTATTCCCCATTTCTCCCCATTTCAATACCTTGTCCCTCCCCCCCCCCCATGATGAGAATCACACGCGATACAACGGAAAGAGTTTCCTCTAATGTCGTAGTAGGCATCTGCTATGCAGGTACACTGCACAGGAACCGCTTAGCAGGATGTCCTAGAAGAACGGAAATCTGAAGTCAATTTGACACAAACCCTTTCGCTTGCTTGATTTCTATGATGATTTGCCCATTTCTGACAAAAAATCATATATTACCAGTATGGTCGCAGAGGTTGTCCAGTCGAGCTAACCGCTGAGAATTTCCCAGCGACCCTGGGTGACTATCGCTTCTTCGCGTCCGCTCTAGCTTTCCCAGCACTGATTGCAACACCTTCTCGTCTCCATTCACCTTCCTCCCATTCATCATACTCATCACGGTGGTCGACCCATCGCTCTTGGATATCTTGAATATTAGGCACATCCGGGATCACCGAAGCCGCCGAGCTGAATAATGCTCTCCGGTTATCCACTTTCGTTCGTGGTGCACCCGCTGGTGATATGGCAACTGACGCGTCATCCACCGTAGCAACAAACGCATAACCCAATGCACGGTCTATGGTTCTCATGAGATGTATCATTGACTGCTTATCCTGGTATTGATGCGAAAAAGTCAATGCGTGAGCCTTTGTGCAATATGCGGTCTAACGATCTCACGCACCTCGACTGCAAGGGTCTCGAACGCAACATAGTTATAGTCCTCGATTAGCTCACATATCCGCATGTTGAGCTGTGCGAATTTTGGCGATGATTCTGAAAGAGCATGTTGAAGGTAAGATAAATCCTGCACTTCGGTGTAGAAGTCCAGGTTGAATGCTTGTGGCTGGTGTGTCAATCAAAAGTCACAAGCGATAAGACTGCTCACATAGTTCGCCGTACTGCTTGATCAAATCGAGCTTAGACAGGACGTTGATGTGGGGGAGGCCCAGATGCAGCATTGCGCGCAATGACAGCAACAGTACAGACACATATTTCGACGCGTCTGTCACGTAATGTGCATCACAGAGGTGCACCACCGCAAGCTTTAGAGTGTAAGAACATGGTATCAGCAAAGCGTGCGATGCATTGAGCAAAAAGGATCAGTCGTGCCTACTCTAAATCCAAATTTTCCCAGTCTCTCGGTGATGTTCTTCAAGCTGTTATGATTCGTACTGAGTTCTACTTGGCCAGGGCAATCAAATATGACCCAATCATCTTCCCCTATTCCTTCAGCTTTGAGCCGTTCTTCAAGCCAATCAAAATTGGCTTCCAAGTATTCCATACAGAAGAGCATCGCGCCATTCGGCCCGAGCTCGTATTCTCTCATCACTTGCGGGACAGTTATGAGCTCGTTTATATCTATCGCACATGGATACTGTACATGATCGTTCGCTGGATCGAGATTGATGACGACGCATTTGCGTTCGAGTGCTGAGAGAAGCTACTGAGCTCATCAACATGGGGAACATGCCCTGCGAGGGTGAATGGCTGACCTGGTACTTTCCATATGCATAAGTGGACTTCCCACTGCCCGGCGATCCTATGACGACCTCTCCAAAAGGCATGATGGGACTGTTTGCAGCGTGAACGCCACGTGATTGGATATTTGAATTTAAATCCAAGGAAACATAGAGTTGGGGTTCAGTTTTTTGTTTTCATTCATTCTTTCCCTCTTCACGGTTCGCCGATCTTGTGTTTTTGGACGGTCCAACGATGACTTTTCTTAATTAAGTCATGTCTTAGCTGTATTGTAGCGGAGTTGGCCGAATTTATTGTTTCCGCGTCGTCGCCGAATTCCATCTTTATTTAGTGTTGGAAAGACCTCGATGATTTCTCGGGATGGGAAAGAAGAGCCCTAACTGCTGGGTACATATTCAGTCCCTGCATGTTTCAAGCGAAAGGGACGATGATCTTGTTACCTCGCGGCCTCGTGATGGACGTGGCAGTGCGGCCATCCGTTCGGGGTCATCATGGTCCTCGGGTTTTGTAGTCAGGCGGATGGGAGGGTTGGTAACTGTGAGCAGTGGTGCCTTGATTCCCGTCATCATTGCTAGTGACCCTCCCCGATGAAGCCTCGCACAAACCCATCTCCATGTTCTCGTCTCACTTGGGGAGGACTGTTTCCTGACTTTCCTCCTGGCATTGGAAACTCCATCGTAGATAACATGCTTTTTGGGGGGTGAGGCTTACCGTTTTGGAAGGGGCAATTTGAGCAACGTTGTATAGCCCCACGCTTGGGCCGGAAGCTCGCATTGCTTTGCGGGATCCTCCTCTCTCTGTCGTTGATTTGGCCAAATTGAAAACCTAGCGTCGTACTCGTGCCACTCTTGCATATTCGCAGAACCACGTGCTACCTTGGGTTCAAATCGCAAGAGCTGAGGGAAAGAACAGCTGGACTTGTGAGGAACGAGAAACCCAAAAAGATCGGATCACAATCTGAACGGGCGTGTACCGTCACACGAACCAAGACACTGGAACCTCTATTTTACCGGTTCTCTTTTGGGGCCCTGATCATCGACGAGGAAGAGGTTCGAAGCGGGCCATCTGGAGGAAGCAAATCCATTGAAACCTGCGAATGCAGGTTGGATGATTCGCAGGCAATAGGTCGCAAGATGCCCTGCGACACCTCCCAACACTTCCAAGATTGTTTCTAGTATTCACTCCGGGCTGTGCTCGCTTAAGGCTCGCTTAGGTGGAAAACTCGACTGTACACTGGACACTTTACAGAGCCCAATAATCAGACCACTCACAGGCTAGGTGGTTGTATGCACTGCAATATGAACTAGGGTGGGACAATCCACGGCTTGTGATGCCCTTTCAAACACTTTGATCTACAACCCTTCAGGCTGTTCCCGTGGCGTAATCGCAGAGGTACCACAGGGAGCAATTTTACACCCCAATCACCGCATGTCTCCATCTTGGTCTATGTCACGTCAATTAATTCCCAGATTACACCTGTGTCTCCAAAACTCCCCCATTCTGCTATGACTTAGTCATGTCGTAGGGAACAAGTGTGCTCCCCGCCGGTCCCTATGTACGTGTTGATGTGTCCATCAATCACGATGAGGTACATAGCATTGTTTCTAGAAGCATAGAAGACAGAATCACGTTGGACAGGATCCGCACGGAAGGCGAGAGCTTGCTCCCTGCTTGAACTGTATGTCGGAAGGCTGCTTCACAGACAATTCTCCCCTGGAAGCAGTAGTATTCGGAAGGTCCAGCGATAACAGGAGATCAGAGGTGCCTCGAAGAAGTAATTGATTTCTAAGCAATAGTTTGGTGAAGCAGCAGCCTGTGCACAGCCTAGTTCCCAGTTCAGCTTAAGTTGGAAGTAATTCGGTACCCAGTCTGACGAATGATGAGCAATAGCTCATAATTGATAAGGATTTTGGGTCCGGTATTCTCTACACTTCCGCTAACAATATTCACTTTGGGCGATATTGTTGTAGCTCAGTCAGCATCTGCCTTAAATTCCGGAGCACCTAGCCCTCTCCGTTAGTACCATTTCCCATGGATTCTCGCCTCCGTCCGCTCTCGTCCTCCACATAGCAACGAATGGTGGGACTGCCGAATCCTGATGGCGTGTGGGGCGGCCAAGAAAGCCGAGACCGAATTAACTGGTCTGCTAAAGGTGGTACTCTGGACGAAATGCAGACCAATCTCAACTCACTCGGCATGCGCAATCGGCTTACTATATGAATTAGTTACATGTAAATTCTCCTATCGCGCCCCACGACAATACCTTGCTGATCATGCAATTCAGTTTGCGCCCCGTGGTGGCGCAAACACATTTGCTTAAGTAAATCATCCCACCAACTTCTCATACGTTGCTTGTCTTGGCTTCTCGTAAAGCTCAACGTGGGTCGCGTAATGAACAGGGTTTCCGTTTTCCAATCAGACCAGAGTGAATGATTACAGCATGGAAAAGCGGACCCTACTCCGCTATCGTTAGTCATATTCATCCTTCCATAGTCCAAGCAAGCTTTAGTTGGAAATTTTGCTGCTCAATTGTAATAACGCACGGATTCTTCTGACCTGCCCACGCGTGGTTCGTATCGGATAGTCCTGTGTCCTCTCTGTCCGCGATTTCCAATCGATTTCACCAAGCCATTGTCTTCTCTGGACAGCATCACGTCGTGCTCTGGGATATCGTCGTAGAATCTCTGACTCTCCCACCTGAGCGGTTTGGGATAATTTCGGGAGAAAATCAGGCGCTCGCGCTCCCTGTCGACCGCATTCCCAACAATGACACGTTCTTCATTTCGCCTCTGCTATGCGGTAATGGCGAGGGCGAGCTCAAGTGCCAGCGAAATTCGTCGTCCGCACTCAGAGCGGTAACTTAGGTGAAGGGAATTTACCGGATAACCGGCCAAAAAGCGGGTATGCCAGAACCACATCGGCAACCGGGAGCCCTACACACGGTGTACTACCCTCGCCCGTTGGGCAACACATTTCCTCACTGTGGCGGAATTCGGATGAACACCCAAGCAAGAGCACATAAACTCTAGTATCGGGGTGCATACAGCGCCCCAGACAAACCTCAAATAGCTACAGTATCGCAGAAGTCACTTGACAAGTTCAACTAAAAAAAAGAATAGAAGTGCCTACTAGAACAGATCGGCTTTGCCCCCATCGGGGATATATCCAGATCAGTCTCCCTGATAGTGACGTTGTCCTCTGTTGGCGGGAACTAGAACCAGCCAACTTGGCCAATGGTCCGCCTCCCGGAAAGGACGACGACGAAGAAGCGCAGGGCCCCGTCAAACATTATCGTCCTACCCAAAAGTAGGCCACCTGATCCAAGGGGCATACCATCTAGTCTGGCGGGTTCAGTGCCAGGAGGAAGCAGCTAGGTCATGTCCTGTTCTTCGTTGAGGGCTGCTTCAACCGGGATGGAAGCTACTTAGGGTGGAATCAAAGTGCTCAATGCGGCCCCAAGTAATCTCCCAGACAGGAACGATTGTGGTCTCTAGCTCTGAGCTGAGTTGCACAATTTCAATACGTTACGTAGATAGTAAAGTAGGGGACGAAGCCGTCTTGTCACTTCACGGAGCAAGATCTGCTCTGATACTGTCTCACGCTGGTCAACAGGAGACACGATCGTCGACGTGCGACCCCCTCTGGAAATTCTGGGTGAGAACCGTTCACTTGCCAAGACGCCGACGCAGATTGTTCAATTAAGGCCTTCCTTCGTCATGTTCCAAATGACGTGTGCAAATTATATGCATACATGCTCACAGTAATCTGCATCGGTAGCGGGAAGGATTGCCGCTGTGACGCGTGAGATCGGTTACTAGTCAACATTCATGTGCGTGTTCAGGCAAAAATGAAATGTGAGACGTTCCGTCAGAGTTCACTGGTATATCGTGTAAAGGAAGGTCAGTGTCCACGTGCACGCGGGCGGAAATGTCTGCGATTTAGGCCATGGCCACGCATGTGAACGAAATACTCTTGAACTCTAACAATGGGAGGGCGATTCGGAGGATGTAATGCCTTGTCCATGAACGACGACCGACTTTTGCGGGCAATAGGACCGGCCACAACCCCTTCATTTCCCAAACTGGCCTGGCCTCGTTCGTTCTTGATGTCCCAACTCAGTACTCGCGTAAGAGCAGTATTCACAACAAGCTTCTAACATGAAAATGTGTTATCACCACTCATGGACTGACGTGGTTGTGCGGCTGCAGTGGCGCAATGTGAAAGTTGAGGGCGCTGGCTTCTTTGGTTGGGAGGGTATCCATCCATCTTGTGACGAATGACTTTAGGGCTAGCCCATCATCGCTCAGAAGGCTGGGACTTGTTCTTCATCCTCGGTCACTCCATGCCTCATAACGTTGATCCGATATGGAGACGAACGATTGGCCATGGGAAGTGGTAGCATCAAGTAAGCCCAATGAGAACAGGGGCATGAGAATGGTCCCAAACAATGATTGACTTCTTGGCATAGTTTGGGGGAACAGGGATCAACACCTAGTTCCTATTTCTGGTATCGTGGGGAGTAATCTGGGCTCCGGGAGAATTCTGCCACGATTGCTATTGCGAGAGCATGACAAAGTCTTTACATAATCTCCATTCGAACTTTCCCTCGCTGAGTATTCCGATCCCTTTCGACATAAATATTGACCCGAATATTGTCAAACACAGCTATGGTCCGTTTGCCAGTGGGGGTGGGAATCGTCACTCGATACGAATCTGCATCATACTCCACCTCGCCTCTGAAGATGATTAACCCTTCCAGACCCAACCTGAATTGTTAAGGCTTAGTATGCGGAATGAAGGACAGAAATCCACAAATTAGTCCTACCCATGGACGAAGACGGATACCCCATTACGGAACGCCCGGATGACAAATGCATCCTCCAACACTCCGACAGAGGAATTTGGGTCCTTCGGCAGCCGTTTGATCCGGGCTTGGAGTGCGAGACCTACGTAAAACTCGACGCTTGCTCTTCCGGCCATCTGCGCCAGACGGTGCCGTCGATTAACAACATCCATCGCATTCTCGACGTATGATTTGGAATGAAGAGAACCATGTAGAGAAGTGAACCCAATCGCTGCTGCTAGTTGTCGATGTACCAACACATCTGTGGAAAATTATCAAACGAGGATATGGGTTGGGGCACAGGCTGCTCACCTGCGTAACGACGGATGGGACTAGTGAAATGTGTGTAAATGGGAGTAGCAAGTCCGTAATGACCAAACTGATTGGGGGACGCGCTTCCAGAACAAAAGTACTGCGCCGCTAGCATACAACGAGTGGCCATTATCCTAACCAGAGTGTTGAAAGCCGGCTGTTTCGGGTCCTAGACAAAATGTGTTGTCTAAACCTGCCAAAACTCGGCAACAGTAAGTACCCACGACGCATTTATCTAATGAAGCAGCCAGAGCCCGAGAACTCGAGACGTCTATGTCTATGCCCTTGAGCTTTGACAGTAAATCCTTGAGCTTCTCAAAACCTGTTGCCGGAGGTGGTAGGTGACGCCTTGGAATAGTCGTTAATTTACCGGAATCCTGTGCCACAACCTACCGTACCTCAATACGGCCGTTAAAGGGAATGTCTCTTGTATCTTCTTTGCTACGCTGATATTCGCCAGTAACATGAATTCTTCGACAAGACTGTTCGTCTCGTATAAAGCTTTTCGTTCCACGTCAATGGGATCCGACGATTCTGAGCTATCCAGGTGAATCCTCACTTCCGGAGACGCCAGATTTAAAGCCCCAGCTCTCATACGAGCGGCCCTCAATTGAACGGCTAGTGAGTGTAGAAGTCGAATGGATTTGGTGATCTCATCCTGAAGGTTCCTAGAAAATAGAATGAGCCACTGTGCAAGGATCCAACACACGTCCAGATGCTTACGGATCGTCTTTGCGCATTTGGGCCTGCTCATACGTAAACGCTGATTTGGATGCTATTACTGATTTTGTGAATCGCACACTGACGATCTCAGCGTTAGGAGTCAGTTCCTGAGTAAACAATTAGTTTCAAAGAAATGTCCGAGTCAGGACACTGCGCACCCAAATCACAGAAAACGCCAACCGCTCTACATTGGGTCTCAGAGAGCACAAATTGGTGCCAAGAAGAGCAGGCAACATGTCGATTCTCTTATCGACAAGATATACAGTCGTTCCACGTGCCGCCGCTTCACTGTCCATCGGGGTGTCGGGTGCCACAAAATGGGAAACATCAGCGATGTCTTTGAGGTCACAACAGAATGTTCACTACGGTGATGTTGAGTTAGAAACTGCAGTATCACTCACGAACACCAGCTTGAATGTTTCCGTTTGGAAGAATGTGCGCATGCAGAGCATCATCAATGTCTTGGCAACCTGGATGCGACGATCGACTGGGTGTGAAAAAAGGGAGCTCTAGATCGTTGACATACCTGGTGGATCAATACTGCATATATGTAATGGCCTTAGATCCTCCCGCCCTTTCCAGATGGGATCATTAGGGACTTTGTTGGGGACGGTCCACCGCTCTCCTTCTTTGGGCAAACAATCTAAAATAGCTCGACCAAATGGGCGATAAGGAACATCAAACTCCAGCAGTAAACTTTCTTGTTCGGCTTCTTTGCTCTCTACTTGGCCGAGAGCGCGAACAAAGTGGCCTTCTGGGTAACGACTATTTGAATCCCAACGGTCTATAGTGACAAGGATTTTCTGATCGAGGAGGAGCGGTGCTTGTCGCGTGCGTATCCGGATACGAGGAAGTTTCCGGTCCACCGGTGTGGCAAAGACGCTCTGCTGTGCGGTGGACGTACGTAGAATCGTGGTCAATGACGTCTTGTCTATATGGCAAACATATCTAACAAGTTTGGTTAACAACCAGCGCCGGAAAAGGCGGTCACACTTACGGGCGCCAATTGCGTTTAATTATACCAACGACTCTTCCAGTAGGCTGGGAACCGTCTCCGTGTTTCTTCTTTAGGCGCTCTTCAGCTTCTCTTCGCAACAGCTCCCTCTCCTTAATGATAGCTTCGTTTTCACCCTCCTCACTTTCGACATCAGAATCATCAGCATCATCATTCTTCAGAGCAGCTGGTAATTGAAGATCAACAAGGGATGCACATTATCGGCAAGGACGTGACTGACCATCTTGATCAATAACTTCGTCTCCTGGAGCCCTCCATTCTGATTTGGGGAAAACTTCAATCACAACGACATCACCATCGACAGCACGATTCATATGCTCTCGTCCGACCAACAAAACAGGTCGATCGAATACGGTAGAATTTACACTGCCCTGAAGGGATATGTTGGGATGTGAGGATAGTCGTAATGTCTGCACAACATACCTCCAGGTAATTGAAAGTGTTAGCATTAAAATATCCCTGGTAAAGGTGTCCACTCTTAATTCCAGCTAAACACTCCGCCGCTGGAAGGTGCTGAAGGGGGTGATTCAACCTGCTGTTTTTGCGTAACCACCCTTCGAGGAGCTCACCTGGGTGTACAGTTCCGGTCTTGAGCCGGTGACTAGCAGCTCCGGACTCTCGGTGGGAGATGCGACTACATCTATCAGTTGGGCAGCTTCCTTCATTCCTTCCACGTATTTCGAGACTGAAAAAATCCGGTTTTGATCAGACACATTCCCTTGAAGAGAAATGATCGAGAAACCGCACGAGAACTTGTTGGAATATTTTCCTTGGCTGCACGGGTACGATTCTCCACGTCATCCGTTAGCAGGACAACAACTGGCGGGGGGGGTTTCGTGATGAATAGTGCATTTTTAGAGTGTCGTTATACCATAATGCGCTTTTACGAATGGCTGAGGGACGAACATGGGAGAGACAATCGCGAGGCATGCAGATTTTACGCACCCCTGTCATTTCGGTCATTGGGGCTTTCATCCGGGTCTCTCCCAACCGCAGTCTTGCTGTGGAAGCAGAAGATTAGGCTCCAGAGTGTACCAGAAGGGATGTTGATATGAACACATCAAACTCATTGTAAAATACCCAGATACCCTTGGCATCGGCGGTCGTAAGGACTTTCAAACGATTGTATAAGGGCAACGAGCGATGCCGGACTTCTTCCAGGACTGTCTGAAGAAGGATGATAGGCACGGTGAAGAGAGGGGACTCCATCAAATCCATCTTCGCGATACCAACCCAATAAGCTCGATTTCCGGATAATTTATCTAAATTGACAAACAGACCTGACGCAAGAAGACATTGGTGTCTGGCATTATATAGTGACCATTAGGATATTTCTGGTGCGTAAGGTCGCCGCGTGGTGGCAAAGGGGGGTTATGGGAAGTACATATCCCTTCAATGCCACAGGTCACGTCGTCCCTTAAATAACGTTCACGAAGGACTGCGAACAGCTCTGTAAGGGCCCATGAAGCCCGATCCTTGGAGACCGACCTTTGACAATCTTCCCCTTAGCAGTCTTTCTGAAGTATTTTCTTTGCGTCTGGACCCCTTGCTCGGCAGAACGCTTTAGTATCGTGACTTGTGGCATCACAATTGACGGGGACGTTTGAGGGGAACGTGCCACGGGAACTGCCGCCCACCAAATACTCGATCTGGCTTACCAGATCTGTTGAAGTAAAGTCGATCATGGCAGCTGCTGGCGCAAAGTGAATACCTTTTTCATTATCATTTCAATTTCCTTGTGACATCAACTGACATGGATTTCCTAGGAAGCGTGTTTTTGTGAGTGATTCGAGATACTCACACTCACGCACACCATCGCAGCCATGAATCCGTATTTTCATTCATGGATTTTTACAGATGAATGTCCTTATCAATGGGAAATCTTCTGGGCGTATTCTTTTTAGGCTTTATGACGATATTGTTCCTAGAACTACCCAGAACTTCCGGGAGCTCGCTACAGGACAGCATGGCTTCGGGTACGCTGGCTCACCGTTCCATCGCATTATCCCGCAATGTACGTGTAATGAGTACCATCCAAGTTGCATAGACGTTCTAATCCAGAACCTTGGTAACGGGGATCTCCAGTCATGATTCAAGGCGGCGATTTTACTCGGTTCGTCGAGCAATTTATCTCCCGGATTTTCAACCTCATTGGTGTCCAGATTCGATGGTACAGGTGGAAAGTCCATTTTTGGGGAGAAGTTCGCGGGTATGTGATTTCCTCCCTGTTGAATGACGTTTGATATATTCTTGTGCAGATGAGAACTTCAAGGTGAAGCACACTAAACCCGGTCTCTTATCCATGGCGAATGCAGGAACAAAGTAGGCTTATGTCCGATTTCTTTCGTTTGGTGTGAAGGTACTAATATAAACAACAGCACGAATGGGTCACAGGTGCGAACCTCATTCGTATTTTGCTGTTGCCCCTCATCTAGTGAGATTAGTTCTTTATTACCACTGTTCCAGCCCCGTGGCTCGATGGAAAGTGTGTGATTCATGTTCTCGGTGCTGTTCCCGAAGCTTACATCAGGTTTAGACACGTCGTCTTTGGGGAGGTTGTTGAAGGAATGGAATTAGTAGATAAGATTGAGAACTTGGGGTCACTTGATGGCCAACCAAAAGCCAAAGTGGTCGTGGAATCAAGCGGGGAAGAGTGACTTATTCACATGCTTAGTTCTTCCGCTCTGTGCAGTGGGTGAGTCTGATCAACGTTTGATCTCATTCACCCCTCCCCTTCGCTGACCCGTCCTGGGGAATTCGACCTCTGCATTTATCGCTTCTTTCAGTGTGGCCTAGTGTTGGGTGCGAAAAAATAGCTGTGCCCCTGTCGCAACACCCTTCTCCACTAAGTGTGTCTCTAATGACATTTCATCTCGTTTTACGTCGGATCTGTCTTGGATTATGACTGTTTTGCATATGACCGCCATTGCCGCAACAGCCGTTCCCCTGAAAGAACACCGAGATTACTTTATTCCTTCGGTCTATGGCCGAGCCTCGGAGCCTGGACCTTCATGCATGATTCTCCTTGCGAATGCATCGCTGTTGCGCTCATTCCGGAATCTTCCTTGGTTGCATAATTATACCCAGTTCAACCAGGTAGTGCTAAACTATTTAGCAGTGTATATTCCTGGTCAGTCACCAGTCGTGATGGCTACTGGGAATGTACGTGTTAAATACGCAGCAAGTCTGGGAAACGTTCAACGTGGATACATATGTAGACCTCAGCCATCATTATCCGAGCCGCTGAGCCCTGGCCGAGCGAATGCGGATCTCTGGGACTATGAACAATATTGACATACGACTCGTATGTATCAAGTATCTTCCACCTTTTGTCAGCGGCATGAACACCCTCCAAGGAGATGTTTTCCCCCGTTCCGCTGAAAACCACTATCGCCGCTGTTCACTTTTCCCGAACCCCATCCGGGAGGAAGAGTTTGGATCGTTTTGAGAGAACAAACACGTGGAGCTGAAGTGGACGTTCCTTTTGCGGTTCTTGACGGTACCTGCTGACCTGGTAAAGGGCGTTCCTTCGCCCCATCACCTCCATTGTGAAGCCTACTCATGATCAGGAATGATGAGTACAGTATACGCAAGTTTCCACTTCCCATGAACAACAACCCTGAGGTAGGCTCAAGGCCCTCGGCTCGAGCCGAACTCAGCGCTCATATCCATGTTGTTGCAATGACAAAAAAGTAAGCCGCCCGCCTGAGCAAAGAGTGCATGCTCACTGTTTCGTAGTTGGGGACCGCTTACCGAGCGAAGTGAAAATGTAAATAGGGTTGTAATGGCAAGTCTCAAATTAGGTCTTCATCAAGGATGAGTGAGAAACGTTGGGTAAATGGATGACCCGAACCAACGGAGAGTTCTCGGGAACTGCTGCACGGATTAACCCGAAGAAGCGAAACCCAAGAATTTCAACTTGACGATCGCTGTGGCTGTTCCCAGGGGGGGCGCCGTCTCCGTTTCCTTGGCCGTTTCTGTGGATCGGTTCTTCACGCAGCAGCGAACGTTGTTTGCGCAGTCAGAGGATGAAGACACCCCGGAAATACGACCTTCGTCAAGAACATACCTTTATGAAGAGCCTTTGCCGATTGTCTTGCTGCAAATCACAGTGCCCGACGGCGTTTGTCCAGACACACCGACCCCTGCACGTGAAGGCATAACGCACAATGAATCGTCCAAACTATCGCACGTCAGGTCCGCTTGTTTAGGTCACCTCTGACCGGAGTTCTCCTAAACAATCTGCGCACATCGCCATGCTTCCCGTCAGCCGAACTTTGCCCAGAGCTCACGTTGACGCGAAGAGGCGCCATGTAATGTACCTATAAATTTGCGAGAGAATCTGCCGAAGGGAGTGCAAAACATTATCCCCCCTTTGCAATGGAAACTTCCAGGTCTTTTCAATCACAGCCTGTCCAGGAGTTTGAACCTCCGTCTGCGGCGATTCTTGGACGGGTGGGGGCATGCCTCCCATGTCGAAGGAGGAAACAAGTACGTCACAACTTGGGCATTAATCTCCTGGCCAATATTAATGTTGGGGATTCCTTCTGCCGCGCAGCGCTGCAGTTCTGGTGAGTAATACAGTGCCGCGGTCGGTGGCAAATCACCTTTTGCTCTCCACATCAATGTTGATTACATGCCCCATCCCTAGATAAACCTGCATGCGAGCAATGCGTTCGTGGAAATAGGGCTGGGGAATGCATTTACGAGCCAAAGAGATTCACCAAGGAGGAGAGGCTACAACTCCGTGTTGAGGAACTGGAAGCCATGATAAATTCGTACAACATCCAAAGTCGCGATCATTCTAGCTCACCTCAATCTTTGTCATTCGGCATGCAGCCCCAGACCGCGTCCTCCCCAGCCTCCTCGGCGTCGGAAATCCATGTTCTCCTTGGTAAGGCCAGACTCAGTCCAGGGTCATCCTCTCAACTGGCAGCGCTGCCCCCAGGCAAGCAGCACTACACTCCGCGTGCCAGCACCTCATTTGCTGGGGGATCCGAAGAATGCAGTTCGCTTCTGGTGACAAACGAGACCACTTCTCATTTGTACGCTTGCGCAAACTTGTATCGCAACTCACCAATGTGTAACTCAATCTTTCAATGACAGATTTGACACCTTCTTTACATACTCCTACCAGTTTAATTTCCCGTACCCGGAACATGCTTTTCGTCAATCGTTTGCCTCATACTCTGCACCATCTCCTGCACACCCTCACCCGGCCCTCTTGAACGCCATTTTTCTGATTGGGTGCAAATGGTCTGACTCTCAAAACATGAGCGACTTGGAGCCCATTTTCCTCTCGCGTTCCCTGCGTCATTTGGACGAGAGTCTTGCTTTGGTCGATAGGTTACTTGATTTCCTTGTGGCGACCACCCTCATCAGTCGCTACAGTTTCGTCGTGGGAAGAGAAGCCAGAGCAACTTATATGGCATCATGTAGGTATCGGCGTTTTTTGCAACAGGCTTGAATTCACAGGTTTGGTTACACAGCTGCAATGACGTTTTCCAAGAGTTGCGGTCTCCACAGACTGCCCAGAAAGCTCGGCGATACCACACTTTACGATGGTACAACATACCTTCTGCCTCCTCCGCAGACTGAGCAAGAACTGACGCTGAGGATCAGGGTATGGTGGAGTATATATTTGGTACGTTCTTCACGGCCCTGCCTTTAAGCTCGTTAATAGACTTTCGTGTTCAGCTGGACAAAGACGCGTCTCTATTCACTGGGCTTCCCACAAATATAGCTGATGAAGTGCGTTAGGGGCCTTCGTTTATTTTATGTGTCAAGTGACACACCCACAGGAAATATATTCTCCTTGGCCGAATCCGATGAGGTTATTTTATGGAAAAACCCACTCGCAAGGGCTCATTGGTACCAACCGGACCGCAGCACCGAATGCGAATACCGGCATCCCCCTATATCATGTTGGCATCTATGAACAAATGTGAGCATATCATGGAGCGAGATAATTGACCTGTGTTCAATCGATTCGTTGCCAATCCTATCACGCTTTGTGTCAACCTCTTGTTCTGCCTACAGCATGGAGTACATGGACGAAGACGATGTTTCGGCCATGGTTCTATTCTGCGTGAAGGCAAAAGCGATGTCTCTGCTTCATGCCTGTATGCGAGAGTCGAGGAAATTATCACAGAGTGTGTTATAATTTTCCCGTGCCTCTGACCGCCGTCGCTTAATGACCCTCAGCAGATCCCATCAACGCTGATTGGCAATCATTCTGGAATACCTATCATGAGCTCGACACCGCTCTTACCGCATTCCAGAAACATCTTCCCCCACTCAATGTGAAGGGCGAACTTGATGGAGCTACTATTGCCGCACACTGGAGATTCCCGTACCCACAATCTCAGAGTCGCATAGAAGATAGAGCGATCAATATCACACGACACTTGCATACATTCTTGTTTGCACAGTCCTGTGTATATGGGGCAACCATAGCGCTGCACGGGATGCTAGCGAACAGCAACGAAAATGAAAGAGCGCTCGTCTCAGGTACCGCCGGGAAAATGGCAGAACTCGCCAGATTATTCGCATTGGGCGACAGTTTCAGCGAAGCTTCTGGCAGCACTGGTGCAGTCAACGTGGCTGAAAGAACGATATATCTATTTGTGGCAGTGAGTAATAGTGCAGTCTTGCACAGATTATGAATACGTCCTCAACCTGCACTTTCTAGCCTGTGTGGAATTCGGCACTGCTCGTTCTACGGCGTGATCTTGAGCTCGCAGCTTCATCCCCCGACCCTTTGCGGCGTTTCCCAGTGCAGGTCTCGTCACCAGGCGACAAGAGGCGATTGCTGAAAGAGCAAGCCGAAATCTTGACCAGGGCCTTGATGAAACTCAAACGATTCTATGTATCTCTAAGTACGTCAAGCGTCTTCCACCTTAATGCGACTCTAATCGTGAATTTGATAGACGTTCAGTGAAGTACCGGGTTCTTCCAAAGCATTGTCCATTCAGTGTGGTGAGCCCACTAGCCCTGTTTATTTCTGCCTCCAAGGCCGTCGCCCTGCCCCCGATCATACTGTATGCATTTTTTGCCCCCATGACCTCTGATGGTTGTAACATTGATTCTACAGCCAGCTGAGCTCTGGCACTAGTCTGCAACTTAAATAATATGTATTATGTGACAACCAAAGCGATCCCTAAAATAACAAAGCACTCGAACATCTTAGAAGTCGTGACCCTCCACTTTGAAAGTTTTCCCATAGTACAGATAGTTCTTGACCATGGCCAAAATAGGCGGCGGCAGCCCCATGCTCGTTAAGGTGTTGTCAATCTTCGCGAACCCGTGTGTTTGCCCGAGTTTGAACAGCAGGCGGGCCACAGTCGACGGATACTGCAACAATCAGATCGTCAAACAAGGAACGCCTAGCCAGTATGTGGCACTTACCGCACTCTCTGCATACCATCTATAAACACGTCATAACAACTAAGACTTGAATGTTCTTCTCAATAAATTCACGGACTCACCTGTGTTGATGCACACCCAAACGAATAGCAGCATTCAACGATTTCCCCAAATCGCCTTCCTCCACGTACATCTCAAGTAGTTTGGTCCAAGCTTTACTGGAGAACCTGAGGTCTAAACTCCGCTGATACGCCTCCTTCGCCTCCTCCTTATGGTGGAGACGTGACCCGAGGTCACCAAGGATTTCCCATTCGGTTCCAGTTTTCCTGTATATGACATGTTGAGATTTGAAATGGGCAGCCTCGGCACGATATATTGTCCACACTCGAAGATCCTGATACGAATCATCAGCCCATATTCGCCGTCTGTTGATACAGATATCATAGACACACCTCATAAAGGACCATAAACAGGTTATCCAACCAGCGCTCGCAAAGCCGTTTATTACTGAAAGAGAAGTCTGGGTGAGAGACGGCCTGCGTCGTTTGGTTTTCATGTTCCTTGTCGTCGCTAGCAGCAGCTTGAGGTGGACGTTCAACAGAGTTGGATGCGGTGGTTTCGGTAGTGGCAATTGTAGAGGTCTCGGCATTCTCGATTTCGTTTGTTGACTCGAGAGTATCCGTTCGATCGGATTCACTGGAAATTTTGATGCTTGGGATAGCAGGCCCTGGGGACAAAGAATTCCGCTCCCTTATGGCCCTCGTCGAGGCATCATCACGAACCGTACCGTCCTCGTATATGACTCCATTGGTAGGTTGGATGTCTTGTGTGCCATTCCGAGTCTCGCTCTGCAGTTTCTGCATACGATACTCTTCTTCCATGACGAAGACCGCCGACCGGGTCTTAAGGAGCTCATCCCATCCAATCTGGTGAACAAGCTTTGCAAGCAATGCGTACGCTTTTGCGAAGGTACCACGTAGACCAGGTCCGGGAAGACGCAGTAGTGCTGGATCAGCCTAGATTATAAATATAAGCGAGAATAAAAAAAAACTCCATGAAAACCTAGGACGTACATCGCTTTCACCTGGATTAACATCATCTAGTATTCGAGAGTCAATGATGACCTGCTTGATGGGAAGGTGCGTTTTTGCGGGAGTAGGCATACGGTGGAGGTCGCGCTCGTTGTAAGTAAACATGGGACATGAATTCAAAGTTAACAGGGCCTGATAAAGGAACCGGGTCTTAGAATACCATGTCTGGGATCAAGCCTTGCTTCGAACTCACATTTTCATATTTCCCAAGTTCAATATACAGTTCACTTAGTTGGGCCCAAGTGAGGAACTCGCTTGGTGCACAATTCACTGCCTGCTTTGCGATTTTTGTTGCCCAATCAATCTTGCCTTTTGAGCGAAGGAAGTCAGCTTGTGCATGAAGAACCGTATAAGACTGCGGGTTCTCCTTGAGAGCTTGAGCCATTATCTGAACCGCCTTCACCTCGGCATCTGAGAGAACATCAGAAGACCAGCGAGAGCTCCAGGGCAAAAACACGGACTCATTCCGATGTAGCTCTGTGCAAGGAGACTTGCTACGTCCGGGTCTCTGTTGTATAGCTTTTCGAAGAGATTGGCTGCTTGGTCGTAACGGCCGGATTCCCCAAAGTATTTCATCACACCAGAAGTGAGATGGTTCGACACCACACTGGCAACCTGAATTTCTGGATCTGAGCCCAGCTGCCAGCCTTTATGAAACAGTGTTCCTGCTGCCGAAAGAAAACGAAGCTCTCCTTCTGTGGATGTGATAGGCTCCAGTTTGCGGTACCCCTGGAGTGCATAGTTGGGATCATCTGAATGAAGAATGGCTCGCAACAATGCGGAGACGTATGTTTCTAACCATATCGCAGGAGTGGTTTCACGCCTGATGCGCAATTGAAGCCAGAAATCAGCGTGATCGAAGATGACACCTTACCGCTCGCCACGAGTGTCAACTGCATAAGCTTGAACCCCTCCTGGTATCTTGACATCGACTCGCACATCCATTCTAGAGAAAGCATTGAAACAGCTTTAAAATAGCCACTAAGCCATACTAGTAAGGCTTCGGATCATCGGGCGCGTACCAGTAAGTGCCACCACGAACTTTCCACATTGAACTCTTCGAGAACCACACGGATTGCTCCTCCATAGCGTATGTCAGAGAGTTTAAATAGGCCGCAAGGGAGGCCGATGATGATGCATCAACACCAGAAACATAATGATACGAAGAGACCTGAACAAAACACTGAGTTGGCGATAGCATATGAAGCGCTGGAGACGCACGTCTGGTGGGTGCCCTCTGCCCGTGCTCTTCACCACATGACACAAGTCGGGGGGACCCAACTCACGGAACGAGGCTGACATTGAAGTTGAAGAATGTTCCACTCGGAAGCGCGTTCACGTCAACTCACAGAGCAGTTCAGTCCTGGCGTTGAGAGCTTCATCCCTTTCCGTCTAATTCACGAACTCAGCCCAAACCAAAAATACCACTACTCAATGCCCTAATCTCACCTCGAAAAACTCAGGGATATCTTTAAACGTGTCGCTCATTGCATGGAAATTGCGGAGCTGAAAACGACTTTTGACGCGAAATCGAATACGGCTTTCCCCGTCGAATGCCCTAAGTAGGAAAGGGCTCTGAATAACAATATCGCTACGTTCCCTTAGCGCTTAAGCGCCGCCACGCTATACCTCTCTTTAGGCGGGTGACCAGTCCCTATTAGTATAGAACCTCTCTTGCTCCAGCAATGAAATACTCAAGGGTGGATGAATGGAGGATTAATTTCCGAAAATAGTCATTCCCACTCGATCATGTCACATTCTCCTATGCTGGCTAACGGGCGGCCGCGCCCCTGAGACGCCGTGCATTAACTTTGAAGGACTCCCAGTGATACAGACTGATGTGAGGGAAGGGATGAGCTGGACAGGATAGCACTGGCAGCTAACGATGAGCGGCACGTTTCGCCGCCTCACCCTTGCGTGAAACATATACGCTTCTCCTATGCAAGCAGTCGGAGAATCCTTAATCCTTCGTTCTTCTCGATCTATTGGCCCATGAGGGGGGCAACACTGTGGGATTCAACATACCGGCGTCCTTATGCTTATGTGACTCTCGCGAGATATTGTCCTCCTCATATTCCAGTAGCTTCACCTCTACACGCACGACTTTTACTGGATGGAAATCTTAGAGAACAGTGTCTGTAGGACCTTTGGCCCATGATAGTGTTGTTAAATTACGCCGGCCGGCGCGTCAGCCGATTTCGCGAGCTCGAAGCAATTACTCTTCCGACTTGTAGAAAATGCAGAATTTCTTTGACCGTTCTACTTGGACATTACACCCCCATGAGGCTCTTTACTCTGGCTGGTGGGGATCTGAAGATCAGGCTGGCAGGTTGTTACCAATGCTGTATAGGCGGGAATCGATCAATTCATCGGGCAACGAGGCTGACACTATTGACTAGTAGAAAGGGGTTACAGAACGCATCCGAGTCGGTGTCTTTTTTTGGATGCTGCAATGCAACTCAGTGGTTCATTCGCATTCGGTTCGCGTGTTCTCAATCCCTTGTCATTTGGGCTACGTAGGAGATCCCGCTCACGTGTTCAAAGAAGAGTTGGAACGAACATTTGAGGACGCTCGATCTCACCAAGTTCGGATAACTCTGAATATGATTAGTAATCGTACGCGTTCATTGGACACGCGTCATACGCATGCACTATGGTCCAAAATTTGAAACTGGCAACCCCATTTCACGTGGAGTCGGACAATGAAACGCCGTTTGCTTCAGAAAATTAACGTTGGGTGTAAGTCGACATGCGATGAGGAAAGCAGCCAATCAAAAGCATTTGGTTGGTTGGTCCCTGCCCAGGACTTGTAGAAAGGAGATCGAGATCGATGGAGACCTGGGGTAGACCTGGGGATTTGCTGGGGATGGATGGATTACGCAAAAGGAAATTGAAAAATTGACTGCATAGCCACCGGGCAGCGGCCCCGCAGATGTTGGTCGTGTGCTCAGTGTATCCCAAGTGATCATGCAGGTTATCTCAGGGTGTTACTCACCATGGACGGGACAGGTGCTCCTGGGGATTTTCATTTTCGCGGGTTTTCGGGGCGATAACATGTTGACTTGATCACCTATGGTCGACTGAACACCCGCGGAAACGACAAACTCACCTTTTCTGGTCACCGGCTGGAAATCAACCGGTCTCAGTTGTCTTTTCTGGTTGCCTACGAGCGTTACAGCCTTTTTCGAAAACATCTGCCGCGTTCGATTACCGGGTCGGGGGCACACGAATCATCTTGCCTGAAAATTAAAAATGGTAATTGCTCGGCGCCGGGATCCCAAACCCGCCAATTTGGGCAGAGGGAACCTAGATCTCTTTGGACTTTTTGAAAACGGCTGCACACAATCGGACATCTATATTTAACTCATCGTGAGCTGTGTATCATCAACATCGACTTCGCCCTGGTCAGATCTTGGAAATCAAGCTCGAATCATGTATTTGCATTTGTGTGCGCACTCTCAGTCTACTTACTTTCGTCATTGCCTCATGCACCTCTAACACTGTGTTTTTACTAGGTCAGAGCATTGTCCTTGATTTTCAAATGAGGTACATGTGTTCTTCATTTGAATTGAATTGAAGATAGGTTATCTAACTCTCCACATGACCTTGAGGAACGAAGCCCCGGGCAGGCCCCAACCTCAACTTTCTTTCACAGCACACCATTGATAAGGGAAGCATTCCCGTCCTCTCCCCTGCACAGATTTCTTCTTGGAACACCGCAACTGAGGTCCACGAGAACGATGCCCAGTGTCCAACTCGTCGTGCCAATTGTGCGCACAATCTCGAAGCTCATAGAGCCCCGTTGGAATGGTACCCCTGAAGGCCAAGGATCCGCTGACCCTAGTTCAGACTCTCTCTCTACACCGCGAAGTGCAGAGAGGGGATGGCTAATGGTCACGATTTCATTTATTCTCCAAATGGATCGGCCACCAGTGTTCCATCCGAAGTATAGGTCTGTGTGATGCATGTATGCGTGGAAGCACATATATCGCCTGTCTAATACGCTTCAATACACAGATGGCTTCCGATTATTTCTGGTCTTCTTGTCCCATTCTCCATCCTCTTGGAAATTCCTGGGCTTACCGAGCATGTAATGTGTCGAACTCCTCACTCGTGACACCTCGCTTACTTTGCCATTTATGCAGTGGTATGTTCGGTGGGACAAAGCAACGCAAACCGCGATAGAATATCGGAAGAACTCATTTGGTTGAGTGCTCTATTCATCAATGATTGGAACAGGGTTGCTGACTTGTCGGCCAGCTTTGACATTGGGCCTCGCCACGTCTATCGCCTGCGCTGGATTCGCAAATGCGGCATTGATGTTGCGCTTCCTTGAGCGACATGTCCGAGCGACGACTCTTGTGGCGATGGTGTTCTTGACCGTTCATGGCAAGTCGGCGAGCATTTAGAATTCCGCTGCTCCGTCTCTCAAACCTCAATTCTCAGATATCATCAACATCATTGCAGTATCTGCCTTTGGCTATTATGGGAGACATGATGATGGTTTCACTTATGCCCAAGCCTATTGGAGCTGCGTAGCCAGCACTGCTATCAGCTCCATCACCAATATCACTCTTGTAATTGACTACATGCGTACCAAGAATTTCGCGGATTCTGGCTCTGGTTTGACCAATAAGCAGCGCTCTCTTGTTATTATTGTCATGATTCTCTTGGTCTGGATAGCAGCTGGGGCAGGAGTATTTACAGTGCTTCTTGAAATCCCTTTCCAGACCGCTCTCTATTTCACAGTCGTTACCATAGAAAGTAAGTTAAGAGTTCGCTGTTGACCTATTGTTTCTGACATTTGGTTGCTTCTCTCAGCCATCGGATTTGGGGATTTTTGTGAGTGTTGGCGTCCACCAAGCTGATCACGGGGACAGATGTTACATGTGCAGATCCCAAACATGGAGGAACGCGAGTGTTCACCTTTTTCTATGCGCTCATTGCAATACTGAACCTCGCCCTTGCGGTCACGACTATGCGCGGCCTCATTGCCGAGTCCTTTCGACACGCCCGTCGCCTTCAAAGGAAACGAGCAGCGCGTGCCAGAGCAGCACGGGAGCGCAGGAGGTCGGAAACTATACATACATACCGGCAGCAAGAGCATTTGGCTGTCATCATCGGGACAAGGTCCAAGGCATGGAAGTTTGCGGCTAATGTTTGGCTTGCCCTACGACACCCTTTTGGAGTGGACCATGGGTTTGAGGATCATGATTCGTTCCATCAAGACCACGGCTCCCCCCATGTTACGAGACATGACGATAAGCATTTGTTATATCCAAGGAGTGCTGATCCTAAATTGGACAACACTCTTGAAGAGGAGATAAGGGATAATGAAGAGACGGAGAACGTCAGACAAGTTAGTGACTTTCTTGCTTTCTGTTTGCGACTCGGACTAGAAACGTAGTATTTTCCTCAACCTAGCTCACCCTAGCCCTCCTTGCCTTCATCGGATTCTGGTTACTGGGCAGTCTAGTGTTCCATCTCACGGAGAAGTGGCCGTATGGAACCGCGATGTACTTCTGTGAGTATCTGTTGATTATCTCGCTGAAGTGTGCGCTGCAACTTTTGACCCCTTGGTTTCTCAGGTTTTGTGGCGTGGACCACGATCGGCTATGGTGACCTAACACCAAAAAGTGTAAGTAATCATTAATACGAAAGGCAGCAATATATGAACGATGTGCAGAATGCCGGACGGGCCGTGTTCGTGTTATGGGCCCTTCTAGGTGTCGGAAGTTTGACGATCCTAATCAGCGTGCGTATCTAAATTACATTGAAATGCATGTCCGTGATATCCATATCATCATTTGAACACGGCAGGTCATCGGTGAAGCTTATGCTGGAGTGTTCGGAGCAGCTTTGCGCAATCGCACATTCGAGGCGCTCGTCTACGACAGGGTCCGCGCTCGCCATGACAGCCTTGCCGCAGTGCGTGAGGCGGGCATCAGGGACTTTACTGAACAAGTGCGTAACGACAAGCTCAAGCTTTCGGAATCCCTCATAGAGCATGCGCACAAATATCATCCTCACCTGAGATTCATGCTTGGCGTGGAGAAGCGGCCTTCGGACATTATTTCCGAAAATCTGCGTCAACTCTTGGTATCTGAACTCGGGGATTGCGAACATACGGTCCGAGAAACCATTTTTCATGATCCCGAGATACGAAAGGTACGCCTTACATGATAACGGCTTTCAATTTGCGTCATTAAATTCACTTCCGCATTTATAGGCTGTATTCATCATGTCTTATGATGGTGAGCTTCGAGATTCTACTAAGCTTGTTCGATTGCCTGGGAACAAGATCACTCATTCGCATCTGGTTGCTTTTTGGGGTAGCGAGCTTTGAGCGACTGATGCAAATGGCCAATGCTGTTCGAATGCTCGAGGAATCGAGTGTGGACGAATCCCCTGAGGATTCACCAGATAACAACATCCTTACCGCTGACAACGATAGCCGTCTCGACTCGGTAGAAGCTTCTAATCAATCCTCGCCTCGTCATAAACGCGTGTCGTCCGCCTATGATGCCGACTTGGAGGAAGGATTTGATGATCCGGCCGCATCAGCTGACACTGAAAAGCAAGATTCAGGACGACCATTATCGTCAGCATAACGCCCTACGATATGGAGAAAAAACGTCGTATTCTTTCTTTGTCATCACCGCGTCGCCCGCTCACGGACGGGTGGGCAATACTAATTACCCGTTGCTATGTTATGTGCCTTTCCCCTGGATTATGTAATTCAGTTGTTATTTGTGTGGTTCGAAGTTACGCCGCGATCTCTTTTAGAGTTTCTCGTCAACGGCTTTGTCAGCGCTCCCCGGCGGCCAGATCTTCATACATATGACTAACGTCGTTCGTGAATGAAGCTAACCTGAGCGACGCTCAAAGAAAGCCTTTTGAGTGTGCGATCAAATAAGCAAGTCCCTATTTGAAAATATTTTGTCGCCGAATCAAGAAACCGATAAGCGCTGGCTGGTCTCCACACCTTTAACGCAGCACTATCTGTCCTGTCACTACTTAACAAGCATGGAGGAGGAGGTCCGCTTGCGATGATCCCTGCCGCAATTCTTTTTTTCAGCATTGGGGGAGCACTTCCGGGATGCATGGCGTCTGCTGCGCTCAACCTTATGGTTACCGTGTGTCCCACACGCCCCGGGATTTCCTATATCAATATCCACACGGGGCGCCTGATGAACTCTGGGCAATCGACTCCTCCGAGCCACTCCGCCGGCATAGTTGTGGCTAAACCAAAGATCGGAATCCCAGCTCCGGCTTACTCTACTCAGATGTTTCTAGGACTTCCCTGATCAAACTATGGATTCCCCAAACCAAATATAACCTGGGACCTTCACTGGCTGTTCCGTACCCTTTCCCCTCGTCCCATGTCTCGAGCAATTCGCACTCCTCATCAATACTCTCAAGCTGCCCCTCTTCAGAGAGGCTCAGCATGCTTAAACTGCCGAAGAAGAAAGCAGGTACGGATTTCCCTTGATCATAGGCGGCGCTTAGAGATATCAAATTTTCTGCACCATTGTTCTCTTCGTTATCCTGATACTTACGATTGATCTTTAGCGATGCAATGGTCAAAGACCAGCTTGTCACCTGTGTGTTCACTATGGACGCGCCAAAGAGTGTGTGTACGACGACCAAGAGAAGCGCTGCAGTTCCCTTGATGCACAGCAAGGGGGGATCTCGTCCTGGTCGGAGGGGAGATCAAACACCGTGTCAGACTTGGGGGCCCCTGCTGATTCAGAAGGTCTGTCTTTCTGCTTTGTGATAGCCATACTTTATTCTCTGACGGAGGTGGTCCAGGGCCTCGACCAGGGATGTTCGCTACGGGTGATCCATCGACTTCCCGGTCTGAAGTCCCCGAACACGTTGCGGAGACCTTGTGAGCTTTCTTCCTGCCATCTATCCGCCTTCATCTTCATGCTGCTAAATTCCGATGCCTGCGTGTCGTGGATTTTATTCAGGATGAACTACTTTTTCACTCATCCTTATCATTTCAACTTCCCAATATCCCTCCCCCGTTTCTCCAAACTGCTCCAATTGCCACCGGACGACCCAAATCGCCCACACCCTGGTCTGCTCATGGCAATCATGTTGCTATCTTCCTATCTCATGGCCGATGAAGCTTTGAAGCCGCATGAGCCCGCACTAATCTCAAAAACTAATCATTTCATAAACGGACTTAGAACAGCGGATCTGGCTCCTGGGAAACCGTTCGACATTATTCTGGCGGTAGCGCTTCTTGCACGGCATTCGCTTATGTCAGGTGTGGTCATGAGAGCACCATATCTCGCTTCTGGTATGTGAAAGTGCATTTGAACGTGGAACGTGAATGTGACGCTAACTTGAAACACTTGAATTTCTTGTCAACGTGCCCTCCCTCTTTTCCAGTGGCTATGGGTCTAGCCACTCGTTGCGGATTGCATCGGATATCTCTGTACCCTTCCCCAAATTCTCGGCCAAACGCTTTCATGCCCCCCCCTGGAAGCTTTCTAGATATATCCGAGAGGGTGAGCTTATGGTGGAATGTTTACGTGGTATTTAATTTTGTCATGATGGATATTTTGGGATCGCTACTTATTTCTTTATGTCCTAGATCGATCGGCAGTCAACTTGGGAGACTGGAGTCCCTTCACAGGTTGCGGATGAGGTACGGCGTTTTACTTCCTATCGCAACGAAGTATTACTAATCCATGAGACTGATTTAGGACATCACGACGCCGTTCCCAATTTCATTTTCACGACTTGCGGCATTTGTGAGTAATGCTTTTATGGTCAAGTTTCACGAGGTAAACTTACTGGATTGATTGGTCCTTAGAGTGGTTCCAAGACTATATCTTCCTTATATAGTCAGAATCAATCAGAGCCATCTGCCAATGTCAACGGCGACGTTGTGTTGGCGGTTAGAGCAAAGGCAACGGCGTTGCTCAACCGGGCGGCGTCTCTTTCCCAGGGATTAGATCATTCGGGTGAGTTATTGCGGCCACGTTGAGCGCCGTCGTAATGGTAACGTAATAAATACATCGATTAATGATTACTCGATGCGTCGTAGTTTTCGATCCAACCTCCCCAGCTTTTATCCAATCCTTCAACAGTGTTGATAATGCGATTACGAATTTCCTGGGCTCACTGCCACCCGCCTCCTCCACTTCTTTTTCGCAAACAGCCATCAACGATAACGAGATGGAAGATGCTTTTCTGTGCTATTCACTACTTGAAGGCTCCCGACGAATTCCGTTCCCCCTGACACCACCCATGGCGAGTGGAAACGGCCTTTCTGACTCGGCAACAAAACCTTCACGTACTGCCTCGGTTTTGTCCATCCAACGGCCACAGTCACTACCAACCTTTCCCACCCTCCCACAGGGTCTCGCCCCTCCCAATGCCCACACCTTCCTGGCCCACACCCTCAGTCTTGCCCACATTTTCAGCTATGGTGCCATCATTCGGTTACACCGAACGTTTGCGTTCCCACACGGCTCCAGATCAATGCCTGGGGTCTCGTCAGAGGATGTTTTCTCTAGCGTTGGAGCCGATGTAGATAATAGGCGGATCAGAAGGCGGCTAGGCCCCAAGAGACATGTTGAGAGTGTGCTGAAAGCAGCGAGAGATATGGCGAGTGTCGTTCAGGTACTTGAGGCACAGGGGATTGAACCTGGGGTTATGTGCACATCGATAGGGGTGAGTAGTTTCACTTGTGTTAATTGGTGATGGTGTGGGCGGGCGCTGATATGTAACTTTATGGTCTTTAGCTTAATGTGGCCCTAGCGATAAACGTTCTGTACGAACATGTGCAGTGCACGAATGCGAGAGACGAGGTCATGGATATCGATTCCGGAGTAGCTGCTTCACAAACCGGGTCATTGCCTTCCTCTGCGCTCGTGAATTATTCGCATATTGACGTGTTGTTCACGTTCCTTAAGAAGTTGAAGAAAGTTTATCCTGGCCTTTGTACGTGTGTGTTCACAGAGGTTTGACGTGGCCTGAATCCTAACCATCATTGCCTCTCTCTAGGCACGCACGTAGACGACATCGAGTTGCTGCTGAGTTCATTATCATAGGACAGACATTTTCATACACCATCTCATCGCTCCCCATCACCACTGCATGTCAATTATACTTTATACTTATGAATCTGATGATTCTTTGTTCTAAGCTATGTTCGAAGGTGGCACCAAAACCCGAAACCACCTAAGCAACGCGGTCGCCAAATTTCCACGTGTTTCGACATGAGCTACGTCCACCGTGTGATCCAGGAGTACCTTTCCGCTCGTGAACAATTGGTGGGCGCGGCAGAACCCGCTGCTCTTGCATGGCAAGCCGTTTGCGAATCCGAATTTTCGCGGGGGGCCTATTGCAGAAAATATTGTAGTACGCAGGCATGGGCAGGCCCTCATGGAAAGGCTACATATAGGAGTAGTGGCGATGAACGTTTTAATGCATCGAGATAGGTGCATTGTGTGTACATAACCAAGGAGCCATCGTAATTTAACAGTCGGCATTCAAAATGTGGCGTATTAAACGCAATGGTTTATCGTTTATGGTTAAAAAGACGATAAGCAGAAAAACTTACTGGTGCGATTGCACGGCGAGTGATGATCGGGTTTATATAGCGAGTGACACAACTTTGGTGACATGCTTCCAGAACTAGAGGAAGATGGATGCGCCCCATCCGAATCGTCCGAACTTACTTCGTCGCTCGTCAGTGAGGGCATACGGGGTGGGTCGGTGTGTGGGGATATGGGGTAGTTGGAGAATCGGGCTGCTGAGGGGTGGAGGTGATTATCAGGTGAAGCCGACAAAACGTCAGCGCTCCATATTGATCACAATGGGCCTGTCAGCACAACCTCAAGAGTACAAAAATCGTATTGAATCTGTATTACTTAGACATCAAGGCCATGTACATACAATTGAAACCAATCATTCGCTTTCCAACTGCTCTGCCCGTATCACTGGTTCTTGAAGGCCATCAAAGAACGGTTTTAAGTTCTCAAAAGCTCGCAAACTTTTGTCGTTTCCTGCCCGAGGAAAGTCCTCAACAATAGTTCGAGCCACGAGAACAGACTGGTAATGTGGCTGAACAGCTGATGGAATCGCTGCGAAAGTCTCCGAAATGCAACCGTAAGCAACAATTTCATAATGGTGGTCGTCCCAGTGCAATTTGTTCCCCGAGCTGCAACTGTTGCGAGGTATCTCTTCAGTGATGGTCACAAGTCCAGCTTCTCCTATCTTCCTGGCTCCGAGCTCGAAAATGATCGATATTACTGGCATCTCTTCATCCGGAACAGTGATCGGGCGAAAAACACGGCAAGGGTCGGCCTCTTTGCGATTCCTAAATTGCAAGTTAATGGCTGATGTCGATTCCGGTGAGATAGATTCGGTTGGGTGACCCATATGAACAGGAATAATAGCATCAATCGACCCCTCATTATCTTCGGCTTGGAGAGCCATGCCACGTAGCAGAGCTACCGCCAGGTTTGGAGCAGAGAGCATTTCAGAGTTTTTGGCCAGAGCGAAATGGGAAAAAAAGATATAGGCATTTGCAAATGCAGTTTTCAAATCAGGGACATCCGCCTTGGCCGTCACCGAGTGGGCATCCAGTATCACGGTTTCGAATTGCTTCGCAAATAGAGCTTTGAGAAAGTCGAGGACATGGACAGGCCGATGGAAATATGGATCAGGTAAAAATTCTTTTGGCAAGGAGTGTTTTTGTCGGAGGGCAATGTCATGTGCAATGGTCACAAGAAGTCGACCGCAGAGTTCCCCGTGCTCTCCCTTTGCAAGAAGTCCCTTCTCACGAGCCTGAGCTAGAATTTCTGGACCTTGAATTTCTATTGTGCTGCCATTCGAAGGATCATTCAGATGCCTCGCTGCTGCCTCAGCCAGTATAGGTTCAGAGGGCGATCCGGCATGCATAAACTCGCGATGCTCGGGGATGGCGTAAACAACACGCATGTGCGACTCAACGAGTTTTGATTCCATAGTCCTCGAGGCTTGAAGTATAATGTCGAAAATTATCCCGATGCGAATCCCCAGAGCAGCAATGAGAGAGTGGAATACTTCCGCTTCGTTCCCTTCCGCGATCAGTTTGTCTCTGGCGAATGATATAACAGGCAATTCTTTCTGCTCCAACCAGTTTTTGTGGTAGACATACCATCTATTACGAATTTAGTCGAATTCACCACAAATATAGTAGGCACTTACAGGCCACGTCCGAACCCCGCCATCACACCCGTTTGGCCCACGTTTTCAAGGCTACGATTTTTCTTCTGACTTTCCAAATTTTCAAATACTTTGTCCACAAATATGTCGAACGGCAGCTCGGTGAAAGGAGGGGAAAGGCGGAGGCCCTGAGCGACGCGAACTGATGGATGGCTTGCGGGAAAGGGATTGAATTCCGGGGGATGAGAACTCGTAGATAAAAAGATGAAAAAAACAGGGGAATATGCCAGCTCAGACAGCACTGTGCCAAAGTTATGATGGGGCGAGTACCTCCTTGCATTGTTCGGTGAGACGGGTTCGGTAAGCTGGTGAGCGTCATCAAAGTAAACGATGCATTTGACATCTTCTGCTCTCCCATCATCACTAGAGATGGCCTTGATAAACTTGCGGCAGGAGTCCTGCATCCAGGGTATGAGGAGGTGCAGTTTCCTTTGAGCTTCTTTTTCATTTTGTCGTGGGACACCCAGCTCCGCTGATTGGAGCTTCCCAAGAAAATTCAGCATGTGGCAGCAACTATTAAAACCCTAGACATCACCTGCCGTGCCCGATCCACCACAGAATCCAGGAACTTCTTCCTATTCGTACCAACTTCGGTGCTGGTCTGTCCTTCGTTGAGATAATTAGCCCATTCTGATGCTAGCGCTGTTCCTGTTTTATGTTCGAAAATGGGTTTCTCAAGGAGTTCGGCGGCCTTTGTGAATAACACGCCCAATATAATTGCGTACTCTGCCTGCAACCGAAGATCGCTTTTGGTATCATGTTCTTGAAAATAATGGCGAAACTCCTCGTCTGGAGGAGGATAGGCTAGCGGAAAAATTAACATCATCGATCGCAAATATGAGATTCGCGATGAAATGTTGCGCACATTTGAGAACGGGGCCAAACTCCTCACGAATATTGATTGGAATCGTAAATACGGAGTGCGCGGCTTCGTGAACCATTCTGGATTTCCCCATACCCGACGACTGGATGACTGATAGAGACAGATTATATGGCCTGTGACTTGGGCCGTACCCGCTTGGCTGCGAATACTTATTCAATGTCTCGATAAGCAGCTTGTGGGTCTCTCCTCGATAGGGTTCTTGAAATGCTGATTGAAGACCTGATGCAACTTGTCAGGCAGATGAGAAACTCAAGATAAACCCGCGAATACCTGGAAGCCCGCCACTCTCCTGATTGGTAAGGCCCATTATATCGACTAGTAATGAAATCATGGACACTATAATACTGCCACAGAGCGAACGTAACCTACCATCATGCAACAACCCGGAGAAAGACTTGTCGCGGTATGCTTTACAAAGCTTGTAAAATAAGTCATTTGAAAGATATTGAACACATGCGCCTTCATCAGGGGCTTCGGTACCAGTGGGTCGATGAGTTGAGAGCAATATTTGTAGCAATTTCACTGCTGCGTCATAACCAAGTTCTTCTCCGAAAACTCCACGGTTTTTAGTGCTGTAGTCATCGATCGCCTGGATAACACGACTATTGAACGTTTTCTGATCGTCTCTGGCAGCTCCGTCTTTCGGGTCGACATCCATTGGGGGGAATCGGAGAATTTCAAAACCAAATTCAGTCACGTGTGGCCCATATGCGGATGTCGGAAAATCCCGTATTCCTGCTTCGGTCCCGAATTGAATGCATTAGTGACAGGGTCCTCTATTGTTTCCATAACCCAGGGTCCTCAATTCTATCTATTTCTTGTTATTGTTATTCACTCTTGTCGCTCTCCGATCCCTTGTGGGCTGGTTCTCTCGCAACTTAGCTTTGAATAGGTCAAGGCAGGCTGCCTCAGTCGTACAGTGGATGTTTTTTCAAACAATTAAAGTAACGCAGTGACCCCATTGGGGACGGAGGCCGGGTGGCATGAAAACAGCAGGAAGGGCGAAGTGCTAACAGCCCAGTGAGAGCGAAAGCGGCGGTAAGTAGTACGTTCGTTAACTCACGTAGGCGCGCAAGTGCGATAGCATATCGCAAAGATCAGTGATTCCATGCAGACTGTCGCGATGGGTCATGGCTGACCGGCGCTGCATAGCGATAGGAAACCCAAGCGCCGTCCCAGTTATCAGGCTTCCGATTCATAAGAATCATAACTCTTCAGATGTCCCGCAGAAACGCGGGGCCAGGTAGCCGTGCATTCGGAGTCGCACGTCCACCAACACGATCGATCGTGTGAAATTAGTATATTAATTATTAAACCGTGAATAATCATGAGATGGATGGAATATGTCGAACGCAAAGCAAGAGAAAATGCACAAGGAGACGTTATGAAGATTATGAAGACTAAAGTGGCTAGGCGCTTTGAAAGCACCGTTCATGGATCGTGATGGTACGGGAGATGGCGTCATTTGGAGTGCTAAATTCGACATCGGTGGGGCAAATGGAATTGCGGAACGTCGGGGCATCGGTACTTGACTGATAAAGTCGGTGGTCGTGCTATTCTCACAGGCCCCAAAACAACATCTTGTCAACTTTGTTATGTAAAGAGTGTACTTTTGAAAGAGGGCTTACACTGCTGGAACCGTCTTCGTGCATGGAGCGACGAATGTTCACCACGAGATTTCCCATAGCTAGATCCCTCTGGAAGGTAATGGTGGTCAGTTTCCATACTCTTCGGCCATACTCAGGCGTAATGAACTCACAGGTCGGCGTGGTGATAATTCTATGAGCTCCCTCCGTCCACGGGAAACCATAACCTTCCTCTGAGTGACAGATCGTAATGCCTCGAAAAGGTTAGTTGGTCTGTCGTCAGCGAGTGTGGGTGCGGACAGCTGCTTCCGTACTGTTGACCGCATGTGTAAGCTAGCGAGCGGGGACACAAAGGAATCCTATCAGTGAGTGCGTTCAGAGACAAGAGAAATTGTTTGTGCTTTACTTTGTGAGCATGGATATGGGGTACATGGGACTAAGGGTCTGAAAACATTTTGGTAAATATCCCAAACGCGTGAAGAACTCCCGTGAACGGACTCACGATTGCAAATAGGAGAGCACCGAAAGCGAAACCACGGCTGGCGAACTAAAACCATGGCGTCGGCATAATGCATTCTACTGGGTGAGATAATTTCAGCCTATGCTTACGATGCCTATCGTAATAAGAGATTGAACACAGGTGATGCTGCCCGTGGCCACAGACCAGTACACCATCGTGTTGATGGCCCTGTCTGTCCTATTACGAAGTCCGTTTGGCCCTGACATGCTACACTTCAGTCATTGACCTACTTTTTGAATCCAGTCTTCCGGTGCCAGAGCAGGAACGTCATCAACATCGCTATTAGAGCATCACATGTTCCCTGACGATTCACGGATAAGTAGAAGCACTGCTGAAGATGAGAGTCATATACCTGTATCGTTAGCCAAACGGTCGCTACCCAATTCCACCTGTGAGCGATTTCATTGAAGGACAGTGATGTGTCGCTGGCATGTCATGGTCAGATTAAAGGTTGCTACGGCAAGCGTGTGATGACACGTACACCACGATCAAAAGTGCTGAGAATGAATTACGTGTCTTTGAACGAGGACTCTGAAGGGGCGTAAACTTCGAACTCACTTGTGGCAAAAGCTGTCAAGCAGACCTCAGTGTATTGGTGTAGGGCGTTCTGGGTTGGGGAAACTTACTAAACTGCGTGATAACAAGGGCTTGCTGTGTTTATGGAACAGGTAAGCAATCGCTGCAGAGGGGGCCGATCAACGTACCAGAGGAACAACGATATAAACATTCCCAGAAACTAGCGACAAAGTCACGAAAGGTAACACTCGTTAATTCTCACAAGAACTCACGGCCCCAAATACGATTCACAAAGAAAGACTGAGCGATTAGGGATCCCACCGTTGTACTAAGGTGATATGAGAAAAATTCCCTAAGGGAAGCGTTGAGTAGGGGGAATGTCATCACTCATGGGGGATTGCGTACCATTTCGGCTTTGCCAATGCCTCGGGGTTGAAGTAATTTTGGATGTACCACCACCAAATCATTTTAGTCATAAAGACCCTTGAAAGTGCGAACCACAGGCACGTCGGGACGGATATATTCAACAACCCATCGATGTCACTTACGTCTGAAAGGCAATAGCAACCCTTTAGGAAGGACAGAAAGTTATCAAAAACCGGTTCTTTTGATCACTCGAAGCACACTACGAACCAGAGAATTCCAACCTATTGTCACATCAGGAACTTCAGCCCCATCAACCCGAGTGAACAATCAACTCGGACATACCATTCCCCGCGTCCATTTACTATCCCTAGGGAAACGTTTGTGGTAAAGGACAACTTGTACGGTAAGGATCCCGAAGAGACTGAAACCATCGTGAATGCCTGGGTTCAAACATTGGTTCCATCTGAAGAAAGCATTCTTACAACGTAGAGCCGACGTTCCCGACGAAAGTGCTACCTATGATATCTTCCAGGGGGGCCTTTACAATGCGAACCATGACAGATAAACGCCAGGGTGAAGGGCAGGGCGAGCCACTTGGGGGAGCGAAAAGTGTTACAAACCGTTCACTTGCATATGCTGATTCATATATAACTGGCGGGACGCCGTCTAAATGCCCGCAACTCTCCCATTTGGGTTTGGGTTTCCCTTTCAACCTTTTTGTTGTATGCCTTCCTTACTCCCTTTTCTTTTTACCTATGTGATGAGATGGGACGATCGTAGATCAGCTAAGAATGCTGCCAGCAGGATCTTCAGGGCTGCCAGGGTTTGACTTGTTCTGAGTAACCGCACCCGCACCCGCACCCGAACCTCGAGAATTCCTGCCCATGCAACCAGTTCTATAGCGGACCCTTACCTAAATAAACTGAATTGAAATTGAGTAGATCTGATTCACATTTCGAAGATCTGCTGGCAGACATTGCTGATGTGGTTAGAGGGAAGGGTAAAGTCAGGCTGTTCAAAGAGGTGGGCTACTGCCGATCTGGATCGTTGACGAGGCGACAGGACGTGGGGGCAAAGGGGCGCGCCGCCGAGATCCAATAATATCATTGAATTGATGGCAATATGACAATAAATTCGGACAACTCCGTTACAATACAGCTAAGGCCGTAACTGAAAAACTGGACCTCTTGACCGATCATGACAAATAGACAAATATGATCATGAACCACGGAATGATCAGGTACCACGTGAATGTACGGTTCAAAATGACGACAACTCCGCTGATTGACAAACAAATGAACAAATGAATTCGGCCAACTCCGCTATATGACAAAGTTCGGGTGCAAAGTGCGACATCACATGTGTGTTGGACTCTGGGTTATGCAGAAATTTGAAATAGCCACTGTTAAAAGTGAATGGGGTACGTGTGCGAAAATCACCTCAGGAATTGAAATTATAATTTTATTGTAATTCAGTACATTAGCGCCGCACAGCCATTCCGCGTTCCGCGTTGCTGTGGAGCTTGTGTATATACTCAGCAAAAAGGGGTGACGATTGATCTTATGTACTTATGTAGGTGGGAAAATCATTACTTAAGTAATCCATTCAATTCCGAACCAAAAGGTTTGACCTACGTCCTGGGCCCGGAACCCACCGTAAGGGGAGACTCCAGGAGTAAAATGCCAGGATGAAACTCTTCGACGGTTGGTGAACAAAGAATACGAGATGAAAACAGGGCCTCCAGTTATACATTTTACGGAGGCGCGGCCGCCCTGTGCCTGAGAGGTATCCCACGCAAGAGTTGAATCACAAAATCGCCGGGAAGTTCCGCAATGTCTGCAGTCTCAGGCCATAACGGCCTGAAGCTATACTGAAGCTATGGGCCCAATCCAACAAAGCTGAAAGAATGCTTGAGCTTCTCTGCCCGTTATTGCCTTAGACTGATTCCCTTCTGCATATATACACCTCTCCGATTCTTGGGTGCTTCATGGGAATAGAAGCGCGCGTCTCGTGGTCCAGGCTGAAGGCTCGACATTACGTGTGTGTATCACTATGCAGTCGGCAAGAAAGGTGGTCAAGGTTTATCTGCGAGTGTGCGATGTTGTCTTTGAACATGGCCTATTCCGTCTCTACCGAGTAACCTTACAGTCGATGTTCCGGGACTTCCTGAACCTCCCAATCTCAACTGGGAGTGCTTGCAACAAGCCTACATGTTGGATTCATCTGGAGTTCACCCAGATGTAGCCAGGAAGTATCGCTTAGTGGTCGGCGCGATTGTTGCGGCCGATCAAAGTCTCTTGTTTCGAGGTAATGCCCGCACTGCTGACAACATCAAGTGCAGTGGTGTGCGCGCGATGCTCGATTATGTCATGAAAAGGTTCCCGCGTGAGGGCGCTCCTACTCATAAACAAGTGGAAGTCCACCTACGTGCCTGGAACTCCCAAGTGAGATAGCCTCGACACTGGTCAGGTTGAATAGCATGCTCGTGTTTTTGGGTGTCGTATCGAGCGCTTCACGTCCAGGTCCGCCAGTGTTGTTGGTGGGCGTCCCCCTTGCCATAAGCTTGCTTCGCAGACCTTGCACTCAAGTTGCGGCCCAAGAGCAAATTCTTCATCAATGCCATGGACGCGATGAGGTCCAGCGGTATTCCACCTTTCAGAAAAGAGGTTTTCGTTGGTTGTTGGAAGGATCATGAAGGGTGTCGGATGCTTTCCAACAGGTTGGGCAACGAATGTTGAAGGGGAAGAATACAGTGTGAGTGGGACCTTGTTAGTGTTTGGAAAGATGGTGCAGCGTGTGAGGGAGACCGAGAAGCGGGACGGTGTCAGTGAGACGTGTCCGGGTCTTTTTCGGAGTCCCAAGGAGCTGGCTGATGTGCTTGATGCACTGAGGAGCTGCATGAGTGAACTGAGCCAGCGTGGACAGGGACAAGGGCTGCTCGGTGGACGACTTCTTCCCTTGACCGTGGAGCGCAGCAGTTCACCAGTCAACATTTTCCATCACCGGCTGGGTCTAGTCTACTGAATTGCGAAAGGGTCCTACCCAAGCGGGGAAGTCACCGTCCTTGAGGGTGCCCATGCCGCTGGCAAAAGGTGGAAGATACTTGATACATACGAGTCGTATGTCAATATTGTTCATAGTCCCAGAGATCCGCATTCACTCGGCCAGGGCTCGGCGGCTCGGATAATGATGGCTGAGGTCTACATATGTATCCACCGTTGAACGTTTCCCAGACTTGCTGCGTATTTAGCACGTACATTCCAAGTTGCCATCACGACTGGTGACTGACCAGGAATATACACTGCTAAATAGTTTAGTACTACCTGGTTGAACTGAGTATAATTATGCAACCAAGGAAGATTCCGGAATGAGCGCAACAGCGATGCATTCGCAAGGAGAATCATGCATGAAGGTCCAAGCTCCGAGGCTCGGCCATAGACTGAAGGAATAAAGTAATTACGGTGTTCTTTCAGGGGAACGGCTGTTGCGGCAATGGCGGTCATATGCAATCATAATCCAAGACAGACCCGACGTAAAACGAGATGAAATGTCATTTTACGGTATTCAGAGACACACTTAGTGGAGAGGAGCGACTGGGGCACAGCTATTTTTTCGCACCCAACACTAGGCCACACTGAAAGAAGCGATAAATGCAGAGGCCGAATTCCCCAGGACAGGGGGTCAGCGAAGGGGCGGGGTGAATGAGATCAGACGTTGATCAGACTCACCTACTGTACAGAGCGAGAGAACTAAGCATGTGAACAAGTCACACTTCCCCGCTTGATTCCACGACCACTTTGGCTATGGGTTGGCCCTTAGGTGACCCCAAGTTCTCAATCTTGTCTACTAATTCCATTCCTTCATCGACCTCCCCAAAGACGACGTGTCTAAACCTGATGTAAGCTTCGGGAACAGCACCGGGGACATGAATCATACACTTTCCATCGAGCCACGAGGCTGGAACAGTGGTAATAAAGAACTAATCTCACTAGATGAGGGGCAATAGCAAAACACGAATGAGGTTCGCACCTGTGATCCATTCGTGCTGTTGTTTATATTAGTACCTTCACACCAAACGAAAGAAATCGGACCCTACTTTTTTCCTGCATTCGCCATGGATAAGAGACCGGATTTAGTGTGCTTCACCTTGAAGTTCTCATCTGCACAAGAATATATCAAACGTCATTCAACAGGGAGGAAATCACATACCGGCGAACTTCTCCCCAAAGATGGACTTTCCACCTGTACCATCGAATCTGGACACCAATGAGGTTGAAAATCCGGGAGATAAATTGCTCGACGAACCGAGTAAAATCGCCGCCTTGAATCATGACTGGAGATCCCCGTCCCCAATGTTCTGGATTAGAACGTCTATGCAACTTGGATGGTACTCATTACACCTACATTGCGGGATAATGCGATGGAACGGTGAGCCAGCGTACCCGAAGCCATGCTGTCCTGTGGCGAGCTCCCGGAAGTTCTGGGCAGTTCTAGGAACAATATCATCATAAAGCTTAAAAATAATACGCCCAGAAGGTTTCCCATTGATGAGGATATTCATCTGTAAAAACCCATGAATGAAAAATACGGATTCATGGCTGCAATGGTGTGCGTGAGTGTGAGTATCTCGAATCACTCACAAAAACACGCTTCCTAGGAAATCCATGTCAGTTGATGTCACAGGAAATTTGAAATGATAATGAAAAAGGCATTCACTTTGTGCCAGCAGCTGCCATGATCAGTGTTGTACAGACCTGGTCACAAATGGTCACAAAGACCGAAGTCCGTGAGTCTGACTAGATGGTCACAAGTCTCTCCCACGGTCAGTGTAAGTCGGACTTTTCATCGGGGGATCCCGATATTCAGACCCGTCCGCAACCTTTCTTCATAGGATATGTTTTGTTTGTTATGGATTAGATGTTGTAATGACTGTTTGCTAGCACGCAAGAGATGCTGAGCATGATTCTACTACAGCTTGAGTTACACAACTGTGACTTTGCCGCCTGATTTGCCATGTTTCATGTTAGGATTTTCGAAAACTTCACACAATCCCACACAATCCCACCCCCCATCCTCCTCTAGCTCACCATGGGCGTTTCTAGTCCTATGTGGGAATACTTCCACCAACTTGAAAGGTTTTATGGGGGTAATAAAAGCCACCGCGTTGCCAAGTGCAAGGGATGCATGGCTTGGCACACAAGGACGTCCACTGGAGGCAAAGGATTCCGAGGGCATCTCAACTGGAAGCATTACACAACGACGCTCAGCGGATGAACTACATGAAGCTGGTATGCATATATCTCATCAATTTGGTTTGAGAGGTATTCATCAAATGGCAAACATAAGCTCTTGCACTCGCATCTGATATTCAAGGAACAGCAGAAAAGCTGGCTCGTCATCTTGTGAAATGCACACACGCTTCCGTAGAGGGGTGTGCTGAAGGACAAGCATGGTTAGACCAGCGTTCAACAAGTCCGATGCCTCATGTCCATATAACTTCTTTATCACTGGGGACACAAAGAACCCTGCACGCAATCGACTATCTGTTGAGAAGATGGTGAAAATCTAGTCATCTATCAAACCAGACCTCAACCACCAACATGCAGTCGATGGTTCACATGGGAAGAGAATCCGTCGTTCATTTGGACTTGCTCCTTTCGCTAGCGACCATGACCCCTCTGGGGGCCGTTTGGAGCTCGAGCATGGACATCCCTCCTGCATTCCTGATGACATAAACCATGGCTACCATCCTTTCCGTGCCAACCTTCTTCAGGACCTCACCAGTGACTACGATGCAGAACAATCTGAAATGAATTTTGCGCGGAGCCTACCATCAAGATCCCCCCAAGTAAGTTCTATTTTCCATTCCTCCCAAAGTATCTATTTACAGCTTGCCATTAGGGTGTAAGTTTGCAGGGGAAAAGGGCACGAGATATTTTCAACTTGACGCGAGATTCAATGTGGATCCAGGGTGAGCGGAACTTAGTGCTAGAAACGGAGATGGAAGACCTCTTAACATGAGAGAGGAACTTAGACCTAGATGGGAGCTTAGAGACGGTGGCAGGGTGGAATGTTTCTGGTGACACGTCAAGCGCTTGTAGCTAAATCCGTTAGTCCGTTATAACTCCGTTAGTTCAGACCTGACGGACCGAGACACCCAGTCCGGACCCAATCTGACTCAGAGTCCCCGTGACCACGAGTCTGACTTGGTCTTGTGCAACACTGGCCATGATCGACCTTATTTCAACAGATCTAAGCTAGATCGAGTGTTTGGTGAGCGGCAGTTCCCGTGGCACATTCCCCTCAAACGTCCGTCAATTGTGATGCCACAGGTCACGATACTAAAGCGAGCAAGGGGTCCAGACGCAAAGAAAATACTTCAGAAAGACTGCTAAGGGGAAGATTGTCGAAGGTCGGATCTGTTAGAATTCTTGGTATCATGGCGTACGCTATGACCAACTCACGTTTGGTGATGTTGAGTCGTGTGGCGTCTTAGATTTTCGCCCATTACCTTTCTTGGTGACATCCGTGCCAAAGTCAGTGCGCATTCATAGCGCCTGACTATAAAAACCTAATCTCTGGACAACCCAACCTTTCCTCAGTTCACGTACAACGGGACTGAGGTGAGTTGTTGATTTGTTTTCTATCTCGCACAAATCATGTATTGAGTACTTGTACACCAGCGATAAACTCGCTAGTCCTCCATTTCGTCTTATAGGATCGGGCTTCATGTGGCCCTTACAGAGCTGTTCGCAGTCCTTCGTGAACGTTATTTAAGGGACGACGTGGCCTGTGGCATTGAAGGGATATGTACTTCCCATGACCCTCCTTTGTCACCACGCGACGACCTTACACACCAGAAATATCCTAATGGTCACTATATAATGCCAGACACCAATGTCTTCTTGCGTCAGGTCTGTTTGTCAACTTAGCCGGGAATCGAGCTTATTGGGTTGGTATCGCGAAGATGGATTTGGTGGAGTCCCCTCTCTTCACCGTGCCTATCATCCTTCTTCAGACAGTCCTGGAAGAAGTCCGGCATCGCTCGTTGCCCTTATACAATCGTTTGAAAGTCCTTACGACCGCCGATGCCAAGGGTATCTGGGTATTTTACAATGAGTTCGATGTGTTCATATCAACATCCCTTCTGGTACACTCTGGAACCTAATCTTCTGCTTCCACAGCAAGACTGCGATTGGGAGAGACCCGGATGAAAGCCCCAATGACCGAAATGACAGGGGTGCGTAAAATCTGCATGCCTCGCGATTGTTTCTCCCATGTTCGTCCCTCAGCCATTCGTAAAAGTGCATTATGGTATAACGACACTCTAAAAATGCACTATTCATCTCGAAAGACCCCCCCCGCCAGTTGTTGTCCTGCTAACGGATGACGTGGAGAATCGTACCCGTGCAGCCAAGGAAAATATTCCAACAAGTTCTCGTGCGGTTTCTCAACACTTCTCTTCAAGGGAATGTGTCTGATCAAAACCGGATTTTTTCAGTCTCGAAATACGTGGAAGGAATGAAGGAAGCTGCCCAACTGATAGATGTAGTCGCATCTCCCACCGAGAGTCCGGAGCTGCTAGTCACCAGCTCAAGACCAGAACTGTACACTCAGGTGAGCTCCTCGAGGGGTGGTTACGCAAAAACAGCAGGTTGAAACATCCCCTTCAGCACCTTCCAGCGGCGGAGTGTTTAGCTGGAATTAAGAGTGGACACCTTTATCAGGGATATTTTAATGCTAACACTTTCAATTACCTGGAGGTGTGTTGGGCACCAGTCACCCCCCAGGTCACGCTGTGTAAGTGGCAACTTGCGTGTATGAGTTCCTCACGTCGTAGCGGATCGTCAGCTCCCAACGATCAAGGTCCAAGTACAAGATCTGGACTCTCGGACCAACGTATCGGGTCAACTCCTATATTCAGACATGTACAGATATCGCCAATTTCTGAGGAGACTTTGCCAACAGAATCCGTTCAGCTCGTTCAATGGAACGAGCATGCCTTCAACCATGAAAAAACATTTGTGGAGGAAGCTCAGAAGCTTCTGAGCGTTAACGTGGGTTATAATAATTGTGTGACCTTGTGTTCCCTTAAGATTGTTGTAGAATCATGTGGACGGTGTGGAATACCGACACGTCGACGAGTTTATGGCCGGCAACGATACAACAAAGCTGGATGCGGGCCTCTTCTTCGCTGGCTCCGCCGCCCATAATTCCTGGGGCGATGTCGCCGTTGTCATAGAATGCAAGCTACAGGAACGGCGTCTTGGTAGTGACATAGAACATCAACTAAAACGAGCAGCTGAGCTCACATTTGTTCATCAATTCCGACGGTTCGTATGGGGGCTTTCTGTCTACTCTCATAATGCAAAGGACTCCATGCATCATCATTTTCAACTGTTTTTCTTTACTCGCTCCGGCATCTTCTGCTCTGAAGAATACGATTTGAAGGAAAACTTTTCATACTTTTGCAAACTCCTGGTTGGCTTCGCTAGGATGACGCCAGAGGAACATGGGTGGTTCTTGATTCCGAGAAGTGGCCCGTTTCATCTTTCTTTTGATCCACCAGAAAACTTCGTCGCATCCAAGGCTCCGAAGCTGTCCATTCCGGAATATAGTGAGACCCTCCACCTTGTATGTGCCCTCTATGTGAGGCACGAGATCAACGGTCGTGCCACAGTTGTGTTACACTGTAAGACGATAACGAGCCAAGACCGTGTGGTGAAGTTAACTTGGCTGGAAGACTTCCGTGCACGGTACTACCGTAACGTTCTGGATATCATTGGGGGGTTGGATTTCGAGGATCTACCAAAGACCGAGTACAGGGAGCATCTCTCGGCCCCGGGGGATTGCAAGCCATACTCTGTGCACCAATCACTTGAACAATTTGCACGGACAGACATTTCAACACGCAGGGGCGACGTCAAGAATTGCAACTTATATTGCGTGATTACTGATAAAGTTGGGGTTTCTATCTGGAAGGAGACATCATTGTCACGAGTTTTTAGTGCGTTTGCAGAAATCGCTGGACGTAAGTGCCTCCGCAACCACTTGGTAGTACCAAATCCTCACCTAACTTTCCAGAGATTGAGTCTATGGAGGCGAAGGGCTTGTATCACAGGGATGTCAGCGATGGGAACATCTTCACTCGTGCTCGTGACCAGCGTCCCCAGTTGTTCAAGGGGTGGTTGGATGACTTCGATTTTATGTATGTTGACGAATTGGGCAAAGAAGATTCCGCCGAAGCAGGCAAGTTATGTGTACGTCTTTTCAGACTTGCCATGGTCTATTGTAATCAGTTCTCCGGAATTAGGGCACGTTCCCGTTCATGTCAGAAGCAGTACTCCACGCACTTCAATGGGATCATTCATACAAACAATCTGGGATAGATGATTTAGAGTCTCTGGTGTGGGTACTCCTCTGGTTTTTCTATCATACCAAGCCATGTACGGGGGGGTGGGTTCAGATTGAGTACGATTTAGATCGTACATCCATCACCGAACAAACCCCTCAAACATCGGCAGTATCGCACCACAGCAAAAGCTTCAAAGTTGAGCCTGGTGGGAAGGAACGAATGCGTACGCTAGATCCGTTGGACACCTTTAACAACATTGAAGATGCAACAGCACGCAAATTTGCATTGAAGCGAAAGAGGTTCCTACCTTTCGGTCTTGTAGGGTGGGATAAGGACAAGGTTCAAGGTCTGTTTTATGACATCTGGGGTCTTGAGGGCTGGGAATCGCTCCGGGCAAACCTTCCATACTTCGATTCCCCGACCCACTCCATGAATCCCCAGCAAAAGGATGCAGAATTTAAAAAACTTGTGGAAGGCTTAATGCAACTCTTTGCTAACGCCAAAGAGTCAGAATTCATGTAATTATATCCGCATATAACATTGGAGGCGAGTATTTGGTCCAACATCGGAAACGGGATGACATTGGCTTGGCATGTGCAAGGGCATCCTACTTTTGATTACTGGTAATGCATTACGTACTCCCCAAAATTCTTGGCGTCACCTGTAAGTTCGCGAGAATCACGGTTCCAGAAATATATAGGGGAAACAGCATGATTCTGAACAACGACGTGGAATTACAACTTGACTGAGGAGCGATCCTAGCCTATATTCTTTCGGGAAAACTTTTGCCGTCAGCAGCCCAAATTTTGAAGCATTTGGTATGAGCCAGTTGATATTTGAGGACCACACTAGCTAAACAGCCCACGGCCACGTGGAAACGTATGTACGTCAAATGTAATTACCAAGAGGGGACCGGGCAGTCCAACCACATATTCCAAGTTAAAGAAGCATTTATACTATATCAAAGCTTTGGCTTTACCCCTTGACTTTCCCTTTCATCCCATCAATGCCAATCAGTACTTCAACGGGAACGTCTCCTCATTTTGTATAATAAGAGAACTCTCCAGTAACGCCGGTGATGTTTCAACAGAAGCATGCATGATGAGGAGCTGGATTTTTTTCCAGGTGAGGGACGTTTTGGACTGCCCAGAAACGGTTTAAACTTAGAGGGAGCAGTGGAAATCCATATGTCCCTAGCCCCTTACTTATCATTAACGAGGGTCCTGACGTTATGGTTCCTCCCCACATGATTGCCGGTGCTGCAACAGTCAGAGAACATTGTGATTTCTGTTGATGAATGACACCTTCTAATGGTCAACTGGCTACAGCTCATTTCGTCGCTTAAGTTTTAGTGATTGCTACGGTGTGGGTTAGGATGAATGTTGGCGTTGCCAGGTGCGGAATTTGACTTTGTTTGGGAAGTATGATCCCTTGTGAACCGCCAAAGAGCAGTTTGCATTTAGTGGGGGAGGAAGCATCCATAGCAGGATTTCTGCTCGCCGGAAGAGCGCCCAGGGGCATGATAACTTTTTCAATCAGCCAATGAGAACAATTTGACGAGTCCCGCATCCATTCCAGCTTGAATGTCGAAAAAATTAAATAAATCCACCTCAACGCCACAAGTTAAAGCAAACCTCCGACCCACACCGTTATATTCGCTGCGACTTGACCAACGAAAATGACAATTCCAATGTCGTTAATAACGAGCAAGGAGTCAGAGACATATGGATTATTGTCCTTCGTGGGGTGACTGTGTGTAAGCGGACATGGCGACGTCACGGATGGACGTATTTGTGCCTCAGAGGCAGATTCTCTGGCACGTCTGATCCTAGAACCAACAGCTTCAGGATGATAAACCCTACTTGCAAAGCTGGAGCACCATCCCTTGGGTGAAGGGTTTGAAAGGGAGGAGCACGCAGACACAACCGGGATCCTATTCAGGGAAACTAGAACCGTTCTAGCGGGAAACGGAGTCGGCAAAGACAGCGATGCGTGACCCGCGGTGCTCGAGTAAAACAAGCGCAACAGAAATAGACAGAGAAAGCAGACACCCTAAGCAACAAAGAGAAAGAATACCGAGGCATAACATGGGGATTTTGGGAACGTGAAATGATCGAGGGCTAAAGACTAGGATGAGACAGTAGGAAAGCGGTAGCAGCAGCATGAGTGAAAGAGCAATAAAAGCAGAGAAGCGATGGGACGGCAATGGTGCAACAGCAGTGATCACATAATATTGGCTGGGATCCACGACTCGCGCGTCAACGGGCTTGGGAATGGCTTATGTGATGGCGCCGGCACTCTGGTTTAGCGTAGGAATGCAAGGAGTAGTAGGTCTTGAGAACGAATTTCTGCATGTGAGTGCAATCAAGCATACGATGAGGATGATTGATAGGATTGGCGCTATGTTAGTGGAGCCGGAATGGGAATTGCAATGCACACGATTCTGTGTCTACTAGGAGAATACGACGGAACTATGTACGATCCGTCAGCCAAGGTAGCTCCATGAGGGAATCGGAGAGCAGAAATTTTGTCGAGATGTCGAGAGCAGTCATGTGGACTTACCGACTGGGACCTTTGATAGTATTATTCTGTCACCCCGCTACAATGCAAGGGTGCACGATGAGGGGAAGCTATCAGAAAACGAGAGACAGATTTAGGACTAATGAGGCGGGCCGCGGGCATCAGGGAAATGGTGAGAGTGGCGGTCTTAAGGTTAATAGTGGAACTATATCAATGAGGAGGACGCCTTGCGGAGACAGCTGGGAGAAGGCTACACGTCATTAAAAACAGCCAGGAGAGTCGGGTATGACCCAGCGGCCGCCGTATAAAGAGTAGCTATAACTCTGGCAAGGGATCCACGAATTCCGACCCTATTTAGATGTTCAAATCCCTGGGAAAGGGCCACGCTCATCGAAAATTGGAACCATTGTGGATACCCCACCACTGGGAATGCATCTGAGGCATGGGGACCAGCTGGAAAAACCTGGGCAGCCGGCATGCCTGAGGTGTCTTGGTGGTATTATTATAGTCAGGAATATCGTGACCTCCTGACCTGCTTAATATTTCGGTTCTGTATGAACGGCTGCAAGCGGGCAGGATAGAGGCTGCGGGAAGCCAAAACAAGGACTACTCCACGGCGATGACACTTTTGTTACAGGTAAGTAGCATGACCGCGAGCGCGCACTCAAAATGACTTCCTGTGCAGGAAGTTCAATTGCATTGGGTAAGACCGGGTGTTGGTTGCGCTCAGAGCGCGTTTCGTGGCAGTGCGTCTGTCGACTCGCTCCGATGGCGCGAGAAACCGAGACCTTCGAGACAGGCCCAAGGCCACCGTGCCGAAGCTCACTAGCTAGCTCCGCGCCCCGGGCCTGGTGCTTCGGAAGCGCCCTCTGGCCTCCCCGTTGGCATTTGCATATTCGTCCATGGTGACTCGCTTCCAAGTTGAAATGGCTTGGTTGATCCCTCGTCAAAGTACGTACATAATGCTGCGAATCCAGTATCAATCAATTCGAACCGTTCCTGGTTTGAGCTTCTTGGTGAATTCGGTTCCAGGTACGCGAAATTATGTAGACCTCTGAACCGAACCGAACCGATGTACCCCAGATTGTACAAGGGGGTACACGCTCGGTGAAATGGAATATGTATGGGTGAAGTGTGCGCCATTCGACTAGACACAGGAACGAACCTTAGTTTCCTGCTGATGAGAACCCCCAACCAGGGAATAAGGGAGTTACGTTACATATCATATTCGGCCGCAGGGAAAAATGATGTCGACTGTCAACGTAGCTGTCCACGTTGAAACAGTAGGTCCGAGGGTGTCAGGTGTGTACGCGCAGCATATTACTTCCCAACAAATGGGAGGCATGCACTAGTACATCCAACCTATTGGCGAATCACTCTCTTGCTACATACGTAGCACTTCAGCAGTGACACTCGGGCGTAACAATAGCAGCCTTTCATTGTAACCACGCGCCCCCGTATATGCAGCTAACAGCATAGAAGAGATCAGACAAAATCAATAGCGGAATAAGACGGGAAGAACGGCTACGCTACACGTGGAACGTTGTAGCGTTGCGAAGTAGTATGATGCAAACACATAGTAAAAGGGTATAAGATCAGTAATGACGAACGTACTGGGACGCCGTCATGGCTTGTTCGTCCAACACGCTCGTTGGACAACACATGATCCTCGCTCCAAGTCTTCTTTCCCATTGTACAAAATATAGAAATTTGGGGTCCCAACATGGCCGGGCCGGAGATCGGGATCTGGTAATGAGTGGCCACTGACAACGAGTTGGGGCCCTCCTTGAAAAAGGTCCGCCGTTCTCCTGGCGGTTGGCGGAGACATTGACAATTGGTGTCGTCCCTCGGGTGTCCATTCAGGAACCAGGGTTCACACACTTAGGCGCTTGATGAGGCGGACAAATTCCGTGTCCCTCCCTTTGGCGATACATAATCAAGTGAGCGGACACGTGCACCGAAGAGGCGAGTGCTTTGAACTGACTGTTTCGACGACAAAACTGACCAATGGATGCGCATGTTGTAGGTCCCTTTGCCCATCATCCTTCTTCCATCATCGGATATCGATATCGAGGAGGTATTTGGCGAGCTGAACAGACGCATTTGACAGATTAATTCACGTCGACGTCTGTGATCATCTCATCTCACTGGCAGACACAAAACCGCCTCCGGTGGTCAAGAATATTCTCTTAGAATACATCCACCGAATACCCGTCGGTGAGAAGTCTGAGCAACCATAGAGGACATGGTCGGGTGCGGGGCTACCTCGCCGAGAATTCAAATTCTCATTCACCTATAAATATTGGGCCAAGCGTCCACTTTCTCTCAACATTTCCTCTCGAACGAACTCCAGAGTCTTTGACTTAGCACTCTTTCAATAAGCCCACACTCTCTTTACTTGCCTCACTCTCTATAACCATGTCCCAGACTTCCCTCGAACACAAGCACCTTGTAAGTCACGTTGCGCCACTGTCACCGGCCCTGGTCAGGACTGATAAGGTTCTCTACTCTCTTCCAACGGTTCCAGCGTGCTTCTTATGATGCTCCTGCGCCGTACGTACCTGGCTATCCAAGCACCCCATCTTTACTGATGTCCTGGCCCATTACTTCTCTCCCTCTTGTCCGACCCCATGACGCTTACTGTTCTCCCCATGGAATCGTCCCCGATGCAGTCAACTGCGCAAGCTAGCTAACCCAGGTCCTTTGGGCCTCTTCTCCTTTGCCTCGACTACCTTGATCCTCTCCCTCATTAACGTGCAGACGCGAGGTGTGGCGGAGGTATGTTGGGCGCTTCCTCTAAACAGGTCCTAGACGCGTCTAATGTGTTTTGGACCATTAGCCCCACATCGTCTTAGGTATGGCCATGGCGTGTGGTGGTCTCGCTCAGCTCCTTGCTGGCATGTGGGAGTTTGCTTGCGGGAATACTTTTGGTGCCACTGCCTTCACATCTTATGGTGCTTTCTGGATCAGGTATGATTTTTTTTCGTTCACGCCCAAGTCCTCCAGTCGCGCACTTACTAACGTGACGACCCTTTTCTTTATCTAGCTACGCTTTGATCTTCATCCCTGGAACTGGGTAAGTCTTTCTTTGCAACGGTCGCTGTTCGATGATGAACTGAAATGTGTACTTTGACAGTATCCTGGCAGCATATGAAAAGGCTCCGGCAGACCTCGAGAATGCCGTAGCATTCTTCCTCACGGCCTGGTTTGTCTTTACCTTCGTACGTTTATTACCCTCCCTCAGCCCTTAGCGCTCAAACTGAGTCTCCTTTTAGATCATGTGGCTGGGGACGTTCCGCACAAATATGTGCCTCGTTGCCTTGTTCTTCTCCCTGGACATGACTTTCATGTTCCTCATGATCGGCGCGTACAAAGGGTCCGTGCGTTGCCACAAGATTGGTGGTGGTCTTGGTCTTCTCACTGCTGCTATCGCCTACTACACTGGGGCTGCCGGTGTGTTGACGCGTGATGTGACGTTCATTCAGTTGCCTGTTGGTGACTTGCCCAAGTTCGGTGACGTGTAAAAAAAAAATTGCTGTCGACGTGTTGGGTACGGACTGTCTCGGGAGAATTCTGCTTTTCTTCTGTCTCCGAACCTCTTTCCTTTCCTTGTCTGTTGGCTTCATAGTGGATTTTCGCTCCTTCAAGTTCTCAAAATGTCTCGTTGTGTTTGTTGATGTTGTGCTTCTCTATCTATTCCCTTTTTGCCCGCTATAGATTTGCAGGGGGAGTCCTCATGACCTTCAACAAGGGCATTTTGAGGGTTGAGAAGCCAATGAATAAGGGTTCCCATTCAGGGATCATCAGGCAGATGCAGGGTACAATACGTCTTAACCCCTGGGACGGGTCCATCAGTTGGACATGACTGTTTTTCGGGGGGCTTTAGTGCTGGCATACATATGTACGGCGAAGCGAATACATAAATGAAAGCCCTACTTGGGAATCAACAGTTAGTGCTTTATCCCATAAAGGTGTTTGCAGCTCTTCGATATGATTTGCGGGAAGTTTTGCGGGTTCGAGGCCAGCTGTTGTACCTGTGTGTTACTGAACATTTTGAGATCATGCTGCTGCTGTCAATTCTCTGGGACGACTTGTGTAAACAGAGTGCATGCAGTGATATACATTGGCCGGTCGTGCCAAGATATATTGGGGCCCAGGCTTCCTAATGCCTCGGATGTGAGTACTCCGTGCAAAAGGTGGGCAAGTACACTATGCGAAATTGATGATCCCACTGACCAAGCTGATCTGATTTCAGATTTGTTGGGAGGGGGACTTGTAGGCAGGTAACCAGCCTCTCTTTAACGGGACTCTTGGGACGCCTTGTTAGATTCTGGGGTACATGCAGTAGCCAAGCCGACGAGTGTGGGAATACATAACTCGCATCGATACGAACACGTACCAGCACTGGTTGGGGGGGCGATTCGCCGCGTTGCTCTTGCTACCCCTTGCAGCATTCGGGTTGGAGGGGAGGGGGGTTCGGGTTCCTTGTCAATCATCATCCATACAAGCTGTACATGTTCGTTTTGTACGTTACAGTCGTCTTGTTCTGGATCGATCCTTGTGCAAACAATACTTAATATTGCGTCTGAAATTCATGCCAACTCATGCTCGGGTGGTGGTGTTACAAAGGCCGTTTTATTCTTCCGCTGGGTACCTCCGGCTGTGCCTGAGTTTCGAGATAATGATATATATATATCAGTTATGGAACGTGGAAGATGGTATGCATGCTGTGATACTTACATAGCAATTGGCAATCCGACCCTTACAGACGCATCTCTCTCTCAATAAGCCCTCAGCGATATTTATGGCTGGGCCCAAGTGTCTCGGCATTTATGTAATTCAAGTTGAAGTCGATCATGTTTCAAATGTACATAAAACATACTTGGGCGCTTCTACTTTGGCTTCGGTGGATTGATGGGTCAGCTAACTGGTTCGACTACGAAGTCCAAAGTCAGCATTCGCTGGTTCCAATGCATGCTCTCACGTACGGGTCCTCTCCTCTCCCTCCTCGGAATGTGAAAACAGAAAAAAAGTTGGGAAGCCCGAATCGGAACGCCGTGCCCTTTCTTTTGTCCCGTATATCTGGGATCATACGAGATTACTTTTGTCAAGTACGTATTTTCCCTCTAACTCCAGTAAGTAAACAAATGTTGGAAATAGAAATCATATATTCTGTTCCTTTCGCGTGGTGTGGACACGCACATACATACACACATACACACACACACACACACACACAGCCTGCCACAAACCCCTGTCCTGTAGCTGAATGGGCGAGGGCATCCAATCTTCCCCAGCTTTCTTCTTTGTGCATCAATCAACATACATAAGACATAATTGGTTTTGATCTTGCTCGTTGGTTTATCGTTTTTGCAAAAAAAAATGTGTGTTCAAGACAACGAACGCCGGCTCGTACCGTGCGGTAAAGACAAAGCCATTCCCCCTTGTTGGGAAGCGGCGCTAGAAAGGGCTGTTCCCATCACCGTCAACGCAACTTCTTGGATCTGGGGTAGTTATTGGTTTTTTCTCACTTGCCTTCTTTGTGTGTGTTGTTGATGGAACAACAACAACAACCATTTTTCGGACGCCGAGATGAGTCTAGCAACTCCCGGACGACTTGCAAATCCCCTTTCGCAGTTGGCCGAATTTTATATTGTTATCATTGTGCCTTACTGTATTTCATTCAATATCATTTGAATGGAGAGAGATTTCCTCGCTGGAAACGAGCTGGTAACGTACGGTCGGAGTTTGGGTTGATCTTCTTCGCGCGAAGCTCACTCAAGGAGGAATCGCCTCGCCGGTCCTACCTCTTCATTGATCATCAAAAACCAGTATAACTATGTAGTTGTGTGCCCGCGCAACCTCACAGAACACGGGCAACCCTTTCTTCTGGTATCCCTGCCATCAATGAGCGTTGTTGATCCAAAAGGGATTTGTTGATCGTATCAGATGACTCGGGATGCGTCACCTTGGCATCTGGAAATAAATAAAAATGCTACGTATACTCTAATTTGATTCACCCCCACCAAAGAATTTCAAATACTTAAAAAGTGAGGGATCAGTTTGTCGTTGAAAGGGTTAGGGCAGGATCCAGCCTTGACTGAATGGTTGAATGAGTGAGTGGACATATTGGCGGATGATAAGGTGTCCAGTCCACACTTACGCCGGGGGCAACCCAAGTCGATGTGAAGCAGGACAGGTGTCCTTCAACCATGCCAAGAGCGTACCCGTTTTTGGACAAAGACGTAAACTGAATGGGAACGGCGCCGCTTTCCCGGGATTCGTTGGATGGAAAGATCCACCAGAACCGGTAACACAAGATCTAGTGGTGCTTGGGATCTCATTGTTCGCTGTCAAGCGCACACACACACACACACACACATGCCCTGGGCTGTGCGTGTGCTCGTGGCACCCCCGTGTGATCCCCGGCGGGGCACTTGGGAGTTTCTTCGAGCATACACTGGTATACCGGAAAAGGCTGGACTACCAGATAAGGATGAACCAGAGTTTCCACTCTTTCTCCTGTGTGTGTATGTTCTTGCGCACGTGTTACATTACTTCAACACTGACGCTAAGTAAGTGGTGCTAGAAGCAAGAGAAGGTGTGGAATGTTTCTGATCTTTTTTGATCGCCATATAGGGAACATGCAAAAGTCCTACGGAAGCAAAACTTATTTTTGGGTTCGTTTCGAAAAGAATGAAATGACTGGTTCAATTCATTTGAATGGATTTTCGGTTTCCACATAAAAAGCTTGACATGCCTGACCCACTCCTTCTCTCTTCTTTCTCCTCCATCGCTATAACGTTCTTCCTCGTTCCTTCCACCTATCCACCGCTGCTCACCCGTTCCATCCCTCTAATTTTTGCGTCCAAGTAATGGCTGATATTGAGACTAAGGTAACCTTACACCTCTCTACCCCCGGCTGTCGAAGTCGTCCGTTTGTTCACCCTCGTTTTCGTTCCACAGGGTCCCCAGAACGGTGGTTACTATGATTCTTCAGCGCCCTCTCCGTACGTCTTGAGCTGCATATCCACGTTTGTTCTCCCCATACTGATTTGTGCTTCACTCCTTCCCAATTCCTTTTTTTTTTGATCAATATTCTCCGTTGCTCGACAATGGGTCGTATTCTGTAACGCAGCCATCTCCGCAAGTTGGCCAACCCTGCTCCTTTGGGTCTCTTCTCCTTCGCCTCGACGACTTTGATCCTTTCTTTCGTCAACGTTCAGGCTCGTGGCGTTACAGAGGTGGGTTCACTGTTCTTATCGTGCAAGGAGAGCCATTTTCGGTTGCTAACGACCAATATGACGTTCCAAATGACCAAACTCGGATTATCTCATGCACCTGTTGGGTTCTCACTCCAATGACCTGATTGTATAATGTGGCGTTGCCATTTTCCTTGATGGTTAATTCCCACATTCATTCATATTGCGCCTGTCGACGGGTAATCCTATCAGCCTAACATCGTTGTCGGTATGGCCTTAGGATGTGGCGGTCTTGCTCAACTTCTTGCTGGGATGTGGGAATTCGCATGTGGGAATACATTCGGTGCTACTGCCTTTTCATCTTATGGTGCCTTCTGGATTAGGTATGTCAAAGGGTTTTTTTTCAACAGGGACTTCTTGCTTCTATTCTTCTGCTTCCAAATCATTCTTCCGTCTGCCGTTTTGGACCCGGATGGAAGCTTCATCCTTCTCAGGGTGAAGTACCATCAGGTTCAACGAGCGTTCTATTCAATACTCCATTTGCCGTGTCGGTCAGGGTTGTGAATTGCGTACTGACCCGCATCATTTTATTTTTGTGTCTTCCAGCTATGCTTTGATCTTCATTCCTGGTACTGGGTGAGTGTTTCTTTTAAAGTTGAAATCTGTCCCCTGAACGCAATCAATCCGTTGTTAGAATCCTGGAGGCTTATGCTGAACCCAAGCACGCACACGACCTTGACAATGCCGTTGCATTCTATCTGACCGCCTGGTTCATCTTCACTTTCGTACGTTGCGTTATTTAATTTCCTTGTTTTCTTATAAATAATCCCCTCACTTATAGTGCATGTTCCTCGCCTCACTCCGCTCATCTGTGGCCATTGCCGCTCTATTCTTCTTCCTTGACATGACGTTCATGTTGTTGATGATCGGAGCATACATCACTTCCGAGAAGTGCACAAAAGCCGGTGGTGGACTTGGTCTCGTCACGGCTGCCATCGCGTACTACGCCGCCGCTTCTGGGTTGATGACTCCTGAGGCTTCGTACTTTGGCTTGCCTGTAATCGACCTGCCCAAGTACCGCTCTGCGTAAGGGTTGGACCTTTTTTTTTTGGATTGGGATTTGTTAGGGGCGTGTGTGTCTGTGTCTGTGTGTCCGTGCGATGTGGTTTTGAAGACTTGGAGTGGTTGTCTGCATGTTATCCCACTTCTGATGGACGTCCCCTTCCGAGTGTCCCGCATTGGTTGGCCTGCTTGATTTTCTTCCGTTTTCAAGTGCAGATTCCCCGCCTCATGGTTTTTTTTTCTTTTCTCTTTCCTGTCGATCAACAGTAACAGCACGTTCGCTTTACGACTACGCTCTCACGTTGGCTTACATATTGCTCTCCCCCCTCAACATTTTTTTTATATCTTTCTGGAAAGCACAATACCATTACATATAGCATTCTGTGCCCCGCGGCTTCTGGTGTTCTGATCTTCTTGGGTTCAAAAATCTATTAATCTAGTCAGTCTTCTTCACGGCAGTTGTTCCACATGCAGTTTTTGGCGAGATACATGACATGCTGCACAAGATGGTCGTAGAATGCATATACGTAATGCTGAAAAGTACTGTATATTCTTTCTGGACTTGTACGCTCACATTAATCATCCGGAGAGGTAAATATACTCAGCTGTAGGGGTGTGTGTTTCTCCGTGCTTCCAACAACCAGGTGGTCAATTGGAGTTGCATGAAGCGATGATGCTTGGAGGGCATACAAGTGGACGTACGTACGTAATTAAACCGCGAGGCCATGTCCCATGGCCACCCTGCAGGCCTGTGAGTTCCGTTCAAGTTGGACGTTCATTAATTTGCTTGGAGTTAGCACAACAAATTATAGTGTGCCTCATACTCAGTACATAACGTTGTAACCGCGGCGCAGCGGTATACATTATCGGACGAGTAATAGTTACTTAACGACAAAGATGCAAAGATATACACACGTTGTTAGACAAATACTGTAACAAATAAGATGAAATGGTATAATATCTACGGAAGATATGAGTATATGCCATGCATGCCAGCGCAAGTACTGCGTCGTCATGCCTTGAGCGCTTATCATCACAGCCTAGCTACGTAGGCTGAGGCAGCCTCGATAATCACTTGGGGCGCGCGCAGTTGCACGATTATGTATATCAAAATGCGTTTGATCCGCGATATTGTGGCCGTGGCGTATAGCTTATCATAGAAGCACAACGTCCGTGGGGGGGGGGGGGGGGAGAAAGGGAAAAAAAAAAGGAGAGGGCCATGATATATATATAATAAAGTCAGGTTGAATGTATGGTTTTATTCAGTTTTTGAATGGGTCAATACAGTTTAATTAACGTAAGCAATGCAGTTCTCTGAGCCGTGGGACCTGTTTCAATGTTAACAATTGTACTAGATGACCTATCTTGGTGTAATAATGAAGGATGGAGGGGACGTTTGAGCGATTCCATTGCAAAAGACCCCATGAAAAACGGTTGAAAACTGAGGGAGATACGAGTGGTGGCCCATTCCAGCGCGAAATGTGTGCGTGGGAAACAGTGACCACGCCTCATACAGGCTGTTTAACGACGCGTGCTAATAATATTAGATGAGGGGATCGTTAATACAAGCTCATTAAAAAAAACCCGACGAAAAACGAATGAGATTTGACAGATATATGCATGTAAATGTCTTTTGTGTGTGAAAAAATGTGAAAAACGTCCCACCGCCTCATAGACCCTCATTTGAGATGTACGACAATAATATGAAATAACAAGGACGTTAATACAAGCATGTACGAAAAAAAACGACGAAAAACGAATGATAATTGACAGAGATACGAATGTACATGGTTTTTTTTGTGAAAAAATGTAAAAACACGTCCTACCGCCTCATACGCGCTCATTCGCAGCTTGCACCAATAATATAGAATGGCCAAGGAGTTAATACAAGCCCATTAAAAGAAACCCGACGAAAAACGAATGGAAATTGACAGAGAGAATTATGTACATGGTTTATTTGTGGAAAAAACGTTCCACCTCCTCACTCATGCTGATTCACGACTTGCACTAATAATACCAAATGCATAAAATGTTAGTACGGGCCCATTGCAGCAAACCCGACGAGAAACGGCCAAGAACTGACAGAGATACCAATCCACTGTCAGCTCCGCGGGTGATCTGTGCGTGGGAAACGTTCTCCAGCACCTCACAGGTGTTTTAAAAATATGTAAAAATATTAAGTACTTGCGTCAATAATATTTAAAGTAGCATGCAAATTTTCAAAACATTTGGTGCAGTATCAAGCGAGATATGATAAATTAGTCCATTAAATTTCACTTGGCACCCTCAAGATCGCAAGATATCAGGTTAAGGTAATAATACACATTGTATAGGGCATTGACACGCGCCCGTTAAAAAAAACCCGAAGAGAAACGAATAAGAACTGACAGAGATACAAATCCAGTGTCAGCTCCGCGCATGATCTGTGCGTGGGAAACGGTCCCCAGCACCTTACAGATGTTTTAAAAATATGTAAAAATACCAAGTACTTGCGCTAATACTATATGAAATAGCTCGCAAAATTCCAGGACATTTGGTGCAATATCAAGTGAGATATGATAAATTATTCCATTAAATTCCACTTGGCACCCTCAGGATCGCAAAGTATCAGGTTGGGGTAATAATACACATTGTAGAAGAATTTAATACGCGCCCGTTAAAAAAAACCCGAGGAGAAACGAATAAGAACTGACAGAGATACGAATGTAGTGTTTGCTCCGCGCATGGTCTGTGCGTGGGAAACGTCTTCCAGTGCCTCACGGCATGTTGAAAAAAATATGGAAAAATGTCAAAAACTTGCGTTGATAATATATAAATTAGTACGCAAATTTTTAAAACATTTGGTAAAGTATCCAGCGAGATATAATAGATTACTATACAGTTTGTGCATGGGAATGCGATAAATCGCCGTAATCTCCTCAGGATCGCCGAACGACGAGTCGGACCAATAATACAACATGTAGAGGACATTGAGACGCACCCATGGAACAAAACCCGACGAGAAACGGATGAGAACTGACAGAGATATGAGAGATTTATGTGAAAATCACGTGTATATGTTCAGTTTAAGGAAATTCACGTGAGTAATGAGGTTAACCTCCCACAACTTTTTTCGTGCACAGACAGATGCGAAAAAGTACTAATACCCCCACTCAAAACCGGTTTGCACCCCCCCATGGGAGCAACTCTTTTTTGTTCCCATGTGACTTTGGCATGTAAAATAGGTAGATAAATAGATAAAATAGGTAGATAGGTAAATAAAAGTAGATAAATAATCGTAAATAGTAATAAAATAATAATAATAAATTAAAATAATAGTTGTTTGTTGTTGTTGTATTAGTTTTTTTTTTTTTTTCTGTTGTTTTCGCTAATTAGTTATTCTTTTTCGCTGATTAGCATATACCATTAGGTAATAATAGTAATAGTGGTGTTATGTTTTCGAAATTGGCATGTACTATAAACAGTAGTACTGTTCTCTCTTTTTCTTTGTATTTCGCTATTAGCATGTAAAATAAATGGGTAAATAAAATCGAATAATTAAAATGTGGAGCAGAATCAGATGAAGGGTTCCATATAAGGTAAAAATTTGAGAAAATTCACGGCAACATGAAGCAGAAACATCCAAAAAAAATAAAACCAAGGTGTCCTGAATAAAATAAAATCTGAAAAAATTGCAGCAATGTGGGACAACAAAGGAAAATAAATTTTATATAAAAAAAATCCAGAAAATTCACGGCAACATGGGACAACATAGAATAAAAGATAGAAAAATAAAAGGAAGGTGTGCTATATAAAATAAAATCAAAAAAATTCATGGTAACATGGGGAACACTGTTTTATCAACTTACAAAGGAATTCCATGTGATGGGAGGTGGTTGGGGTGGTGGATTTGGAGAAATGGCCAGAAAATGAAGAAAAACAACAAATAAAAGGGCCTCACTCCCAGTGGATTGCCAAAGAGGGGGGAAAGGCTTTTCTCATTCCTGTGCATGATTAATAGGGCGGGGTTTGGGGCGCAGCCCCAAGGCTCTCTGCAGGAGTGGGGTTCGGGGCAACGCCCTGATGGCCCTCTGCAGGAGCAGGGGTTCAAGGGGCTGGCCCCTTGGTGTAAAAAATAATCAAATATATCCAGGGGGGTTTGGGGCGCAGCCCCAGGCTCTCCGCAGGAGTGGGGCTTGGGGCAATGCCCCAATAGCTCTCCGCAGGAGCTGGGGTTCAAGGGGCTGGCCCCTTGGTTCATAAATAATCACCATATATCTCATTATTTCTTTAGCACATGGGGAACAATAATACCAAGGATGTCGTTGCATGGGGCGGAGCCCCAATGGGGTCTGGGGCAACGCCCCAGGGGGGTTCGGGGCGCAGCCCCGATGCCCTCTGCAGGAGCTAGAGACCGAAGAACGCGTGGGTGTGCGAGGAACGAGCACCCCACGGGTTTAAGGTCTCTAGTCTATAATGAAGTCAGGTTGAATGTATTGTTTGAGAGTTAATTATATAAGCTTTTCCCGCGCTCAAGCCTGTTGGTGGCATCTTGCCATTGCGCTGGATAACCTGTGGTGAGACAATAATAACGAATGGAGAGGACGTTGGCATGAACCCATTGCAAAAAACCCCATGCAAAACGGTTGAAAACTGAGAGAGATATGGGGTGTGGCCCATGCCAGCGCGTGTTTTGAGTGTGGGAAAAGTGTCTACGGCCTCATACAGGCTGTTTGATGACTAAAGTTAATAATACGGTATAGAGAGGCTGTTTGAACGAGCTCATTGAGAAAAACTTGACGAAAAACGAACAAGATTTGACAGAGATACGAATGTACATGTGTTTTTGTGTGAAAAAATGTGAAAAACATCCCACCGCCTCATACACCCTCATTCGCGATGTGCGCCAATAATATAAAAGAATAAGGGCGTTGGTACAAGCATGTACAAAAAAGAACGACGAAAAACGAATGATAATTGACTGAGATACGAATGTACATGGTTTTTTTGTGAAAAAATGTAAAAACATGTCCTACCGCCTCATACGCGCTCATTCGCGGCTTGCACCAATGATGGGAAATTACCAGGGAGGTAGTCCGAGCCCATCAAATGAAACCCGACGAAAAACGAATGAGAATTGACAGAGATACTAATGTACATGGTTTATTTGTGGAAAAATCGTGCTACTTCCTCATACACGCCGATTCACGACTTGCACTAACAATATCAAATGTAAAGAAAGTTAATTCGGGCCCATTAAAAAAAACCCGACGGAAAACGGTCAAGAACTGAGGGAGATACCAATCCAGTGTCAGCTCCGCGGGTGATCTGTGCGTGGGAAACGTTCTCCAGCACCTCACAGGTGTTTTAAAAATATGTAAAAATATCAAGTACTTGCGTTAATAATATTTAGAGTAGCATGCAAACTTTCAAAACAGTTGGTGCAGTATCAAGCGAGATATGATAAATTATTCCATTAAATTTCACTTGGCACCCTCAAGATCGCAAGATATCAGGTTGAGGTAATAATACACATTGTAGAGGGCATTGACACGCGCCCGTTAAAAAATCCCGAAGAGAAACGAATAAGAACTGACAGAGATACAAACCAGTGTCAGCTCCGCGCATGATCTGTGCGTGGGAAACGGTCCCCAGCACCCTACAAATGTTCTAAAAATATGTAAAAATATTCTGTACTTGCGTTAATAGTATACAAAATGATTCGAAATATTCCAGGACATTTGGTTCAGTATCAAGCGAGATATAATAAATTATTCTATTAAACTTCACTTGCCACCCTCAAAATCGCGCAATAATGAACCGGGGCAATAATGATAATTGTAAATAGCATTAACACGCGCCCGTTAAAACAAATCCGAAGCGAAACGAATAAGAACTGACAGAGATACGAATGTAGTGTCTGCTCTGCGCGTGGTCTGTGCGTGGGAAACGTCTTCCAGTGCCTCGCCGCATGTTAAGAAAAATATGAAAAAATGTCAAAGACTTGCGTCGATAATACATGAATTAGTACGCAAATTTATAAAACATTTGGTAAAGTATCAAGTGAGATATAATAGATTACTCTACAGTTTGTGCATGGGAATGCGATAAATCGCTGTAATCTCCTCAGGATCGCCGAACGACGAGTCGGACCAATAATACAACATGTAGAGAACATTGAGACGCACCCATGGAACAAAACCCGACGAGAAACGGATAAGAACTGACAGAGATATGATAGATTTATGTAAAGAATCACCTGTATATGTTTAGTTTGAGGAAATTCACGTGAGCAATTGAGCATAACCTCCCACAACTTTTTTCGCGCACAGACATATGCGAAAAAGTACTAATACCCCCACTCAAAATCGGTTCAAACCCCCCCATGGGAGCAATTCTTTTTTGTTCCCATGTGACTTTGGCATGTAAAATGGATAAAATAGATAGATAAATAGATAAAATAGGTAGATAAATAGGTCATAATAGTCGTAAATAATAATAATAATAATAGTAGTAAATAGTGAATAAATAATTATAGTAATAGTATTTAGTTATTGTTTTTTGTTGAAAATTGGCATGTACAATAAATGGTAGTATCGTTTTTTTCTTTGTATTTTCGCTATTAGCATGTAAAATAGATAAATAAATAGGAAGTAAGTAAGTTAAAATCCGGAGTTTCCAACAACAGAGCCAAATGAACTAAGGTTCCAGATAAGGTAAAAATTCGAAAAAATTCACGGCAACATGGAACAACATGAAATAGAAACAACCAAAAATAAAACCAAGGTATTCTATATAGAATAAAATCTGAAAAAATTGCAGCAATGTGGGAAAACCAAGAAAAATAATACCAAGGTATTCTATGCAAATTAAAATCCAGAAAATTCATGGCAACATGGGAGAGTATAGAATAAAAATAAAAGTAAGGTGCTCTCTATAAAATAAAATCAAAAAAATTCACGGCAACATGGGGAACACTGTTTTATAAACTTAGAAGGAATTTCATGTGATGGGGAGTGGTTGGGGTGGTGGGTTTGGAGAAATGGCCAGAAAATGAAGAAAAACAATGCAGGGGCCTCACTCCCAGTGGATTGGGGAAGGTGTTTCTCATTCCTGTGCATGACTAATGGAGTGGGGTTTGGGGCAAGGCCCCAATGGCCCTCCGCAGGAGCAGGGGTTCAAGGGGCTGGCCCCTTGGTGTAAAAAATAATCAAATATGTCCAGGGGGTTTGGGGCGCAGCCCCAGGCTCTCCGCAGGAGTGGGGCTTGGGGCAACACCCCAATAGCTCTCCGCAGGAGCAGGGGTTCAAGGGGCTGGCCCCTTGGTGCATAAATAATCACCATATATCTCATTATTTCTTTAGCACATGGGGAACAATAATAACAAGGATGTCGTTGCATGGGGCGGAGCCCCAATGGGGTCTGGGGCAACGCCCCAGGGGGGTTCGGGGCGCAGCCCCGATGCCCTCCGCAGGAGCTAGAGACCGCTAAACGCGTGGGTGTGCGAGGAACGAGCACCCCACGGGTTAAAGGTCTCTAGTTACATCGGATTGCAAAGAGTATTAAAAGCGCCCATTATGTAATAACGGAAGGGCTGATCCCCCAGGTGGCCCATGTTTGTTCTGTCGATCTTGGGGCCGGAGGGGGAGGAGGGGCAACTGCTGAAGGTGAGGGCCGATCACGCGTAAGTATAGCCTGAAAACCTGATGGATAATCATAATCACATACGATCTTCAATACTACTGCCAACATGCACGGGTTATGTAACGCCATTTCATCGACGTACCTTTTGTGCTGGCTCCTCCTACTGGTACGTTCCTTTTTGTTCCTTTGTTTGGACGTTACGTACCCGCACATGCACATGCACGGAGGTGGCATGCTCGCCGCTCCCGGGGATTTCAACATTTTCATTTTCGTGCCTTGGTGTTGGTTATGGAGTTGCCTGTTCCTGTGTGTGTGTGAAACGCGCGTTGTCTTATTTCCCCTTGATGTTGCCATGCATGATCGATGATATAGATATGCCTCCTGTCTGTCATCAATGTTCCTAGCTTTCAAGCTCACCTGCCTAAACACAGTACTAGTTGGTCGTGCATTATCGTACTGGGACTCCAAGGCGTGGGGGTTGTCACTCGGCCACTCGATCACCCTTTTTTGTCAGCGCTTCGGGAGGGAATATTAAACTTCAAATCCACCCAGCGCGAAACTTTGGCCATCGACGTACGCCTGGACGAAAAAAAAAATTGTGTGGGAAAATGACTACATACATACATGTAACAGCCACGTACCTTTCGTCACGGGTGAACACGTCGCTCAAGCACTATAGTGCTGCTATTCCATCGCTCATTGCTGCCACTTTCAAACAATCGAACCACAGCTCTTGTTTGGTACCGCAGGGATGTCAGGATTCTTCGATGAAATAAGGAAGATACCTCCAGTGACAAGGTTTCTCCTTGCTTCCACACTGGCGGTTTCCTTACCGCTCATGTCGGGACTTGTGTCACCGTATCCTTTCCTTTTCGACTGGAATCTAGTAAGAGACCGTTTACAGGTAAGTGAAGTATATTGGTTTGTCGCTGTATGTAACTTGACTTTCAAGTTCACTAACCCTCCCCATTATCCTGCTACTTACGTTTCCAGCTGTGGCGTGGCTATACTTCGTTCTTCTTTGCTGGTTGGTCTCTCACTTTGATTTCTATTAGAAGAGGACTCTGACAAGTTGTCTTTGGCACAGGGTCCGGGATAGACTTCATATTCAACGTTGCTATGCTTTACCGTAATTCCAATGCGCTCGAGGAAGGGCAATACGCTCGGCGATCTGCAGATTACGCATGGCATCTCCTTATCTCTGCCGTATCCATAATAGTACGCCTACGTGTTGATAATGGTTCGAGCCCCTTTGATCTCACACGACATAAAATGTCCCCTTTTTCGATAGGCCCTCAACATCCCTCTTCGATCTTCTGTACATTTCCGCCCGCTCTTCGTCGCAATAACAACTATTGCATCTGCTTTTAATCCAGAGCAGCCCACATCCCTCTGGGGTCTGATCACCTTCCCACAGAAGTATTTCCCAATTGCACTCGTAGCGTTGGACTTTATACTCGCGGGTCCACAAGCTGCTGCTGCATCTGTTACAGGCATCATTACGGGGTACGTCTTATGGATGCTCGAGTGGAAGGAAACTCCGGGTTCCCCCCTCCTGGCACAGGGCGTGTCTTTGGACGAACTCCAGGGTGGTTGCGCGCTATTGTAGGTGATGGTGCCGTGATCCCCCCATCAGGGGCCACTAGGGGTGGTTATACCGTTCGGCCGCCAAGAACGCGAGATGTTCCTGCTAGTTCGACTACTACAGGCTACGATTGGGGATCTGGTAGGAGACTAGGCAACGAATGAATCCAAGTTTTGTCCCTTGTGCTGTCGATTTCTGTAATATTTTGATTGAGGTATGGTCCTGTAATACGTTGGTTAGAAATCCTACTAGTATACTCGATCCTTACATTGAGGTTGCTTGATGCCGTACTTTTCTCGATACGCTTTCATCTGAGCCACCTCGTCGCTTCTCCCTTCTTTCTCCAAATATGTGATGAGCTCGTTTATCGTGAGAACAGCGTAAACTTCAGCACCACCCAAATCCCTCACTAGTGCAGTCTTCGCACTCTCCACCTCACCTTCCTTCCCTATCTCCTGCCGATCCAAACAGAGAACTACACCAACGATCGTCCCACCTGCTTCTCGAATTCCTTGCGCAACCTGCCGGATGGCCATACCAGACGTGAAGACATCGTCCAGTATCAGTACTTTCTTCCCTTTCACATCTGCGCCAACATGCCAGCCTCCTTCACCATGATCTTTCGCTTCTTTTCGATTATAGGCAAACCCAACGGACGTGCCGAACGTGTTGTAAAGCGCAACGGAAGTGGCTGCACCGAGGGGAATACCCTTGTATGCAGGTCCGAAGAGAACGTCGAACGATGGTGGGGGGAAGTGTAATTGGATGAGTGCAGCGTATGCAGATGCAAGCGTTGCTATCGATGAGCCAGTGTTCAACATTCCGGAATTAAAAAAATAAGGCGATTGTCTGGGTGTTGGGTAAAAGAGGGAGAGCGATTTTTGTGATCAGAAAGGGTTGTGTGTGGCACTTAAGAGTGGGGATGCCAATCCCTTACCGTCCAGATTTCAGAGTGAATGAGCCGAACTTGAGGGCACCTGCATCTAATGATGACTTTATGAACGCCCCAGTGTATTTTTCTAGTTGCTCTTGCAGGCTCGCCATGTCAGGCCCGAAGATTAGAGAACGTAGGTAGGTATCGATTCCTCGATCGAAAATCGGAGAAAGCCGCCACAAACAAATTGGGTCATCGTTTGTCTCTTGGTCTGAGGTACATATCTCCAATTGACATTCTTTTTTTTTTTTAATTATGAGTGTGATTACATTGATCAATGGGCGGCGGTCGTGCATGAACGCAAATACTCATAGTCGAATAATCAACTGTTTCACACCAGACATCCACAGAGCAATATCGTCTGTACGTGAGCCAGAGGTAAGGAGATCGACATGTTGGGCGAGGGCACGGTGCTGGTCCCTAGCTTGCATACCTGATATGATGAGATGAGCACGTTAACTTTCACAATCTGGATGAATTGGGCTAACGTACTCTGAACAAGTGAGGCGAGCTGGTCAACCACAGGCCTGGAAAGCGTTTGTGCATTCAGAGCCTCGAACAAGGCATTCACTCGACGTTCTGTATCGTCCGCCACCCGCTTTTGCTGGGGCTTCCATGTGAGGTAGCGTTAGATTCAAAGATCAATGTGTCTGACGAGGATAGGGCTAACCGGGGTCGTCTGCTTCAGTCTGGCGATTTCGCCGCTCAAGTATTCGAGAATCGGCTTGTCAGATACTGGTATGTGGGACCGGTCACCGGGGGCTAGGAGATGGGTTTGGAGCTATTCAAGGAAACGAAATGTTTGCGACTCACGGTACTTGGGCGGAGGTGGAGCTGCTCGCGCAGGTGGAGGCGCAGGCGCAGGCGTGGGAGATGCAACGTTACCTGCAGGCGGCGGAGCCTGCCTCAACCCGGTTGGAGGGCTTGCGGTCGGAGGTGCACCAGCAGTTGGAGGCGGGGGCAATCTCGAACCTGGTCCAGACGGCGGCGGACCATAGTTTGCTGGCACTGCGGCAGGAGGTGGAGTCCCCCGGCCAAACCCGCTTGGGGGAGGCCCTGAGACAACAGGTGGAGCATATTGACCCGGGGGAGGAACAGCTCGTGCTGTTTGCTGCTGATAGGCCACCGGGGCAGGCTGTCCGGCAGGAGGGCCATAAGGGCTTCGTCGTGGGGCTGGAGGCCGTGTGTTTCCAGCTGTTGTCGCCGGGTTGAGTGGGGACATTATTCGCGGCGGGTAGTCACTTGGTCCTGCAGATCCGGGGCGAGGGGGAGCACCTTGGAACGCTGAGCTACGGGGTGGAGGGGGGGCAAACGCAGGTTGTGAAGCAGGCGGTGGCGGTGGTGCGCGTGATCCTTGGTTACTGCCCGCGCGAGGTGGTGGGGGTGGCGTTTGCCCACGGGGAGCTCCGGGCCCGCGGAATGGGGGTGGGGGTGTGGATGGACTACCCGGTCCAGAATACGGAGAAGAGTTGGGGAAAGGAGACGCTATGGAAGCTGGCGTTTTGCTTGGCACAGTGGACGGAGGGAGTTTGCGTGCAGGAGGCTCGAAAGCCGGTGCGTCATTCCAGCCACCAATGTCTTTCTTAGGCGGAGGCGGTGCTATGCTGGACTGAGTTCCACCCGAGGATGTGATAGGCACTGGGGGAGGTGGAATAATGGATGTAAGGTCTGCGGAGGCACTGGGCCCGGCAGCTTGAGGACCGAGGAACTGAGAACCATATGGTATGTTCGACGCAAATGGAGGAATTTGGCTAGGTTGATATGGCCCATTTGCCAGCGTGGACGCAGCAGGTGGAACACTGTACGGGGAATATGACGAGGATGGGGTCGCATTCGCGGTCAACGCGGGAGCATGTATAGATGCTTGGGATATTGGTTTTGGCGCCGCGGGCGTGGAAGGTTCCACCGAACGTAAGAGTTGATCTCGAGCAATTTCAAAATCAACCTGAGACCCAGACGGTCCTTTGTAGTCCACAGGGGTCAGTTTGATGTACTTCACCGCATCACCCAGGAGTCCTTGAGCAGCCAAGAGATCGGCGTATTCGTAATACCGATTGTACAGTTCCGACAGTTTGTAAGTCCGCTGAACCTCATCACTATCAACGGGTGAAATATTGAGATCGACGTCGACAAACTTGGTCGCGCCCCTGAAAACGGCAACTTTCTCGATAAATGATTGCAAAGCTCTGGCATGATTAGCGTATCGGGAGGAGGTGGAAGCTGCATCGCTATTCAATTGGGACTCTTCTTCACTTAATTCCTCCACCCAGATGTTGGCAAGTTTGTCTAACTTTCCAGCCACCAAGTAGCACAAAACAGCATTTTTCCGCAGCTCACGCGATTTGTGTGCTAGTTCCCCGCCTTCCGAGGACTTCAGCAACTGACTTTGGAATTCAAGTCTTTGGCCAAGCTGCTCTGCTAGACTTGCAAATTCCTCCGCCCTAGCAAACGTACAAACCACGACAAAGATTTCTTTCCATTCGCTGAGATCTGCGTTTTGCACAACGTCCGCTAGATCATTCGTGACCACAGACTGGAAAAGTCGGAGATAAGGGAGTGCGGTTGTGTGACGCTCGAAGTACGTCGTCTGTGTTCGCTGCAGTAAATCCGGTCCGCCACGGGCGGCCAGCAGGATAGCATCGGCAAAACGGTCGGCCGACAAACACAGAGTGACTGCAGACTCAAAATCGCCTAGTACGAGTGATTTGGTAATAAGCCGATCAGTGTCCAACTCATCCGTGGGATAGATCTTGAAAGTTTGGCCCCTCAAGGGTTCGGAAATGACAGATGATGCTCGGGAGCCAATGGTTGCTGCTACAGAGGAGTCAGCGGCGTAACTGTGATGAGGAACCAATACCCTTTCGGGCACCGCATTACGGATGGTTCCCATAGAACTGAAAAAGTCAGCAGCAGCTTCTGTTTGAGGCGTCCCAACCGCCACGTCATCGCCAAACAGGCTTGGTTCTGTGGCAGTGGACTCCGGTTCTGTTGCTTTGGTGAAATCAGACATAGCGCTACCGCTCACTTCGGAAGGAGTTGCCTCGGGGGCTCCAGACGAATGACGACCTTCGGACCCGGCCTCAGTGTCCTCGGATTCTCGTTCCCCGTTCTGAACTTCCTTCTCTGGTTCAGCAAACGACACGTAGGTTCGCCCTTCAGTGACACTGAGGCTTGAATCCCCGTCAACAACGCGGGGAAGTGGTCGTGATCGGGGAGGGCCGGCTTTTAGTGTCTTAGAGGCCTCAGCGACTTGCGTTGCGACTTCCGCTTTGGAAAATCCCAGAAGGGTCACAAGCTCATCACGGGAATCCGCGCTGAAAAGACTGGAGAGTGCTTTCCAGCTCGCTGCCTCCACATCGCTCGCGTTAACATGAGCTTTTGAGCTCTTGAGCGCGGCGAATTCTTTCAACGTCTGGCACTTTTCGGCATCTTTCAAGGCATTGACACTCTCAACAATGCTCGGCTCGGTAGCAACAGTACGAAGGTGAACTACCCGGCTTTGATTCGCTCCTTGCGCTGAAGGAAGGTTGCTGACAGTCACTAATTTCCCTCCAAACCCGAAAGAGCCTGAGCTTGGTCGTCTCAGCCATTTGGGGGGCTGCCGAAGAGATAAAGGGGCCTGACTTGTAGCACTCGAAGGTTGGTCGAACAAGTCCGCACCACTCGAGGAAACAGTGCCATGGACGGGAGTGACGTCAGAAGGTTCATTGGTTGTCTGTAAGGAGTGAATTCCGATGGTACCATCGAAGAACGCAGAAGCGAACATATCGGGATTTCGTGGGGACCATTCGACCTGGAAGGCCCAATTGCTTGCAGCAGGTAGCTTTCGGATAAAAATTCTTAGGATGCAAGGTGGCAGAAGGATAAGCAGGTCACACCTCTCCGATGGTTTCTGACGTCTGGGGGTTCCAAATCAGTGCTCGGTTGTCCTTTCCACAAGAGAGTAAAAGATCGGGGTCTTGCTTGCACCATGCGAGCGACAGCACCCCTTTCTCGTGACCAGTCAAGATCTAAGAAAAAGCATGAATGAGGAAGACAAGGTGGGCAATGGGCATTGAAACTACCTTTTCGGGGGCACGAGAATTCCTCAAATCCCAAACCATGATGATTGGGGAGCTATCATCTTCAGAGGCAGTGATCAAGCGAGTGGCCTGAGATGGAATCGTCAGGAAATAAAATGAGATGAATGGAACAGAATTCGCGCACATTGTCAGGATGCCACGCAATAGCGCTCATCCCTCGTCTGTTACCTAATGCAAGCACACCTCCGCCTTGATAAACCGTGCTCCCCCCCGTAGTCCCTGCGCCCCCACCATACTGCAGGGCAGTGACTTCTCTTTTGCCCCGCAAGTCCCAGACAACCGTGTAGCCAGAGGTACTCGAAGTAGCAAGGACATGAGCAACCTGATGATTCCATGCCAACGATGTAATCTCATCCAGTTTAGAGCTCTTCGCACCCGGTGTGTAGGGTTTATTAGGGTTTTCCAGGTCCCACACATAGATTTCCGCATTCCCACCGCCGGACGACAGAAGATGCGATTGTAGTGGGTTGAAATCGAGCGCTCGCACTGATGAAGTATGCTCGGTGTTGCGAGATATGAGGTATTCAGAGGGTCTGGTCACAGAGTGAGGTGTCACTTTATGACCTCGTCACCAATGGACTCACTCTGCATTCGAAACAATCTTTTCAGGGTCCCATATATTTACCTCCCCGTTCTCCATCCCCGCAGCAATAACGCCACGAGGCCGGCTCGTACCAACCGCCCCCCAGACAAGTCGATTGAATCTGCTCGCAAATGAGATAAGTGATATCACACCTACGGTGATCAAAGAGTGGGACTCAGCACCTTGAGCCGGTTGTCACTGATACAATGGGACCGCGCTGTCCGGCGCCTCCAAGACCCGCTTCACTCTTGTTCATAAAATCAGGATCCCATATTTCGAGTTGACTTTCGTTACTGAATGACGCGTCGAGTGCACCAGCAACTGTTCCAGTGACGATCAAAGTGGTTGGCCTTGAGCTTGGGGACCATGCGAACGTCGCCGTTCGCTGAATTTCTTTGAGCTTCATGTCAAAAGCGCGAACTTTCGAAGACACGTCTAAGAGATGGCAAATGCCGACCAACTTCTGAATTCCATTGAAATTGGTTCCAAGCTGCTCCCAGCGCTTAAATTCCCAATGCCTTATGCGCATCGTCAAGAAATCATTGCAGCCAATGGCGTGGAGTTTTCCGTAAGCCTAAGACTATCTCCCCCATCTCTAGATGCATCCCCTGGGTCAGACATCACCTCAATTGGAAATTTGGTCATTGCAAGAACCAATATCTTGCGAGTATATGAAGTCCGCCAGCAACCGCTCATGCTACGGCAGAATCGGCCAGTCGCACTCACTACCACTGGTACCCGTGGGCGTAGGGGAACTGAAGCTGTCGAAGGTGAAGTTGAGATGGACAGTCAAGGAGATGGCTTCGTGAACGTCGCCGAAGTCAAGGCAAGCAGACCCCTGCCTTCAGATACTGCGTTCGCGTACTCACATTGGGTATAGTCTGTTTCAAAGTTCGAGCAAGAGTTGCGACCTACCGAAACCCGCCTATACTTGTTGCGAGAGTTCCGATTGCATGGCGTGGTGACAGGTTTAGGGAAGGTCCAAACCTTGGCAACATCAGAAGACGGGCTAGAGAGGCTTCTTGTATCGTTCAAAGATGCCAAAGTGAGAAAATTGAGATACGGCTTTCAATTGTTCTGATTTTGCGTAGGTTTCCCTTCTGGAATGGTCCGATTCAGCACAGGACCTTATCACTATTTCCATTCATACATACGAAAGGGCTCCTCAGTTGGTACGTCGTGGATCAGTAACACACAATATCGCCCCTGATGAAGCCTTTCCAGCTGACCATTCCTCCCGGTTTTGTGACTTATATGCGTGTGGATCCTTTATCCCGATGCGCGGCACTGCTGTTGCCACACGAATCCGTGGCCATCCTACCTTTATATCAGAGCCAAGTAGAATTAGATGCCTTAGAACAGGAAAATGGGATTAGGTTCTTTTTAATCCTTTGAAAGTGTTCAATAGTTCTGACCGTATTGCACAGGGAGGTGCCTTACTCGCAGAGCTTTGTTCTCAACTTGCCGGAAGAGGTTGATTCGAAAATTCGCAATATTGCAGATTTTGTGTTCTTACCCGGCTTCAACAATGTCACGCTAGCTATACTATATCAAGAGCGCCAGACGTGGACAGGGTGTGTTCATTTCTTGATTGCCATGGAAGTGTTTTCAGCCTATTCTTAGGCGCATCAATGAGTTGAAGGATACCTTTAGTCTCTCCATTTTCACGCTCGATTTTCTCACCCATAGTTATCCAAATATCGCTCGGGTGGGCGGTCTTCCTTATGACTGCTTCTCATTGCTGGCTTGTCCCCCCTCGTACGGTGGCGTACTGATTCTGTCCTCGAACTCGGTTATCCATGTTGATCAGACATCTCGAACAACATCATTGCCTGTAAATGGGTGGGCGTCGAGAGTGAGCTCGATCACATATCCTCCAGTACAAGCCTCCTTATGTTTAGTACTGGACGGTTCTCGACTGTCATTCATCGACGAAAGGACGGCTCTTCTTTTCCTATCAACTGGTGTTGTCCATCCCCTGACCATCGTTCTGGACGGACGCGTTGTTTCCCGTTTACAATTAGACCAATCAGTGGCCCAGTGCACGCCTGCCTCCTCCCTCACTCTCGTGTCGCACGACCATCTGTTTGTCGGTTCCACAGTTGGCTCGTCTCCCTTATTGCAGATAACTTCCCAGGCCGACGTGCCCAAAATGGGGGAAGAACCTTCACAAGATGATATGGATGAAGATCTTGATGAAGGTATACCATTCCAAATGCCTTGATCCCCGCATCTGAAATCGATCATCCAGATCTCTATGGCGCAACGACATATGCCAATACATCAAAAAGTGGAAACGGAACTTCAACAACGTTTTCAGGCAATGATGCTCAGAAATCCTTGAGGCTTGCTGTCAAAGATAGTGTCCCGGGCTGGGGCGTCATCCAAGACCTTGCTTTTTTTGTTGATACGCATGAGGTACCGTAATCTTTTGGGCCCGACTTCCATAATCTAACGACTACCTGGAAGGCTCGTTTAGTTCCGGACCTCCTTGCTTGCACAGGCATAGGAGGTACATCGACTATAACGCGATTCAAGGTGATATAAGCTTCGCCATCGTTTCTTTTGACTCAACATGCTTGTGCTCGCACAGTCTCATCTACCTAGCGTAGTGAAGCGCAAAATCCAAACGCTCGGGGGCAACCGAGGAATTTGGAGTCTCCCAGTACGCCGCGAAATGCGACTCCGTGGATCGCGCCTGGAACAGCCGGTGACATTGTCTCTCGAAGACACCATTATCGTAACTAGTCACGCCACATCACTTCCAGGGGTGTCGCGGGTGGGTCATCTCACATCAAGTCTTTTACACCAGGCTTAATGCAGCCTTGTAAGGTTTTTGGTAAGAGTCCATCTGGAGATGTTCAGATACTCTCTCGGGCGCCTGGAATCACACTCGCAGCCGGAACGATTTTCCAACGAACCAATATCATGCAAGTCATGACGAACTCACTACGGTTGCTGAACGGAGGTGAGAGAATCTTTCGAGGTGGTGGTGGGCTTTGGCTAAAAGAGTTCCCATAAAAGATGGCCAAGAAATTGACACCATTCCTGAATCTGATGTCACATCAGCGCAGGTGTCGGACCCGTTTATCCTCGTGCAGCGGAAGGATGGGACAGTCAATGTCTATTCCGGCGATACAGCGAAACGCAGCCTGAATAAACAGCCCATTTTCACGGTGTGTCGTGCTCTTCGTTGCGGGTTTGTGGGACTTACGGCGAACCCAAATAGCTACCAAATTGCTTATCATCATCTCTGCACATCGACCGGTCGGGAAAATGGGAAGCCAGAGCAGTCCATCGCCCACAACAGCAAGGCACAGAAAGTTTGGAGAGTATCTTGAGTGGCGACAAATCTACACAGTGGCTTGTGTTGCATCGGTCTAACGATAATTTCGAGGTGATTAGACTTCTCACTTATCTTTGTAGGAAATGATAAAGCTTTTCTGTACGCAGATCCGTTCTCTCCTCTCCTTTGAAGTCGCATTTTCCTCTCAGGGACTGTCGGACCTGCCATCTGTCATAGAGAATTTCCAAGAAATCGCGGTTATTGGCACCGATTCGACACAACATCCACCGAATGATGTAGATAAGGTGGTGATGGCAACAATAGGTGAAGTTGGGCCTCTGACACACTTAGTTGTAAGTTCATCTCATGCTTTTCGAGTCCTTCTCCCTAAATCCTCTGAAGGTTTCCACGAAGTCCAACGTTCTCATCCTCTATCGATGCGTGTTGAACAATGCACCTTCGGAGGGAAGGCAACTACTGCCCATTCGGTTTGTTAAAATATTAAGTCGGATTTTCCACGTGCCTGCTTCCAGCCCGCGCATACCTCGCCTCTTAATCCCATTCACTGTTGGGACTGACGACCATGATCTTCATGGTGTCTTTATATCTGGGGTAAACCCTGTTTGGGTTGTTGCATTATCAGGTAGCCCAGTGCGGGTTTACCCTGACTCGCACAAGATTGTTTTTGGTTTCAGCACTTCATCTGCTTTCAAGTCACGCCATGATTTCCTTTTTCATAGCGACGAGGTACAGATTTCCATCGAGTCAGAATGTCCGACTGAACATTGTCCAAGGGATCTACACTAGAACAATGGGTTCCTGGCGTCCAGCTTGGAGCGGAGCTGCCGTATGAATCCGTACAAACCGAGAGGATGTACTCCAAGATTGCCTTCCACCCAGACACTCAGTTCATTATAGCAGGGTCAACCCTCCAGCGTAATTTCTCTTCTTTTGACGAAGACACAAATTTGATTTGGCAACCTGATGGTATGGACGCCAACTCTGAGAGAAATGAATCTTATTCAAGAATTTCCACAGTACCTAACATCTCGGACCCCAGCTGCGGGGCTTCAAGTGTTGAACTTATCTCCCCTTCCACTTGGGAAGTCATTGATGGGTATGTTTCACGATGACACTTGCGACCACTGATTACCTACTCGTCAACTTAGGTATGAATTCCCTCAATATGAGCAGTTGACTGCTCTCGAGTGTGTTGTTCTTGAATCGGCCAGCTCACCATCGGGCTACAAGCGTTTCATAGTCGCTGGAACAGCGATGGATCGTGGAGAAGATCTTGCTACCCGTGGAGCTGTACGCCTGAACATCTTGATAACAGGTTTCTTCTCACCCTATTCCTTAGGTTTACATCTTTGAGATCGTGGGGGTCGTCCCACAGACAGACGGTTCTGGGCGATATGTCCTTCGACTTCGATGCCGAGACGAGTCCAAAGGTCCAGTGACAGCAATATGTGGGATTAATGGATACCTCGTCTCTTCTATGGGCCAAAAGGTGGATGGGTGATAGGTGATACTGGTTCTATGGGGTAGAGCACTCACCATTCCTACCAGATATTCGTGCGGGGGTTCGATTTAGATGAACGGCTTGTTGGTGTTGCTTTCCTTGATGCTGGGACTTATATTACATCTCTGCGGTCGCTGAAGAATTTTATTCTTATCGGTGACGCGCTCAAAGGGACATGGCTGGCAGGCTTTCAGGTATTGGATAAATGGTTCATCTATCGTTCAATGCTTATTTGTCCCTAGGAGGATCCATTCAAGCTTACAGTCTTGTCAAAGGGTCGTCAACCCACCCCCGTTACAAATGCGGATTTCTTTTTTGGCAGTGACGGGCAGCTGTCCTGTTTGGTCACGGACGAAGAAGGCGTTATTCGAATCTTCGAGTACAACCCAAGACGTTGAGTCCCTTCCCTTCATCGCCTGCTTGATTCTGATAGTCCCATAGATGCTGAGTCCAATAATGGTCAACTCCTTGTGTGTAGGAGCGAGTTCCATGGCCACACAGATCATAACGTGATTGCGACACTTGCCAGAAGGGGCGAAGAGAATGATCAATCGGATCAAGTGGATATTGAGAGCATTCTCACTTATGGTTTGCCCGTTTGAATTTCCAGACATGATCCTTTTCTAATAATGGCACGGACAGGAACGTTAAATGGGTCGATTGTGATGTTCACCCCTGCACCTGATGCCGTATTCAAGCGGCTTTCACTGCTCCAAGGCCAGCTAATCCGCAACGTCCAACACATCGCCGGATTGAATCCACGCGCACACAGGTATATCCATCCTACACTACCCTAGTGCCATATTCAATAATATTCCAGGATGGTGCGAAACGATGCCGTGGCCAAAGCCATGACAAGAGGTATCTTGGACGGGGAGTTATTGAATGTCTTTCCCTCTCTTGAACAACGCCTGCAAGCCGAAATGACGGCACAGATTGGCACAGACAGGAGGACCTTACTGAACGACCTGGTGCCTTTCGTGCAGCTGTGGTAGAAGGTTGCTGCACTTCAGGACTGTCTTGAATTTAGCATTATCGATTGATTATTACTCCGTTATGTTGAGCTAAGTTATTGAATTCTATATTCAATGTCAATGGTTTAGGAGCCATAGGGTCTCTGGCGAATGACAATAGAAGTATGACAATATTCAATTAGCTTGGCCTGAAAAAAACCTCGCATACGATTAGGGCATCAGTACCCATAAACGCAACAAAAAGGTAATGGAAAATATTCGTCAGCCCCAATGAAGTCGCAATACGGCTCTGGCAACGCCTTCTCGTTGTTCCCATACTGTCTCCACTCGCGGCTTTTTATTTCCGTCAGCATTCGCAACGGAGAGTTCGCTCGCTCTCCGCACAAATTCGCTCACACCACCACCCACTCCAAAATACACAATCTTTGCAGCGACCAAACAGAGAGTGTCTGGCACCTTAACATCTTTTGACGGCTTAGCGGTGGATGACGACATCTGAAGGACGCGGAGAAGTGAGTCCAGGCTATCGATTCTGTACACTGTCTCTGATGTGAGCACGATGGTGTACGGACTCGCATCCACCAACGGACTGCCAGGAGCAATGCAAAGAGCTTCCCAAGATCCTGCAAATAGTCGGATGGACACATTAAATATTCGGAGCGTGTTGAGGAAAGCATCAACTAAGTTGGGCGTTATTTCGATTTCCAGTTGCTCCTCGGGGCACTCGTCCACTCCAGAATCAGATCTGCTGGATTCGGCTCTTTGGGCAGCATGGTTTAGCTTTCGAAAAGCTTCTGATGCATCAGACAAGTCTAATAAAACTCTTCAACTATTCGGTCGATGGTTTCACCCGGCTAGACAGGCTTACACCAAACAAGGAGTAAATTGGGAACGGTGACCTTGGAGATTCTGAGATCAGTAGATGGGTATGGGACGATTGGTGCGAATGCTCACTAACTGCATTGTGAAGGAGTTATAATCCTGAAGATGAAAATGCACCTCCGCGAAGCTTGAGCAGCCTGAAGAGTAGCGAGAATTCAGAAGATCGAGGAAGAGGAACATGGTGGGTACAGCAGTTCCACATCCGATCTTAATGCAGCTTTAAGCTTAGAGCACCAAATCATCTAACAATTACTTCGTACCTCAAGGATCTTGTGTGATTCTGTCCATGCGCCAAAGGGCCGGCTATCTGCAAGATAACTGGCCAGATCAAGGCTGCACTCCCATGTCTTCAAGCCACCTTCATATGCACCCGGCATAAGATCCGAGGGCGCTTCTATGTATGCCAACCTTGGGTCCGGTTCTATCGAATCCTCCAAAGAGTCGGGATCAGTTTGAGATATCAATTGGAATCTGACATCGAATAAATCTCTACGCGGAATGATGATTGGAGGATTCGTATGAAGTTGAAGAGGGGTGTAGGAAATTGTTTCGGGGATCTGGGAAAGCTGGACGATTTGACACGCAATCAATCAGGACTGAACGGAGTGAAAAATACTGAACGCGAACCAAATCCTTAAGCAGAAGTTCGCAATATTGTCCGGTGTTTGAATCTGACAAGAGATTCATGCTGTCTTCTATTTGGGTAGCACAGTGGATAGGCTGCCCGCTGGGGGTGCTAATGCTGTCCGAAACTTCCTCAAGATTAAAGTCGAATTGGAACGCCATCAGTTACTGTCTGTGGGACACAGACGTGATGCCCCAAAACGCTGTTGGGGACCGGGAATTTCGTTAGCTGCTTGTTCCTCATTTCATAGACTAATCACGGGGTTGAGCATTTGGGCCCGACCCGCGTACATAGATACAACAATATTAAGTACATATTAAGTACATATTGCGGAAGTGGGAGGAGAATGGAGAGGTAGTGGGTATGTCAAAAGGCTGTCAATACTGGAAGCAGGCGAAGGCTGTTAGAGGCGATGGCAGCGATTTCAGACCAAGGGCTGAATCGAAGCGTTCTTACTCACCGAGGAAGAACGGGCTGGCAACGGCAGGGGGACAGGAGGCATAGCTTTTGTGCAAGTGTTCCTGTTTATTATTTTAGATTTGGACTGTACCATAGTTGAGACTGTCCCGCTCCGGCGTCCGCGCCGGAATGTTCACCATACGGTCTGCGTCGAAAGTGGGGACATCGCAGGATGGTCTTCCATGTGGCTGAGACAGGCGAGATCAGGGCAAAGCAGCATTGAGCCGATGGGCAATGAGCGCTGTCCCGTGATTATGTAGTCTCGTGAAATGAGACATTTATCCGAATTTATTAAATTTATTCGTTTATTCGTTTATTGTTATATTTAACTTTTGCGTGGTCAAGGCGCACTTGCCTCGGTCGTACGCTGGATGTTTCAGCGCGGATGCGCGGGCGGAGGCACGCCATCGAACTTCGCCCATTGGTAGGGCTTACGCCATACTCATAAAAGGGCTGTGACACCTAGGCAGGTTCCCAGCCTCTACTTGTACCACCGCCCTTCACTCCTCTCGCCACCGCCTGCTATCCCGTATTCTCTCAGTGAGTGGGAACCGACTTGCCGCCAGATTCTGGACTTATCCCCATGACCCGCTGCTGCTGCCTTCGCTGCTCTCCCGACTGCCACCTCTACCGCTTGGCTGTCTGCATCTTAGCACTTCTATCACCAGACTCTTTTGTCGTCTGATTGGTTCTTCGAACGTCTTGTGATCTACCGTTATGTCGGAGCATGCCAGGGCGCAAACATCAAGCAGCCCTACCGATGTACAAGACCCTTCACTCGGGGGCATCGATCTCAAGCGAATCACATCCTCTGGTCTCCTCGACCAACTCGATAGCCTCGTCACGGAATTCGGCAAACGCTCCATGGACTTACACGGTGCCTGCCGACGACTCCGCACACTCCTTGATGGTGCCTCTGAGCTTACCAGCGGGCAACGAAACGAGCTACTCAATCGATACATTGCCCGATTCGACCAATCATTTCAATTTAGGGAAGAAGCAGTTGTTCGAGGTAGCCAAACTCGAACAAACCCTGAACAGGGGCTGCCTAGCGCTCTACCGGACGTAAACAATCGACCCAATGACCGAACCGTCGAAATTGGTGACCAAGCCGGGGGCCTGCTCACAGCCTTGCGAGGACGTCGACAGCGAGATGATGATGATGACGAAGCGCGAGGAAGGGCCAAGCGCTTGCGAGAGGTTGAGGATGACCACGACCCTCGTTATGCCTGGAACTGGGACTACCCAGGAGGTAATCGACCTTGGGACGTTGACGTCTTGCTCACCACCCCGCAGAAAACCCGACGTCTACGCAACATCTACAACCTCGACCCAGGAGCTGCCGTTCGAAGCCTCCTTGCGCGAGGACAACCGCCACCCTTCCCCTACGACCAGTGGCGCAACCTTGTCTGCGACAGACACATCGATCTCGCCGCTATCGTCAAGGATCACAATCCCGTCTCTCCCCAATACCACGAAGCTATCGGCCCCTGGATTTTGGGTTTTCAGAAATACAAGCGTGCCCTTCTTTATGCCTATCCGCACCGACGAGACGAGCTCGACATCTACTATGCACACATACTCGACAAGTTCTTCGCCTGTACCGATCACTCTCGCGTCATCAATTACGACTCTGCCGTGCGCAAGTTCGTCCAAGAACGATACCACCTCTGCTTTGCCGACATCCACCTTTTCAACGACATCGCTTTCAAGCATCTCAACAGTGGTGGCTCGGCTCGCGGCGCATATAATGCCAACACAGACAAACCAAAAGGCAGAGGTAAACTGGGGGGAAGGTCGAGAGCTATTCCTATCTGCGGAGAGTTCAACACGAAGAAGAGATGTTCTTTCGACCCGTGCAAGTTCAGGCACGTCTGTCGGGTCTGCAGCGGGAATCACCCTCGGTTCCAATGCACAAAGAAGTCAACTCAAAAGACGACTGCCTGAAGAGTCTGGACTAGCACTGGAGTGCCCAGGGAGGCCGTCCCGACACATGCGTTTTCTTTTCGGGCGCAGCGACTGTGGGCCGGCAACTTACAGGCAGAGCGCTCTGCCAATCCTATCTATCCCTCCTGACTATCACCGTTGACATATAGCTTTGTACAGCTTATATTATTCGTGGCCTGCGGACTGAGGAGACACCAGACTGACAGCCGTACCCGACTTGGACTATTCATTCAAAGATACTATTTGTGCAATGGGCCTAAGTACATTATAGTGGAGCGGGCTCTCAGAGTTTCCAGAGCCAGACCAAGTTTGTTGGTGTATTCGTATACTCTATTTAGATATTTTGCCCACATCATGGCTAATTGTAATGACTCAAATGTGTTGTGACGCGCCAAGTGTAACGGCGATTTCCGATTTCCGACAGACGCGACGTCGAGTTCGTCCAGCGGTCTTTAAAAGAGGTTCTATTTCTGCAGAACTTGGATCGATCGTTTCAATTCTCTAAGAAACGCGTGGATCCATCTCAGAAATGGATGATGGCATTGATTACGAGGCCCAGAGGTTGGCCAACATGGCTGCGAACCGCAAGCTACTGGTACGTGATTGGACGCGTCATGATGTCTACAATTGTATGATAGAGCCACTTGGTGGAAACAGGAAGAGCTGGGGTTGCATGAATGCAAACTACCAGCTGCACCAAAGAAAGTGTCAAAACTTCGGGCAAAACGCCCTCTGACCAAGAAAAGAAGACCAAGCCGGCTGCCCCTCAGTGAAAGCGAGGAAAGCGACACGGAGCTCCCTACGCCAAAAAAATTGAAGAGAGATACAGATGGCGGGGAAGAAAACATTCAGGGACGCCGGCGGAGTTTGCGGAATACACGGAGGGTCAGTTATGCCAATGATGGCCAAAACATCAAGCGGGCGCAATCTCCTCCTTCCTCACCTGACTGGAAAGTCAGGAAGTCGTCAAGGAGGTCGCTTCCTAGAATTATCGATGAGACCAAACAACGACAAGTCTCCAAATTAGGGCCAAGACTTCACGACCCGTGTGTTGTCCTTCTCATCATTATTGGCGTCATCACTAAACAGTGGTATAGAAAGCAATATGGTGCTATACCTGGGGTACCCGTTGGGATGGTCTTCGAAACCCGACAGGCAGCGAGTCAAGCAGCGATTCACGCGTGAGTCTGCCATTATTTGATTCCACGTTCCACCTGTACAGAACGGTTGAAGGCCCTGGGTCGCTGGGATCTCCGCCGGGAAAGACGGTGCCTACTCGGTAGCGCTTTCGGGAGGTGAGTTAAACGTAGCAACTGAACGGACGTCGTGCTGGATTTCGTTGAAAGGCTACGACGATGATGTTGACATGGGCGATGGATTCACCTTCACTGGGGCGGGCGGCAAGTTATCCATACCCTGTATCGTCTCCCGATGTTGAACCCAATTTCAGGTCGCGACCTCAAAGGGACAAAGCAAAACCCCAAGAATGTGGGTGGTTGGGCTGGTGGCGCCTTGTCGACTACTGATAATACTGGCGCAGCTTCGCACAGCACCTCAGAGTTGTGATCAAACCTTTGACAGCCCATTGAACAAGAGTCTCCAAGTGAGATGCGCCGCTACGTGATGCCTGGCAATCCCCTAATATCGTTCCAGAGATCCGCTCAGACAAGGAACCCTGTGCGAGTGCTCCGGGGATTCAAGCTCAATTCACCTTACGCTCCCTCCTCGGGGTACAGGTATGATGGGCTCTATGTTGTAGAAAAGGTGATTCCCACAAGATGTGTGTAACAAATGCCTTCTGACTGCTTGTGGATCTGTCATGCAGGCCTGGACGGAACAGGGATTGCAAGGCTTTAAAGTGTGCAAATATGCATTCAAGGTATGTCCGAGGTACCTGCAACAGTGGCGTACACTTCTCACAGATGTTGCAGAGGTTGCCGGACCAGCCTGAATTGCTCGTAACATCCGAGGAACAAGACGAGTCAGAAGCGGAATCTTCCGATCATAGCACGATGTCCTCAACTCCCGAAGCTACGCCAGAATCTGAGGACGATTAACGGGTTCCTCATGTGTCAGATGGGAATGCGCCATCATTTTGCATTTCTTGCTCGACTTTCAAAGGGAAATTTTGAAATGGTCAAGATCGCATCGGTTAACTTGATTAATGTTCAGCGTGATTTTGGTCCCTCGATTATCATTCTGATGAAGATAGCACAACAACCTCAGCAGACGAGGAAGTTCTGGAAGTTTTGGTTTTTTTGCGAGTGTTTCCTAGTACCTTGGATGGTTTCCGCTTCGTGGTGAGAGTGAATTCCCAATCATTCGAATCACAGCCATCGGCTTCCGAGGATGCAGACCGCCCGTCCTTCATACCACTTGGAGAAAAACTGGGGGACTGAGACCGGCGTAGCAGATCATTTCGCAATGAATTAGTGTCTTTCGAGCTCGCCAGTCGGGGATTTTGACGTGAGCGCGCCTTTCGGGAGGCCGACATCCGGAGAGCAGCATCCATGTTGCTTTTTGAAACGCAGTCATCGCTTTCGGCTCCATCTTCCAGACCAACCGCCTCGCTGAAGGATTTTTTTCGTTTATTCGTCGACGGTTTCGACGACGTTCGCCGCTGTTTTGATTTGACAAGGAAAGTGCAGGAAATACGAGGACCTTCACCTCGAGAAACTTGATCGGAAGAGAGACGGGTAAGTCGCAGCGCCTGTGGTCCTGGAGTCACATAGACGTTGATCGAATAAGCAGTGGAGGAGAACTCTTCTTTAAGGTACTTGGTTAAGAGCAGGCGGATGATGAGCGCTTCGACATCCTGAAGGAATGTTAGGACCTGTTTACGGATACCACAGATTGAAACGCACGTCTTTCGGCATTGTGACCTTGCCTCCGATAGCCTCATCGAGGTCAAGCCTCGTCTTCGGTTTCGCTGAACTTTTGCCCCCTCCTTTGGACGAGGTGACCGTGTAGTCACCACTGCCCACACCCCGCACAAGGTCACTGAGCATCCCCACAGTTACCCGCCCTCTTTCGCGGGCAATGTGATCGGAGATCTTGAGGATTTTCCAGCATTCTCTTGTGACATCCTGAGTCATGATAGACTCAGGAGATCTGGAGCAGTTATCGCAATGACCACACCGGCTCAGCGAGCCATCAGACATAGTGTCGGACCATGACGACAAAGCCAAGGACGAAGAGGTCGAGAAGTAACTGAAGGCATTCATCAGTATGATTTCTTCCCTTGAATGGGGGCGTACTTCGCGAAGTGAATCTTGCGGCACTCCACGTACTCCTGAGCAAAGCGAAGCATCTCGTAAACTGGAGTCATTAGTCCCACTAACCGGATCAGCACAATTGTCTTACGTTTGTCCTGGCCCTCCAGTTCTCCACAGGTCAATGAACTGAGACGGGTCGCATCTTGTCCTCTGTAGTAAAGGACACAATCTGCATCGCTGCCATCGCGACCAGCGCGCCCGCTTTCTTGATAGTAACCGTCGAGGCTCTTCGATATCTACAAGTCGCAATCTTAGCTTCGAACCCTTTACGTCAACAACTTCGTTGGATACCGACCGAGTGGTGTATCACAAACCGAACGTTCGACTAGACCAACCTTCCAATAAACATGCATTCCTGTGAACCAATTGAAATGTCACCTTGTCAATTCCCAAGCCGAAAGCTGGGGGAATTCCAGGTCATTGCATTGTAGCAGTCCCTATAGGCCATTGAACCTTACCAATGGTAGCACACACCACTTGGATATCTCCGGCTCGCCATTTCACATGGAGTCGTTCTTTCTGTGCGTCAGGGACGTCACTATGATATACCCCAATCTTAATCTGGCCGTTGGATGCATCTATTATGCCTTGTGCAACTGTCTCCGTATCCTGAGCAACCGTCAAACAAACAATGAACATGGGACAACCACACTACTCGCCTTCTTACTGAGACAATATATTATTCCGCTGTCGTCCTTGTGCTTTTCTAAAATATAATCAGTTATGCTTTGGATAACAGCTGTTGCCGATGCCGGTTTCGGCGAAACAGAGTAATGTAAGTTCTTCCCTGGATCACCAGACGGATATAAGACTTTGGGCAATGGCATGAAGAGATTAATGGGCGCACGATAAAGCGGCGCGCTGAAATACACAGTCCCCTCAGGTGTAGCAGCTACAAATTAAAGATAAATGAGGGAAGAGAAGGGTTGGGTTTAGCTTGCCATTTCCATTCACCGCCGGTTTCAAGCGTAGAATAAGTAACAGATCTTTCAGAACCTTAGGGCGTCGTCACAGATCAGCAATATTGACTAATAGTGGATGTGTACACTTACTCTTGGTGGACACGTAGCTGACAACGCTAAGATAGGTACATGGGGTAGAAGCTGCCGAAGAATGGAGAGTTTCTTGTAGTCAGGTCTAGGGGGCACTGAGAAAGGTCCGGGGTATGACGCATAATTTCGCTCTACCTGAAGTCGTGGCCAAGTTGAGAAACGCAATGGGCTTCGTCGATGATGATGCGAGCTGCATGAAACCGATGAGGTTCATACGGTGCACCGGGAGCGACGGAGTGATTCCTACCTAACTTCCCTGCAACCGCAAGTTTTTCCAACATGGATACGAAAGTTTTTGATTTCGCCACCTTCTCTGGGGTCACATAACACAACTTGATCTCCATATCGGCAGAACTGGATACGGGACTCCTTGCAGCAGCGTTGAGACGAGCCGTGATAGATCTGACCTCCTCTTTGGGGGTAGAGCCTGTAAGCATCACGGCTTGAACTAGTGAGTAAAGTCAGATATCCAAGTGATGTAGCCAGAAAGACACAGCCATACTCCCGGCGCTCTGCAAGTGCAATATCTGGTCCGTGATCAACGATATGAGGGGAGAAATGACGAGCGTGCAACCTTGACTTATGATAGCAGGGAGCTGATAGGTTAAACTCTTACCACCCCCTAGTACAACATATCAGTTTAGGACAGGCCTCGACCTTGCGAAGGGGGCGAGTCACCAGTGGGCATAACACACACAATATCTCTTCCGTCAAGACTTGCGTTACAGACTCTTCGGAAAGATGAGAAATCTGTCACTACGATCTTACATGAGACTTACCCTTGCTGACACAAACGAAAGGAGGGTATTCCAAATATTTGGGTCATCTTCGATTTCATGTCTTCGTCCCACTCGAATTCGCCAGAGTAATCAATGAGAGGTTGGGTTGACCCCGAATCGAGACTATTGGCCATCGACCTTGCAATAGGTGCCTGCCTATTGGTAAGCAGCAACTCAAGCTTCTGTTGCACTTTCTGCCGCTCCTGTATCAGCGAATTCCTGACTTTCTCGAGCTCGGCTATAGATGCATCCACAGAAGTAATCTCTTTCCCCAGAGACCCGAGTCGTCCTTGCAGCTTTGCCCGCTCTAAATAAGAGACTGACTGCCCCTCAGATGGTGGCAGTTGGTTCCATGACTTGGAGACTGATTGAATCTTATGAAGGGAATCCTCTTCGTCCTGAACGTCCCCCCACATGTCATCCATGAAGATAGAAGAATGGGTCACGAATCCAAGGCTCTAGATCATGAGAACGCGGCCGATTTATGCTGAGCGGCGAGTGAAGATATTGGCCAGTCTCGCGAGCTAGTCTGAACGGGGTTTGAAGAGCAACTACGGATACAAGCGCAGGGTCGATGGCTACCGTGTTGTTGTTGACTGTTGTTCCCGGCACCGAACAACACGCGTTGCTTCAAAGTTTGAGGCTCATTTGGGAGGCCCACCGTGCACGGCTGCACCAGGGGGACAAGAAGGCCACATCTCAATTGTTATTGGTGCATGGGTTTCCTGGGCCTATGGGAGATGGCGTGGAGAAGCTCTGTGCTGGCACCAGACTGCGAATAGCGTGCGTGAGGACGAATAAGGCCGTGTGCATTATCTGACTCAGGGCTTAGTATGATCTCAGATTTTTTCCACCCTAATGTAGGTGGGGTTGAAAACCACATCTTTATGCTAGGAGTCAACCTGACTCGACTCGGACACAAGGTAAAACGAATCCAAATCATCTTTCAGTGTATTTACCCCATCCAGGTGATCGTAATCACTCATTCACACCCCCCAAATCGTGTTGGAGTGCGATGGGTCCTTCCTGGCATTAAAGTCTACTATATCCCCTTGAAAGCTATCGCATCTTCTGCCACCCTTCCGAATTTCTTTGCATCAATGCCTTACTTCAGACCCATTTTACTGCGTGAAAGGATCGACATTGTGCATGGCCATGCCAGTCTATCATCAATGGCTCATGAGGGAATGTTCCATGCTCATCTGATGGGTATGCGGACCGTGTTCACAGATCACAGCCTTTTCAGGCTCGACGACGCAACCGGCATCCTGACAAACAAATTGTTGGAAGCAGCTCTTCTTAATGTCGACGCTACCATTTGTGTCTCAAATACTGGGTTTGTCTTCTGTCTTAATTTCCCCAATGGGATTTGGATACTGACTATTCCCAGACGCGAAAACACTGTCCTTCGAGCCAGATTAGATCCTTCAACGGTATATGTAATTCCCAATGCCTTGGTTCCTGAGCAGTTCAAACCGTCAACGACGCCCCTACCTTTGAAGCCTTGTTCGTAATCTTGTTTATGACGTGAATTCTTAATCCACCCACAGCATGCAGTAAATATCATCGTGGTGTCGAGATTGGCGTATCGCAAAGGGGTCGATTTGTTGATAGCAGTTGCACCGAAAATTTGTGAAAAGCACCAGCATGTGAACTTCATTATTGGTATGGGTTGAAATCGTCGTTAAAATGCCTTCTGACATGGACACCTAGGCGGCGACGGTCCGAAACTTACCGCACTGTTGCAGATGCGAGAGAAGCACAGATTACAAGATAGAATCGCCATGCTTGGCTCAGTGCCCCATCAGCATGTGCGGAATGTATGTTCCCTGACTGCCAATCCCTAACTTGGAGCTAGCAGTGACCCAAATCTACATAGATTTTAATTCGGGGTTCCATATTTCTCAACACTTCTTTGACGGAATCTTTCGGTGTTGCCATACTTGAGGCCGCCTGTGCTGGACTCTATGTCGTTTGCACGAAAGTTGGGGGCGTCCCTGAAGTCCTTCCAGAAGATATGATAACTTTTGCGAAGCCTGAAGAGGACGGTGGGTAGATGCAATAATCTTTGGTCTCCTAGAACTTAGGATGCGTATGCAGATGTTGTCAGAGCACTCTCTGAGGCCATTGAATATGTTGGTCAGGGCAAGCATGATCCCCACATGGCCCACGCACGTATCAAAGGAATGTATGACTGGGGGGACGTGGCAACTCGCACGGAGATTGTGTATAGAACCGTCGCGGAATCTCAAACGTTAAGCCTTTGGGATCGTATTGTCAGGTTAGCCGCCAGCACACCGATTTTCGCTCTGTCCTTCCCTAAACAGCACTTCCAGGACAATGACCCTCGGTCGTTTTGCGGGACCGATCTTTACTATTATTCTCGTGATGCAATGTCTTTTCTTTGCGACTCTCCAGTGGATAGTACCCCAAAGCGAAATTGATATGGTAGACGATGAGTGGGACGAAGCCCTCTTCCTGAAGGTGGATACTTCCTGCACCGTCATGACCCAAAACTCACACTCTTCTGCCCACAGCACTGTGATCTCAGAAGCAACTAGACCTTCCCATAATTTGCCCGTCTCACAACGGCTTCGCTTTGACCCAACGTAGTTTATGCATCCTTAATTCTAGAAGCAAGAACAAATTGCATCACGGGATACGTGACTCTTGAAGTCCCTTCTGCCGATTTTCCACAATCCAGCGATATCCTTTGTTCATTTATACCCCTCAGCTTGCTCAAATTCTCTGTCCGGTGAAGTATTTTCCCGTAACATACTATAATCTATGATCATTTAATGGCCGAAACACCGCCTGTGTAACGACAACTCAACGCAGCATCCAGTTCAACCTACCCCCCAACCAACCAAACCACAATACTGTACCTAGTGATATTTTCCTGGGTCGACCCGCAGTACTTGTGCGCAAGCTGCCCATTCTATATGAGAACATTGGTGACCACTGAATTGAATCGCTCAAGCACCCTGGATACCCATTCCGTTAGGTCCCAGACCCGCCGCCGAAGTCCTCGCAGCTCCCCCGGCTGCTGGCACTAAATGGCCGCGAAACCGGTATTTATTCCAAATCCATAAAAAGTGGGCTGAATCTGCACGCGAGTGCAACAAAGCCGGGCCAAACATACCCTTCCTCTTCGCCTTCGAAACTTCAGTAGGTATTTCTCCAGGAACCCGGTGAAGAACTTGGTGCTGTCCAGAGCAATCGCATTCGCCCAGAAGCTGAAGGCAGCAATCACTGCGTAAAGGGGGGTGAAAATTGGACCTTGATTAGGGACGTATTCAGACCTCAAATAACCGGGTATCTGGAGTTGTCCGATTAGCTCTGAATTGCGTTCCTATGTAAAGTTTGAATATGCGTGTATGAAGGCCTGTAGAATATGAACGTATGCAGTCTTTCTTTATGTACGCAAATTAGGTGAGATTGTTACATAATCGGCGTGTAAATACACATGTATTCGGGCCCCTCCGTTCCCCACGATCCCACCAGCCATGAATCTGTCCAGTCTCGCTGCATGCCCCGATGAGATCACAGATGTCTTAACGCGCCAATTCTGGGCGTCTTGGACAGATGAAAATAGATTAGCTTACATTAAAGTGCACCATGCTGATGTTTGGACGCGTTTCAACTCCGATGCATCCACCATACACCCCCTGATTCCAATTGATCCCGCGCTTATTCAACTTTCTACCGGTTCTATGGAATCTAATGGGGTGGAAAACACGTCCAGAGAGACCGAAAATGTGTTAAGGGCTTCTGTGAATGCTGTTAGAGGACGCAAGCGCCGTACCCTTGCATCAGCCCCCAAGACAATTGCCAAGAAGCTGGCGCGGGATCGAACACAATCAGAGAAGAAGGTTGTGAGCAAAGCAAAGGTATGTATTAATATTGGAACTCAACTTAAAATAGCCATGTTAGTTTGAATCTCTGCTAGCGAGAAATGGAGAAAAGAATCTTTGCAATAACGGGAATGAGCGGTGCAAAGGGACCATGGCCACCTCACAACTCCGAACGAAAAGATGAGAAGTCAGGACTCACTTTCCTGAACCCTGACTTCCGAGTCGGTGTGAAGATGACTGACCCCGCTAATCGGCTGATATGGGAACAAGCAGCTGTGCAGGTTCATGAAGCTATTTGTGTACGTACCTTGAAGGCAATACTGGCATGGTAGACTGCAAATTACTTTCTAGGCTCCGGGTCAGAGAATATTGGCCAGTAGTGAAGTCGCTAGGACTAGCCTGGAAGACCTCCAGGTATATGGTAAGGAGATCTTTCAGAAAATGGCGACGGAGGCTCGAAAGGAACCGGAAAAGAAGCAGCGAGAGCTTCAGAAGAACCGGAGAGCAAGCCGCCTTCGAGTGGTGAGTTCATATAGTCTCTATCATTAAGCTCTTGAATGTCATGTCATCGATATGATAGAAGCTCTCACAACGACGGAGAGCAAATCGCTCTCAGCCTCTTGTTCCTGAGGCCATTCTTGAAGAAGATTGGATGAGTGAGGAGTATTCTGAGCCCGAGGAAGATTCTGGAGAGAACAAGGAAGCCTGGAAGTCAAGAATGGCACGGGAAGCAAAAGTTTCAATGGGGATAGAAATCATTGAAGTGGCCGCATGGCCTTGGCGTTCAAGTCTGGTGCGATATCTTGTTAATGTTCAGCACGGAAAATGATCTGACATGTGGAAAGGCCACCGAACGATTGCACATGTTAGATGCGATCTATAAGGCAGAAAACTCACAGCGCCTTATCCTTCGACATTATGGTTCACGGATGTCAAAAACACTACCTCGCAGCGCACCATGGAATTCTATGATCAACCAGGAGTGGCTAAAGCAGGTGGGGAAGGTTGTGTACACTGAAGAAACGGCTGACTGGGGAAATTATGCTGACGAAGAAGAGTATCCAGATTTAGACAAGGATGATGAATCTGGGAGCAGTGCTGTCGATACAGGAAACACTTCAGCTCGTCGCATTTCCGAAGAGTCCTTGTTGAGCTGAAACTATGTCAATATGAAATTTTCTGCAAAAAAAATGACATCTTTGACGTGAATGACTTGAATGGTATGGTAGGTACTAGGGGGAACTAGGGGGGGAAACAGCCATCAGGAGCGGTCGGTGCAAGGGGAGTGTGCCAGGTGTGGCACCGAAACTCAGGCGCTATATCAAGCTGTGATACCATGCTGAAAAGTAATGTCTGCTGTAGCTTCATCATGCAATGCAGTAAAACAAACATACCCGGTCGAGAGTGATAGTCATCCACACCTCTTGCATAGGCCAGTGCATGCGGGCAATCTGGCAATCGATCCAGTCTATCGGAATCACCTGTGGTGGGTCGTGTGTGCTATTCCCATGATACCGATTGAATACAAAAGTATTCACGTGGAGCTGATCCCTGTTGCAGTAGACACATGTGTATGAGTATGAGACAAGGGCCTCGAAGAGAAACTTACAGGTAGTCGTCCCAGTAGTCTGATGTTGTTGGAACACCAAGTTGTCCGTCAACTGTGTACTCGACCATCCATCTTACATATGCAAAAGTCATGGGGTTACCGATGTTTTGCGAATGTAAGAACAACTCCAGGATTTCGCCAAACCAGGCTTCGCCATTGATAGTTGCTTTCACCAAAGCAGAGCGAGCTGGTGAAGTACGACCAGCTCGAGCATTTCTTGTTGGCACGAGACGCCGACTGTTCAGGATGACCCACCGAACTTGCTCTGCTGAGCTAGTCACTTTCGGAAGGGGGGAAGTGAAATCGAGTATATGTGATACTTGAAACCTGGGGTCAGTTCGATAGTATTGGAATAGTTCATTGACGACATAATTCTCGAGTTGATAAACCGTTGTAGGTCCAAGTCTGTATCTTGTTACAGCTGTCAAAAAGATCATGAAGTTATATTAAAGAAATATTCAGGAAGCATCAACGAACCATCACTTCGGGCATCTTCGCGTTCTGCTCCTTCAACATCATTATCCGTTTGGTTCTCAGAAGCATTGCGAAACCCATCAAGGAGACGATCCACTGCTCCATGTCCTTGCATAAGGCTTGCACTTAATTTTAATGCTATGTGATGCTCAATGCTTAGTTCCATGTCTGGCACTGACATGGGAGCCCCAATGTCAGCAACCTCAGATAATTCAAGAATAAGAAAGAGTAATCACTCCGAGATGGGTGCTAAGACATACCAAAGAGCGCAAAGAGCTATCTTGATGAAATGCGCGCATCATTGTGACTTCAAGCTGGCCCCCATCCCAATTATTAATATTCACTTGCTTTAGAACGAAATTGAGACGCTCTGTTAAGAAGGCCCAGAAGCCATAAACAGGGCCAAAGTCTAGTATCTGCTGTCGAAGATGGACACAGAAATGCATGTTTGGTTTCATGAGGTCCGGGTACAGCTAGTCATAAACAAGTTAGCAACAATATAAATGAGTAGAATGAAGGACTAGCCTGAGAAAAGGTGTGTAAGTATTGTCGCAATCGCAGATCTGCCTTGTTCAATTCATGGGTTTTCAACGACGGGGCAAGGAGGACATCTACAGCTGCAGCAAGTTTGAGAAAATTATCCACCTCCTCCAGCTTCATTCGTGGGTATATAGACAGTGGAGCTGAGAAGGTAATCAGTGGGATTTTACAATGGAAGCAAGTGACATACCTTGCAGTGCATCAGCTTCCGGGATCTGGGAACGGTGTCCCCGACCTGCCCTTCTCATACCCCGACCAGCCTGGTGGCCTTGCACTAGCCCAGATTGTGGCAAAACAGTGTTCATAACACCTACATTTGCTCGCTCTAGCGCTTTTGCATAGTCAGTAGTCGCTTCCCCCAAGTGCATGTCCCATACACAGGGAATCTACATCAAATTCAGCATAAACTAGTAAAGGGAACACATTTACTTACAGCAAGTGGTCCGAAAACTGTAAGTAGAAGCTTATATTCATCAGCCGAAAGGGATCCTCCAGCAGGCTCACCAAGCCGAGAAGGCAAACGACCAACCCATGGTGGGACCTCAAGCTGTGAGAAGACTGTATTAGCTCATCAAGTAGAGAGACAAGAAGTCTTACACTGGCGAGAAAATCATGGAGCACCTGGAGCTCACGCTGAGTCCCAGCATCAGTATTTGCTCTGAGTGCACTCCTACCTTTGATCCATACGTAATACCACTGATTCTTAGCAAGACCTAATAGAAAACCTGACATTAAGTTCAATTTCATGTCGGATCGATGAAAACTTACCAAGAAGAATGTTATGCATTGGGTCAATAATAATTTGTCGACATGCATCAAAGTAATCGAGTCGAGCAAGCTCTGACCATCGAATGCCATGCTGTTTGAAGAATGTATCACGCTCAGTTGTGCTCGACAGTGCCCTATACTCATAACATAGCCTACGCCATGTTTCGGAACTTGTTTGATCAAATTCTGTCGAGGAATATAGTTGGAATGAATGGTCAGTACACACTTCAGCTCACCGTTGTTAAAACTTCGTTCTGAGTACAGATCTGCTAGGGTGACGTTGCACATTGTACAAGGCTTCCCACCATGGTTCTTCTCCGAGAAGCCACCAAGTTTACACATGGCAGGATGATCGCATACAACTGCCAGTAAAGCTACTCGGACAAGTCGCCCTAGGAGAGTGCACATTAGTGAGGAGGGAATCATGAAGGAGATGTACCGAACCCTCAGGGAACCGCGGAGTGTTGACAAAAAGCCCTGTTTCATATAAAGCTATAAGATCGTCAACAACCAAAGCCATGAGATGTTGTAGTTGTTCCGTTGAAGGCTCTTGTGGTCCAGGTGTCATTCCGGCATGTAGGAGATTACTCGTACGATAGCTAGAATTTCAAGAAATCATGAGTCAATCAAACAAATTTATCCGACTCGCATGCACACCGAAGTTCCGGGGGGAGATTTGCACAACAAAATGATAAAACACCACTTGAATGAGTCGGTGCAAAGACACTACGACGGCATGAAAACCTTTTGAGAAAATGATTAGGAAGAATACTGTCACAAGAATATGAAAGACGAACCAATCTAGACTTAATGTCACTCCTAAACGAAGCTCACCTGTATCCTTGTTGATACGGAAAAACTCCTTCCCATCCTTGTCCTTCATCTCTTTCCAAACTCTGCCATCCATAATACTCGTATATGCACCCATATTTCGATGAGTAGACCCCCACTGTTCGACCTCAGCTTCTATGTCGCTTCGTGATAGAAACCCTGCGAGGAGTGCTGAGAGGGGTGCCACAGGCATAACAACCTTCGGTTTTGCTACCTTCTGCCCTTTCCCCCATATCAACCCCTGGAACGCGTCCACAAAAGAACTCCGATAAAGCGGAATTTCGCAGTGTGGACAGTGGCGAACATTTTCACCATGAGGGAACAGTTGCCAACATCTCTCACAAAGTACAAAGATTTTAGCGGGAAGAGACATGCGCAATCGGTTCAGAACTGTTTTGAGAGTTACCGGGAAATCATCAAAGCATTTGATGATACGGAGTTCAATCAGAATCTTCCGAAAGACCCATAGCAGCAGGTTGCATGCACGGACTCCAACGTGGTGGTGAAGATTGAGAAAACAAACAAGAAGAAGAAGGACGCGGATGATCCAAGAATCAGAGAGGCTCATATATCTCTCGTTGGGTTGAGACACAGCATCGTGACTAGCTTCGGTGGACATGTCATATAAATGAACACTTGAAGAAGTAGCCGTCGAAAACTGTACAGGAGGGGGCCTAGGGGCACTTCCATCGTGAGTTTGAGGGGCCGGAATAGGTGCTCCAGTCAAGCTTGTAGGCTGAAAACTGATCAAGTGGGGCACTTCGGGAGTATCAACATTCGAAGGGGTGATGAAGAGGTCGCTATGATCGCTATCCTCATCAACGATATCATTGCTAGGAAAGGGGATGTTGGTATTAGGTGTGCTATTGGAAGCCACAGTGAAGAAGCTAGTGGGTATTCCGTGAGCCAATTCTACAAGATCACAGAGAATGGTAGACCTCATGTGACATACCTTACATGGGGACATCGAGAGGACGAAGTGGAACTCCAGGAGGTTCCCCGTACTCGTTGTTGTCGAACATTTCAATATCTGGTGGCAGAGCACGGAAGTATCCAGGTTTGGGACCTGTGCCGGTGCTCGAAGCAGAAGGCTCACTGGCAGAGGAGCTGCCCGCTTGTGCAAGAAATAGCACGCCAAAGTCATTAAGCGATGCCTTTTTAGTATGACTGAGACGCACCATGAATATCCAAATTCGTTAACATTTTACGCTGTTTTCCTGTCCCAGCGGCAGCCAATATTCGTGTACGAGCCCTAGACGAGCCCCTTGATACATTTTTGGCATTCCTCAAGTGTGAGTCTCGAGTCGTTGGAGGGACCCATGTCCCTGGAATTGACCCTTGCTTTGTACATACGTTGCACTCACAAAAGACGTCTCCAGCAGTTCTCGGCATCACATGATACACAGTGCCCGATGGTGGACACAAAAATCAAACAGATAGACACAAGCCAGCTGCCGTTTGGTTGTTGCAGTGGTTGGCTTAAGACCTAAGAGGTAACTTCCCGAAATGAACTAAGGTGATGCGCAAAGCTGTGTAGCATGACGCTTCTGATTTTCGCATATCTAGTTTCGTTCGTGCAGCTCCAATTACGGATGAATCCAAAATGCTCAAATATTTACATATCAGAATCGGTTCAAATATCTCCGAGTACATCCAAACAGGTACCTACTGTGGATCCAAAATTTTGACCCCTTTACGCAGTGAATGTTAGGGATCATGCTGACCTATCACTTGGCTTATCAATCTCCTATTCTGATAGGCGGTAACTACACACCAGAGTGTGATATAAACCGGTAATCTATTTGTCAGATCTGTTTACCGGTCGGCCATCAGGTCCCATCCAAGACAAGTGCCCTTTCGACCCGTTTGACGCGAACGGCAAGAGCGTTCGCAGACTCCGGAAGTAACTAGAAACAGTACTATTGGGTAGCAGCTGCCATCCCCGAAGCACTGGTCGCGTGAATGGTGATTTCAACAAACCGGGGGACCTGGAGTTATTACACCAGCACTACGGTGTCCTCGGTCACTAGAAAGGCCGCGCAGCGGCCATGACCTTGCTTGTGGGGATTTAATACTTTTACGGGGGTGCTTACTGCGTTTTCGGACAGTTTCAAAGTGAATGACCTAGCTGGCACTTTCTTTCTTAATGTCCCCGCCCAACGATTCAGAATCAAACGAGATCACCTTGAAGCCGTCATTGGCGGTCGCGTTGATTGGACATGCCGTGCAAATCCAATGGGTAGATCTGTCGACGTATTCCATGATTTGGATCATGGCTACGTCGATTCGCCTATCCGTGTCGTCTGTGATGTCTAGGAAAGAATTGGTCTTGTCCCAATCGATCGCATAGCCTTTAACATGCCCGCTGGCCCAAGAGATTCCCAGAGTGTAACAAGGTGATGGGAGCTGGAGCTACAGATGAGTTTCGGGAATAGCCGCCTGCCAGCTAATTCCTTCAGGAGGCTCTAATTAATCTAGCATATCCTGCCAACTAAGTCTTTATAGATAACCACGAGAACCAAACCATTCTGGAACCGAAACCGGACCGTTGAAATATTGTCATGCTCCAAACTCAGTTGTTGGTTAGGCAAGATCCCAGCCTCTGCTAAGTACCTTGCAAGCAAGGTAATGTAAACATGATCATTATGTATGACATGTCATTAACGTCTACGTAAAGAGAATTCCGTTATTGTCAGCTGCCATGTGGCACTTGAGCCCATGCTTCAAGCCTGATAGCACAATTTTGCGGCTTAGTTCATGTACACTGGCTGAAGGACGAACAATGGCACCTTTACAATGATCAGCATGTCCCAGCAAGATGGCAGCGCTCCTTCATGCATGTGAGTGGCATCTCCGATGCATCCCTACATGTGTGTGCCCAGCCACCTGAACACCGTTTTCGGCATCGACCAGTTCCTGGAGCTGGATACGTGTCTTCAGGCTTTACTCTACAACGCGTTTTTTCGGAACTCCAACCTAAGTGAGGTCGGTCGCAACACGTGTTCTTTGTATTTGCCTAGCCAAAGATTTTCGCGTGATTTCGGTCAGGATCTTCTCTTCTCAGCTCCACTACCTAAATAATGGGAAACAGCACTCAATTGAGGCTATAGGGTATACTATTTCTAGAGGCTAGAATCCTATCGATCTAAGGGTACACTATACAGGGAGCTGCATATGGCTTAACGGTGTCCCGCCCCTGTGCTGCCTGGTGGCGACAAATCCAGAAATGCGTGAATGCGATCAGGGATGACCCCAATGAGCCTTTGCACTTCATTGTCTGTTGGTGGGTTCACGAGTATGTGCAGGAAGACGACGTTGTAGGACTCACCCATTGACATCGATGGATCGGATGCCCCTAAATCCCGCAACACAGTCACCAGAGTCTGGAAGATATCAAGGTCCCCTACTAGCCTGCCAAACTCGGCTTCGTCGGCGGGCAAAGTAGGGGATCTTTGGATCTCGTGCACCATCACAATAGAGGCGTCCAAGACATGGAGCTGGAAAGCTTGGAGTAAAAATAATGAAACGCTAAAATCTGGTAGAATACCCACCGAGAGCGAGACGTCCCTGTAAACGGTGGACATAGGGGAGAAGACGGCCTCCGCTTGGCTCTGGCCCGTCACGCTCGCAGACGGAGAGATCACAAGCTTGAGCAACGCCGCCATCCCGTTTGCCGCCTGCACAGCCTTTCGGCGCGCCTCAGTGGTTACTCCCTCTCCAGACATGTCCACAACTTGAGGGGACTCAAGCAGAGCATTTTGCAAGCTGATCATCGCCGCATACATCATTACCTCCGCTGAAAAAAGGGCTGGGTTCGGTCTACTGGCAAAGATCGTCTCCCCGTTGGGATTCTGAGTTTGGGGAACTGGGCGGCCAAACCAAGTTCGCTGTACTCCCCACTGACAAGGTCAAAGTTACTATTCAATGATGGCATCGTTTTTTGACATTCAAAGAGAGATGCCTCGAAAAAATTGAATACTTTCCGGAATGGAACGCATGAGGAGTTAGTTTGAGCATCGCCTAGCAGGCGGTGAGTCAGAGTGTAAAAATCGTTTCCGTGTAGACATACACCTATTGTGCGTACGGAAGAGCCGTATGCCCTCGAAAAGCAATTCCATCCTGGCTCTGAGACAAACATGATCTGTTTCTCTACTGAGGTCGAATATGCCAAAATTGAGAAATATATTAGGTGAGGCCCAATGATGAATCCAATTGGAGTTGGAGGCTTGCAAGGCATTGATGGGCAAATCCTGGAAGCCGATGCCACATGCAGATCTATGGATTTCGGCAAGCGCCTATGTGAGGGTGGCCTGTGTCAGTTTACAACGACCAGGTTCGGAATTGGGCTACTCACATCCTCAGGCAATGAGCTGGGCAGTCCTGATTCTCTTGTGAGTATGCGATCCGCCACGTTCAACGCGAACCAGGCGTGCCTCTGTTCAATCATCTCGAGATCGTTTCTGGGAAGAGACAGTAAGCCTGCGCTGCCACTTTGACGCTGGGCTGCAGTCAATGGTTGCAGCCCGCAGGCGATAGCGAATCGAATGGCACCGGATAAGGTTGTATAAGCTTCGGGATATCGACGATTGCGGGTGAAGTAAACTCCAAGCAGAGTCGAAGCGAGGAGGAAGTCCACAAGACGATCAACGAAAGCCAGTGATACCTCTAGATCCGAGCGCGTTCGAGCTACGAAGAAGGGCTCGTGGGAAGACATGGAGCCCCCACCAACATGACAAGCAAGAAGGTACATTGAATTCAAAAGGGAGGGGTGAAAGGTTTTCCCACTGGTAGGGGAGGAAGGCATGCCTTTGAGCAGCGTTGCAACAAGCGGTCCAAAATGGAATTGGAAACGGTGAGCCAAAAAGATGCGAAGACTAAATGTTTAGTGCAGTCAGGCGTGAAGTGCGACCTGGATGGGCATTTACGTACAGATAATCTTTGAGTTGGTGTGGCATTTCCGTCCGAATGTCCCAATTCGCCAGAGCGCGTTCTACTGCCACACGGGTGATAACTCTTGGGTAAGCCTCTCCTGGATGATAAAATGATTGATCTTCTGTAGATGCGAGTGAAATATTAGAGGAAAGAGTCGATATAGGGAATATGGGTATGGTCTCGGGGACATGGGATGCGTTGGGGGCATGGAGCTCCTGCATCCACTTGAGCTGAGGCAAAATGGCTGGCCGAGCGCTTCGTAAGTTTGAATAGGTTTCAATGCCTCCTGAACCTTGAATAGATTTGAGTGCAGCTATTTCGCTCTCCAAGCTGTCTATCGTTTCTTGTAGCTTTCTGACTCTGGCCCTAGGAGTTCCCTCTGCATACTCGCATGGCTTCCCAAGCCTAAGACATCGGCCACACATCGGCCTTACACCGTCGCATTTCTGGTATTATAAAGGATGTGGTCAGAGTTGGGTATGCAATCATGAGGACATCGTTTCTCACAGTTTTCCTGTGGCGGCACACCAGGCATGCAAGGCCTGATTCAAGCAAGTCATGACGTTTTCTAGGGATCTTCGAAGTCGAGGCAGACATTGGAGTTTGAGAGCATGAAGGGGGGATATTCGATGTGGGCCGCATTTATCGACAAACCAACAATATGACCATGGGAAATGAAACCGAAATCATCGTAGTTGTGCATTCAACATGATGTCGCAGGACTAAAATCCAGAAGCGGTGCACATTGAATATCACGGCCGAACCCTCAAATTGTGTGCGTGCGGGGGAAAGGGGGGGCAGTTAGGGGTTCTCGCGTGCAAGCGGCGGTCAGATGAGTCGGAGAGGTCGAAATAAAGGGCGGGCTCGTCAGCTTGAGACGCATTTGGACACGAGATGTTTTGGCTTCAAAAAAAGTCGTCCTTCCATTAGACCAGATGGAGATAGATGGCTGTTAGAAGATCCTATCTCCCTAGAGACATTTGTGGCTCCTGGAACCGCAGCTGAAAGTGGTAACGCTAGGGGGAAGTTTTCGCGTCGCGAAAGAGTGAACAGGAAAGGCATCACCATGGGTAAACTGTGACTCACGGCCGTAGTGTATTCCCATTACAGAAAACAAGATGCCGAATTAGACACCCGAAAATTGTAGAGTGTAGCCGAGCTCCCAAAATCCAATCCAAACTATGATGTTAAAACTTGTCCATGAATCACAGTCGCACGATTTAACTCTTGAGAGCCGATATATTACCATTTAGCCTGTTTCCGAAACTTGGGAGCTCGTAACCATGGTGTACCGACCCCAGGACCTAGTATTCGCCCCACCCGCCAGAGCTGTTGGGCCGCACTTGGTTGCAATGCGGACCTCTACCGATCGCGTGAAGTTCGATTGACTCCGCGTGCGACGAGCTGCGGTCTGGAAAGTGAGGATGGAGACGTAGGGGCCAGCAAGGAAGCCCGACACCAGGTGGTCCATATTCTAGCCAAAGTTTTGAAGCACAAAATTAACTGTCTGCGCTAATTCCTTTTTTGGGGTTTGAATTGAACGACCATCCTTATGCTCAGGCTGTGAGCTGGCGGCGTTTCTCATCCTCCGCGTCCATCAAAACTCCGCGGCAAGCATTGTGCTGTGTAGTAGGTGCACACGATAGCTTTGGAGCGATCAATGTGTACACTTGAATTATTTAATCATGTCGATCGTAACGGGTGATCTAGGGAGCACAGAAATTTCATCACGATTTACGAAATTCCTGAGAACAAGTGGAAGCGCGTAGCAACTAGTCTCGGAATGGCTAAATGGAGGAAAAATGAGTTTGATAGTTCATTCTTTCATGGAGAACCCAATGCCTTTGTCTCTTCTTTTTGCGGCTATCCATGTTCTTGATCGCCTGGAACATCCTAATCTTGAGTCTCCGCCCGCCGACTTGAGGGAATATTATGATCTTATGACACAAGAGCATCTACGTATCCCTTCCCCAGTTCTGCGATCGTTTAAGGTTGGGGTAGAGGATGAGGTATATAACCGACACTCTCCAAGCGATCCGGATGCACCACGTCTTGGCTGAACACTGAATGTGTGTCGGAGGAAGGGCCCTGGATGCGGAAGCTGAATTTAAGAGTGGAATTGGATCAGTTGACCATGAAGATATGGAGCCTACCACGTATTTTGCTCACGAAACAATAAACAGTCTTTAGAACTGAGTGAGTATGCTGAAAGAGCATAACTTCGGTGAGATTTAACAGCGACAACCGGGGTCATTTTCATTCCGCCATTTGTCAGGCTTCAAAGAGATTCTTGCAAAGAGTGTAATACGGTGTCGGCAAGTGTTGGTGCTCCGTTCTGATAGAGGCTGGCGATCATCCTTTCGGCTCTACTATGGTGGCTCGTCCAGGCCGTGGGGATACAGATCCTCGAGTACGGTGATGATTAAGAGAGAGAGAGAGGAATATTGCGGGATGCGCATTCAAGAAACCAAAGGGCAAGTCAAAGAGCCATTTCCAAGCTTTGGCCAGACACTGTTAGCCCAAGCTGAATACCTCAGATATTCACGAGCCTGCGCGCTAAGGACGATAGGACTAGTCACAAATATTTCACCAACACGGCTAATTTTGCCATATGGCGCGTGGTTGAGGTTACGAATTTAGCGCTAAATTGCACCAAAACACCGAAGAAAATCCGAACTCACTGTACCCAATTCATGATACGGAGTAGCAAACTTTTTCCTTCTCTGCTGGAATTATAATTTGATAAGGTACTGGAATGTTGCTCCGCTACTATTGGAAATACTGAGCGGCCACCTACTGCATGAAAAGGCAATGACTACAAGCGCTGAAGAAAGGCATCTCAACTTCGGAATGAGGACTGAGGGAAAAAGAAGTGGCAAAAAGCTTCATCTTTATGTCACGGCGTGGGTATTGGCTCAAGGTGACTATGAATTTCCCATCCGTCAAATAGAAATGAGGCGATAATACCGTAACGGAAATACGGTGATTTTCCAGCAGCTGCAGCCAGGACCAACGCAGGAATCGCTGACACTTGGACACGAACTTCACTCGAGTTCTGAAGTGAGGCTTACGTCATCGTCAACATCGTCGTGTTTGTCATGGACATTTATACATGATTTACCTTTCCTACTCCGGCAGCCCTGGAGAAACTCCTGGTCTTGCTGTGAAGCTGCGACATTTGCACTCCACAAGTTTCCTCCTCCCCCCGGCTCTTTATTGCGTCCTTTAGTGTCTAACACGGCAGGCCGCACCGCAGCCTGTTCACGCATATGCTATCGCTGTTAGTGATAGACTCGCTTCTGCGCTGCGTTCCAGTATTGCACATTGTCATCTCCCCATTCTTCCACATCTTCTTATGCAGTGCGGCATCAGACTGCCCGCTCCGCCGTCTCTCCCGAACGGACCCGCCCAACAGTCACGCCTCAATAATTGCCTCGTTCCTTCCAGAGCGTCATTCAAAGCCATCTACGGACCCCGTGCAGGGCACTGCTCAACCTGTGGGTCGCCTCGTGCCGCAAGACTACATGCGACCTGTTTTCGCTCGTTTGCGTCTTTGTCCTGGCTGTCTTTCCTCTTGTGCTCGCGCTTCTCCTTCGACTGTCTGACCCCCCTTCTAGCTGGACTGTAAGGCTCGACGCTTCGCCATCACATGGTGAATCTACTACGCTGGTAACGTGTGCCCCTTCCCAATTGTTCGCCCTGGCTAAGATCCTCGTCATTGGCATCACGGCCTCTTCTGGATCTCTTCTGGATTGTTAGGAGGCTCTGGAACCTGAGCTTTTACGATTACGTCGAAAATCCTCCCAGACAGCATTAATAATTCACCGTTGCGTCGGCTTCGTGGAGATATTGTAACCTATTTTCTTTTGGTATTCCGTTCTTCTTTTACTCCACTGCGTCAACATCCCACCTGCCATTTTGTGGGATGTACGGCCGGCATTGGTTTCCGGATTGTGGAGACCCCAGACTCTTGTCGCCTCGGTCCCTCAATCTTAGTAGGGCTTTCACTCATGCAACGACTGGCCTTGACAGCCTGATCTTATTGCGGCAGATCATTCCAAGTAAGGATAAATCATGAGGACCTCTTTCGTCCTCGACATGCATTTTATCCACTTTCGGTTGCGGATGTTTAACGCATGATGGTCGGCTCACGGTTCACAATGTCGGATTACACACATAACATGTTGCCCCTGAACCGTGTTCACTGTCAACAAAACCTGATCGACTAACTGAATAACGTGGCAAGTTTAGTAAGGTACATGATTCCCAGCCTTGTGGTGTTGGCCGCATCTATCGTCTCTGCGTGGGGTTGTTGTTCCTACAAATTCTTACAGACACCGACTAGATCGTGATTAGTTCCGGCCGTCGGAAAAGTCCATCGAGTATACGAGGAATTATTACGCCTTACCTGGGAATGCCAAACGCAGGAGCATGCGGAGTGCGTGAATGCAATTCAGGATACTTTCACGGGATCGGCAGCCTCATATCCGATCCGTCAAGGAATGACGTCTGCATCAAACCAGTAGTTGGACCTCGAAATATCGCATTTCTCCTAGAACTTTTCATCAAGAAGCTCGGTAGTTCATGACCGGTTAATGGGCGATCAATACACTTGATGGGCGCCTTTGTTCAATGTGTTTGTTTTGGGTACACATGTCCTGATAAGATGATGTTCAGGTCGCTTGACTTGAATAGCATTTACTGTGCCTTCTCACACTTGTGACGTGGGTATGGGCATCTGAGCACCGGGCAATGTATCTGAAGCGGACTAGTTCCCGGGGCCTGCGCTCTATTCCACGACATTGCGCATCCCGGCTCAGGATTTCCATCCATAGCTAGCCCCGGCGGCTCCGGCTCAGTGGATGGTTTCGTGTCTAGTGGTTGTTTCTTTATGAATGACTAAGAAAACCATCCAATTGGTACATACCAGTCTAGGTGTACTGCCTCTGTGTTAACACCGCAGAGTGAGAATCCCCGCTAAAGGGTTCATGATAACGTATGGGATCATCTTCTGTAGGTCGGGCATGCTGGCGAGCAATGGCTGGTCTGAGGATTCGCCCATGTGCCTCATTAGTTGGAGAAATTGCATGCATATGCGAGCAGGGGACTAGGCTATGCATGATGGGAAATGATTTGCAGATTGACATTAATTGTGGTGGGTTGGAAGTCCCCAATTCAGTCACTAGCGTCTGGAAGATTTTATACTTAGTAGCTAGCCACGTTCGTCTTCATCGCACGACATCCAGGGCGTGACCATTTCCAATGTTTTCAGGGTGCGACATCGGGGCGCGGGCAGCGTCACTGCAACTTCTGGCATCCTAAGGTATAGGCCCCAAAAGGACCGCAGATTGAATAGCCAAACCCTCAAATCTTTGTAGGGCACGCACTAAAACTAGTCAGGCTCTAAAACAGAGTCCCCCTCTTCTACTCTATGTAACTCCGTTACCCGTAACGGAGAAGCACTCGGAGATACCTGTTTGATTTCCAGATGTGAACAAAGAATACTCCCGTCCAAACGGGCACGGTCTGACAACTCAGGAGTGTCAGAGGACACCTGGCCAGATGACTCAGAAATCAAGACATGTATATAAGGAGATGGAACTAGATGAACAATATAAGCACCCATCTTTGCGGGCACTGGCACTGTGGAGGACTCCAATGCTTCGAAAAAGTGCTTGTGTTGAAGAGACAACCCAGGGAGCAGAACCAGAATGAACAGATAGTGCATTGCCATGGCCAAAGTTACTTAGCCTCATCCCCATCCCTGTTACGGAAGGTGTTATGCTGAGCACCCCAAAAATACAAGCGCCCGAACCCAGCTCGGACTGCGGTGTTGGGAGTCGGGACTCGTCGCGTAACTTGTCCGGCGGCCATCAAGCCGTCCGCCCCGTCGGCGGCGTTGGCATCCGAAACTTGGGGGACTAGAGCAATAGTGCAGCAATCCAAAGAACTGGCTTCGATCTCTCGCCGCCTGTATTTGGTCGGACCCTCATTCCCACGGACTCCCAACCCCATAAGGATAAGGTTCAATTAACACCAGAAAGTTAGCCTCAGAGAAGCAATTTACATGGATGTCCGACACCGAATAAGCCTTTCCATGTCTAGAAGCCCTCGGGCAGCCGCGAAGTTAAGGTCGGGAAACACGCTGCATAGATGTCCGACACCGGATGAGCTATGCTGCATGCAGTTCAAATTCATGCCAGAAGCCAAGAAGTCCTGAAGATTATGATGAGGTGGTTGGGTAGGCTGGGTTGCCCACTGACTTATCCTGTTGTGATTTTTGGTTGGGCAGTAAAACCTCGGGCTGCCGTTATCCCCTTCGGGCATTCATTGAACCCGCGACTATTACTGTGCTGTGTGGATCCACGCTGTAGCGGGCGTGTACATCATTAAGTTAATCCGAAGGAACATTCACGATTCGCGAAATCAATGGAATGGCAACTCGGAGTGGAGGGCCCAAACGGGGGAAGCTGATTGGGGCGGTCCAGCGGCAACAAACATTTTTGAATGACGGGTGCTGTGAACTAGCGCCTTCACATCGTTAGAAGTATTCCCGCTATCTTTAGGGAGAATGACGGGTACAAGATCATCGTCCGTATCCAGCCCTTCTTCCGAGTTGTTGTCATCCTACTAGACAACGATACAACGGACATCCTATCCCCAGGCGATCTGACTGCCCCATTGCCTTGGAGCAGAATGAGGATGATGGAGGTGGTGGTTGATCGGAGCTGCTGAAAGTAGGTTGCCTGTAGTGGGACCCGCGACCGTGATCGGATGACTAAATCCTATCGAAAGAGGGTCTGGACGCCGAAGGGGTACTTGGGGCCGAAGACAAGTCTTCCAAAGTCTCAAACCCCAGCCGGCTGCCGCCTTTTTCCCAGCGTCCAAGATTTGATCCACGCAAGTATCTGTCGGCAACGTAGAGGGCCGGATATCAAGCAAGTAAATCTGGCAATTTCAACCCATCTTTCCCATCTGAGGGCCAGGAACTAGATGCGCTCAATGGGCGCAACCAGCCTTCGCTCGCTTGTCTGGCGTCCTTATGCTTCCATCAAAGCCGCCTTTGTGGCAAATGATTCAGCCTTAAGCGAAACAATCGCTTCGGTGGAGCGATACAGTGGTCCGCTAATGTATCAGTGGGTGGCGATGAAGAACGGGGAGAGGGGTTCATAACATAGGAGTGAGAGGGAGTGAACGAGTAGGAGAAACAAGAGAATGATCTAACATCGGTAAGGTCTGGGGAGGCGGTGAAGACGGGGTGGTCTTAGGTTGTCTACCACGTTTGAAACCCTGTGTGGGGGCGACAGCTGGCCCATTCTCCATCAGGCTCATGCGCTTCGCATTTTGGGATGTAGACGTCTCTAGCGTACTGACGCGCTCTGATTAATCCAATTGCAACCGAATAATGCTCTTACTGTCTTCCAGCTTAGAACGGAGCATGGAAAGTGGCCGCTCACTTTCAGTATATGTATTTCTGTTCCGTTTGGCCTCCGCAAGCGTCTGTGCGTACTCTTGCCGCGTTGAATTTCTCCGCAATCTCCGCGTTGCGCAATTCAAGCACGGCGTGGTGCAGGGCGGTCGTGAAGTGGTCGCATTCGCGCTTCGGGGGGAGGAGTGACACTTCGTCATGGAGCCCGCCATCGAGTGTCCCAGTGGAAGACGTTGGGTAATTGAATGAGTAGTGTTTCCCGTCACTCTCGTGGGAATGGTTAGTTCAACGCATGTATACTTTTGTAGAAGCTGGGATCCTGCGTATGACGCGTATCAACGGAGAGAAATATAGATTGTACAGCAGCAAGAAACAATGATTTCGGATGATGAGCGTGCACAAATGGTTCTGGGACAATTGACGACGTGGAAGCTTAGACTCTTTGACGCGGTAACAACACACTTCGCTCCTAAGTCCACGTGAGGTACACTTATGGCCACGTAAGGAAAAGTGTCACATTGACGTAATTTCGAGGTAGCTTAACAGGTAGCACCTGCCGCGCAATTAATGGGTCGATCAGGTTCTGTCACAGCTGTTTTAAAAAATCTGCTAGTTTCGATTTCATCGGGGAGGTATACATCACGAAAATCCGACAGGCAACTGGAGCAAAGTCCCCTGGTCTAGAGCATTCCGGAGGCTCCAGAGCATCTGGGAACACCAGTCCGATTGTCGTGATGTAGGACAATCACAAAGTTGGCGAGGTCATGGGTACCAGGGTCCTAATTTGCCGATTGTGGTACAGAGCGACTTCTTTCGTTAAAATCGGAATCAGCAGAATTTTTTGAAAACAATGAACACAGGAGAAACATGGTAACATGTTGTGTGTGGAAGCCAGCTATGAGCTGACCATGCATCAGATATTCGCAATGAAAGGTGGATAAAACTGAAAAAGGCCCGGTGCCCTCAGGATTTTATTTACTTGGAATGTCAAGACTAGCGCGAAATCATTAACGTTGGAGGGACCGAGGTGTAAACAAGAGTCACTGGAAGTCTCCACAGTTCGTAAGTCAATGCAGTGCTAGAAGAGACAAACGAGTCACAATTTCTTCACGGAGCCGACTCGGCGGTGCTTTTTTGAGAGGCAGCGCATAATGTGCGAAATCCGTGCAACACGATATCAACCAGGATCGATAGCAGACTCGTGAAAAAAGCATGAAAGCTCGAGTTTCAGGCTTCCTAATAATCGAGAGAACGTGGTGATGCCAACATCGATGGTTAATAGACAGTGCGAACAGCTTGGGCGGGTTACACGTTATAAGAGCGGGACTTACCTATTAGAATAAGTCAGCGCTAGACAAGTATTTACAAGGTATCGGCCAAGACGATGTAGACGAGATCAGTTCAAGATACGTGAATGGAGGGAGAGAAAGAAATAGCCGCTTTTTAAGCGTTCAGCGTTCATGTTTATAACAAGGAAGATCATAAGGACCATGCATGTCCACGGGCGGTCACGTAGGCACGTCGACCTGTAATTAAACATCACCATGGGATGGCGCCCCAGCTCAAGTCAAGCCTTGGGCCAGCAGTTCAAAGTCATCCTTCAAGTCCTCTGAGTGCATCAGAATCGCTAGCCAGTAGTCAACCGATCATTGCATTAGTCCAGCCACAAGTTTTAAGAGGTCAGATCAGTAAGGCGAGAGCCGACGTATAGTGATTTCCTCCCGGACATCGCTCAAGCTAGTCCGCGTACGGGCCATTTGAAACCAGAAACGCAGAATCAGCCAAAAAAGCCAGGAAGACGACACTATTAGGTCCTAATGTTATAATAGGATGAACTTTTGACCCTCTATTTGCCATTGTCCCTGACGACTTTGAGAGGATGCTTCTCGGCGGATCTACTTCGAATGGCGGCAGCCGTTGGGGTGGGTGGAATGACTGAGGTACACACCCTTCAAGGCAGTGAGAACACGAAGTCCAACCGGAGATCCCCCATGTTCTCCTTCTCTCCTATACTTAGGGGGCACGGTAGCACCGTGTTGATGCGCCGGACGTTGTACTGAGCTCCATTGGACCAGTATTTCTCAATATTACGGAGTCATAGAGGCTGGAGTCCTCCCCAGTGACTCACAGGTTCACTTTGATGTTGACTCGCGCAATCGAGGAATCCGCGTCGTAAATCGTTGGATGAACTATGGGTGAACGCCGATGAGATATTGGGTCTCTTGGATGAATTTCCATGCCGCCTTACTGAGATCAAGCCCGCACCCTTGGGTATCCCCTCGTTCTGAGGGACCAACATAGGCCAGGCGCTAGTAATACGCGGAAATTAACGCCATTACCACTCGCGAATCACACATATGACGTGCGGAAATGATGCTCCGGTGACCGCCATGTGTCACTCATTACATCAAGAAGCGCATCCCATGCTGCACTAACGTATAAAGTTAGTTTAACTTTCCACGAGGACTTGTGATTCCGTTTTGATCCAACCTCGCATGGTTCATGGGCGCTTAACTGATTGTGCCTGCTCGGACTGCCGCGTACCTCGTGTTATTTGCATTATCGAAGTCCATTTATCCTGGGTCTCGCGTACCAACACCACATAGCGTGTGCATCTACCGTACATTGGCGGCTTCGGATGCCCGGGGAGTCCGTCCCCATTCACCCCATCTTTGGGCTCCTTATAGTCTCTTTGTATCTCTGCTTCCTCGGGTTTTCATTGTCAGGCACCATATTCCTTCGATATCCTTGATCCAAGAATTGAATGATTTCGGGCATGACGATTGAAGACCGCAATAACAATAATGACAATATTCCCCCTTTGAATTTGGGAACGTCGGTCGCCGGATCTAGTGAAGTGGTTGTCACATCGAGCCGCCACAGATGAAGCTTGACCAACTCACTACCCTACATAGATGTCGGCTATGAAGCCGTGGTAAATCTCCTAATCGGAACACGAGCTTACAATCCTCATCGTGCCACCGCCAACATGTACGGCCGCCCTGGCAGCCTGAGGCCTCTCTGACCTACGAAAAATTTGCGGCTTAACCGCTATAACAATACGAACTCAATTCCAAGTGGCACAAAGGACAGTGTGATGCTACTGAAGTCATTTACGTGATGTCATTTTCTTGTATAATCTGACCATGTGGCCCCCAGATTTTTTCGGTCCAAAGGATCCACCTCAGAGTGAGTTTACCCAAAAGATTGTGGAACTATTGCCACGGACACGAGGCCGAGGTAATTTACCTTTTCAACGGATTGCTATACAGGGTATACAGGGAACGAAGCGACGCCGTGTTGCAAACGAACCAGTACCAGTAGCAGTACCAGAAGACCAAGTTCTGCTTTCAGTCAGAGCGCGAAACGCCCTCAGTATGTATTTGGCCCAGCGGAGTACGGTTATTACTGGTTGGTTGGTGACACACCATAGGTCTCGAGCACAGAGATAATAGTGAACAGCGCCGAAAAGGCACCCTACATAAATCAGTGTTTCGATGGCTCCGCAAAGACCATTGCCGGCTCTTTTAACGCGTTCAGCATCGATCTACTTCATCCGCTAAGTAAAGCGCCTTCCTCTTGTGAGGGGTATCTGGGGAGACATAACCATAACCAGCGAGCGCAATCCGTCGATTGTGACGAACGACGACGCATCAAAACAATGGTTAAACTTGTATATGCAATCCTACACTCCTCCATCCAGCGAATCCATCAACACCGTCGAGATGATGCCAGAAAAGAGCGACTCAAGTCGAGCGGAAGATGCCAATATCCCTGATCGTTTCCTCGGCAGTTCCCCCGCTTTGCACAAGTACCAAGAGCAGCGAAAAACCCATCAGATTGAAGTGTCCAAGCCACAATAAGAAAAGTGTCAGCTAATTCATGACAACTCGGATGGTTCCGCAGGGTGCCACCTGCAGTTATATTTGGACCACGATGAGAAATTCCGTCTTGAACGACACCGTTGAAGACATGTTGGATGAACAAGCCATGACGACGCGCCGGTACGCATATCATGCTCATATCAGTTATTGATATCATATCCTTTATCCATATACTACATGTTTCACTGTTTGGTGACGCCACTGGCACTACGTTCCACATGTAGCACTAATTCGCAACATATTTCTTGTCTGATATGTATCTTGTTATTGCCTTAGCCACTTATACCGCTGCGTGGTTACAACGTTATGAGAGATGATCTTTCCCCCGTCGTTCGAGTGTCCCCCGGGCTGAGTGGCTGTATAATAATAAGATGAATAGCAGCTGGAACAAAGTTGACCGCAGTAGCCGGGGGAATGGTACAATGATAGGGATGTTGATGCACTTTGAGCCAGTTGTTCGGATAGCGCAAGGTGATGAACCATGGGATAACGGGTGGCTCCGTCAATTCAGCAGATGGGCATGCACGACCCCTTCCCAGCATCATGAATACAAATCCCCACAATGAGATGCAGTTGCATAATTCGTTGAAAGCACATAGAGTAAGTAAAGACTCCCATTTTGCATACTTTGCATTGCCCAAAGAGATAAAAATGGGTGTGCACCATACAATTGAAGTATAAATTGACCCGGAAAAATTCATCAGTATTTTTTATCGGAAACGTATTCCATAGGAGAGAGGGTGTGCGATTGATAGATACATACATAAGGTGATGAAGAAATGATGATAGGAAGAATGCGAATGCATAACAACATAATAGATAGCCAGTTGATTGACAACGGAGAAAGGATAAATATGTAATCGAGACGATTGATGCCAACTCCGCTACCATAAAGCTTACGTATGTAAGCAAGGCCAAATATTGTGTGGTAGGTTCGGGATAATGCAGGATGTCAACTGGTCGCGCAACTCGTACGGCGGCCATGGAGCCACTCGCCGGCAAGACGATGTTGGCATTCAGCCTGTGTCCGAAGCTTCTGCAGCAATAGTGTCAATCCAAAAAACTGGCACCAGTCTCACAGTCACCAGAGATGCTGGGCTGCATTTGCAATTGTTCGGGCCCTCAATCATTCCCCCTCTCCAATAGACCCATAGTAACAGCGCAATACCGCAAGCTCAGAGAAGTGGTTTGCATGGACGCCCGATACCGAATAAGCTGTGCCATTTCTAGAAGTCAGTCCCTCTATCTATAAAGGCTGCTTCAGCCTTATGTTGCATGGATGTACGACACCGAATGAGTCTGTGCAGAATTCATGGAAGCCAAGAGGTTCCTGGAGATCATGATGAGTTGGCTTGGGTGCCAACTGACTTTCGATTGAATGATAAAACCAGTTAGGTTAGGAGCCAGTAGGAACCATTATCCCCATTATCCCCATTTAGCGTTCATACTATTATTGTGCTGTGTAGACGTGCGCTGTCGCGCTCAAAAATCGGCGTGTATACCTTCATTAAGTCCGTCGTAAGAATGAACAAGTGACAAGGGAACATTCGTAATCATCACGATTTGTGAAACAATGGAATGGCAACTCGGAATGGAGGGGGCCCAAAATGGGGGAAGCCGACTGGGGCGGTCCAGCCACAACGCTTTCGCTAGATGTCGCTTTCTGCGGCAACAAATGTATCTGGATGTCCGCCGCTGTGAACTGGCGTCTTCACATCGTCAGAAGTATTCCCGCTGTCTTTAGGAAGAATGACCGGTACAAGATCATCATCCGTATGCGGCCCTTCTTCCGAGCTGCTGTCAATCGTCCTACTAGACAACGAGGCAACGGACATCCTATCCCCAGGCGATCTGGCTGCGCCACTGTCTTGGCTAGATACCGAAGGATTCGAGACGTGGGGAAAGGCGAACGCGGAAGGTGCTACTTTTGAGAAGAAGCCAAGCTTGGAGCGGAATGAGGACGGTGGAGGTGGTGCTTGGTTGATCGAAGTAGCTGAAGATAAAGGCACATTGCCTGTCGTGGGGGAGCCATCATACATGTACGATTGAGTTCTATCGATAGAGGGTCTAGACAACGAAGGGGTGCTTGAGGCCGAAGATGAAGACGAGTCCTTCCAAAGTCTCAAACCCCAGCCAGCAGCCGCCTTTCTCCCAGAGTCCAAGCTTTGATCCCCGTGTTTATCCACGCCAGTGTCTGTCGGCAATGGAGGGAGCTGGATATTAAGAAAATCTGGCGACTTCAACCCGTCTTTCCCATCTGAGGGCGAGGAACTAGATGCGATAAATTCTCTCAATGCGCGCAAGCAGTCCTCGCTCGCTTGTCTCGCCTCCTTTGCTTCCATCAAAGCCACCTTTGTGGCAGACAATTCAGCCTGAAGCGAGGCAATCTCTGCGGCGGAGGGATGTAGTTGGTCCGTTAATGTATCAACAGGTGGTGATAAAGAGCGGGGAGAGGGGTTCGTGGCATAAATAGGAGTGAGAGGGGGTGAAGTGGGAGAAGCAAGAGAAATATCCAACACCGGCAAGGTCTGGGGAGGCGGTGAAGACGGGGCCATGAGATTGTCTGTCATGCTTGAAATCCTCCTGTGTGAGGGGTTTCGCGATTGGGCAGCAGCTGACCCACTTCCGCCAAGCTCATGCGCTTCGTATTTTGGGATGTAGAGGTCCCCAGCGTACTGGCGCGCTTCGATAGATCCGACTGCAAACGCATGATGCTCCTCCTACTGTCCTCCAGCTTGGAACGGAGCATGGTAAGCGACTGCTCACTCTCGGTGTATTTCTGTTCCATTTCTACCAGTTTTCCCTCCGCAACATCTGCGCGCGCCTTTACCGTGTTGTAGTTCTCTTCAAGATCCGCGTTGCGCAACTCAAGCTGTGCGGATTTAGTCACGGCGTCATGCAGGGCGGTCGCGAAGTTGTCACGTTCGCGCTTCAAGGTGTCTCGGAGTTCGACGACGATAGAGTGAAGGACCTCAGGATTAAGAGAAGAAGGCGAGGGAAAGGGCTCGTTCTCATGGCTTTTCATAGTGGCGGAGTGTGATACTTCGTTATCGAGTTCACTATTGAGTTGGTGTTCGAGTGCGAGACTTTGGGTAATCGAATGGTGTTTCCCGTCACTCTCGTTAGGTAGAACGGGGGGAATGGTTGCCCCAAGCTCTGGCGCATGGTCCAACACGTCGTTTGGGTGTGGATGCTTCTCCATCCGAGCAGGTTTTAGAAAAGCTACCGCAGCCACACGCGTGTCACGTCAACGGAGAGAAAATATAGGCTGTACAGCGCAAAAACCAATGAAGTCCGACGGTAATCGTGTCCAAATGGTTCTGGGATTGTCGACGACGTGGAAGCTCAGACGTGGTAACAATACAATTCTCCTCGGAGTTACCGCGATCCGTTAAAGAGAGGCTGGTCACCTGCCTAGCGATCAGTACGGGCGGGATGCTTATGTAATGCAAGCATGCACAGCCCTCGATCCGGGACCTTCCAGTCTGGCACTACGTCTTGGCGCTTCCGCCGTCACTCACACCTTAGCCAGTAGCCGCCTGATTCAACTCAGGGATTCTATATTTGGCGTACAATGGGAAAGCTCAAGGACGTCTTCTTGAAACAACCCCCATCGTTTGTGAAGAAGAAAGCATATGATCTTCACGGACAGTTAGGTGAAGGGACATTTGGAAAAGTGCTACGCGCTACTTGGGATCCAGCGAAGGATGACACCAATCCTCCTGGAGTGAAGGTGCTGGGTCAAAGTGATGTTGCGCTGAAGGTCATTTCTAAGAAAAAGGTCAAAGGCAACGAACAACTTGTCTGGGGAGGTTAGTAGATACATTGTTCTGATAAGTCTCGATTAACAATCCATCCAGAAATGCAGGTGCTGAAAGGGTTGGACCATCCCAACATTGTGGGTGTTTATGACTGGAATCATGCCCAGTTCTCATGGGGTCTAACTGAAGGGTGTTTAGGTCAAGTTCTACGAATGGTTCGAATCCCGAGATAAATATTACCTAGCATTTGAGCTTGCTATGGGCGGAGAACTCTTTGAGCGGATATCAAAGCGCGGGAAATTTACAGAGGCGGATGCTGTTGGTGCGCCGCATAGTCAATATTGCGTTGCATTTTCTCAGCCCTTTCCAGCTGTTGTGCGGTCCGTTTTGTCCGCTATCTCTTACCTCCACAAGCACGATATTGTGCATCGCGATTTGAAGTGAGCCTTTCCCATCGGAAGTGAATCATTCTCGTTCAGCTTCTTCGACAGACCCGAGAATATCCTATATCGTAATCAAACTGATACATCAGACGTCGTAATTGCTGATTTTGGGATGTGCGTCTCATCGCCTTATTATCCTCACATGGCATTGAATTCTGCTTCCAGCGCCAAGCACTTGGAAGGGGATGAAAAGCTGATGTCTTTAGCAGGGTCGCTGGGTTATGTCGCCCCAGGCAAGTACATGACTCTTGGCGGCTCCAGATCCTTTATTTCGATTAATCGCCCTTAAAGAGGTTCTGTCACAATCGGGGCATGGAAAACCTGTCGATATTTGGAGTATGGGGTTGGTTGTTACTTTGTTGGTACATGTTTATAACGCTAAGATCCGCGCTTACAAACAGAATCATTACGTATGTAATGCTTTGCGGGTACTCCCCGTTCCGGTCCGATGTCGCCAAGGATATCATCGCGGAGACCACACGAGGCCGAATCGAGTTCCATGAGCGTTATTGGAAAAAGATATCTCAGGAGGCGAAGGACTTTATATCATCACTGCTCAAGACCAATCCTGATGAACGTCCAACCGCGGAAGAGGCGTTGCGGCATGCAGTAAGCATTAATGATCCAGTGTTGCAGATTCTTCTCCTGACCGCGTAGCGCAGTGGCTAACCACCCATATGGCTTCAACCGAGCACGACATTTCAGTCGGTATTAGGGAGAATTTCAATCCGAAGCTCACATGGCAAAATGCAATCATCAAGGTCAGGGCGGCAGGTCGCTTCAACGCGAATGCGCTTATGGCAGCGCAAAGAAGGAATTCTGTTACAAGCTCATTATCTGCGTCAAATGCTAGCATAAGCAATCCCAGCCACCTCAGCACTGCCAGCGGTGGGTGGGCCACTAGCGAGGGCGAGGGCGAGAATGGGGCCCTTCGACGCTCCAATGCAAGCGACCACAAGCTCCACGAATCTCCGGGATCACCACGATTGGACCTGTCTGGACCAGAGGAGAAGCCTAATCCCTCATTTACCATAACTCCAGATACTCCCGTACAAGCTGGTCGTGACCTTACTCCCTACAGCGGCCCGTCTGCTGAAGTACCTGCTCAATCCACGGAATTATCCCATGCAACACACCCTGTCCAAGCTGATGCGTTTAGGCCGACCGAAGGGCGAAGCCGCATGCCCGGCAGCTTCCACGGCGATGAAGATGAAGAATTCGACGAAGCCGCCCCTCAGGTTCATGAGGAACGTAATAAATTGCATGGGCTGATCGGAAGAATGAAAAAATTCGTAGTCGGATAGTCTATGTATCTTGGATTGCTTCATATGTATGTTCTGTAGCTTCATTTCTGTTTTTGTTTTGTGTTAGGTCAGTGCCGCTCGACGTTGATTATGATTTTGCTGTAGGACCTTTTTTTAGGAACGGTACCCTTGTATAATTATACCCTACCTTCGCACTTAGAAGTCAGATCGAGAGCTTCGATGGTATCGATGGTATCCACGAATGATGGTATGAAAGAGGCTGGCACACGCCCAAACAACGGTCGCGGGCTTGGCTGCTGACGCAGTACAAACAAGATGTACCGCCCAGCCCCCCATGCAACATCATATATGATGTTGTCTAGGTGATATTTTTGGTGCGTGCGTACCGGCCAGCCTTCGTACGATCGTGATGCGGAAGATAACTAACGCGAACCCTTCTTCCCATGTGTCGCACAACGCCGCTCATTCTTGTATTTCCTCAATCATGCGCCGCTAATGCTCCTCACGTTGATGAATGGGGCTGGCAGGAGGATGTACACGAGTAGAAGACACTGGCATACGGACACAAACAGGGTCACCGATCAGCATTCTCCGGCCTGTTGAAATTGGACCCTGCCGGCGCCGATTTCGTGACCATGCACTTCCCTAACAAATGGGACATTCAAGTTCTTCCATATGCTTCAGCGCTCAATCACATCTCCTAAAAATCTACTATAAAATGCTTATAACACCAATCTAGGAGCACTAGAGAGACTGCTCCGTTTCCCTGTCTTTCGATCGCAATGGCTGTCTACGAGGCGAATCCGTCGTTCGGCTCTTTTGGCCACGAAAAAGACCTCGAGGTGAACCGTAAGTAATGTGCTAGGAATTTGGACCATGTTCATCCAACCGTGATTTCCAATAGAAAAAGTTTTCCGGGCCACCTATGATGACATGGACGATCCTAACCTCGGGGAATCCCTCGGTCTCGGTGGCCTCGAAGATGACTCCCCTTATCCGGAGGTCAGGTCAGCCGTCGCAAACACTGATGATCCGGACATGCCTGTCTCGACTATTCGGGTTTGGTTCCTCGGAATGTTGATGGCGATTATCATTCCAGGTCTCAACCAGTTCTTGTGCGTACTAGTATTTGGGCCTCTTGACTTTCTCCCTTTGCTAATGGGATATTCTCAGCTTCTTCCGTTATCCGAGTGTTAGGGTGGGCCATTTGGTCGCCCAACTGATCTCCCTACCAATGGGTCGCTTCCTTGCACATGTCCTTCCAGATGTCAAAATTTTCGGTCATGGTCTCAACCCCGGCCCATTCACTGTGAAGGAGCACGTTTTGACCACGATCATGGCGGGCGTGGGTTTTAACAGTGCTTACGCCACAGATATCATTGCTGTTCAACGAGTTTTCTACAATCAACGATGGAATTTTTCCTGTAAGTACCTGCGATCCTTGTGGGCTCTCCATGATGTTAACATCAAACATTTCAGACCAATGGTTCCTTGTGATGTCCACACAACTCATTGGTTTCTCCATGGGTGGCATCACTCGTCGTTTCCTTGTGTCTCCTCCCAGCATGATTTGGCCTGGGAACCTCGGTAGGTCAACGATTTTACCCTCGAATTACCTGCACATTAACACTATTCAACAGTGTACTGTGCACTTTTCAACACACTGCACTCTCAGTATTATGCTGGAGTGGGTGACCGGGGAGGAATTTCCCGCGAACGTTTCTTCCTGAGTGTTTTCATTCTGGGAGGGATATGGTACCTCGTCCCTGGGTACCTCTTTACCGCATTAAGCGCATTTTCGTGGGTTACGTGGATTGCGCCTAACAGCTCCACCGTGAACACATTATTCGGATATTCTTCTGGTCTTGGAATGTCACTGCTGACCTTCGATTGGGCACAAATTTCTTACGGCGGTTCTCCTCTTGCAATGCCTTGGTGGGCCCAAGCTAACGTCATTACGGGTTTCGGTGAGTAACACAATACACACCGATGATTTTTGACCGTAGATCCCCATCCCTCAGTGATTTTCCTCTGGATCATTGCTCCTGCTATGTATTTTTCAAATGTTTGGTATGCCAAGTATCTCCCGATACTGAACAGTCACGCATTCGACAACACCGGTGCAAGGTACAATGTCACACGGATTCTTACACCGGAGAACACTCTCGACATTGCCAAATACAAGGCGTATTCACCTCTGATTCTCCCTATCGTTTTTGCCCTTTCCTATGGGCTTTCATTCGCCTCCGTCACCGCTACTTTGACGCATACATTCTTGTACTTCAGGAAACAGATTTGGGTCCAAAGCCGACGCGCGCTTTCGGAGCAGCCAGACATCCACGCACGACTTATGAGCCGTTATCCTGAAGTTCCCGATTGGTGGTATGCCGTTATCTTCTTTTCAATGTTCGCCTTCGGTATCATCTCCATCGAGGTTTGGCCATCGGGACTCCCCGTTTGGGCATTTGTTGTGGCATTGCTGATCGCTTTCGTGTATATCGTTCCTATTGGAATGATTCAAGCCATCACAAAGTGAGTTTGTTTAACCGTAATGATGTCCCAGCAAGTTGTTCATGATTCCACCCTTAGTCAGCAAGTAGGGCTTAATGTCATCACGGAACTCATCATTGGTTATGCTCTTCCCGGTCGTCCAGTTGCCATGATGATGTTCAAGACATGGGGGTACATTGCCATGGCCCAAGGCCTTATCCTCAGTTCTGACTTCAAGCTTGGGCATTACATGAAAATCCCTCCCCGCCCCATGTTCTGGGCCCAGGTGATCGCCTCGATAGTCGCCCTCACGACCCAGCTTGGAGTTCAGTCGTGGATATTCAGCAATATTCATGGAATGTGTAGTTCCAATGCTGTGAACGGCTTCATATGTCCTGGTACAACGGTCTTCGGGACGGCTTCCATTATCTGGGGTGTGATTAACCCCGAGAACATGTTCGGAAAAGAAAACCTTTATCATCCACTACTTTATTTCTTCCTAATTGGCGCGATACTCCCGGTTATTCCATGGTTTCTCGCCAGGCGCTATCCAAACACCTGGTTCAAGTACATTAACATTCCTGTCGTTTTCACCGGCACTGGTAATATTCCCCCTGCTACTGCGGTCAACTATGTTCCGGCTGCCATCGTTTGTTTCATCTTTAACTACGTCGTTCGCCGACGGAATTTCTCATGGTGGTCCAAGTATAATTGTAAGTGACAGTGGTCATCATCGTCACGAATTGGCTAACGACACTTTTGTTATTGTAGACGTGCTTTCCGCCGGTCTGGACAGTTCAGTCGCAGTTGCATCCGTTCTCGTCTTCTTCATCCTGCAATACCCCAAGAATGGGAGTATCGGGGCAAACACCATCCAAGTTTGGTGGGGAAACACCGTCTATGCGAAAACCCGTGATGGTTTGCAGGTACCGGCACTGACTCCTGATCCTTCCACCGGTACATTTGGGCCAACCAGTTGGTAGATTTTCTGCTTTCTTATTACGAGACATCTTGTGTTGCGACCCTATATATTTTTCTTGAGTCGAAAGGGATTACATCCATATAACGGGTTGGAAGTCAATTGCACTGGTTCAAGAGACCATTGAATGGAACGATCGACCTCAGGCCAACGAAGAGAGGAAGTTACTCGCGAAAATTGCATATATGAATGTATGGTGAGTGGGGCCGTCCTATCAGGGATCACAGAGCGGGACGAAAAAATCTGCGTTCTACTTTACTATTTGCTTAAGAAGCCAGGCTTATGTACTCGTATTTATTGGAGAACTGTAGCGTACTACGTGCGTCTCATAATTTTGTACATACTGAGTATTCTTTTTTCGGACTAGAATACTCGCCTTGCTTCGCAAAACCTGCACAGCATGCATGCATGCAGTCGACAACAATTTAAAGGATGTGAGCTGCCATTCCATTAATGTGTAAACGCTCCCTTAGTATGAGTGAACTCGACTTCGAGCTACATTTCTTCTTGGACGAAGTGTTGGAAGAAGAGGACAAGCGGCGCCGCTGAACGAACTAAACAGGAAGATGAACGTCGAGTGGGAGCTGGCGAAAGGAGGCACATGTGAATTAATTAGGGCGGAGATATAATAATTAAGGCAAGAGAGCCAGAGGGCAGTGAATACGAAAGATAAGCAAGTAAAGAACATGTAATGGGATATTACGGAAGGAGAGAAATGAGTCCGACGTCATGCTGGTATTATATACATGTTGCTGACATATAAGCTAGGACAACGCATTTCCCATGCACAAGTACTGGGAAAAGCAAAGGGAGCAATATCCTAATCGGTTTGGGCAGCTCATTGCGTCGTAAAAGCCCCGTACTGTTGAAGGCATATCATAGCACCAAATAGGACTGGTTTTGCTGACCCATTTGTCCACCAGACATGTCTTCCCGCTGACATTTCTCGCCGAAGAATTCCTGTGTTGTCTTCTATAACATCTTTTGAAAAAAAAAATATCATGGATATAAACCTTTGCGTCTGCATGCAGAACACTCGTCTACTTGCCCCGCACCACGTTTCTGAGTAACGAAGGGGAGTCAGTATAATATCCCATGGAAGTGTGGACCGTAGAAGGTTAGCTTGCCAAGCTGTTCCGTGAGCCAGTGATCAAACATCATGGTACCAGCAGACCCTCAACTTGTTGGCCATCCGAGGCATCCCGTAGCTGAAAGCTTTTTCAGGCACATTGCTGGCTCTATTTCGCAAACGCCGCGGCGAGAGCCCGCGATATTATTCTCCTAGAATGGGTTCGATAGAGCGATAGAGGTAGGCAGGATCCCTGCATCTATTAGAGGAACCACTGTCAGCATACATCTCGAAAGGTATTAGGCATCACTGAGTGGCATCTAGGGCGAGCATAATAGCTGGTCACGTCCCGCCAGCGGCCAATGACTCGGAACTCATTTAATGCCGAGTCCAGACCACGCTATCAGGTTTTGGTGGAGAGTCGAACCTTTTGCTGGAAGTCACTGGCAGCATACAAATCGTGAATACTCAGTATGCCACTGATATGGCTTCACTGTTTCTCACGATGCAGCTACATTCCAGATCCCGGGTGTGCCACCATCCAGGGCACACCAGCAGAGATGTAAGCTAAGCCATCATCATCCTGATGGCTTTTTCGCGGCTCTCGGCACCCAGTACAAAGCGGAGGAACCGAGGAAGTGATCAGGCGCACATGACTTGGGTCCCTCTGTTCTGGCGTCATGTAAGGTATCATCGATACAGATCTCGACGGTGTCGATGGAATCACCAGATGGAGGTATGGAGTGTTGCGTACATAATCGTTCTGATGCGGGGTCGTTTGTGAGCTAGATAATCGACGTGGTGACAGCCATTGCACTCGCTGGTTACTCCGGACACCCCCAGAAGACAAAGGCGATTTACTTAATGAGGGAAATAGATCGTAAAGCGAAACAGTGACGGAAGTTGGAACGTGAACTTGCTGTCACGCGTATGGGTTACCACACGAAGACGTCATGGGATCTGACACTGGGGTGCCAAAGAGCCAACAATATATGGTCTTTGCAGCTAAACCAGTATTCCGCTCGTGACGGAGCACCAATTTTCGTACGGGCACCTTATCGGCCCTGTTCACCATTAGCTCCGCGCTTGAGATCTATGATTTCCACGGGTGTGTTACCAACCAACCAGTAATGACCGCACCCCGCTGAGCTAAATACACACTGAGGTCTTTTCATGTTCTGACTGAAGGCAGAAGTCATCTCCTAGTACTGGATCGTTCGCAACACAGCATCGCTTCGTTCCCTGTGTTGAAAAGGCAAATTTTCATGCATTCCCTCGGCCTTGTGTCCGCGACCATAGTTGCACGATCTTTGGGGTAAGTTATTCTGAAATAAATCCCTATGAATCTGGGCCGAAAATCTGAAGAGCATATGGACAGATTATGCAAGAAAACAACGTCACGTAAATGGCTTCAGCAGCACCACACCGTCCTTTATGCTCCTGGCGTATGATCAATTGGCTGAGCTTTTCTCATTATTGTATTGCTGGAAGCAAGCTATAATGGTCAAGCCGCAAATTTTTCGTAGACCAAAGAGGCCTGCCAGAACCGCCGTACACATTTGCGGCATGATGAGGATTGTAAGCCCGTAGTTCAATCAGGAGGTTTACCACACGGCTTCATAGCCATCATCTGAGTGGTGCATTTTGTGAGTTAGTCGAGCTTCTCCAGATGTACTAACCAGGTCCGGCAACGGGCGTTAAATGGGAATATTGTCATTAATGTTGTTGCGGTCCTCACACCCGTCGTGTCCGAAATCATTCAATTCCTGTATCAACGATAACAGGGAGCATGGAACCCGACAACGGAACAGTAGGGGGACCCTTAGAGGAAGCAGAGAGACGAAGAGATTGTAAGGAGCACAGAGATGAGATGAATGGGGAGACAGTCCCCCTAGGCGTTCGAAGCCGCAAATGTACGGTAGATGCAGGCGCTAGCATGATATTACGCGCGATGCCCAGGATGAATGGACTTTGAAGGTGTGTCAAATTCCAAATGACAGGGGGTACATGACAAAGTTCATGTACTATCCGTTAAGCGTCCATGAGCGACGCGGAAGTGAGCGCAAAGGTTGGATCAAAATGGAACGACGAGTCCTCATGGAAGGTCCGGCTAGCATTAATGCGGCGCAAGATGCGCGAGACTTTGCTTCTTGACGTAACAATGCATGGCGGTCATTGGCGTGTCATTTCCGCAAGCCATACCATGTGTAATTCGCGGATAAAGAGCATGGGCAATGGTATTACGCGCACTGCTAGCGCCTGTCCTAAACACCAAAGAACGCGGGCTCGATCTCAGTAAGATCGCACTGGAATCATCCAAGAGACTCTATATCTCATCGACGTCCATCCATTGTTCACCTAATAATTTACGACGCGATAGCGTGCGTCAACATCGAAGTAAACGTGCGAGTCACTGTGAGATACTGGCCCAACGAAGCTTTGTGCAGCGCCCGCATCAGTGCAGTGCTACACTCGGATTGAGTGTATTCATGCCAGAAGAGATGTTCCCCAAGCATAGGAGTGAGAACACGGGGGATCTCCGGTTGGACTTCGTGTTCCAACTACATTGCTATAACGAAGGGTGTGTGCCTCAATTATTCCACCCATATATACACCCAACCCCAACGACTGCAACTATTCGAAGTGGCTCGTTATTGATCCGCGGAGAAGCACCATCCCGTCAAAGCCGTCAGAGACAACGGTGAGTAGAGAGGGGGTTGAATTTAAAGTTCATCCCGTTAGGACCCCATGGTGCAACCATCTTGCGGTTTTTTGGTTTCATTTTTTGAGTTTCCGTTATAATGAATAGTCCATTCCCTGAGCGCGCAGGCGTAGCTCACGCCTGTGAATGATCATCGCAACGAGAATTACACGTGTCTCGCCGAGAATGTGTAAAAGATATCATCGTGAGTTATGTTCACGCATTAGTGGGTAAATCAGAACCAGGGCAACGTGTATGCCCACTACTGGGAAAACCCAGAACCACCATAGAACTTCGATGGTCACTATTAGCATTCCCAGAGCCGGGGCAGCGTAAATAAGGAGGAACGAGTCCAATTGAAATGTAAAAAGATTGTTTTATCCTGTCGCAGTCGCAAGAATATTGCTCCGGTTCTGCATCAAAAATCCGGCTGATATAGCTCTTGCAATCGCGAGGCAAACGAAGGTAGCGTGCACTGAGTGGCCAGACACCCAGAATTGCAACAAGCTCGTCATGAGTGATGGCAGTGAGACAATACATATGACAATATGATCATGACAATATAATTCGGACAACTCCGCTACAGCACAGCTAAGACAAATGAGACAAATAAGATTGCAAAATGTAGATTTGATTTGGAGAAAGCGTTCTTTTCGTGCCTTCACGACATGCAATGTTTTGAGTATACCAAGCGCACGATGCCAGCACTAAATACAATCTCGAGGTACAACATGATGTGGGGATATTCCATTTTAGTTGTCGTGGCTGTTGCGATGTTTGCTACTTTTACACAAGGACAAACTCAGATATATGAAGAAGAGAAAAGGGACGGAAAAAGGAAATGGCAGAAAAATGATCATGAAGCCAACCAGCAGTGAAAGCTGTTCAGAGATGTGAGGCAAGCATGCGAGAGAAACTTTTTTCTTCAAGAAAACCAAACAATGAAATGCGGTCCTTTGCATGCAAAACATGGCCGAGAAGGCAAGAATTAGGGCGAAGAATGACATAAAGGAAAAAAAAAAAGGCATTCATGCGGAGTGTACGAGATACAGCTTGAGAGATAGATGCATCATCATGGGGTATTGGCAGAGGCGCTCGCCTTTGCTATAACGCTGGTCTTAGAGACCCATTTAAATTGTTGATTTCTAACCTGGCGCATTTGGACGAGAGTTTTAGATCCTCTCGTCCATGTCAGCTTCGTTAAGACGGCTGCCACCAGGCCCGCTTGAGTAATCAAGCGGGCGCATATGATTCACGAAGCGAGTTTGACCTCGAATTTTGTTCCTTCCCCTTTCCGGTTCCTCGTCATCATCATGCTCCTGTTCATCAAGATCATCGGAGAGATTCGATCCTGCCGACCCGTGTACATCGGGCGATCCGTCTTGCTGAGGTCCACTTATCCCACCCTGCCTGGTGTTGAAGAGTGCATCCGTGCTGTCATTCTCTTCTTTTACGATGGGGCCGCCATTGGGATGACCCTCGCGGTGGGGTAGGTTGCCAAAGTCTTCGCCATGGGGTCCCAACTGACTAAAATCCATGAAAGGGAAGTCAATGTGATTAGGGACCATTCCTTCATGCAGGGTCATCAGTGCAGAGGATGATCCCAAGAAATCATGTTCGCCACCACCATTCGGGCGCGGAGGAAGATCTCCTGGCCCCCTATAATGTGCTAGCTCATCCTCTAACTCCTTGTTCCGCGAGGACTGCGCGCGGACCAGTTGCTGCAGGTATCTGAAACAAGGGTAGCCGAGATAAAAAAAATGTCTTGACAAATAAAAAAATATCAACCCTTACCTAATGTAGTCAACGCTCTTCCGAAGGATGACACCCTTGTTAGCTTTCATTCCATTGTGAATGGCATTCGCTTCCTCGTCGCCATTAGTTCCACCTGGGCCACCAGCTATCAAATTTTCGGGAGACATTTCGTTCGTCGAAATTTCAGCCGAAAAAGTGCTAACTCCCGGGTTCCCGTTTCCGCCCGCTGATGGTCCCTGCTGCTGCTCCACAAGCAAACAATCGGGGATAAGAGTAGAAAGTTCGCTAATTTTCTCATTGATGTTGTCTCGCCGTCGACGTTCAACGGCATTATGAGACTCGCGTCTGCGTCGTCGTTTTTCGTTGAGCAGTGCAGCTCTGAGAAAGGAATGCGGCATGTGAACAAGCTGATCTACTGAGGAACGAACTTCCCGAATGCTACTACTCACTGCTTGGACGCGACATCCCCCCCGCTATTAGGAACAAGAGCCTTATCCTCAGGCACTGCACCTCCCAGTGGGACGCTTTGGGGTCCAGTGAAAGTGGCGTAAGATGAGTTTGAAACATGATCGGGAAGAGAGAAGGCAGTTTGTTGAGAGTTGGGACTAAACATCCATGAATTTGCAGGCGATTGTTGTGGTGGTGCTGAATGTATATCCGGAATGACAATAGACATATTCGGTGTTCCTGCAGTGGGGCCCATGCCAGATGACGATCCGGGAGGGGAGGGGGAAGAAATGCTCGTGGTACGCTTCTTGCCTACTCGAGAACGACTTGCACTAGGCAGGGACCTCACACCGCCAGCGGCCGTTCTGGTCCGGGATCGGGAACGAGACGGACTTTGTACTTTACCAGAACTAGGAGGCACATTCGCAGCTACTGCAAAGAATTGGGATGATCAGTACGTCGGTTCGCCAACATATGAGCGATGGAAGGTAAATGATGAGTCGGACGTACGCATCGTGTTCAGGCGCGCCAGGGTGGGCTGGGGTTGGCCCGGCAAAGACGCATTTGCAAATTGTTGGTGACGAAAATCATTATTCACTGGTCCATGATGATGCGGAGGATCGCCAAAGAAGTTGCGCTGAACCGGTGAATCGTTGCCGAGGCCACTGTCTGGGGTGCCTCGAAAGTGGTTAAGATGAGACGGGAAAGAGGAGATGTCGAAAAGCTGTTGATGCTGAGATGGCAATTGACCGTGTGGATGACTGAAGTCGATTGCGTTTGGGTGTTGAGGCTGGGGATGGTGTGAATGGGGGTATGGTAAACCTTGTGCGGGTGGTTGTTGCTGCTGTGGCTGGACATTATGCAACTGACCATTCCGATCGTCATTGGGGTCATTACTCATCATTGATGTTAGAGCGTCCATGACTTCCATATCGTTAAATTTTCTGAACGAGGAAGGGAAGACATCGGAGTTGGAGGTAAAGTAGTTTGCAGGTTGGTCGAGAAGGGTGCTAGGAGATGGAGGTGCGTTAACGTTTTGTGAAGCGCTAGGTACCTGGAAGCCTTCCTGTCTTATTTTCGGAGTAGATGAGAGCGACTGTTGGTGTTGAACGTAGAACGCACACATTTTAGACAGGCAGGAGGGACAGTGATAAGTGGGAGGAAGCGTTGACCCAGTCCCCTTGAACGAGTTTAATCAGATGACTAAGCGAGGTATATAATTCAAACCCCCGCAACCTGCAACACCTTCCCTCCTGGGTTTATCTTGTTCCCTTCCACTCACTAAGATCGATAGAAATGTCTACTTCCCCGAACCTCTTTCAGCCTGCTCCGCCCATGGCACCGTTGTAGGTCTCTTTGCCGTGGCCCTGGCCTTTGGGTATGATTGGGGATAGCCACGGCACTCTCCGGCTACACGCTCCCAGGCTTCATTTGCCGAAAAGACCGTTCGCGACCACTCGCAGTGGATGATGCTGGAAACAGACACAAATTGCAACTCCCCTCCAAGTTATTAGTTCTCATCCAACAAGAGACAAAGATGAGGACGGGTCCTACCGCGCAACACACCCATAACAATATTGCATTCAAATGGAGAATTACAATTCCAGTACCCAAACAAGATCCGCTTCCTTCTCTTGACGATAAATCGTGCGCAGGATTACGTGATAAAACAAACGGAGGCCAATCACTTACCCCAAGATTTCCATCATAGACAATACTTCAATAATATCAACTTGCCATTCGCGCAAATTCAGCAATGGCCCTTCCATGATGCTTCGAGTGGTGCAAATGGACCAAGAAGCGTGCCGCTTACTACGTGGACAAAACATGGCTCGGATCGTGCCTAATGCAGAGGGATGTGCCTCTCGCTAACGAAGTGAGGCACTGCACTGCGCCAAGGACCGGTAGAGGAGTTCATCTCCTAGGCGGCTTAGCAGTTATTCCCTCCGATGACAAGCGGGTATGTCTCAGCCGGATGCAGGCCTTAGCGACAGCCTTCGCAAAGAACCGATAGTTACCAAACAGATTACAATCTTGGGATAGCCGTCGGCAAGCGCCGCCATGAATGAATGTGTGATGCGAGTGGCGCACCACCACCACGTTCTGGGGACCAGCCACCAATCGGCCCCAGAAGATGGTCCACTGGAGCTAGCTGTCGTTCGGCTATGCGCCGGCAACATGCTCGGCGATTGACGGCAGTTGGACCGAACGTTAATAAGCAGTCAGTCAGTAACAGGGAAAAAAAATCTGAGCGAGAACGGCAATAGGGTCCCCGAAAATGAGGGAAAACGTGAGGAAGCCCCGACGGACCGTTTCAAGCTGAATGAAAGTCATGGATGTAGTGACAGCTAAGTGGTCAACCCATCGGGCATGATCGTGAGGACAAATTTTAACGGAGATCCCGGCGAAGTAACGGCATGGTGGAGTAGCGAAGCAGCAGGTTCCCTCGTAAAGCATCCGCATCCTACCAGCACTTTCATGGGTCGTGCGAGCAGTTAAAACGGAACGGTATATGTGAAAACAATGATCTGATTCTACGGCGGAGATGGATGCCCGTGCTGAGTGTGTTAGCGCACAGATCCAATAGAGCAAAAGCCACACGAGGCAAGTACAAGTGAAAAGTTTTCGAAAACAGTGGCTGGCTAACCCCGAGGCGCGGCCGCGCAGTTGACGATTTGGGAGTGTTGACTCAAGAGTCTGCTGAAGATTTCTATTTGTGGTGGCACAAACCACTCAAGGCCAGGTGACGAGAAAGGGCTTCAGAAGACTGCATATCCTGGGGAAAGCGACATCCGAGTTCGGGAAGCAACAATCTAAAGCCGGGGAGGGGTTGAGTGAGGAAATCGTCCAATCGATGGGTCTTATATAGGTTTGATGACGGTAGTAAAGAATCATGAGCGTCCTTTTGCCAAAAGGTCATCTGAAGTTGCTAGTCAGATGCGAGTCCAGCGTGATCCAATATGAAAACACAGATCTTTGGGATCTTTGTTTATTTGGAGGCTGACCATGTCACGAAAAAGGAAGGAATGTCACGCGCGTCAGGAAATGAAGTCACGGGCCTGTGGTGTGACCATTCGGGAACCACAGAAACAGGAGAAACGCGGCAAACCTGTATCAACTGACAGACGAAACCTCCCCCAAAGTAGAACTGCTCGTTACATGTGCAATTGCTGGAGTGGCTCAGACAAACCAGATTAGAGGCCCAGGTGTGGAGTTAAATAAGCGGAGAATCCTTTTGTGCCAAAAAGTTATAACTCTAGAACACGTTTTTGCAGATGATTATAATGGGAAATGACGCGCTGAACGCGGGTAAGGCTTTGATGTGGGTCCTCTGATACCTGAAACACTAAGAGTTGTATGTTGAGGTGACTTTCTAACTTCTAGCTGGAGGTTGCCGCAAAAACCCAGACCGGAAACGCATCACGTGTATTTCATCGGCCGATAGCGGATTTTTAGATTCATTGGAAACGAATGTTGTCGATTTTGCGTGCTTCTTTTAAGTATCGTGCGATTCTACCTTGCTCAAGACTCCTCTTAACGCGCACAATGGCAAATGCACCATTCCCTAATGATTTTGTAAGCTTAGTGGCTATAGTTATGTCCGCATCGCGCTGATGACAATCCCGTTCCCTCCAGAACCAGACGTTGTATGCCCCCTTGAAGGAGATCGACCCTGAGGTCGACGATCTCATCCATAAGGAGACATGGAGGCAGTTTTCCGGCCTAGAGCTTATTGCCTCTGAGGTATACATTGCTCGCAACTGCTTTTCCGGTACTGCCTCACCTTTGGACATGCAGAACTTGACCAGCCGTGCGGCTATGGAGGCAAATGGGTCAATTTTGACCAACAAATATTCTGAAGGTCTCCCTGGAGCCCGCTACTACGGCGGAAATGAGCACATAGACGTACTGGAACGACTCTGTCAAAAACGGGCATTAGAAGCGTTTCATCTAGATCCTTCAATTTGGGGCGTGAACGTCCAACCGTACTCTGGTTCGGTATGTACACTCAGTCTATAAAATAATATGGCGGTGCAACCGTCTGACCCACGCCTATTGAGACTGCGAACTTTGCTGCTTTCACCGCCCTCATCGAGCCACAGGATCGAATTATGGGCCTCGGCCTTCCAGACGGTGGACACCTCACCCATGGATACTATACTGCGAAAAAGAAGATTTCAGCTTCTTCGATCTACTTTCAGTCATTTCCTTATAGTCTTGACCCCACAACTCAACTCATTGACTATCCCGGTCTTCGCAAATTGGCTCACTCTTTTAAACCAAGATTGATCGTTTGCGGTGCTTCTGCCTATCCCAGAGATTGGGACTATAAAAAGCTTCGTGAGGCCGCTGATGAACACAATGCTTATCTGCTGGCGGATATCGCACACACCAGTGGTCTCATTGCCTCTCAGGAGTTGAATAATCCCTTCGAGTACTGCGATGTTGTCACCACTACAACGCAAGTCTTGAAATCCACTCACAGCGTGACCTTATTCTTACGTGAGATTTCTAGCCATAAGACTCTTCGTGGTCCTCGTGCAGGTCTCATCTTCTTCCGAAAAGACCGCAAGGGCTCCGAAGATTTAGAGAACCGCGTAAACATGGCTGTCTTTCCTGCCTGCCAAGGTGGTCCACACAACAACGTGCGTGTCTAACTTTCAACATAACTCTGGGACTCACAATAGTCGTTCGACCCACTTAGACTATCGCTGCTGTGGCTGTTTCCCTTAGGCTAGCCGCTCAGCCGGAGTTCAAGGTTTATGCTAAGCAAGTCATCCAAAATGCTCGTGTACTGGCTGAGGAACTCCTCAAGCACAATTACACTCTGCAAACTGGTGGCACGGACAGCCACCTGATCCTTTGGGATTTAAGGCCTCTCAAGCTTACTGGCAGCAAGGTTGAGAAGATTGGAGATCTCGTCGGCATCACTATCAATAGTACGTATCTTCTTTCCATAGTTCTTTGTTGTGTTGCTGATTTCACTTTTTCAAGAAAATGCCGTTTCTGGCGATGGTGAGTCAATGTCAGCGAGGTCCACTGTGGTCTATGATGATTGATCACTCCCAACAGCTTCGGCTCAAGTACCTGGTGGTATTCGCCTTGGCACATCCGCACTCACTTCACGTTCTATGAACGAGGAAGACATTAAAATTGTTGCCGACTTCCTCCACCGTTCTGTCCAACTCGCTCTTGTGCTTCAGAGGGAAGCTGGCTCCAAGTTGCTCAAGGATTTCGTCCGCGTTGCGACTAGTGGTGACGGTGAAGGCTTCAAGGGAGTTCAGCAACTCCGTAGGGACGTGAGGGCATTCGCGCGCAAGTTCCCGTTACCTGGTGTAGATATCACAACGCTCACTAAACCGGCTGGGCTCGAGGAGGATGACTGAGTCATCTATCACGAAAAGTTGCACAAAACGTTTAATGATTAGGACTTCAACCGTCCTGTTACACTCCCCGTCAGCATTCACCCAAAACGAAATCATCTAAGCATCCACTTATGTTCCGCATCCATTCATCCATTTGACTTGTGCATCATTTTTATGTACATTACGGACATTCAACATAGTCCATTTGGAATACATCTGATTAAGAACGTTTGTCCGAATTTCATTGCGCGGGTGAGTTCGGACGCGATATCGATGTGTCGTGTTTGCAGACTCGCTTCTGAGCGGTTTGATGGTTTAGTTTTGCCCTGCATGCATGGTGCGCATGCATGTGGGCCACGAGATTTCCCATCACGACCCATAGTGCTACTTACATAATGGTCCTCAGAAGCGTGGCACGCGAACGCCAAAATATTGAAATAAATCCGCCGCAACGTGTCGAAGGGCGCGATAGACGTCTCAGAAGTCTCAATATTAGTGGCTTGATATTAAGTAAATATATCTCGGTGAGAGAAGTAACCGTGCGATATCATGACGCTTCTGCCCTTAATTTCTCCGGTGATGTCTATCAGGTCCCCGCCACGCGAGCCAAAGCCCAAATTTTTTTAAAAATGGCGAACGATGTCGCGGGGGAAAATTATCGAGGGAAACCAGCCAACATGACACAGGCACGGCCAGAGCTTAGATCTCTTGCTGACATGTGGATGGTACTGCAATTTGGACGCGCACTGATGCAGATAGCAGCGTTCAATAAAACAGATATTCGCGGCATACTCTGACATTGATGCCGAATCAGGTAATGAGAAACTTGCTCAGCTCCAGCCAGCATTAAGTTACAGAACTGAGATTGGTAAAGCGATCTAATCCATTGGCGGACCCAACAGAAACAGTGCCAGAGCCGGTGGGTAGGTACTTGAAGTATATCAGGGAAGCAATTTCGAGTCGAAGAATCGAAGAACGTAACATCGACCCCAATATTGGTTCTATAAAATCAAAAAGCTGTGTAAGGCGATAATAATCCCACCGAAGCTGCATCCTGCATGGACATAGTGCTTCCGTCAAGATCATAATACACTTCGCCACGATACGTGAGGGGTGTTGGGCGGGGAGGTGTACAATAACTCGTCCGTACCCCGTTCTCATCGGCAGGCCATACATCATCGTCCCGCTTAGGGAGGGAAATGAGGACGGCGTTTGAGCTCTCAATGGAGACGTCATAGTCATGGAAGTTGAGAGGGGAGAAAATGAAACTGAAAAATCATGTCAATAACAACTGTGTTCGCGGCGGAGAGACTTGCCTTGAAGTTGCAGTATTCATGCGAGTGTTGGGCGAGTCCTGTTGCAAATCAATGTAGTTCGTTTACACAATAATGTATTTTCGCACCTCGGCAGATGGGAAGTGGTGAGTTCCAAGGTTGATCCAAACAACAAGATCTTCTTGATCGAGGCTTTCCCTAACGAGTCATAGAAACATCAAAGTTGCGAAGATGGCCACATGTATGCGTAAGCTCCTTACCCGTCAAAGTACAGATCGAAATCCACTGGAGGCGCACCCGGCAAGTTCAGATTCCAAGCGCTTGAGGACGATGGCTCATTATCCTTGCGCTGTGGTGAGATCAGTGTCGATGAGCGAATGTAATTGCAAGATGCAATTATGTGCTTACCCTGCTTACTGCGAGATTATATTTGGCAAAATTTGCATTGTTGAGCATGCGCCGGGAGCCAGCCACGGTCTAAGTAGAATCTAGGTTCCAGTAACAGCCGCTAGCGAAATCCACTTACACTATGGATGGGGGAGTTCCCTGGGACAATGGTGTATCCTCTTGGATATCCCCAGGCATTGAGGGATTTCTTGTTCACGATTGAATATCCACCCTCAAAATTCTTGGGGTAGAAAAGACGGGCCTCAGTCTCGTTCGTGATATACTTCTTTACAATTCGTTGCTGGCGGATTGTCGAGCCCCAGTCCTCATCCAACCAAGGGAATTCTACATCATCCACAGACACGGAGGTTTCCAACAATGAATTCTCGACTCCGGAAATATCAAGGTCGACCTGAAGGAAATGGCTATTAACCGTCCACATGCCCTTCCAAGTATCGCACACCTTAAAGTTAACGATATGATCATGGAGAGTACCCACTGGACCAGACTTGATTAGTGAAGCGGCAACCAGGCAAGCAGATGATAGCCTCACTCGTGCGGTTATGTATGCGCGTTCCGAACGCGTCTTCACCGGGCTCCCAGTAGCCACCTTCACAAGGCATGGTGAGATAAATCGGGAAAGTGAAGTGACTCGAGCACCTTGCAAATAGCCCGACGCGGACACGCGGACCTCCAGTGAACCATCGAGCATGAAAGTGTAGTCAAACTTTTTGGGCGTTTGAGCATTGAGAGTGGGAAGAACTTCGCACCTCACTTACCACTGTATAATTTCCGTGGAAAGAATGACAAAAGGGTCGCTCAGCATCGCCATTGCGACACAATGCAAAACGAAGAGGCACGAACTGTAGTCATAACTGCGCATGGTTGGCAAAATTTTGAGACAGATATTGGCGAGGCGGAGGTACCTACTTTCCGACGGAGGCAATAGTTCTCACAACCAGGACGTAGTCCTTGACGGCTCCCGTAGTAAACTGCTCTCCTCCAAAACCTGGCATAGATCGGTGACGGGTCAAGGGACCACCGTTATCCTTTTCGAATATACAAATTGCATTCTTTGTGGTCGCTGTGCCCACTGAAAGGTGAACTATTGATGGAAGATACACCGCTTCCTGAGGACAATCGTAGCCTGGTATCAATTCATAGGTCATGAGACCCATTCCAAAGTATCTATCAAGCCAGGAGGTGGTTGCTTGATGTGGATCGTTTCCGGCTGCACCCCACAGTGATCAGCTTGCGGCCGAAGGGGACAGTCAGTTAAGCCGGAACGCACTGTACTGGGCCATGGCTAGAACCATGTCAAATATCAGACAACAGACTAGCGCAGCGATACTGAATGGGTTGACATGCCTTCCTGTGGAGACAACTGCCCGAACTCTCAGCCATGGATTTATGCATAATTTCCAGACCGCTCACCTCGTAGATAATGCGCTCGCCGAGGAAGTTGATGTTCCATAATGAGAGTCCCTGAACAATGGAGTTTAGATGATAGGAGTTGACTGAATGAAACTTTCGAATTCACCATATCGCGATCAAATCCCAAATAGAAAGACCATCCCATCCAAGTCACAAACTGCTTATCCTTGTTTACCCTGAATCGTGGCCCGTCAAACGACACATGACGTGGCCCGGCAAGGTGATCCAGTTCGCGACGACGACCTAAGGGTGCCGAAGGTTACAGGAAATTATCAATCATATCGAGACAACTACCTTTGCGCCTTCGTTCAAACCATGTGGAATTGGGTGGAAGGGGTTCGGTGATCTTCATTGATCCATTGTTGAAAGACTCGACAAACTCCTCTTTGGAACCATAGACTTGATGGTTGTACATGAGCTACCGTGAGATTTAGCTTGGGGAATAGACTGATCAATGAAATGGCCCCACTTTCAGCGTTTTCCAGAGGCTCCGGTCAGTTCCGGTCATATCGATATACTGCCAAAGATTAACACGGTTTAGATAACTTCCAGGGACGAGCCATTTGTATTGGAACCAGGCTCTACAGTGACTTGCATCAGATAGTGAGCCGTAATTTTGTGGGATGACTTGCCGTCTAAATGAACCATCGAAAGACCAAGGGCCGGCTGGTGTCACAGAAAGAGTATCGTTTGGCAGCATCTGGATCTCGCCACCTGGGAAGAGGGACCTGATGATATCCTGGATTCCATCGAATGTCTCAATAGAAGTTTTGAGGATATCGTCATCTCATAGTTTAAGGTATTGTGAGACCAACTAAAACATAATGCTCAGGCGAGGGTCTGTTTGGCTTACTCCAGCTGATACCCCGTGCATTGTGAGGGATGACAGGCTTATGATAAATATCCAACAAAGGCTCCATGGTGGTCTTGCTTGAAATAGGCAAAGGATAAACTAGAAAGTTTCGGACCGTGGGTTCCTGATCGCCTCCGCGGTTGATGACAACACGAGCAGCACGATGGGGAGGCTGCTTAGAGTCCCCATCGTAGTACGCGATTGCATCTGCTTTCTTTGGACGAAATGCTTCGACTACGTCGATGAAATTGTCGCTGACAATATTTCAGCTTCTGCCAAAATATAAATATTTGATACGTTGCACCTCCTACCTGACAGAAGCTTCGTCGCCCCGAGTGAGATTAAGCCCCAGCTCAGGACGCATAAGCCAGTTTCGGATTGAAATCGCTTCCCGTATCGTTAGGGGGATAAAGAGATTTTCCTTCGCGTCGAGAGTCGAGAACGCACTTGGGGGCGAGCAAATTGGCGGAGGCTTAACAGAGCCCGGGGACTCTTCGCCCAAGAAGCCAAAAACTCTTCGATCTCGAGCGAAGGAAGACAGGGAGCCCAGTAGCACCGAGAGAACGCACCCTGCCACAAGTCCCGCAAGGAATAAGTGGGACATCCAGAGTTTCGGTGTGATGACCTCCGGCTGCATGCCAACGGTTTTAGAGTCTGCGGGGACCAGATCTACTCCATCGATGAGTGGCACCAGTTGATCCTTGTCATCATCTGTGTTAGCTGGCCGTCGTACTGCGCTAGACATGGCGTTATCTCAGATCTGATTTTAAATTGATGAATAATACAAATCAGGCCGGGGACAAATCTCGAATGATGCCAGGACACATGAGTCAACATCGAGTCAACCTTGACGAGAAATGAGTGGAAACTATCTCGCCAACACGAAAAGATGTGAAAACCGTGAAAAAAAAAAATCGCCTTAAAGGCGAAGCGCTCTCCACGGCGCACAAGCCAAGATGCCAAGAAAGGCAACGTACGTACATACACAACGCCCACCGTCGATCGATACCTCGACGTTGGGTAATTAAGGAGTGCCGTGTCTAGGGAAGAGCGCAGAATGACTGGATGATTCACAAACCTGGAGCCCGAGAACACTATCCTTTAATTTCGTACAAGGCAGGGGGAACCTCTTGGTTGCTAAGCTGAGTATGTGATGGGATAGTTTTAGGTCATGAGAATCGTGTATTTGATGGTACAGACAAAGCAATGCTAAACTCGTGGTAATAGTAGATAGTGTACAACGCTAGCAATGGACGGTTTGCCACATACGCCGGATCCGGCTGCACGCTCTGAAGACTTACAGGAAAGAGGACGCCAGTAATCAGCGCGCCTTTTTCGCATATGCATTAGAGGAGGGCTTGAGCGAGAGAAGATAACGACATGACATAGTGGACTATGTCCAAATCCAGCTGTAGGAAGTTACGCCTGCGAGAAGCCAAAGCGGACCGATTTGGTCGAATGGGTGGAAACGTCATTGTTATTCTTTTCTGGGGTTGGAGCTCGTAGCTTTGCATATGGTATTCGAAAAGTATGCTTGTCAGCACAGCGGGGAGGATATCGACGGCAGGTGCCTGAAGTCGATATTCGAGGTCAGTGTGAGATAAATGACACGTTTGCATACACCCACCTTTGAAAGGGAGGTCATGATTTGGGTACCGTACATGACGATAATGAGGTAAACCTGCAACCAAACCACTTCATTCCTTCTCGACACAGTGGCTGGGAGATGATCATGGGGCCGGGTGATGACATAAGAAAGCGAAACCCAAACAGGTGAAAATAAGCGTATATAAATACTCAAACCTTCGGAAGTTTAACTTATCTGTAGTACCACATCACCATCTCGCCCCCCATTTGAGCACCGCTTTCTACTGGTCTTCATCATACCATGGCCAGGATCGACCAGCCCATTCTCGTCGACACCGAGGACCCAGAATATTACGCAGAGCTTCTCTCCGAGACTTGCCCAAATCGGTGCCTACTGTCCAATGAAACACTTTGTTCAGACATCCCCGGCGTTCAGGGTGTTGATGACCCCTCTTCCCGGCGCCTACAGACACTTCTCGATGTAGTCGCCGATATCTCACTTCGTAAACAAGGAAATGCCTCCGCTACGATGGCCTGCATAAAGGCCAATAAGGGCGCTCTAGAAACGCAAGTATACATCGCTTTCAACCACAATGATGATGGCGCAGCTAGCAATTGTCCCGTTCACCTACAGTCCATCTTTGATAGGCTTTCCTGTGTCCCCTACAGGCCACATGTAGTAGCCGGCTCCCCGAAGGGAATCTCGAGCGAGTTAGAGGGGAGCTTATTCGAAGTCTGTACAGCCATTCACAATTACTCATTTGACCTTTTTGCGTATCGCGTTAACAAGCGCAAGCACAAGCTTTCCGACATTCGGAGCTACATTGAGCAGGAGAAGCGTCAATTCAATTCCCGCCAGCGTTCCATGTTGTTGGAGTTCTTATTGCATGTGGAGTCCATTATTAAGGTTGTTACCAATGCACAAACAACGAAGCAACTTTCTAGCGATTTTATACGCGTGCTTGTACAGACGTATTCGTTCTGGACGACGAACGGCCTTCTTCCCCAAGAAAGGCTCGCCGGAGATGTGGTTACATTGCTTGACCACGCGGATGCGTGGCTGGCTGATAGTGCGTGATATGACACCTAGATGGTCACTCTCACCTTAATCTACATCTTTTTAGCCCACGGCATAGGTTTCCGGCTTCGGCGTTGGGCGGTGAAGATCATGTCGTTTGTGATCTCGGCTAACAGGCTCTTTATGTTGACCCAGTCGTGCCGCCTCCGCAAAATTATAGATGGGACCTTCGCAATTAAACCCCTCTCATCTCCAACCACGACTCCGTATCGCTGCAATCTTTCTTCAAAGAACATACGAGTGGCTCTGGATGCCGCGCTGCACCAAACCAAATACTCTACTGCGGAGTGGTATGAGGACCGCGAATCGTTCATTGTGTGGCTTCGGGATAAACTCAAGGATTCTGAGGTGTGCCACTGGAAACCCACGGTCCATGCCGAGCTAGTCATGATTACAGCAATGCTCAAGGGCGAACTCCAGGAAGTTTTGCCCTACATCGGGGTCTCTAAACTTTCCTGCATTATGTGCATCCACTATATCCAGGCCTTCAATGAGGTTACAGGGAAACGGATCGCTGTCAAAGGTTCTCATGGGAAGGCCTACCCCGGGTGGTCCTGGCCTAGTCTTCCATCCCACGACAGAGAAGTTTGCAGAGCCTTTTTAGAACTTAGCAGACAGCAGCTCTGGAGCGATTTCAACTTGCATGTAAAATCCCGTAGAGGGCGACTCGGTTCCGATAACAGCATGGGATCTCGTGTTCCGAGATTGGAATCAGTTGTAACAGCGGATGAGATTAGAGAATTCTTCAGTCATGAACTCAGTGAACCTATGTAGTCAATGCCCTTTGTTAGTGCGTGTAAATGATTATGTAGTTTCGATTGGGGAACAGCGACAGCCCCGATAACCGCTGAGACTGTCATGACCATGTGCCCCGGCCTGATCTCCGGCCATTCCAATGCCACCTGAGCCCGTCCCCGATACACGAGCACGAGCGTGAGCGCCGACCTCATCCCTATCCTTGTCTTCATCCTCCTCGATGACTCCCTGATGAGCTTTACAGTACGTAAGTATCTGATGCGGTTCGAATGTTTCCATCTCGAAACCAACATTAGTAAACAAATGCTGCAAGCATCGTTGCTGCCGCTGGGCAACCAGGAAATACTTACCGACTGTGTTTATGACTTTTATGGTCTAAGGCTAGCGGCATCAGGAGTTGATTCAAAGTGAGTTTCCCGGATATTGTACAGTAAATAATCTCGTCTGAGCTGCTCAATCCCTGAAGAATCAAGATCTTTCGTCTCAATGAGAGCACTGGCGAATGGGCGTTCGAGCATGAGTGGAAGGCACACGATGCTCCAATAACAAAATTATCCTGGGCCCATCCTGAGCATGGGTCCGTCATTGCGTCAGCATCCTTTGATCGGACTGTAAAGATATGGCAAGAGAACCCCGGCCAATCGACTTCTTCGCAGTCACGGTGGACAGAGAAGGCAATTATGACAGGGGCTAGGGGAAGCGTTAGGTCTATCGAGTTTGCTCCTTCGGTATTTGGCCTGAAGATCGTAGGTTCCCATTCCCTACCGCCAGCTTCGCCTTGCTCTAACTCGCCCTTCCAGGCGTCGATTGCGACTGATTCTTTGCTTCGTGTATACGAGTGCTTGGAAATATATAGTGCGAGCTCCTGGCAGCTCATCGAAGAGATCGATGTTTTGACTCTCGGGAACCCGCCTAACCCACCGTCCCCCGCCCTGGCATCGGCAACACCGACTCACTTGCCGATGAATCTCGAGGAGGGCTCTCCGCCATATGCCAGTTCTATACATCGCCCTAGCACCCCAACTACTCTTAGTAGTCCTATAGGCTCATTGAGCGCACCTGGTGGGATCGCTGGGTCAAACCGAGAAGCCGATAGCGGATGGTGCTTGTCTTGGTGCAAGGACAAGTGGCAGGGGGAAGCCATAGCTGTCGGAGCCGGGCCAGAGGCAGTGATTAAGGTTCGCCATCTCCCGTGCGCAGAAAGAAGCACCATATGACGTCTTCCTGAATTAGATTGTATCGCTCCCTCCAGCTCCTCAGAGTCCTATCCTCCTGGCAACTCTGAAGCATACAAGCTCTGATCTCAGGGACAAGGATTATCCCGTCAGCTGTGTTTCTTGGGCACCGACTGCTGGACGGTCGTATCATCTGATTGCAACTGGGAGCAAGGACACATATGTGCGAATTTGGAAGGTCTCGTCCAAGTTGAACGCCAACGGACAATTGGCAAGCTCTGGTGATGAGACATCCGAAGAATGGGAGGTGCGACAAGTTGGGGAATTTGAAGATCACAAGTGAGGAGTCCCTACTCTTCTGCTTGGACCACAGTTCACTGAAGCATCCTTCAAAGATCAAACGTCGCTAGGTTAGAGTGGAATATTACTGGGTACGTCACATGTACAGCGATCTACACGCATTTTCACCTGCATTCAACAAACAGAACAGTCTTATCTTCTGCCGGAGACGATGGGCAGATCAGGTTGTGGAAGTCTATTTCAAACATCTGGCAACGAATTGGTTCTTTCAATACACACCACGCTGTCGAAGAGGTCCTCGACAATCAAGATGATGTAATGCAAAGCATATAGCTCGGACCATTACTAGCTGTGACCGAATGCTGTGTGTTGATATCCTGGTCAGGATTCTCAATTCGCATTGGCAGTCGAATCAGAGTTTTGCAGGTCAAGAAAGTGAAATTGATGGATCATATCAACACCGCATCGCCATTAAGCCCGAGGTTAACGTAAGCCGACACAGAGTTCAATACTCCTTTTTCTTCTCGTCAACCGAAAAGCCACCGGGGCCTTGGGTAACCAGGAGCAACAATCCGCCAACAATCGAGAGTGTTTGGAAGAAATCGTATCTAGTGATGATGCAAATAATCAATGATCCCACATTGGCAGTGATGCAAGATGATTGCCAACGCACTTGAGGAAGTCACGTTGAGGGTGAGCGGAATGTATGCTCCACCAGTTGTTGATGACCACGTTGAAGATTGAGAGCAAGATGACGAGAAAAGCAGACGCCCACTTCGCTTTAAATCCGACTGCAACCATTCCACACGCAGCCAGTCCAAAAATTGAAACGAAAACCCTTCCAATGGACCATTGACCCTGCAGAATAAAGCCAATGAATAAGAATATGAGCAATACGCGGCCTGTCAGTTGGAAGCTGAGAACATGACTGAGTGAAAATACTCGTTGAATGTTACACCACGATAGACGTACTATTGTCTCCTGTCGTTCTCAGTGAGGGAAGGAATACCAGCAAAGTGGGCCTTACGCCTAGTCATCGATTCGCTGAACACCATTAGGAGCCCCCCGATGACTGAGAGGTTGCGCAGGAAGAAGTTGAGGTCAAAAATGAGGCCGTATCCGAATCCCTGTATAATCACAACCCCCAGGAGACCTCCAACTGCAATTTCCGTGTACCTTTGGGCAATAATTGCACCAGAAGACCCAAGCATGGTCTATACGCATCCATTTCAGTCCAGGAAGCTGCTGATATATGCGTTTTGCACGTACAATGATGTTAACCAGAAGAAAGAAATGGCTTATTCCCCATGGAAATGAGCGATGGCTGCATACCCCCCCCAAAAGAAAAAAAAGAACCTGATTGGCAAACGGAGAAGGGTCATCAGAAGGAACGTGATTGCGTACCGCTGCAGGTACCAAATCTGGTCGCCCCACTGTGTGACGATGCGAAGGGCATCCTCCAAGAAAGTAACAACAATCAAGAAACGTCCAATGGAAGGCAGGTATGGCCGAAGAGGCTGGGAGTAAATATCCGCGAAGTCCTCAATTTTCGATGCGACAGAGCGGATCTGGGTAACTGGGTCATCCTGAAACGACGAGGTGTCCTGGGCATACGAGCGTTGTTTAGGAATGTCGTAGGTGGGCGTGTAGCTCTGGGGAACGCGGTTAATGTTTATGCGAGATGCCATGGTGGATTGAGAGGACAAGTTGGGAGTGTTTGAACTGTGACACGTAGATTGGGGCAATCCAGAAAAGGAAACGGTAATCCCCATTCAATTTTCTTCCGTGGTTGGTTCCCGCTTATTTGCGGTTGGTACACCTACTTTAGCGCGGCGGTGAGCGCGCCATGAGCGAGGGTAATCAGATACAACTCCCGAGTATGTGTAACTCTCCTTATTTTCAGGAGTGTTTAATGACATGTAAGGCCCAAGCGTTTGACGACGATGATTTTTCGTCAACCCCGATACCGTTTGGCAGACCTCAAGGTTTCCAGTTTGGGCAAGGGACCTTTACATCATCCCCGGTTGGCAGTACTTCGTCCACCCCAATCCAGAACCCAGACCAGAGTAACAGTCCCGTCGAACGTTCGTACTCTCATGCACGAGGCGATTCCTTTACTTCGGAGTCCTCGTCCTATGGCCATGGGAAATCCGCACAATCATTTTCTGGGAGAAACACTAGCCTTGGGCATGTTGCAACGCCGTCAGTAGCAACCTCAGTCACTTCGGCACCTTCACGGAAGTCATCCTTCGCTTCAATAAAGAGTGCACTCAAGGGTCTAAAGACCACGGCAAGTGATGCGCCACCTGTGCCGAGTCTGGATACATCAGCGTACCCTCCTTTGCTCCGTAATCCGTTCGGTCGTGCTGGGTCATCGCGTAATGCTAGTCTTCCCGCCCCCTCTAACACGAGCCGCAGAAGACCTTCTGCCCCCAGTCCTTCACCTTCGAATGCGGGTGCCTCATCTAGATCAGTAAATATCTTCGCTCCCCAGAGCATTCATTCCCGTGCCAAAAGTAGTATGCCGGTATCAGCCTCGAGGGCGCTGCAATCTCAGCCAATAGATCATTCCCCATCGAGCTCCGTAGCCCATTCCCATTCGGAAATTGATTCTGGGGGCCACACCGCGAGCCACCTACCTATAATTTCACAGAGACCCTTCAACCAAGGTCCACCACGCGCTGCTGCCCAGCACCCGTCCTATCCTGAACCATCGCCAGAGGTGGAACCTCGCACACCTGCAGAATACGCTTTACATGCAGTCTTCGTGCAATTTGTGACTATATCTGAACAGAAGATCCAAAGTTTGCTGCAGGAAACTCTAGTGAGCGTCACACAACTAGTTCATAGTGTCTCGGCCGTTAACGGCTGCACAGACGTTTGAGCCTCCGCTGGTTGAAAAAATTGGCCCAGGTATCGATGTCTCCTTTGATAAGGTTTTGGATTCATTGGCACACATCGCTCAGAGGCAGGCTAAGCCAGTCATTGACGCCTTGAGTAGATGGAAGAAGGGATTGAGTGACCAGGCAATACCCCCGACTTGTTTACAGCAGCATGTTTCAGGGCTGCTGGATCGTAACGCGCAGATGGACACGAAACTTCGCCTAATCAAACGTCGTGAGGTTGTGACTGTTTTTGCCCGACCGGCTGGTTTGCGCTGACACTCACTCAGGTGGTAGCAACTTACATATACTGCCGCACTCTCATCAATGTCGTTGCCAGCTTAGGGAAAGATTCGCTCGATGATGAGTTTGCGAATGAGTTGGAAGCGATCATGTTCAGGGAATTCGTTCGCAGCCATGAATCGTAAGTTGCTCACAACCTTCACGGCCATTTCACCAACCCCCAAGTAGGGCCTACGTTGCATCGGCCAACCAGAAGACTAACTCCAATCTTTTCTCTGTCGTCTTGGGTCACCTTGCCAATAGAAGGTTAGAAAAACACACATTCACAGCTATCATTGCTTATCATGACCTGTTCACTGTCAGTTTCATGACCGTGACAGATCGCTACCTCCACGAACTCCAGCCTCTGGCTATGGATCATGGGCAAAAGGACAGCGATCCACGCCTGGAACATGTCCTAACGGGTTTGCGCTATCTGGAACTCAAAGTGGGTTGGAGCCCTTGACACCGAAAGACAGATCTGATGAGGGTTTAGGTCTGGCCACCGGAGCAATTCGAGCTGGGAGCAGAGTTTATGGAGTCCCTTGCTCGTTGCTTCAAAAATGCCCATGGTTTCAAAATGAAATCGGTATTCGCTGAGAACTTAACTCACATGCTTCATCCACTCGGAAAGGTAAGGGCACGCCCGGTTCGTTGCGTCATACTCGCTTAGCATGTGTCTTAAGAACGCTTCTGCGGAATTCAACATCCCTTCTTGGGTTCAAGCAATTGAACACATTTACCCAAAAGCTATTGGGATGACGACAAATCCCAAATATTGGTCAACTGCATTTCCCTTGGCAGTAACTGCTTTATGTGTGGCTCCACAGGACTTTTTCCGGAAGCACTGGTCTGCGCTTTGTGATATTACCATTACCAAGCTGTTGAAGGTGAGGGTATTCCTTTGCTTCTCAAGCCCTAGTGCTAATCCCCTTCAGGAGCGATTCTCTAGATCAATGTTGAAGAATGGGCTTGTTCGTGTGATCTGGACGTACCTTTATCATTGTCAGGACAACGCATCCACTGTCGGCACAAAAATGGAGAGCATAATGCGTCTACTCCTCCCTTCCAAAAGACGGGCAGTTCCCGAAGACATGGTGGACACACTTACTTACATTGTTCATTTCATAACCTCACGTCCGAACTTGGATTATGGTCCAGACTTAATCATGGAAATGATCCAAGAATCAGCTCTCACGAATGCTAACATGTCACCCAATGATATTGTTTCCCCAGAGCGTATCACTATTGCCATACGCTCGGGTCTGTTGTCGCTCACGAGTCTCGAGGACAAAACATATCCAAGCTGGCCGTCAAATTCAGATTTTTATGAAGCAATACCCAGCACAGACTATCCCTTCCTTACTACCTCTCTCCCTGCCCCAGCTCTTTCCCGACCGGACATCCAATCAATTGTCGATCGCTTGGGGCCTGTAGTCGCTCGAGCCGTGGCTGTCTGCTTTCGAGCCCTTGGGCATATGAGTGTGCTTGACCCACGGTACAAGTACGAACATCGCTCCATTCCTCATGAAGAGCGAGGAGAAATAGTCGTCCGCCATCACCCAGAGGGCATGGTTTGTTGCTATCCTCGATCCATTTCCCCCCTGCTCGATGTTCTTCAGTCGTGTTTTGACAGTTGGCCCCGCTTGCTGCATCACACCCTCCCTTTCCTCGACGTCCTCGATATGTTAACGCGTTGTGTGGAACATGTCGAGCCCGCCATAGCAGGTTCCGCCACAGAGTCTATCTCTCGTCTGGCCTCGGAATCTCGGTATGTGCGAGTGGTCGCCAGAGCCGTTTCTCAGTCTTTGTTCAGCGCGTCAAGCCTTTCGAGAGATAGCGGGTCCAAGCTTGTCTCAGAACATTCTCGCCGCATTGAGCTTTGGCATACTGTTGTGGCAAAGTGGCATGCAACTTCGGCAGAACATGGCGACGAACAGGCTTTGCAACAAGGACCCGACATCGAAGATGTCAATCCTGTGATATTGCTGGACGAGGTTGAAGGGGGTTCGCTCTTCCTTCTGGCTTCAACCAGCAAATGGATTCGCGATACTGCTCTAAAAGTTCTAAAAATGGTTCCTGAGCTCCGAGCTTCAACGGGCGGGAGTGCGACTTTGACCCGCGAGAGGGTGTGTTTGATTGATGTCTTGGGTGGGAAGCGCTCGTCCATACAGGTGCCAGTGGAAGGGAGTCTATTGATTCCAGATGCTGAGATCGAGCGATTGAACAAGTGGAGAGAAGCAAATTTGCCCGACTACCTGCTTCGATTGCTTGTTAGTGATAATTCTCTCGACCATTCTTTATGGGGATCCATCCTCCCATCACTTATGAAAGCTTGCATGGATCATTGTCCTCACGCCCTCGACATATGTCGGGAATCGCTGAATGCGGCCGTACTGCGTTACCACCCCATCATGGTGTCTTTGGCTGGCATGAATTCTAAAGCTGTAAATCCCCCTACCCACCGCCATCCCAATTCATCAGGGCGGACGAATTCTAGCGTTCACGATTTCAGTGCTGAACAGCGTAATGACATTCAACAATGGCGCTTTTGGACTGCAGCGCTATGCTCATGCACACTCCCGACTGATGTCCGACCCGCGACAGCCAGAGAACACGCTCGAATGCCGTCCGATCCTTCAAATCAGGGGGGTCGTTTATCCTCGTCTCGAGGCTTATTTAGGCTCCTTATTCCGTTTCTCGCTTGTGACTCGAGTTTATTCAGAGACTCTGTTGTGAGCGCACTCGGTTCCGTACATCAGTCCTCCTTCAGAACTCTCCTCGAAGGCATACACGGTATCAATGCCCACATTTATGATGACGGCTTCCTGTCCCACGTCCCTCGAGGCACGACCCGTCGTACAAAAAATCAAGATCGGTTGCATATTGCCGTTGTTCGTGTATATGCCCTGACAGCGCGGTTTGTAAGGGAGCCACAAGTCTCATCGGACGCCACCGCCATGAATCTTCTCTTAAATTTCGTTCGCGCTACCGAAGGCTTCCTGTCACAACCGGATGTCAAGGTCGACTGGGAAGTGAGTCGATTACGGCGTTATTTTTGTCATATTGTAGAGCAGCTCTTCGCTGTGTTGCCTCTGGAGTTCGATCGATCACTAGATCCCATTCTTCGTTTGCGGTTGTTCCGACTATGTGAAGATTGGTGTTCATATGGATCGCATCCAGCGTATAGCCAAAGCACGGAAATGATGAAACGTCATCTCATGTCGACAACGAGGGATATTGATGATCAGAGGCTGGCTATGGATCGATTCCAGAAAGAGTCAGCTACGCTGGCCCCCTCGGCGGCAGCGGCAATGTCATCGCTGTGCGTGAGTGAACCTAAGCCGAGCTTCCTTGGCGCTTTCTTTAACGGGGTCTCAGTATGGTGCGTTCCATACGGTGGTAGATGAACAAATCAAGTCAGCTCCTCTCACGGCCGCTGAAATCATTAATTGGATTTCAGCGCTGCTGGCAAGTGACAAAAGTGTGCATCAAGGTGGCAAGTATGTCCTAGCCTGTTGATTACAATCGCTTGCCTCATTCATGGAATTCGTAGGAAAGCACTGAAGTCCCTACTTATCGACAAGGATGTAAAACCAGATCTGCTGGACCTCGCGGTCCGGAGCTCGTACTCCTGCTCCTCCTCGAGCGCGAGCGATGCTTTCTTTGCTGTTGTCTCTTCCATGATTATTGATTCCGATGGAAGCCCATTCGGCTTCCTCTCGGACTTGTGGCTTGGCCTTGTGCAGCTTGGACGGCCAACCGTCGACGCGCGAAGAAGGGCTCTACAAGTCCTCCTCCGGATCACGGGAGACGGGAATAACAATGCTTTGCTTCATGAATTGAACGCTGCCGTTCGAAGTAGTGCACCGAACGTCTACCAATCCGCCCAACACAAGGCAGCATCAGTTCTTGCCAGTATTTATCCCACAGCTTGCTTTGGCATCATCTCACAGGCCACTTTGAGAATGCCTCAATCGCGAGAGAATCAGCAACGGCCCGCATTACAGTGCTTAATCCCTTGGGTAGCCATCACGCAATTGATGGCCTCCGATCGTGAAATCACTACTGAGGGTTATGGAGCGTTGCAAAACCTATTTTCCTTGACGGTCCGGTACGGTGACAGTCATTCCGACATACTTCAAGCACTATGGTCCGCTCTGGTGGAAGGCGGGCATGAGACAAACTGGAGCGCGGTGGTTAAATTTTTGGTTGAGCAAGCCACAGTACGTTCCAACCACTCGTTTGTTTTGTATGCCAGAAAAATTATTGCATATCTGTCACGGACCCGCATCGGACCTTCCGTATTCACCTCTCTTTGCACTATCATTGAACCACCTTCCATGATTTTGGCTCAAGCACCTGATCCGCGTCCGGCGGATTCGAAGGATGGCTTTTTTGTCGAGGACCTTGACGCTCTCCTCTCAAAAACTACTCGCCAGCCCCTTGCTCCTGCTGAGCTAGCATTGCTTTTCCTAGGAGATTATGCTCTAGATGGCCCTTGGGAACACAATGCCTACCTCCCCTCACTCTTGCAAATCTCGTTTACACTGCTTGATCATCGGGTCCCAACTGTACGGATTCAAACTCGCCGCTTACTTTTTCAAATTCTTCGATCATGGGTCAATCCGTCGAACGAACTTCTTGAACCTTCGGGGAGCTTAGCAGTGCCGGATGTCATGGCAACGATAGATTCTTTAGAGGATGAAATGGACTCAAGCTGGAATCCCACTCGCCGGAACGAAGACGGACTCAACGAAAGAATACAAAGATTATGTCATTCTGTGCTCCAGTTACTAACGCCAATCATCCCAACAATCAAAGGCGAGTGGACGGAGACTGCTCTCCAATGGGGTGTTCAGTGCCCACAGCGTGATGCAGCGTGCAGATCCTTGCAAATCTTTCGAACGCTGTGTTCTTCATCTCAACCATCAATGGCAATAGATCTTATTGACAGACTGTCAAACACGATATCGGACCCTAGCGGTGCAGATTCCAAATTCGCAAATGAGATCTTACTCACATTGGTGGACACCTGTTTGTCCTGTTCACCATCGAAATCAATGTTTCCCCAGCTCTTCTGGTGCGCCTCAGCCGCGCTGTTAACGACCGTGGAAGGGGAGTTCCTTCTCGCTATTCGCTTAATGGACTCTATCTTCGATTCATCCGATCTCCGAAACCCTGACGAAGTGGAACTCATACGGTCTAACAAACCGCCGACATGGGAAAGTCGGGAGTTGTGCATCGAAAGACTAGTCTTCGCGGGCTTACGATCGTCTGAAACGGCCCTTCCCAGCTATCGCCTACTCGCGCGCGCATTGACGGTTGAAGGCTTCGATGTCGTTGAGGCGGCTGACAACCGACTGCGTCTCGCCTATGTGGCGATTTTGCCTTGGTGCCTTCATTGCATCGAAGCCAACTCTCCGGATGAGACCCTTGTGGCCATGGCAGAAGAGTTGGCGAAGATCGCGACGGAAGAGAATCGACCAGACATTCACCGCATTCTTTCCTCCGTTTCCAAGAATAGCTTCAAGAGGAAAGAAGATTTCGTGCGACAGGCAATGTCCTCAATACGGGAGAACTACTGGGCTTCCTACGCATCGGAAATCGTGACAATCCTTCTCGGGTGTATCCTGAACGAACAGTCATGGCTGCGTTCGAAATCAATCCAGATTCTGAAGGTGCTACTGCAAAGTGCAGACTCGCGAAATCCGTTCAGTCTGTCGGGATCAGAACAATTAATGCCACTCTTGCGTTTGCTTGATACTGATATGGCTTCGCAAGCGATGGAGGTCTTGGATACTCCCATGGTCATCTCAGGTGGACCAAGCGCACGACAAGTCCTCCGCATGAGTCTTCATGGTTTACCACCAACAGAGAAGACGACAGACACGGTCACATTCGGTACGCCTTCGGAGTCCGGGTGGAGCATTGCACAGCCAGAGGAGCAATCAATGAAATGCAGACGTAATGTAGCTGCTCTCATGACGACATTTAATAATGTCGCTGAGCCGCGCCATCTATCTGGGACGACATCGACTATCTCTTTCGCTGAAAGCGAAGATCAACCAATGCGCCCCCCTGCTCCTCAATTCGCGGCTGAAGACCAATCGTCTTCGGATGCTGTCTCTCTTAGCGAACTCGTCAGTCAGCTGCATGATTTGAATGCGTTTTTCAAGTCGGACCAGTCGTCTTTTACACATCAACGTGTACCTCCACGATTTGATGCTGAAGATGCTGAACGTCGAGTTGCAGCTATTCTTTCCCGATCCCTGGCCCGAACCCCAAACAACGGACCAGAAGACGTCTCACGAGGGAGTAACACGTCCCAACATGACAGCCAATTTGGTGGAAGCATTCCGCCGACACCTTTCGTGGATCTGTTTGGTGGTTCGCCGTTCCATTCCGCTGAGGCCCTCCATCAAAATTTTATGAGTATGGCGGACGATTTCGAGGAGGCAGACGGAGATCACGACGATCATTATGCAGGCCAGCACTCGTATAAGACTACAACAGCAGCCAGTGGCACTACGACCCCGAACCGTCGTGATCATCAGGTCCATCATACACATTCTCATTCTCACGGAGACTTTGAGTCGCCTTTACATCAATCGACGCCCAAGTCTGGGGGTGCTGCCCAGCACCCGCACTCATTGAAGGATGATTCGGATAGCGAGTATGAGTTTAGTGCGTTTGCAATGGATGATTCAGTGGTGTCGAGAGGTCGTGGTGGCAACAATGGTCCCTGGTCGCAGCAGATGCCCGGTGGGTCTCAAGATGCCATTGAGTTGCCTCATGCGGGGGGAGAGACCCCAGCGGCCAGACGAATCGGTATCAGAGGACGAATGATGGACACAATTAGCCCTCAAAGGGTAAATAATGATATTCACCATAGGGGCGCGCGACGAAGGGTATAAGGAATGAATGCGCTTAGCCTCGCTGGTTTCCGCTGGTTTCCGTCGTCGGCGCCGGAGGAAGGTGCCCTTTTACATAATACAATGTGTTTATTGGCTTTGTTTTCAAACGAGCATGTTGTATCATAGTTGACATTTGTTCCGATCGGACTTCAGATCGGTGCGGGCGCAGACGTTACAGATATGCCCTGTGGCCACGGGGACAGTGTGTTGAGCAGCAAAAACTTGTCGCAGCCGCGAATCGAACGCGGGGCGGATCGAACAGACTATGTAAGTGGCAACGATCCAGGTTACCTCTACCCCACTGTGACGGAACGAAATTTTGTGATCCTTGTCTCTCCCTCAACATATCAAATTGTAAAACGCTGTTCATTCACGTTGAGTCAGGTGGTGTGGCGGGAATTTGAAATTCTCGCCGATCGATAGGGTAATCGATAGGGTAAACTGACAAATTAATACCACGCGGTATAATTTTACTAGTGGCTCCCCTTCGCAGTGGAATACCGAGCGACTAGGCAGGTGATCAGGTTCTATAGTATACTTATTAGACTGAACGACCAGTCACGACTTGGCTCGGCCGTAGCGGAGTTGGCCGAGTTCATTCCATTGTATTCATTCCTCGATTTCTCGACTTGAACTTCCAGACTTGTCGTTGGGCCAGCGCTGCTGCGCTGAGACGTCTTTCAAATAATGTTTACTGCAAGGAGAAGTCCTGTGCCTCCACATCAAGCGGGCGGGCTACGAAGGGCGTCTGAGTTCAAGATGCCCCCGTCTACCAGACCTCTGACGCAAGACGAGAGGCGTCACCGTGCGTTGGAAGAACAGAAATCGGCGAGTTATGTCCTTATGACCGAGTTTTGTGGTATTCTTATCGGATAGGCAGCGCCGGGAGGAACGGATTAACGCGGCGAGGAATATTGATAGTATGGCATTCCTTTCTTTGGGCAATGAGGATGAGGAGGATGAAGATAGTGACGATGAGGAAAATGACGAGGGACGCCTCGAAATTAGTGCGATGGATGTGCGAAAGAAGAAGCATGTGAGAGGTACCGTAGATGGGCTAGTGCCATTCAAGAGCATGCTGCAACCTAGCGGTGATAGTGGTTCTCCTTCAAGCCCGACGGCAGCGGATGCGGGAGGCGAGGTGTCCTCAGCTTTGAAAGGGAAGAGGAATAGAAGGAGGAAGAATCGTAGATACGCAGATGTTTGTATGTTTGCTGAGCTGTTGGAGCTTCAAACGGGTGAAGGAGTTCTTCGTATGGATGGTGAGCGTCCTGTTTTTGACTTGGCTATTCGCGGGAACAGAGCTGACGTTGCGTCTCACATGGAGAACACGATGGCCTTCCTCACAACCTTGAGACGGGCTGGGTAGCGCTAGCACCGATACCGGTTGGGAAACGGTGTCTTGCTGTGACCTATTCAGGAAAGGATTACAGGACGTCAGGTGCGATGCTGGATGTGATGCCATTCCTTGGGTCTTTTCTCATGATTGACTGGTGGTAGCTAGCTCTACACAGTTGTTTTCCCGTTTAAAGGGAGCAAGGTTCCTCAAATTCCCCTCGCCTTTACCCATGAACTCGATTCTCGATTGCGTATTGGATGCAAACTGGGAAGTCAATGGGATTATTCATGTGCTGGACATATTACGGTGGCACGGTAAGGATTTCACAGACTGTGAAGCTAATTTTAGGTACCGTCTCATTGCAGGACCCGTTTTCGATCGTTAAGCTCATACTGTTGCTTGGGTAACAGATTCTGGTGGCGGGACTCGAGAATCTCGGAAATAACACCATTGCCACCATCCCGTTTTCGGAAGAGACCAAAAAATCTGAAATCGACCCAGAAAGCCTCAATGGAATTTGATTTTGCATCGATGGCACAGGCTGAACGGGAGATACCGTTGACGTTTCAATATCCATATGTTTTCTTGCCGGTTCCGTATTACACACCCCCAATATCCATGGAGATGTTTTTGACCACTGTGATCCCGGCTGCGAAGATGACGAGGTCGTTCGAGGTAAAGTTGCCCCCTGCGTTGCCTTCGACATCTTGGGCTGGAAGTGATGAGATGGAGATGGATGGAACGGATAGCGTTGTGAGCGGGAACAAGATCGCCGATGGGTCCATGGAAGTGGAAGCTGAAGGGGCTCTGCAAACAGGTATTGCGACCGACGGTTTATTATTGTACGTATCGGAGGCATCGTATCAGTCGGTGAGCAATGGTCTTGTTAATCCATCGCTTTTTCTTCCTTACAGTGTGCATTTAGGGTGAGACTCCATTATCGACTTGGGTGCCCACCAAGCCGTTGGAAGGTGGCCTATCGAACCCCGTAACACTGGATCTATTTGAAGCGTGAGCCCATTGCATCCCCTTTCCTTGCGTCATTGCCCCACTAAGGATGCCGGCTAGACTGATTCAAAAACGATCATTTGGACGCGGCAATGGAAGATGACGCTTGTCGTGAGGTAGAGATACTACCAATACGCGTTGCGAGGCCCGCGTCTGATCGGAGAACACTTCATGCACCACGCGAGCCTGACTTGACGCCGGCCTCATCCGCAAATTTTTCTGTACTCAATCATGCCACCAACCGTTTTGTCAATTGCATTCAATTCCTTATTCGGTATTTTTTTCGCGCATTACGCAACCCGGTCTCGAGCGGGTGCTCAAGGGAATACATGAGACTTAAGTCCATGGTCCCCTGAATTATCACTATAACCATGAGCCCTATCAACCCCTCGAGATTTTTGGGGACCGGCATGTTTACTAACAGACAAATATAACAAATCAACAGTACAAGCTAAGGTGAACGCAAGTCGCCCGGCTTTCGGCAATCCTCAGAGCAGGCAACTCTCTCCTGTGGCTACAGGAGTTGTGGGGCTCCCAGCAGGTAGCCCCACCCTCAGCCCACAATTTTTCCGTCTTTTTCTGCACACTTCTCGGCTTAGTGAGTTTGAGGCTTTGTCAGCCAGGTCTAGCCTGGAACCCGTTAGCGCCTAACGCTTCTCCGGGGCACCCCAGGTATATAGCCCCGACACACCACCGACCCCGTATAAATCGAATTATTATGTTCAAAAGAAAGTAAGTTTTCAGGAAGGATTGAGAGTACCTGGGAGACAGTGGAACACTATTCCAATGCTCTGGGAGCTGTGAGAGCGAAATTGAGTTTCCTGATCTGAGGCTTGGTGAAAACGCCAAAAATCTGTAAGACACCCACTAAGAGCGAGTGAACAGAAAATGAATTAATCAGGCCAGCAGCGTGTCCCCATTACAGAAAACAAAACGCCGAATTAAGAGGTGGTAGAGTATATAGTGGAGCATACAGTACTGACTCGGTTCTAATATAATGCGGACCTCCATAGATCGCGTAAGGCTCACTCCGAGTCCGAAAGGCTGAAAGTGAGACGTGGGGAACTGCGAGGAGTCCCGATACCCGGTCACTTGTGTGTTTAGATGAGTGGCTTTCCAGTCACTCTTGAGCTGTAGCGTAGCCCAGTGTCTCTTGTGTTTCCACTTTGGACGGTCCAGCAGGGGGTCGTCGAAGATTCTCACGTCTGTTCGATCAGGATCTCCTTTTCTCAACTCCACTGCCTGGAATAACATGGCCACTCAATCGAGCTACTGACCGAAAGCACCGCCTTTATGTTATGTCAAAGCTGTGGAATCCTGCATAAGGGTACACTACACACGATATAAGTAATTATATTACATATGATGTAGCTCAACTTCCGCAATGTCCCATGCTGGCAAGCGGCGACAAATCTAGTAATGCGCGAATGCGATCAGGGAGGACCCCGATGAGCCTTTGTACTTCATCGCCTATTGGTGGGCTCATTAGCATGTGCAGAAAGGCGACGCTATAAAACTTACCTATCGATATCGATGGATCAGATGCCCCTAAATCCCGCAGTACAATCACTAGAGTTCGGAAGAGTTCAAGGCTCCCTACTAGCCTGCCAGGCTCGGCTTCGTTGGTGGGAGAAATATGGCATCTTTGGATCTCGTGCGCCATCACGACAGAGGCGTCCAAAACATGAGGCTGGAAAGTTTGGGTTAAATATAATGAAACATCAAAAATCTGTAAGACACCCACCAAGAGCGAGACATCTTTGTAGACAGTAGGAATAGGGGAGTAGACGGCCTCCGTTTGGCTCTGACCCGTCACGCTCGCGGACGGGGATATTACAAGCTTGAGCAACGCCGCCATCCCGTTCGCCGCCTGTACAGCTTTTTGGCGCGCCTCAGTGATTACCCCCCTCCAGATATGGCTACAGCACAAGGGGATTCGAGCAGAACATTTTGCAAGCTGATCATCGCCGCATAAACAATTATCTTCACCGAAAAAAGGGCAGGGTTAGGCTTCTGGGGGAAAATCGTCACCCCGTTGGGATTTTGAGATTGGAGAATTGGGCGACCAAATCCAAGGTCGCTGCACTCCCCATTTATGAGGCCAAAGTCGCTATTCAATGACGGCATCGTTTCTTGATATACGCAGAGAGATGCTTCGAGAAAGTTGAATATTTTCCAGAATGGAACGCTTGAGCCCCACGCGGAGCAGGTTTCAGCATCTCCTACCAGGTGGTGAGTCAAGAGTGTGTCAATCGTTTCCGTGTAGACATACCCCCATTATATGCACGGAGGAGTCGTATACCCTCAAAAAGCAATTCCAGCCGAGCTCTGAGACAGACATGATCCATTTCTCTACTGACGTCGAATATGCCGGGGTTGAGGGACGTGCCAGTTAAGGCCCAGTGGTGAATCCAGTCGGAGTTAGAGGCTTGGAAGGCATTGGCGGGGGAATTCTGAAAGCTGATGCCACATGCGGATCTATGGATCTCAGCAAGCGCCTATGTGCAAGTGGCCAGGGTCAAATTCCAATGATTCGTTTTCGAACTGGCCACTCACATCCTCAGGCAACGAGCTAGGCAGTCCTGATTCTCTTGTGAGTATACGATCCGCCACATTCAACGCGAACCAGGCGTGCCTCTGTTCAATCATTTCGAAATCGTTTCTGGGCGGAGGCAGTAAGCCTACGGTATCACTTTGATACTGAGCCCTGGTCAATGTTTGCAGCCCGCAAGCGATAGCAAGCCGAATGGCGCCAGATAAGGTCGTGTAAGCTTCGGGATACCGACGAGTGCGGGTAAAGTAAACCCCAAGCAGAGTCGAAGCGAGGAGGAAATCCACAAGACGATCAACGAAAGCCAGCGACATCTCCAGATCCGAGCGCGTCCGGGCTACGAGGAAGGCTTCATGTGACGACATAGAGCCCCCACCAACATGACAAGCAAGGAGGCACATTGAATGCACGAGGGAGGGGTGAACTTGAAGGGCCCCGCCATCCGATGGAGAAGAACGTATACCTCCAAGCACCTTTGCAGCAAGCGGTCCAGAATGGAACTGGAAACGGTGTGCTAAAAAGATCCGAAGGCTTAATATTTAGTGCAGTCAGATCCAGAAGGGAAGTGCGAGCTGGACGGGGCACACATACAGATAATCTTTGAGTCGGTGTGGCATTTCTACCTGGATGTCCCAATTCGCCAGAGCGCGTTCTACTTCCGCACGAGTAATAACTCTTGGATAGGTTTCTCCTGGATGAGAAAGTGATTGCTCTGCAGATGCGAAGGCAATATTGGAGTAAAGAATTGACGCAGGGAATATGGGTATGGTCCTGGGATATGCCTCAGGGATATGGGGCTCCTGCATCCTCTCGAGCTGAGGCGAAATGGCGAGCCGAGGGCTCGGTGAGCCCAAATAGGCTCTAGCACCCTCCACGCCATGAATAGGCGAAGTCCGGTTATTATATCTGAGGGCGGCTATCTCGCTCTCCAGGCTTCGAATGATTTCTTCTAGCCTTCTGACCCTGGCCCTAGAAGTCTCTTCCGCATACTCGCATGACTTCCCTAGTCTACGACATCGTCCACACGCCGGCCTTACACCGTCGCATTTCTATAAAGGATGATGTGCCAGTCAGAGTTGCCCGTGCATTCATGAAGATCTCGCTTCTCACAGTTTTCCTGTGGCGACACACCAGGCATGCAAGACCCGACTCGAGTAAGTCATGTCGTTTCTTAGGGATCTTTGAGGCCGATGCAGACATTGGTGCTTGAGAGCTTGAGGGGGGATATTCGTTGCGCGCTGCATTTATCGGCACACCAACAATACACGAACCTGACCATGGGAAATGAAAAATCAGTTATGCCTTCAGCATGATGTCGCAGGACTAAATTCCGGAAATTGAATACCGCGGCCGGACCCTCAATCGCGTGCCTGCGGGGAAGAAGGGTAGTTAGGGGTACTCGGGTGCGAGTGGCGGTTAAATGAGGCAAAGAGGTCGAGATAAAGGGCGGGTTCGTCAGCTTGGGACACAATGTTTGTGCTTCAAAGGTCGTCCTTCCGTTAGGCATGATGCAGTCATAGAGGCTGGAGTCGTGCCTACATTGGACTGGATGGAGATAGATGGCCATTAGATGCATCTATTTCCCCAGGGACTGCTGTGGCTTCTGTAATCGCACCCGAAAGTTAATAAGGACCAGTAATGCTAGGGAAAGTCGCGAGAATGTGGACAATAAAATGGATCAACCCGTGACTCAGGCCAGTAGCGTGTTCTCATTCCCGAAAACAAGACGCCGAATCAAACTCTATGAATGGCAGAGTGTAGCGGAGCGCCCAAATCCACTCCGAACTGTGATGCTAGAACTCGACCATGAAGAACAGCCGCACATTTTAGCCCTCGAGCCCCTAGGTGCTACCATTTAGTCTGTGTACGAAAGGTAGGAAACCTTAATCCTGCTGCGCCGACTTGAACTCGCCAGAGAGAGCTGCACGTGGTTCCACAGCGGACCCCAACACCGACCGCGTGAAGTTCCCTCCGAGTTCGACAGGCCGAAGTTTGGAAGTGGGGCTGGACGTGTGAGACGCTGGGAGGAAGCCCGATAACGGGTGACTTGAGTATGAGCAACGAGGTTCGGCCACAACTATCTGCCAACTCATTTCCCGTTTTGGGTTGGATTAAATAATCAGCCTAAGCCTAATGCTCAGTGGCGTGTGTCATCCGTCGAGCGCATCATTGAATTTTTCGGCTAGAATTTTGATGCGCTGATGCGTTCGGAAGCGTTGGGAGTGACTAACGAGTGCACTTCGATCGACTAAAGCGATTGTCATGGAGAATGTAAGTAGTTGAGGATACAGGACGAAAATTCGTCATCATTCCCAGGAAGCCCCCTTCTTTGTGGCCATGAATCGAAAGGCCGTCAGTGTAAGTACTGAAGAAAGGCCTCACCTCAGCCTCAGAAATGAGCAGTGAGGAGAGAATAAGAAGTGGCTCCGTAGCGTGGCAAATCCGAATGAATTGCGCCTTCAGCAACCCTCAAAAATTCGATTGGGATCGGGAGGGAATAACTCGAATCGAAGTCATCTCAATCGAGCCTGGATTGTTGATGCCTTTACGCAAGTTAGGGACATGAAGACCTTTTACTCCTGTACCTGCTGCATGGAGCCATTAGTCCTGGTTTAATAACATCACTCTAATATAATCGCGCGGTGATACGCAACTTGAGATGATGCTGAACAATCCCGCATTTTTGAAGTGTCGAGCAGACAACACAGATATTCATTAATTTCCATTGCGTCGGACGCGCGTAACTCAGCTTGTGAGCAGGGCCGTCTCCCTCTGCGTTATCAGCTTCGTGTTTGGACTGGCAAGTCCTATATTAGCAGCGATAGGGCCGGCGACCTATGTAAGCGCCTTGGGTTCTGCATTGTCTACAAACAAGTCGCCCTTGTATTTTGCGTTGCGCCGCGTGTCCTCGCGCGAGTCTTCAGATCCACCCTCTCTGTATACATTCGGCCATGCTAACTGCGAGTGTGAGGCCTTTCTTGCGTTTCCCCTCCTTCCTCTTCATTTTGTCACCTCTTGCCCATGACCTTTGTCTGTGTTCATTTTCATTTCTGTCGACTTGCATCTTGCACTACTGTATGTACGGGTGGCACGATGTCCATTTTCGACTACCTGCCATTTAGCTTGGTTCAGAGCGTGCGAACAACGGAAATGGCCGTTCAAGCGCGCGTCGTCCTGCGGCCCATTCTACCATGTCAAAAGCAGCTTCAACTGCCCCTCCGATATCTAAAAACCGTGCCCTGCCAGCAAGGGAGGCTCTGTCCTTCAAATCGGTATTGGTGCGATGAGAGGGCTCTTATGAGTAGTCGACTCTTGCTCATTCAGGTTGTAGCAAGCTTACGAAACGCGACAATGGAAGCGTGGCTTGAAGACCGCGGACCAAATATTGAAGAAATACCCGGACCACGGGGGTACGTTTTCATGCCTCTGAGATATTCGCTGCGGCTGATATGCCCGTGCTAGAGACTCTGTCTATGAAAGGTCTCATACTGACGAACTTGAATCGTAAAGAAGAAGGCATTGAGCTTGTTCGAAAGGGTCTTCGCATGGACTTGACGTCTCATATTTGTTGGCATGTTCTTGGCCTCGTTCACAAAGCCGATCGTAATTACGCAGAAGCCCTCAAATGCTACACACAAGCGCTTAAATTCGAGAAAGTTTGTGTCAACATGCCCCATTTCCTAGAATATCACTGATTATGTATCCAAGGATAATTTGAACATCCTGAGAGATGCTGCCCACATGCAAACGCAGTTGCGCCACTTTGACCAATTGGTCGAGACGCGACAGACCCTGTTAAAGTACCGGGCCAATCTTCGCCAGAGCTGGATTGCGTTAGCCTTAGCATATCATCTCAATGGAAAACTGGACTTTGCGAAGAAAGTCCTGGAACAGTACGAGGCAACGGTGAAGGATGTACCTCCTCGTGATCCAGAACATTCAGAACTTCTGTTGTACCACGTTCGTATTCTGGAAGAGATGAAACGCCACGATGAAGCATTAGACTTCCTCGTTAAGAATGTGGTTTCCCAGTCCATAATTGACAAATCCACGACCGCTATCCTCAAAGGTCTGTGATTGTTCCAAAGTCCATTGTTCGTACTCAATGAGGAGTATGTAGCTCGACTACTGCACAAGCTTGGGAAGACGGACGAGACTCGAGAGGCCTGGCTCTCCATCATCGACAGCAATCCAGAATCTTACGATCATTATCGTCGTTATTTATTGACACAAGGCATTGACATGGGTTGGTAATTTCGTTCGTAGCAGAAAATGGGGACTCACCTTGCAACCTCAAACTAGATTCCCTTGAAAACGACAGTCGTACTGCTGCTATCAAAGTTCTCCATCAACTATCAGCTCGGATTCCCAGAGCCATCGCACCCCGGAGGATTCTGCTGAAGTTAACATCAGGTAAGAAAGTAGTGGGCTACACTCCAGGCGTCCTCTGATAGAGGCTAGGGGATGAGTTCAGACTACTAGTTGCAACGTATTTTGAAGCAGCAATTGCACGTGGCATACCTTCGCTCTTTTCTGATCTCAAGGATTTGTATGTTTCCAGTGAGAAACGACAAGTCATAGAAGATATTGCAGAAGATTTATATAGAAAGACCCTGGAGAACTCCAAAGGCAAGTTACTATCCCTGTCCGCTTCGCATCTCTTAACCCGAAACTTTCCATAGAGTATCCACCCTCTTCCCACATCTGGGTATTGTACTATCTCATTCAACACCATGCCACCAATCCCAGCACCATCCCTCGAGCCTTAGCATTGGCTGATAAAGCCATTGAGCACTCACCGGCTCTTCCTGATTTGTACATGGCAAAGGCACGCGCCCTGAAACGTGCGGGGAATCCTTTTGAGGCTTGCATTACCATGGCCTCTGCATGGCGTCTCGACCTTCAAGACCGTTTTTTGAACACCAAAAATGCGAAGTATTTGTTGCGGGCAGGCTATATTGAAGAAGCGATTAAAATGCTTGGATTGTTCACAAAGGTTGCCATTCTTTTGGAAGCGCCATTTTTTTTGACTAACCTCTGTGCTCGTAAAGAAAACTGCATCGCTACCGGGAGCAGATCTAGAAGAAATGCAATCACTATTTTACATGAGAGAGGCGGGAGACGCCCAGCATCGTTCTGGAAAGTTAAACCTTGCACTTAAGCGCTACAACGTTCTCTTCAAGGTATGTTTGTCCCATCCCAGGGAACAATGTGCTTATGGGAAATATGCCCAAGACGTTCGATGATATTGAGGACGATCAATACGATTTCCATGCCTATGCCTTGCGGAAATTTACGATGACCACTTATCTACTGTGCGTATTGCATACTCATTAACGCAGTGTCCTTGCCGACACATCTTGGCCTCATAGACTGATTGAAATGGAAGACAATTTACGGTCGCATCCTGCTTATGCTCCTGCTGCACTTGCGGCGGCGAAGGTTCGTAAGACTTCTTTCAGAACTGACCGTTAGAAGTCCCACTACTTTTTTTGCAGATATATGTACAAATACATGACGAAACGAAACCTGCCCCACAAACATGTAAGAATGTTGCGGAGTCCCCCGTATTGTACACACTCATTGAGCCCTTACAGCAGCCCTCGATAGTAAGAAAAGGGCGGGTAGAAGGGGGAAGAACGTTGAGATTAAGCCGCAGGAGGATTCGAAGAAAGGTAAACTTGTCTGGGTGATCTTTGTGTACCTCCGCTCATTTAAAACAGCTCTGGCGACACCACCTAAGACAGATGACACAGATATTCCTGTCGTCAGGGATGACGATCCTGAAGGATTAAAACTCTTGACTGTTCCCGATCCGCTAGAGATTGCATGGAAACGATTATCACCGCTGCACTCTCTCCGACCAAAGCTCCTCGACACATGGCTTGTTTCTTTCGATGTTGCTATACGACAAAGTAGGTTCTCCCATTGCATTCGTTCACTCGGATTTATGGTTTAGCAAATGAACAGAGAAGTATCTCCAAGCGCTGAAGGCTCTGAATCATGCTCGCAATCTATCACCAGGCGACCCAGGAGTCCATTATCGTCTGATAGAATTCAAGCTTGCCGGTGAGTCCGCTTACATTTTCGTGGCCTTTGATCTAAGGAAGCCTGTCCTTGTATGCAGTCGAACAACCAAATTTGAAACTCCCAGCACCCGTCCAGACAGTGATCACAGAAGAGCTATCACAAATCTTCCCAGCCGATGTTTCTTTAGAAACCTTTAACTCTGCTTTCATGCAAACCAACGTATCACCTGGGTCGGCATTAGGTGCCGCGCAGGCCCTGGTGCTCATTCGTGGGCAACAGTCCTCCCAAGTCGAAGCAGAGGAGCTTACATTTCAACTCTTACGACCAGAAACACATCTCTCCATCCAGGTAAGCGATGATCCTGTATTGCAATTATATCAACGGATGAGCTCACATTTCCTATTCCCGATTCCGTGGTAGACTGGACTAAATGCTCTGGAGTTTTTGCGTACAACGTTGAAATCACCACGCCACGAGGAATTCCGGCTACAATGTGCCTTGCGATTCCCTCTTTCATGCGTTTTTAAGACCCGGGAGGAGCTGGATGAGCTGCGTGAGTCGACACTGAAGCACCTAGCCGCCTTGGAGGAGCTGGAGGGGGAGAAAGATGAGATCTTGGATGTGACCACCAATTAGCCTTTCCAAACGGGGCGCATGCCATATGGCCCTTGGGCCAGCAAACCTACAGGACACGAGACCGGATCTTTGGGTTTAGGATTAGTTTACAATTCAAACAAAGGGTGGACTCATATACCTCCCCCAATATATATCTACGACTGTGATCGACTCCCTCCACAAACCGTACAGGCGACTTTGAGCATTGCTATACTATTAGAAACCAGCGATTCATTAGCGCTAGACAATTATTTACAAGATCCAAGACAATGAAGAGAAAATGTACCTCAGTTGAACTGAGGGAGAGACGAAAAATCCGAGAAATGCGCTCCTAATTAAGCCTTCAGCGTCTGACTATCAACAAGAATCAACGGATGCAAATCCAGCTGAGGATAAAATCCCTCGGTTGGCCCCGCTTTTCACTTTTTCCTCAACTCATTCTTTTTATGGGCCGCGATTATTGTCCAACAGCTGAGCTTTCGACACACTCACTGTTGTCTACATGCGAGTTCAAGATGAATTATTGTTTCGTCCCAAGGAGTATTGCTATTGGACCCGACTCATCCGTGTCGGTGCATCCAGATACACACGCGGGCCCGACATTCCACCGTCACGCTGGGGTTCGCTTCGCGAGCACCACCCTGTTAACGATCATCATCCATGTACGGTACTCCATGGCCGTCTATCTATCACTAGCATTCCCTTCGACAGTCCTAAGTTTGTGTACCTTGCTGTCAGCTACCTAAGCTATGGTTCCCGTGTTACATCGGTCCAAATATCATACAACTATACAGTTCCAAGTGTCGCTGCGTCTGTTTGACTGCAACTCGGAGCTCTTTAAGTTATTCAGATTGACAAGGTGCACGGAAATCTGCCGAGTGTCCTGCTGCCCTGTGATTTCCCAACACAGCGAATGCCAGACAAGTTGCTTGATAACAATGCGGCTCCGATCGTCATTTTGCGAAGGACATTCGTTGTCTGGAATGCACATTATGATCAGCCCATGTGCGAACACAGATCATGGCTTCCTGGTGCACATACGTTAGCCATCGTATTACATACGAGCCCACTCTCGGAACAAAACTGTCGTATTCCAGATTCTGGTGTCGGAAGAAGATGCCAGTGTGAGCAGCAACTTCGTTATCCACCCCTGCTATAGGCACGGACTGCCACTGGGGTGTTAGAGCCAAGGGCAAAACGATGAAGCGATGCAGATGTTTTCGCGGTTGCTTGGGAGGAAGCTCATCTAATGCAATGGACGGTGGTCTCGACAGAGATAACTGTGAGGACGAACTTCGCGTGGATGGGGTTGGGGAAGTTGAGCGCTGTGACACATCGGAGAATTGAGTGCTTTCTTCTGAGGGCCAGCGCTCAGGGCTCGGAACTTCTAAATGGGTTTGTCCGCTCCTGTTCTTTTTGGCTGACAATGCTTCCATCTTAGCCTTGGCCTTGGCCGCAGCGGCTTTGAATAAGTCAAATTCCAAGGCGCTGCCTTCCGCAGCTGACCCCGCATGGTGCTCTGGATGGAATGGCTGAGTTTCCAGTTTGAGACCACCGATGTGTGGAAGTTCGAAACTTTTCAAGCTACGAAAGGAGGATGTGATGGAGCACTTTGTACCCTCGTCACCCTCCGGCACGGTATGAGTGTAAAAATGCACCCAATCGCCACCCCATTTTGTGAGAGCTGTGAAACGCTCATTTAGGCCCTCTCTGTCGATAACAGCGGAACCAAACTCGAAATAATCCGACACCCATTGGTACGCGGCGCTGAAGGGGTGTTTGTCGTGTGCGTGACGGCTCAAGAATTTGAAAGTTTTAGAAATTTCTGACTCGGATGCTGCAGGCGATGCGGCGCGGTTGTTTTGTGAATGAGTTGGTGATCGGTGGTTATTGACTAGAACAAAATTCTTTAGTGAAATGTGCACGGTAAGATGTGCAGGTTCCGTAGGTGCGTACGCGAAACATCGTCGACAGATTGGCGGGGTGCAATGTCCACTTTCGTGGTGTCGTTGACTTCTGCTTCGGGCTGCCTCTCACCCGCAAAGAGTGACGCTAGTCCGCTCACGATAACATGCGGGTCTAAGATAAGGAAGGTTGATATCTTGGTGACGGAAGTTGATGATGGTTAGCTTACGGACTCCAAGATAGGGGACGTCCATTGCAAGTATGCCAATGATGGGATGAACACTATCAGCCTGTCTCGCATTGATGACTGCAGCGTCTGCTACCAAGTATCCACCAAGTGAATGTCCAGTCAAAATGACCTTTCCTGGTGTGAGAGTATCGATCCTAAACAGGGGGCAGCTGAAGTCACTGCCGTATAGGAGAGTGTACAAATTCTCGTACCACCGCAGCAACTTCGCAACAGCATCTGCAATGGGGCGCTTGGCCTTGTATGTTGGGTATATGTGAGTATTCAGATTGATTCCTGGGAGCGATGGCTCCAAGTACGAGTGAAGATCGGTCGGGAACGACTGTCGGATAGTTGCAATAGAACGCATCAAGCAACTTGCAGATGTGCCCAAATACTTGCCTGAAAAGATGTATGATCCCCTCTCCAACCTTGCGCAGGCATCAATCTACGTACTGTCCACTCCGAATCATCAACACTCACCGTGGACATAGCATATGTGCACCGTCGTAAGCTCGCCCATTGTGTTTCCGGTGATCGGGATTGGACAAGCGGGCGTGAGAACGTGAGAACACCGGCCTCGTGGCGTCATACTGGCGCTGTGGTTGCCGCGCGGATCTCCTCGTCGTAATCGATCAGCCAGGAGATCATAAATTGGGGTTTGCTCTGATTGTCCAGTGTAATCCATTTCACACTCCGTCATACGCCCACCGCATGACACAGGCACGAAGGATAAAATGATACACACACGCTTATTGTGCCAGATGTGGGATGAAAGTTTCTCAATTTCCGGGCCAGCACATCATATTATGATCAAACCCCCTATGGGTCGTGCGACGAAAAAGTGGGCGAAATGAAGAGTGGCAACATGTGAGTACTTTGAAGGGGAAATCGTCGTGGTTGACTGAATGGTGTATTGAAAAAGCCACGTTCGCGAGAAGTAAAGCGCTCACAGGCGAAAATGTACAATCAAGGCGACTGTGGTGATTTGGAACATAGCGTAGCCGCAGGCGCGCCGACAAGCGACAAGTCAGGTCTGTGCGAGGATCCACGGGAAGTTGGGAATACCATTGAGTGAGGCAGAGAATTATGGGGAGGGGATGCATGATTCCCGTGGTTGAAATCCCTTGCAGGCTGAGGATCAAAGAAAAATGGAAGATGGAAACAGTACGCGTAATTAGTCTCTCATTCGTTATGGCTGCTGCGGAAAGACAAAAACCAATAAGGGGGACAAGCATTACAGTGTTCTCTGGTACGTCAGGGTCACCTGTTCGCGGAAGCTCCTCATGCAAAAGTCGTTTGATCCACCCTGCCCCGTTCGCCTACCACAATTACCTGCTCCGTGTTTGCTTCGACGGGCCGTTTGACCGCCTGACAAATGCCCACACCACCAATTTGGTTTGGTAGCGTAACGCAAGAGGCCGGCTTGGAATTACCATACCTGCTCAGTGGCTAGGCAGGTTACCAGCCTCTATTGAAATAGACTCAGTGGCGCCCGTTCCAACTTTCGAGTGGCTGTGCAGCCCATTCCAGCTTCGAACCGCCACGTCTCCATACCAGAGAGTTTTGTTCCCTCTTTGTTTCTCACTTAGCTTCTCGGTTAGGGCATTTTAAAGCAAGGATTTATTTCTCCGAGCCGCTTGAATTTTCGGGAGCGTTTATATCATGCCCCCTAGACGCAAACAAGTTCCACGTCATGCTCATTCCAACCCTCAGCAACAGCCGCAACAGTCACAACAGCATCCACAAGCGCAACAGATGCAAGTCAGCCCACCAGAGCCTGCTGTCCAAGCTGCCATAGATGCGCAATTTCGACCTGTGAATCTGAAGCTCGGCGCTGATGATGGCAAGGCAATTGCTCTGTGCGCCTCTCATGGAAGGGAGGTTTGTGGGGACTGCGGGCTAGACTTCACCATGTTAAATCAGACTTCCCGAGTACTTCAGTCTCTTCCTTCCGAAATGCCCGTTCCACCACCTCCGCATGTTGTCCATCCCCAAAGAAGTCCGTTGGTTCAAAAGGCGAAGGAAGAAGGAAATGTACGTTGTTCCCTCGCCACACGCTCCACTCACACACATTTTCTGCCACTAGCAACTATTCAAACGTAACAAGCATGAACAAGCTATATCCAAGTACGGCTTTGCCGCGAACCTGGCCGCGTCCCGATTCCCATGGGAAACATCAAATCTTACTCGTGAGGAGCTCTCAATTGTCGTGTGCAATCGTTCTGCCGCGTATCTTGCCGCTGGAGATCCTGTTGGGGCATTGATTGACGCCGATGTTGTCGTCCAGCTGAAGAGACCTTGGAGTAAAGGGCACTTTCGAAAAGCAAAAGCATTATTGGCACTGGGAAAGCTTGAAGATGCCAGGGAGAGTGCTTTCTTAGGTTTGCAGTTTGAACCCGACAGTTCGGTGCGTTTCTGCCGTTCATATGCTTTGTGAGCGCTTATCAAACTGAATTAGGAATTGTCCTCATTTGTCGAAGAAATCGATGCATTGATCGAGAAAAATAAATCTGCTGGTTAATATCACTATTTATACATCTGCGCCACACAATACATATATACATCTAATCGAACGAAATGCATCGGATACTCAAGACTTGGCATCGCCTAGCACTGAATTGACGAGCCGGTCAGCTTCAGCTTTGCATTCTTCTGGTTCTTTAAAGAGTCGGAAGACAACGTGTCCCGGTAATCCCGAGACGGCTCGTGCAATCCTTGCATCCAGTTCTGTACGTTTCTTCTGTAGCGTCGCATTGGGGCGATTCACTTGATTCTGCGCGTAGAACGACCCAGCGTGAGATACCCATGAGGAGACTGACATGGTTGAATCCACTGAAGATTGAGGATGTGGGCTATGAGGTTGATGTGAAAGCGTCTGTTGTGTAATGGTCCCGTGTCTTGATATATTAGAGCCAGTGCCCTGACGAGGAGGGGGAGGGGATTGTTTCCCTGGCTGTTGTGAAACGCGAACAGTGGCATTACGGTCCAGACCGGTCCCATTCGAGGTCGCTAGGTCGCTGTATAGACCGAAAGAGTCTGAGTTTGGTAATTGAGACTGCGGGATATTTGGAGAGAAATAGGAGCTTCCAGGTATCTGCTCCGATGCAGGAGATGGCGGCCCTGGAGAAGATAGAGGCAAAGTGTCTGGGCTCGTCGTCAAATCAGGAAGTACATCCCTGATGAAAATTCCAAGAATTTGATCCCTTCCACGAAGGTGGAAATCCTTGGCCAAGGAAGTGTACAACTCCAAGTCTAGGGCGCTCTTGAATTTCCAATCATGAAATGAGGGTTCCGCGATACTGACCTTGTTCTCCAGAATCACCGACAAGAATAAATTTGGATTCCGGGAACCTATCAAGAACCTATGGGAAAGATAGGAAACTACATCACATTGACCGTACATTTCTGCTTACCTCCAATACACCAGCTTTCTTACGTTCACCTGCCGGTTCCCACAGGCCTTTAAACAAGCTCTTCCCCCCGTAAAACTTGAGCTTTAGAGATCCTGAAGGGTTTAATCCAAGTTGAAGAAAGAGAATAATGATCAGACAATAAATACACATGCCTCCAGGAAATCCTCCTACTCTGAAGAAGTCCGACAAAACAGGAAGTAGCTCAAATGGAGAATTGGACTGAGCAAACAGCTATTCTGAGTTATCCAATACGGGCAAGAGATGAAGTTACGCACGACGTAGTGGAAACGTACTCCACGATCGCTCAGTGTGGTGTACCATTCCGCCATTCCCGGGACAGAGAGTTCCTCAAGATGACGAACGAATACATTTCTGAATACGGTACGAACTCCGTGCAGGATATGCGAAATCTTGATAGTGTCATCGATATCTGATATAAGCCGGACCCGGGCATTGGTGATCGGAATGGGTATCTGAGCCTTTGGCGCCGTGCTATGCAGTGCACTCTGAACTGCTGGCCTGAATTCATTCAAGTTTCTCGGGAATTGAGCCGGGAACGTATCCTGCGGTGGTGGAAGTAGCTCTGCGAATGCGATCAGTGAGTGTTCTGATGAAGAATCTCCAAAGGCGATGTGAACCCCTCCAGGATGAGTGCAAACTGTGTCGTATGGTATGTGGAACAAGTGCCCGAAATAGCCTTGATCGGTCAGCGGCACGTCTATGGTCCCCAATGGACCATGGCCGTGATCTGGGTGGTGCCCGGATACAACCGTTGTAAAGAGAGTGATACGAACCATACGATTCGTAACGATACTCCCCCAGAAGGGCTGAAGACGGGAGTCGAAATTCGCGTGAAGACGGATAAGTTCCTGAGGCGCCATACCGGCGAATGAAGCTGCAGGGGACAATGTGGTCGGAGAGCCACCCGACGAGGTGGAACATGATGACGAAGTGGAGGAGAGAGATGAAGTTGATGATGCTCGATGTTTGTAGAGATTCGGATTTGTTACTGGAGCGTCGTCGGTCCACGGAGATGTGTCCGGAGGTGGTTCGGTGTCAGATCTGATCGCAAAATGAGGGCGCGGCGGTTCTAACGGGTCAGATAGTACGGAGCGAGACTCCAAAATACTCTTTTCTATTTCATCGTTTATTCCTTCGGGTGTAGGCGGAAGTTCCACGAGCCTCAAAAGCTCTTCAGTGGATTTGCTGAGTTTGGGTACACGGTAAGTTCGTGTTGTTGGGAGTCCCTCCACATCCAGTGGTACCTTGGGTAGAGTCGCGAAACCTTCATAAACTATGAGTCGTGTGTGTAATTCTGGGTCTGTTCAAGTCTACCTTTAGCTAGTTTCATGAATGCTTTCTGAGATCGGGATGCAGATTCGGGTGGGCGTAGGCTATATGCTGACAACATTATATGCTCAGAACCAAAGTGGTAGAATTGTGCGATCTCACGGACCATATCCAGAAACAAAAACCTCCACCGTAAAAGATGACTCTGGTGTAGCAGGACTTTAAGCGCCAAGATGACTGAGTTTCGAGGCATGCTCACACGCACCTGGCGCACGCGGGAAAGAAGGGATTGAGTATCTCTTCGTTGCCCACCCGGGGAAGAGAGCGATCCTCTGATGTCCTTTGGACTCTTCTTCACGGCGAAGCGCGCGATCATGGAGCCACTGCTCTTTGACTTGACCGAGGAAGCTGCCCTGTCTGGGGCCATTTTTCGCCCTATCAGATTGGACTGTGGCCAGGGTTGTCGTGACGTTATTAATTGTCCCTTTTATTTTTGACGTAGCAGCGGCTTTCCACGAGCTGAAGGGCGACATGCCAGACACTGACGCTCTGGGTGTAGAGGCCGCTTCACCCCTCATGTTCGGTGGCAAGTGGCGAGGAGTAGAACTAACGCGCCCGTACTATTTCGCGCACGATGGCGGAGGTACGGTGAGTCGATTGCGGTTCAAACCACGGAACGGAAATCCGTCCGAGGCGCTGTTGGCCAAATATGTATAGGAATCCCCGGATGCAACGCGACCCACAAGCGTGCAACCGGCTCTCGCTCAACTCCAGTGCTAAGTCTAACGTTCTGTCGTGGTGTTATACGATAGATTGGCGACAACATGGAGCGGATGCGCCAGAAATTTCCGGTGAACCAATCTGATTCTTTTGCTCGTGGAAACAAACCCCTCCCCCCTGGCTCGAACCCCCCTAATGTCGCTGCCCAGGACATCTCGGGCCCTAAGGATGGAACGCGCGCTGGCTCAAAGCTTCTGACAGGCTTTTCTTCCAGTCCCGCAGCTCGATCACAGTTTAAAAACCCGCTCATCCAGACATATAAAAATGTCGCCAAGTCAAAGAAACAGATCGCTGAGCAAGAGACGCGTCAAATGGCACAAAGCACGGTGCCACAAAGAGCGTTTGTATCTACCTCGTCATCCAGCCTTGCGTTATTTCCCGTCTCCATCAAATCCAACTCACAACAATCGACATCTTCCTTCATGGATATCGGTTTGGATGAGGAAGATTCTTCAGAACCGTTGCCGAACGTCCCCACAGAGTTTCCGCTAGATGTCGGTAAAGCCAATGAGCTAGATGTACAGTCGAAACGCAAGGCTGAGCCTTTTCCCTTGGATACCCTGTTTGAACACTCTAGTCGCTGCTTGCCGAAGCCATTTCCGATGGATCTTGGGGAGATTCCCTCACCGAGCTCCGAAGACACCATCGAGATTAAGGATATCCTCGATGTTCTATGTACCCCTCCCAGAACGAGACCATTGAGCACCTCCCCTTCCACCAGGTCACTTTCCGAGTTGGGTGAGCTGTGCGTGACAGTGAAATCGCAAGGTGGCGCAAATGCCGTGAAGCCGTTCCCGCTCTCTACCCCTGAACTCGAGGAACAAACATTTGAGACCAATGGTGGTCTTTCAGTCCCGCCGGACAATCCCTCACTCAACAAATCAAGGACCGCTCACGGGTGTGTACTGCGTTCGTCGGCGTCGGCTCGCTTGGATGCTTACGACCCGCAGGTCACACTTAGCACCGGGGCTCGAAGTGGACATAAGTTATGATACAAGCGACGCCAGTGGGTGAATTCTCGCTGTCCCCACACGCACAGGAGTTGGATTAATCGCCTTTCTTTAGTCGATCCAAGCACAATATGCCCATTTTGTGATGAGCCCTGGCCATCAGACCCAAGTGCAGAGCTGACAAACCTCCTTGCACGGGCTCGACGAAAAGCTTGGCCACACAAGCGTTATACCAATCCTGAAGGTCTCAAGGCACCACTCGAAGCTATAATTGATCTGTGTAATACACATCGCAGTGAGGCCTCCATCATTCCGGAAGGCATCGCTAAAGGCTGGCCTTCCGAAATCGATTTCGATGCTATTCCAAATCGATTATGGAAACTGAAACCTGCTCTCCAGAAACTCATCGACTTCCCATCCGGCTGGCATTTTTTTGACATCGCAAAGAAAGATATACAGCAGTTTGGTGCTGCGGCAACGAACAGCACTCGTGGCCAATTCTCCACTTTCTCGAGAACACAGCCCGGCTAGTGGGTGTCACAAAATTCATAATCGTATGTTGTGTCTCATACTATTAACAGCTACGGGGAGCGGGGGCTTGTTCGAATCGCAAATGGATTGCATGACTTATTTCCTGGCCTTTCGACTCGACCTTCCTTTGCGCCACTGGATGTAGAGAATTTCCTTCTTCGAGTCTTGATACCAGAAACAGCTCGTTTACTCATTATGGAAGACTTGGACTTAGATGAGGCCGATGCGCTCTCTGTGCTTCGGGAGAGCCAGAAATATGGTGTAGCCAAATTCCCTGATCGCGGCGAGGAAGACGCTTTGGAGAAATTCGGGGTCTCCATGCGGGTACGATTAAAGCTGGGACAGGAGCGGCATCTTGCTGATACGAAAGAGGCGGAGCGAGAGTTAAGAACGGAACGTAGAAAGACGAAGAAAAACAAGCATGATCTCCCCCCGAACCCGACGCCACCTCTTTGACTCAAGGGGAGGTGTCTGGGAAGAGCCGCACTGGGTCCCGGCCGCCCTTGGTCGATATACCCTCGCCTACTACTGAGACCTCATCTTTGGATATGTATAGCGAGCAAGCCTCTCAGCCAAAGAAAAAGAAGAAACGCACTATTCTGGGAGAACCACCCTTAGTCCTCTCGTTCTCTGGTGACCAGCTCTCGACAAGAGAGGATGAAATTCATCTGCCATCCAACTCAGGCAGACGCCTACTTAAAACAAACTCTGTCGGAACTGTAACTTCTCGTCCCTCTTCCATCGGGTGAGTCAGGGGCGGTTTCCATTGAAGTGACTCCAGGACACACTTAACATCCTGCTGCCCCAAAGATGGTCTCGAACCCTCCGAGACGATGCCGGGGGGTTGATGGATTTATCCGACTCCGATGCTACATCTTGACACTTATTCAAGCTCAGCTCACACACTTCATCTCATACACATCCCTAGAGCCATTTAATCGTTTCGTTACTGTACCGCGTATATAGTAACATGCCAATCAATGGTGACGAAATCGAAGAAATCTGGAGTGCACCAGTAACTCCCGCAAATCATTGAGGTATGGAGTTTATCTCCCATTCAGACTCGCACTTAGTGGACGCGAATCCCCATCTGCCGCTCCGGTTATCCGCAGACTAGTTCCTCCAGCAACAATGTTAGAGATGGTTTTCTGTAGATCAACCCATTCCGAATCGCGGGGAACACCAACATCACCAACATCATAGACATAAAGTCGACCGTCACTGCAGCCCAGCGCTGCACGCCGTCCGTCTTTACGTTCCCATGCAAGTTTGTTGATGGCGCGGCCTGTTCCGACATTCGTGGTGATGATGGGAACCTGGCCAAAAATGTGAGCAGAAGATCATCAAAAAGAAGTAAAGTATGAAACGTACTTCGGTATCTGTGTTCAAATTCCACAAATCAAAGCGACCAGACCCATCGACGGATCCGAAGACGGCAGGATGGTGAGGGTGCCACCGTACATCATACACGTAATCATCAGCCTCTTCAAATGAATATAAAGGGGAAATAACATTGACACTCGTGGATGGTTTCGTTGTTGTTTTTGCCTTCCACAGCTTGACGGTCCAGTCCACAGAACATGTCAGAAAGATATCGGAAAAATCTATCGATCCTTCCAGTGGGTGGAAATGAAGACCCATTATTGGTCCAGAGTGTCCTTTGTAGATGTCATGCTGGTTGAGACCAGCCTTTGATCCGGCACGATCGTACCTGTTGGCTTGATACACATTGCCTTCTTCTGTACCAACCCAAAATGTAGTTGTTTCATTATCCGGAAAGTCAAACGTTGTTATGGCGACTTCGTTCGTCTTATTATGGCCAGCATGTACAAGCTCCAGGGTCTCCTACAGAGCGCATCAACAACCATCAAAGCTAATTGAATGGCAGAGTTTACCTGGGGCTGCGCGAGCATGTCAACAAGCCAGCTGCAAACCATCCCGTCGGTACTACTAGATATCAAATTGTGCGCGTTTTGGGTCCCAACCATCTGCAGTGAATATACGGGATATGTGTGACCAGATGCAGAAAGAGGCGACTTCAACACGGGGAGATGTTTGGCTCGTGTGTCCCAGAGCAGAATCTGTCCAGAGTAAGTGCCTCCAAAGACAAGATTTGGATGGAAAGGCGAAAAGCAGGTCGACAATACATCGGACTATGACAATGTTTAGCGAAAATGTGAAAGGTGTCGGATTTCATCGAGTCACACCTGCGAGTGGAAGACAAACTCCGGTCTATCAACCATGTGGATGTTCCATATACACACAAGACCATCGGGATCATTAACAGCCGTTGGATTCTTATTGTAGGATGCTGCAATAAGTTCTGGATACTTGAATTGGTGCGTTCAGCTAAGTAAACTCGTCTTCTGATGAAATGAAAAGCCACTTGCTTTAATAGACCAATCAATGTCGGTGATGGAACGACTTTTGGCCCATTTCTCATCAAAGAAGGCGCAAACTTCCTTGACCCTCTTCCCTTCGTTGTCCGTTCTGACGATCATACGTAAGATATATTGCAGGAGATCAAGAATAACTAACTCACGACACACCACCTCCTATTAATCTATAGTCCTGGGTATAGTCGTACGAGTCATTCAACGCCCTCTGAATTCTTTTGGACGATTCCTCCACGAAATCAAGAAATTCGGGGGTGGCAAAAATAGCAGCTCTCTCCTCTTCGGTCAACTCTTAACATTGAGAGTAAACCAAGCGGACCCCCTATATAATCGGGAATTCATCATACCTCTGATCTCCTCCTCGATTTCTTTGGCAATTTGCTCATTTTCCTGCTTCAATTCTTGCTCCCTAACAGCAGTTGCAGCCTCGACTTCTGCTTGTATCCGCTTTCTGATCTCATCCTCCGTCGGCCCGGATGGGCCTTCGTCGAGTTCAACGGTCTGCACGACTTTGTTGTAGAGCACTTTTTCATCCCTGGGACGCAGTAAGGTCAGCTCTGGCTCAAAGCCAAGGCTTGGGGTTGGTTGGGAAAGTTTAACTGGCGATGGTGTAGGGGGGACTTCAGTGCTAGATGGACGACAAGGCATTAGTTCTCCGCCACTTCATTGTTCAATCGTTAGCTTATACGGTTCTGGTCCAACTGTGGATGCAGCCACGATCGTCCCTTTCCCCAAAACATCTGATCCCGTATCACTTCCACGGCTGACCCGACCGGAAGAGGCTGGTTTGCTTTGAAGACTGCTAGAGGAAGCATCTAATTGTGGCCTCTCCGAAGTGCCACTAGTGACACTCAGCCGACCGGAAGGTGAAAATTCACCCGTACGAAAGCCAGGGGTGGAGGGCGCCGTTGCACCGCTCGGCGTTGAGCTTCGAGGGTTGAATAGGTCGTAGACATATTCATTTATGTCCTTGTTGGTTCTTGGCAACCTCACGGGACTCTGTTGATCAGGTTATTCTGGATGCTGAGCGAAAACCCATGTATCGCACTGAGCGAACCTTCTCCTGGTCCACATGCCGAGTCTTCGCTCGATCCTCGCGTTGTTTCCTCAATTCCCGTATTTCCGCGAGTTTTTTGCGTTTGGCCTCGAATTCAGCGCGTCTCCTTTCTTGCATCGTGTCGCGGCGTAATGGTTATCGGTAAAACAGCGTATAATACGGTCCTTGGCGTGTAGCTATTAACCCGGGAACAAATTTGGAACACGAAAAGGAGAAACGCGTCTTCGACCAGAACCTTAACTGTCCGCGGGAACGGATTCTTGTCACGGGACCACCTCGGCCTTGCTTCACACACACCAAGCCACTGTCATCAGCTCTGATCAATCACTTACTAACAATCAGTATATATGTCGGCGGCTGGGAATTGGCCACCTTCCGTTCGGTGAGTGTTGCGAGTCGCTACACTGATCGCTGGTGCAAATCTTGCTCCCAGAGAATGGGTCTCCAAGTGTTTAGGGATGATGAACGATTCTAATCGGGATGCTGCATCCGCAGAACTCAAAAAAATGATCGCTGAAGCGTACGCTAATAATACGCTATGGGAGACGGATTGGGCGTCGATAGAGCTGGAAAGGCAAGTCTCGTATCTATCCGTGTATCAGGTGGGGCGTAAGCTTAAGGCGGCACAGTCTTAAGCCACAAATCAAGCCATTTTTGAAGCGCAAAGCTGGAGGGTAGGACACTTGTTTCTATCACGGCAGCATTTAATGACGTAGATATTGTAGAGCGGATGACAACGTGTCAAAGAAGTCCAAGAACGGATTAGCAACCTCGCAGCCTATTTGTTCTCCTGCGAAACTCCAGGAAAGGGAGAAGCGATTTCGCCGGGAACCCGAAGTAGACTCCCAGAAAAATTCAGGCTCGTACAAACCTCCTTCCTCGTCAGAATACAGTCGGCACGTCAATGCACCAGATTCAAGACGGAAGAGAACCGATGCGACAAGTAACAATCCAGGCGGCGCTTCAGGCTATCGCACGCGACGCCAGGCTTTATTAGGAAGTCCGTTGGGAGATGATGACGATGTGGGCCCTGACTCTGTACGAGAATCTGTGCACATCCTATCTTCCGCTTACGGATCTATCTGACATTTCTCTAGAACGTGATAGACTGGGATAAGTATACAATAGTTGGCCGATCCACTGAGTTGTTCAAGCCGTATCTTCGGATCACTTCGGTGCGTCCTGGTTATCAGTTTACCTGCTCAGCTGATCCTGGATCTGCGCAGGAACCCGATCCAGCGCAGATAAGACCCCTGGAAGTGCTTGAACGGACATTGGCTGAGCTTAGCCGTCGCTGGCGTCAGAAACCTGACTACGTTTGGACGTGCGATCAGCTCAAAAGCATGCGGCAAGACCTAACCGTACGATTCCTTGCTCGAACATCTCTCTTCACGTGCGTGTCTAAAACTGACGTTTTGGTTAGGTGCAAAGGATAAAAAACAAATTCACCGTCCAGGTATACGAGATCCATGCTAGAATGGCGCTCGAAAGCGTATGGGTTTTCTTCATTCTTTAATTCAACATTTACCCAATATCTCGTCAGGAGGACCTGAAAGAGTTCAAGTACTGTGAATCACGTTTGCGAGAACTTTATGAGCTCGGCCTACCAGGCTGCAGAGATGAGTTCTATGCCTATCGAATCCTCTATTCCACATGCGCCAGGACTAAGACCGGTACGAATCGTTCCTCGCTTAGGATGATTTGCTGAAAATTCCACCTTTTTGCTCCCGAGTAGATTTGAATATGTTTATCGCATCGCTGACCCCTCAACAGAAACAACAGGTTTTTATTAAGCAAGCACTTGACGTCCACACAGCTATTTCCACCGATAATTATCACAAGTTTTTTGTCCTTTATTTGAACGCTCACAACATGGGGAGCTATATCCTTGATCATATAGTAGAGGCAGAACGAGTCAAAGCCTTGTCCATCATGACCAAAGCGTAAGGGATCTCCACCGATCATGCTGTTGTGTTCACTTTGGCATTCCTAGTTATCAGCAACTACCGAGTCCGTTCATAGCATCTGAGCTGGCATTTGAATCTGCCAGAGATGCGGTAAATTTCCTCCATGAATGCGATGCAGCAGTCTTCATAAACACCAAATTGCCGAATGACGTCGCTGCCGGACCTGGCCCTCTCGGTGGTCGCATTGGGGTCCCACCCTCGTTCGCTGATGTGTCGGACGAAGCTAAACTTCTGGATTGCCGACAAGTGCATGCCAACCTTAAAGCGCTTCTCGAAACAAAGTTCATTCAACTTCGGATCAGAGATGCTGTTTAGTATCACTTGCGCCATCTGGTGCTTTTTGGTTTTTAGCCTCCTGCTTAGCCTTAGGGAATCCTTTCATTGTAATTTTTCACGCATCCTTTTTCTGCCGTTAATTTTTTTTGTACTTTACACATTCTTTGATACCGCACGAATGATACATAGGCTTAATGCGTAGCATATACATATGTCAATTTCTCATCCTCGCTGGGGCGAACCGTTTGACAGGGACCTCACGGATCGTGAACTCTCTCAGAACTGCAGGAGTATCCAACGCAGCAATGGACAATTTGGACATTGCTGGTATTGTGATATAAACCAACATAATGGACTGTCATCGAGCCATTAGGGAAGAAACCACTTTCAAAGTATTTCAATAAGACTTGCCTTTCGGACTTGAGTGTTTACTCGATTTAAGGTACTTAACCATGCCCAGGAGAATGGCTTAGTATTCGGAAGATTAAAGGGCGAACTTTCTTCATCATTTGGATCTTCGTAGGTTGGACAAAGAATCATTGCAAATCTGTGGGCATCGATCAGATATGTGCATTGCTATTGAAATAAATCCAAAACTACCCACTCAGCATGGGAGAAAACTGGTCCCCGTCTGTAAAGAAGATAATCGACACAGAATTTGATGCCGCTTTTAACGACCCAACCGAGCGAGCGGAAGTGATGATACGCTACGTAGTGAACAAGGAATGGATTGTCGCAGCGTTTATGTTTGGAAATGGATTTTGGTATCGGAAAGGTGTGTGCGGAGAGAAAGGTATCCCACGTCTCTTCAACGGTTAGGTAGCGTTCCTTCACTCGGTAGAAAAAAAAAGTGTTGAGGGCCGAGGCTTGTTCACGCTGATAAACTAGCTTACAGTCATCGGGTCGAGAATCAGAAGACAATCTAGCCCCCACATCAGAAAAAATGCCTCCTGGAGGGTTAGCTGAAAATGCTCCATGTTCTCAGGAAGTTCCGATCCATCGGGCAAATTTCTTTCTGCAGTCAGTACGGAATTTGTAGCTTCCATCTCAGCAAGAGGCGCAGCATCAGCTGGTCTCCATTCTGAGGGTGGTGAAGAGAGTTTCTGCGTAGCGAGGTTTGACCGTATAGTTGTTGAGATATTTTCAGTGGGTGGGGTTGGGAGACGACCCTCGGCTATGAAAGTTGCCTCTGCCTCTGCGGCAGCAGTCAAGATGGCTTGAGCGCGTTCAGCTTTGAATATTTTGCGTTCCTCCCGGCGTTTGGCGGTCAGCTCCTCAGCAGTCAGCACTTGTCCGACGTTATCACCACATTAAAACAATCAGGGGGAGGGGACTGAGATGCTGTTGCTCACCTCTGACCCCAGCAAGTTGGTTCACTCGTCGGTTGAGCCAAGTGGGCTCACTTCTAGATAAGTTCCCTTTTCCAAAGAAGCCTCGCTGCCACAAAGCCTCAATATCTTTGGCGTTCGTCACCCAGACGGAACGAGTGCCAATGTCAAATAACCCGATGCATCGGGGATTTAATACTGAGACTCTAGCAAAGGACGGACCAAGCACACCCGTGAGGGTTTTCGATAGAATAGATGTGGACGGCTGCGGAATTATTGGCAGAGCGTACGCACAGAGCCGATTGTCACGGCGCTTTCCCTTGGCTGGCATTGACTTAATGACTCCCACGTTTGGCTGAACGCAAGCGCCCGGAATCAAATTACTGGGTGACCACGCTAGATAAATATTACAGCCGTTTTCGGCTTAGTTGTCACGTGATCCATTTTGATTCCGCCCTTGCTCGTTGCCCAAAAGCAGGGCTCAACAAAGAGTGCACCATGTCTCAGCAACCACATAAGCTAGTCACTTGCGGTTTGCTGCAAAACGTTTGTATATCTATTACGCCCGGACCTTTTTTAGCGATAACGATAATTTTTATTTTTCATGATTTTAGGTTTTACCCCTTTTACACGATTTTCTCGACAACGGCTGGATAGAATGGGCTGTAAATTGGGCAGAAATAAGTCTCAATGTGTCCCTCGGGACCTTTTTTTTCTTTAGTAAATACGTTGCGTTTTGAGTGTTTTATTACTCAAATGCTTTCTTTGGTAATGGAAATCCGTTGTACATAGTTTTCTCAATAACCACTGCGTGGAATACGATTAAACTTATGCCAAACACACTTAAGTAATATATCTTAGGATCCCCTTTTTTTCAAGTCAATCGGTTGCTTTTTCCGCTGGCATGAGCATGTATAACCGCGGGGAATGTGTAAATGATAAAAAAACGAAAATGCAACCGATTAACTTGAAAACAAAAAGGTCCCGAGATATATTGCTCAAGTGCTTTCTGCGTAAGTTTCGTTGCATTTCACGCAGTGGTTATTGAGAAAACTATGTACAATGGATTTTCATTACCAAAGAAAACGTTTGAGTAATAAAAAACTCAAAACGCAACGTATTTACTAAATAAAAAAAAGGTCCCGAGGGACACATTGAGAATTATTTCTGCCCAATTTACAGCCCATTCTATCCAGCCGTTGTCGAGAAAATCGTGTAAAAGGGGTAAAACTTAAAATCATGAAAAATAAAAATTATCGTTATCGCTAAAAAAGGTCCGGGCGTAATAGATATACAAACGTTTTGCAGCAAACCGCAAGTGACTAGCTTATGTGGTTGCTGAGATATGGTGCACTCTTTGTTGAGCCCTGCTTTTGGGCAACGAGCAAGGGCGGAATCAAAACGGATCACGTGACAACTAAGCCGAAAACGGCTGTAATACGTTTGCATAACAACAAAACTGGTTTTCCCAATCTATTCTTGGTGTTGATGGAATCCTACTGACGGTATGGAAGTAATCCAGGTTTTTCTGATATCTTTTTTTTTGGCAACTTCTCGCAACTATCGGTAAAATTTCCCGGCACTGCGCAAGCGTGATCGACCTACGTACCGTCGGCATGAGTAACTTACCCCGAAGCATGAATGCAACTACACGACAGGGCTCGAGGATGGAAAGAAAAAAAAATAGATAAATGAATCGATTCTTAAGAGGTCTGGCTACGGTACATGAAATCTCTACGATGCCAATGACCACCCCGTGCCTCAGTGCGTGGGTGCCTTTGGTGGAGTGTAAACTGGGGGAAGGTTATTATCGAGTCAGCAGAGAATTCACCAACATGTTGAGCAGCCCTTACTGAGTTTTCTATTCTTGATAGGTGTCCACTTGTAGCGCTTCACGTAAATGCTAAGGGCGAACAAGGTGGAGAGGAGAATGACAGCCTTCAATCCCATCTTCTTTCTCTCGTCATGTTCTGGTTCACCTGCCCAAGACAAGAACGTGACGACATCTTTAGCCATTTGCGATGCTGTTGCAGGAGTACCTAGAAGTGGGAGTTCGTAAGTGAGGAGTTAAAAAAGATGCGACAAGAGAATTGCGTATACGCAACGAACCATCTTCGTACTCGACTACGCCATCGAAGAGGACACGGGCCATAGAGATAGCACCACCGGGGAAGTAAGGGTTGTAACTGAGACCTTCACGGATTTCCACACCAGCTGGAGGATCAGCATATCCAGTCAAAATTGAGAACACGTAGTCCTGCATATAAGATTCAGCCACCAGGGTACGCTCTTCATCAATTTCTTTGCACTCACAGCACCACCATGTCTCGCTTTGGTTATCAAACTGAGGTCCGGAGGGAGACCTCCACCATTCGCAGCTCGTGCAGCCTCCTCATTAGGATACGGCGCAGGTAAGTAGTCACTGAGCTTTCCAGGTCGCGTAAACATCTCCCCAGCATCGTTCGGACCATCCTCATATTCGACTTCCTCAGCGAGTACCCGAACCTCTTCCGCAGTGTGGGAAGAGCCAACAAGGTTGCGCCATGCAATACGGTTTAATGAGTGGCATGCAGAGCAAACTTCCCTGTACACTTGGAAGCCTCGACGAATACTGGGGAGGTCAAGAAGAGCACAAGTCAGCTTTCCTTGCGACCGTGCGAAAGGTGGGAAATCGAGGCCTTAATAAACACAATCAGACCACCAATCAACACTGACCTTGCATGGTCGAAGGAGTCGAGGTAGCCATTGTGACTCCATGGGTAGGCTGGAGGATGAAGACCATCCTCGGCGGGAGAACTGGCGCTCACTTCACCGATGAAAGGCAGGGTTCCGTATAGATGCGTGTACCATGCCACCGAGCCAACAGTAGCAGCCGTAGCAGCCGCAAGCACAGCGTTTGAAGTCAATCGGCTCGTCTAATTGAAGACCAGGAAAAAAAATCCCGAGATGAGGCAAATTCGGCGGGGCAGTCAACAAATGCCGGTGAATTTTTTTTTTTCCCAAGAGGTACCTAAACTCACCCCGCGAGGAGCACTTGAGGCTGAAGTGCTAGCCATACGGGACCCCGATGACATTGCGCGAGCCGCGGTGCGCGCGACCGCGAGTTTCGAAATCATTTGGCAAGGAACGCAACGTCCAATAGTGAGAACTCACAGGTCACACGCGGTAATTTCCGAACGGGGTTTTGATTTCTTGAATGCAGGGGAGACAGTCCAAAAAAATCTATCTATCAACCTTGGCCCCCCCGGACAACTCGACGAGCTCAGGGCCCGCCTTATGTGGAGGTGTCGCAAGGACCAAGAGCATCCTCGCATTCGGAATTCCCGCCTCTTCCAGCGCCGGCAAAAGCCAGCGCGCCCAAATTAAATCGACGACCAGCGAAAGAAGAAAGCATGAGTTTTCAACACCGGAACCCGCCTTCGTCGAGATTGACAGGAAGCTGACATAGGACCTACCAGAGGACTTCAACCGCCGCATAACATGCTCGGCGTACAAGTCCCTGAGATTTGCAACTTCCGACTGTATTTTTTTTTCTCTTCCGTTCTTGCTGGAGCGGGGTGAATGCTCACTATTTAGAAGAGTATTTTATGAGCCATTTGGAAACCTTTTTCGTGGAAGGGACTGGTAAGATGTACATCGTTGAAATGAGTTCTCCATTGTACACTTGGCATTCAAACCCCGGCAAGCTTGGCAATTTCAAGAAGCAGGACCAGTTTGTCAAAGCAGACTTTTGGAGCACATTAACCGGCCTAGGTTTCCGAGATGGATCGAACAGTGATTCAGTGTGAACGGTCGACCAAGCAAAATGACAATAATTAGTCCAACAAAGATGATTCAACAATGGGGGAAATGACTGCAGTTGGGTGGTACGAGAACAACAATGAGATAGCGCAATATGAAACTAGAGGAATTTGAGTGTGAGCTCGGGTCAATATCGGTGAAAGAAATGGCGGATATTCACTTTTTGGACAATGTTCGAGTCCGTCTAAGATTTCCATATCAAGAACGCGTGAGATCCAACGTAGAAGTAGATAAAGTGCTTGGTTTCTACACGTGTTCATTGCGAAAGAAAACAAATCAAAGAAATGTTTGCTGTCAAAAACGGCGACACTCCCATCGGGACAACAGCATGGCAACTCACCATGAGTAACGTAACTCCCAAAGTTCTTTCCGACGACTACGTGCCACGTTGGCCCATACTTGGTGTCGAACTCGCGTTTGATATGTGATGCGATATCCTTTTCAATCGCAAACTTTTCGAGAGCTGCGATGGATATATCGACGGTGGCTTGCTGCATGTCTTCAGTCATGTCGACATTCTTTATAACGACCTTGGCGCCTGTCTGATTGAAAGGATCAGTCCCAGTCGAAGCAGCCGGTTCTGGTTCAGCCATATTGAATTTGATCTGTGAATTAAAAGAGAATGATTAGCCGCCGCAATCATTTCCGGATTAAACCAGCGTCCATTCGCCAAGCGTGTCATTTTGAGACTTACATGAGGGAGGTTCTTCGAGATGTAGAGAGGACGACCCGTCTCCGGCAGTTCCCGCGCTGTTTCCAAATCGAGTTCGGTTGCTCATGAAAGCTGTGATTGGTCTAAGTGTAAGCCAAGCCAGGAATATATGCAAAAACTTATGTGAGTGTGATAGGGGATAACATGAGGGACACAGCATCAGAATGAGGGAATGCTGCTGCTGCGGTACTTAAGTAATCCAGAACACGAGGCTACGGAGACTCAAGGCAAAAATATTCCGCAGTCTGCCGTAGCTTCGTTTCCATCTTTCTTTCGCACCACCACTACTCGGCACTTTCACGTCCAGACATGTCTAACAAAGATGTATGAGACGCTCCTGAGAGTTTGGACTAGCTACTAACTACCCTCTCGAAGTACTATCAGCAGGGCGGTTCAGGACCTTGTACGGATTAGCACGTTGTCTCACTTCTACTTGTTGACATCCTGGCTTTCTAGACAACACCCCTCCAGGACCACCACCAGGGCAATACTATCCTCCCCAAGGTGAGCACCATTTCCTGCATCTCAAGGCCACGATCTTGAACAGAATTGATTAATAGGGCCACCACCACAAGGCGTATGTCTCCTTTCTGCGATCGCACCTCGGTCTATCGTTTGGATAGCTCAGACGTTTCGATTAGGGATACTACCCACAGCAACCACCGCAGGCTTATCAGCCCGGTCCTTACCAACCTCAAGTGCGCATTTTTTGCGTGTTGCAAGACACTGACTTAATATAATCATTGTTAGCCTCAGCCACAAACAGTTTATGTACAGGGGCCGCCTCAGGTTAGTCGTATAGAAGGCCGGCTTATGTCGATTCTAAGCCCCCACTTATCAGAAATCGACTAACGACGGGACATGTATGGCTTGGTAAGTAAGACTCGACGCAAGTCGTGGTGCGTGTTAACTTATCGTATGTATAGCCTCGCTGGTATATGTAAGTGCCGTGTGGCCCGACGTGTGAATATTCTGATGGTGTAACTGTTCGATGAAGGCCTATGCTGTTGCGCGGAAGGTAACGTGTGTCTGCTCGGCATCGGTGATCCGATGGTTCACCGTGACTATATCCCACAGAAATCTGCGAGTGCATCTTTTAAGCATGCCCGCCGACTGATCTTCGGTGGCCCCTTTGATTCCAAAGCGATGGGCGTTGCGTTGCGTCATTTGAAATTTACGTTCTTCCACGTGTCTCTGGTACATTCTGATGTCTCGTCTCTTGCTGCCACACATTCCCCACTGTACCTTACAATGGACAGACCCGAATTTGCCATTCCCCAATCTTGATACTCTCCCCTCTCGGATGATTTGTACTCGTCTGCTTTGCGATCGTTAACCGTGATCTCCGGCCCGGTGCGGAGGCTAATAGCAAGCTTAAGTATAGTGATGATGGATCCCCTTGACGTAAACCCAAAAATGCTGCACAAAAGCGTACGGCTCCAAACGCCCGGATGTCATCAGAGGATGGCGATATCGAACTGCTCGAAGTTGACATAAATGACTTCCCCGTCCTTCCCTCCGACTACGACTCTCCTTCCTGCTTGGATCACCTCGGAAATCGGCTCGAAATCATCCGGAAGCCAATAGAGATATGCCGATTCCTTCCCGCGTCGCGTGCATAAACAGTTGCGCTCAAGAATGATAGGGAGTGAAGGATCCGGCATATACGTGCTGGAGAACTCTGCTTCTGAAGGAGAAGTCGAAATTTCTGTCCATGTGCTTGCGTCCAAGTATACGGTGAAAGGCCCCTCGGAATCCTCCGAGGTCTTCCAACCACGAATCCTGAGTGTAAGGCCATCTTGAGAATAGGATATGTGGTAAGGTGCTTGAGGCTTCATCTGATCAGATTTGAGGCTCTCAATCTCGGTGATGTCTATTATTTGCAAGCATTCCCTGGACAACAAGTCCCAGACCCGAATGGAAAGATCTCGGCCAGCCGAAACAACCTCCGTATTGTCAGCAGAGAGGCAGGCACATGTGATAACATCAGTGTGCCCGCCCAACACGACGGGACGCCGGTTTAACTTCCGATTCCGGATTCCGACAGTCCAGTCGTCGTTTACGACTACTGACAGTCGCGCGTTGGATGCAATTGTAAATGGATCATAGGTTCTCCCATCGTGGATAAAGTCGTCCGTATCCCATATGCGGATCGAACGGTCACGCGAACCCGAAGCCACCCTCGTCCCGTCCGGAGAAAACGCTACTGTGTATACTCTATTGGTGTGGCTAACAAGGGTACGAGCATGAATCCACCTTGTCCCATCAGCATGCCACAGGGAAATGGTCGAATCTGCCGAAGCGGATGCAATCCATTTGCCGTCCGCCAAGCAGGATACGGAGTACACTGCATCAAGGTGATTTTCAAGGGCCAGTGATGCGTTATCATCGAATACGTTTAGGATGCGAACTTTGCTATCCTTGCACGCCACGATCACCCTTTCGTTGTCAGGATGGAAGGTGAGACAGAACATGAGGCACCCCACGTTAAATTGACGGATTAGGGTTCCGGATGCAGCGTCCCAAACTCGGACGGCCCCATCGTACGATGCAGATGCCAACGATGTTCCATCTGGTGAATACGTTACAGAGACCACAATGTCGGTGTGGCCTTCGAGAATACGAATGTTTGAGCCATCAGAGGCATCCCAAATACGAATGGTTGAGTCCCCTTGACGCTGACGCGAGGCGCGTCCGTACGAAGTAATGCAATGGAGTTTACGCGCTTGGAATGGCCGGAAAGGCGTTTGGGCTTCCCAGAACTGTCAGCATTACAAATGTAGATTGAGCCATTCTCGCATGCACACCCCAAGTTGCGAACCATCTGGAGAAAATGTGACATAACGCAGTCGGAGAGTAGGTCCACCTTCGAGACCTTTGGTTCCAGTGTTCGCGTTCCATACCCAAACGCATTTACTTCTGAAGGCTGATGCCACGTAGGTACCGTCTGATGAGT